TCTTCTTTTGTAAGTTTTGGGTTTTTTTTGGTTTTTTTTTTTTTTGGAACATCTCTTAGGTATATAGAATCAAGTAAAAAAGTGTCCAGTATAACCATCTCAGCTTGAGAAGAGACTAAAAAACTCTCAGTCCCGTTCCATTTTGCCAAATACTTAGGCCGTTGATTATCAAAAAAAGTTTATTACGCATGATTTTGTCGCTTTAAGGACTGAACTCCTTAACAAATTTGTCATCGAAAGGTTTTGTGGATTTACGATACCGTCTGTACTGCTGAAGCATTCTGAAAAGGTTCCCTATGAAAAAATCTTCTGGAAAAGAGGCTGCTCTGTTTGATCGCGCTGTAGACCAATTTGAAGAGGGTCATTATTCTCGTAGCTTGAAGACTACTCTTTCTATTCTAAAAAGAAAGCCAAAGCATGCCGAGGCTATAGCGTTAGAAGGGTTAAATTTATGCAAACTAGAAAAACATCAAGATGCCTTGTTAAAGTGCCGATTGGCAACTAGTCTGAATGCTAAATCTCGATTTTGTTGGCAAGCTCTAGCGATTACATACAGAGATCAAAAGGATTATCTTAATTCTTTAAATTGCTATAAAAATGCTGTCAATCTTTCCCCAAAGAATGAAGGCTTGTTGTATGATACTGCCTATATTCAGTTTCATTTAGGACTTTATGCCGCACTAGTGCAATCATGGCTGACACTAGTCGGCATGGACTCTGAAAATTTAGAATATCGATTATGTCTTACGCTTTCTTACTATCTTTCTGGCTCTTTCGATCACTGTTTAGCACATTGCATCGACCTTTTGAGTTCTCATAAACTGACTCCCAATGTGGCATCAAGACTTGCGTGTTTCATACCCAAAATAAATTTTAGCCAAGGATTAGATTTTGAAGTTTCTTTCAGTTTTTTACAGACATATTCTTCCTTCATTTCTAGTAGTTGGCAGCGGGATGAACAGCTGGCCAGTCTGTGTTTTCGGTTTCATAAGTTTGACAAAACGTTACCTTTGTATGCAAAGTTGATTGTAAGAAATCCTGATAAAAATGAATATACAAGGAGATACCTGGAAAGCTTGTACGAGCTTACGATTAATAAAGGACTCCCGAGGGATGTGCTGTATAGGAAATCTCAGTGTTTGTTAGAATGGTTTCCTAATGCAATGAACATCAAAGTACTAATTTTACAATTTTTGGTTGCAGTAAATCTTGACTATAATTTCTTTTTGGAGCATATTCTCACATATTCTACAAGTAAAGGTATTCCCTCTACTATTTTATTACTTAAACCGTTGATAAAAGATGATTTTTCCTTAGCTCATAAAATAAAGGAAGCTTTGCTATTTCAATTGGTGAATACGAACAAGAAAAATCCTACAGCACAAGTCTGGAACCTATACTATCTCAGCTACCTAGCATACTTTACCCTGGATTATACGAGCTCTTTATATTGGATTAATCAAGCGATTACTGACCTTCCTACACTCCCAGATTTATACTATTTGAAAGGTAAAATTTTATCTCGTTTGGGTGAATGGAGTGATGCTATCCATAGTTTGACTTTTTGCACTGAGCTTGACAAAGGGGATCGCGCGCTTGCGAGCCGCCTTGCTAAGACTTATTTCTATATAGACGAAACCGAATTAGCATACAAATCTCTTTCCAAGTTTTGTAAAGACCGCTTTGGTGGGGTTCCTACTTATCTCGCTGAAACCGAGTGCATTTGGTTTCTTATTGAAGATGGCGAATCTTTACTTCGTCAACAATCTTATGGATTAGCATTGAAGAGATTTCATCAATTATTTAATATATTTAAAGAATGGTCCAGTCTCAGTTTTAGCTATCATACGTACTGTGCTGAAAACGCAGAATTTGAGCAGTATTTGGAAATGTGTGACTGGATTACAACATTGTGGGATTCACCGACTTATCTTAGAGTTGCTTTAGGTGCAACAATCATTTACTTAGATTTGTATAAATCTCCCTATTTTAAATATGGAAAAAGCGCCCCCGCAGTGCGTACTATGAATGAATTCGAGCAAATTCAATTTGAGAAAGACCAAAATCAAAGTGTGGGAAAGTTACATTTACAAGAAGAGTCCCGGTTGAAAAGAATCAAACTAGACGAGGACGAAGATCCTTTTTTGATTGATCATGATCTTTTTGGAATGGAACTACTGAATACAAAAGACCCTCTTCAAGAAGCGATGAAATTTTTGTACCCACTTCGTCTGAATAGGCTGAAAGGATGGGGCTTTTTAAAATATTTAGCATCAAAAATATACAAAATAAAAGGTAAGGTTTAATAATAAATCAGTGTTTAGCTTGATTGTAGGCTTACATTAGAAAACACAGAAAATTATAGATAACTTATGATACAACTAACCGATCATGATGCATAGACATAGAAATATCTAAAGAACCCCAATAAAATATATTAATTTTTATAAACCAAAAAAAGTATATGCCAGACCCAAATTCGTCAAGTATTAGTTAACAGAGTCGAAATATTAACATTACGAATCCTGCATATTCTCGTCGCTGTCCGTCTCCCAATCAAACTCTTCGGGTTCATCCGCTTCTTCTTCAGGATCAGGAACACCGAGTTCCTTCAAAATTTGTAGAATTTCTTTGATATGCTCCAGAATACCTTCGTCATCCCACATCGTTTTCTGGTAAGTAGCCAATGCTCCCAAAAAGTACGACTTGGCGCTGATTAACAGCTCTTTAATGTCATCTTCTGATGCACTTCCTCGCTCCTGTAAATTCTGAGCTTCCACGAAGCAGTTCCAGCCAAGTAAGTACCATACATCAACGATCTCATCATCTTCTTTCTGCAAATAAATTAACAAATCGTGGGCCGCTTGGTGCATTTCAACTTCAATTAAGAGTCTTGCGACAGAAGTGCGAATAGCATATGTAGGAAGATCGATACTGTCTTCCACAGCGGCATTTGAAATTGACTGTAAGCATTGTTTAAGTGCCTCTTTCGCTTCTTCAAATTTCTGTTGACTGATGCGCATAGAAGCAAGTGTTTGTAATGCCTCAGCATTTGTAGGGTCAATTTGTAGAGCTAGATTGGTGTATTTATCACATTGACCTTCAGCATCCTCACGCATACAAAGGTCAGTCATAAAAAGCTCAGCAACACTGCAGTACGCACCCTGTAATTTTTTCTTGACATCCAAATCTTCAGCATTCATCGCGTATAACCGTGAGAGAATGGTCAATCCTCGATCATAAAGCATTAAGGATTTTTCACTATCTTCAATAATTTGGGCCATCCAAAGATACTTTTCATAGCCGGCATCCTCTTGTAAGTTTTCGCTTCTTTTAATTGATTCTCGAAAAGCATTCTTAGCTTTTTTTATCTCTCCAAGCTCAGCGAAAGCTTCACCAAGCATTTCATGAGCACGACCATCATTTTCAGCAGCCTTTCCTACAGCCACTTGGGCAAGTACGATAGCTTCAGAAGGGTTATTTTCTTTCAATTTTTCGCGAATACTGTTAAGTTCAGCCTCTAATTCAGACATTTTACAGGAAAAAAAAAGGAATTTGTAGCTAATGAAGGAAACGGTCCTAGATCGGTCTCTACGGTATTCTTCCACAAATTATTTTAAACGATCAAAAAATTAAGTCATTTAATCTCTCTCGTCTGAGGAACGAGGATTTATACAAATTTGCTTGCAAAGTGGTTAAGTGTAAAATTGAACACTTTTGACATGTACGTGTATACCACTACAAGTGGAATTCATTTTATTAAAGTAAGGTGGTTAGGTATCTGTTAGCGCTTATTAGAGATCTTTTTGTTAAATTAACACTAAAATTTATAAGTCTTCGTTTGAAAAAGACCCGTATCCTGTAATTGAAATCGCAGGGTAAAGTCGGCCAAAATGCCTATTTATCTACTTCACTTAGCATCAACGCATGCCGACTTTCATATACCTGAATTGGAAACGTTGGCAAAGATTGAATGCGTTCATTATCGATGGATAAAGCCTTCCTGCGTAAGGCAAAGTTTAGACCTACAGGAACCCAGTGTTGCGCATAGTCAAAGTGAAAAGCCTGTTTACCCGATAAATCACACAAATGCCACTACACTGAATCCGTTTTTGTTGGTCGAACTTGAAGATGACTTGTCTGCTGCTAGATGGATTCGAAGATCGATCTTCTGTAAAGGTATCTACGAGTTGTATGGCTTTTCAGAAACATTTGATAGCTTGCACGATTATCTTTCAAAGTTGCCATCTCCCCCGTGGTTAGCCTATCAAAAGAAAACTTCGTATAAATTCACATTTGAAACTTTCGGCACTCGACGGACGATGGAAGAACAACTGTCAATCATAAATGATTTCGGGTACATGGGGTTGGAAGGCTTAGTCTCGATGAAACATCCAGAGTGTATATTCACGCTCTTGGAAAATCGCAGCAAAGATATCGAAGGACCAAAAATGTATTTTGGTCGCTGGTGCGGTGGCAGCTCACGAGATGCCATTGACAAATTCGATTTGAAAAGAAGGAATTATATAGGAATCACAAGCTTTGATGCTGAGCTTTCGCTTATTACAGCTCAGATGGCTATGGCCATGCCTGGTAAATTGGTGTATGATCCATTTGCGGGCACGGGAAGCTTTTTGTACACATGTAGCTATTTTGGAGCATTCACTATGGGTATGAAATTGAATGTTTAAATGATTGCTAACAGTTTCCAGGTTCTGATATAGATGGAAGGCAAATGAGAGGGAAGGGAAGGAAATCTATACGGTCTAACTTTACTCAATATCAATTGGCTAATTCTTTTGTGGATGTTTTTACTGGAGACGTTACCAATTGTCCCCTCAGGCAAAACTTTCTAGTAGATGCAATTGTCTGTGATCGTAAGTAACTGCTAAATAACAGATATTTACTAAAACTTTAATAGCTCCCTACGGCGTACGCGCAGGTGCTAAAAAAATTGCAAAATCTTCGTCAGGTTCTTCCTCCCCAAGTCAATCAACTTCTGATTCAACGTCAACATCTCATTACCCTAAACTTGAGCAGTATCAAATCAGTGACATGGTTTTCGACCTGATCTGTTTTGCAGCCATGCATCTTGTAGACTATGGCCGATTAGTACTTTGGCTACCTACTATCACGGAAGAGTATAGCATTGAAGACATTCCTCGTCACCCCTGTCTTTCTTTAATATTTAACAGTGTTCAACCATTTACGCATTGTATGAACAAATTCGGTTGGTATTTTCTTTCTCACTAACACTGGTATAGGGTCTCGCCGTTTATTAACTTTTGAACGATTACCTCGTTCTGAAACAAATCATGTTCCATCAGAGGTTTTTGAAAAATCTTTGAAAACTCCTTCGCATCATGATTTTCGGAAAAAGGTATGACCAAACTACGAGCTATGGTAATATTGCCTTTACTAATAATTCTTTTTTAGTACTTCATGGGTGCGCGCCGAACTGCCTCACCTTTCATATGAATTCTACTATGCTAAAATCTTTCATAATATAGACGTGAAATAGTCAATTTTGGCTCACATTTTGAAACTAATAAACGGTGGTTTCTTGCAAGTCCATATATAAATTAAGATAGTTGATTACTTTATTCAAAATTATTTTCAATGCTTTCCATAAATTATATCTATAAAATTAATTTCTTGAGCATCTAATACCTCTAAAAAGTTACTTACTGCTCTACCTCCACCTAAATCCTGAATTTGTCATACAAAATTCCTTCACTAGAGCAGCTTTTGTTTAACTGGAATTTAAATAATCCAGAAAAAGTAAAACTTTTACAGTTTTCGTTTCTCTGCTTCTTGTCCTCTTCTTGTCCTTTTTTTTTTAATTTAGGGAAAGAGTTATTGCATTGCTTCATTATAGTTTCAAAAAATTTATATTTTAAGACATTTTTGGTATTTAATCCATAAATAAATAAAACAATGATCGCTCTCGGGTTAGAAGGCTCTGCAAATAAACTAGGAATTGGCATCATCCAACATGATGCTAATGGAAAGGCAACCGTTTTAGCAAATGTTCGCCATACCTATATTACTCCTCCAGGACAAGGATTTTTACCTAGCGATACAGCTAGACACCACCGGGCTTGGATTATTCCATTGATGAAACAAGCATTCGCTGAAGCTAAAATTTCGTTTTCTCATATCGACTGTATATGTTTTACTAAGGGTATGTTCTCTTAAATGAGTTTCTGTTTGCTAATAATTAATATTTTAGGTCCAGGCATTGGTGCACCTCTCAATAGCGTCGCTCTTGTAGCTAGAACCCTTTCCTTAATGTATAACAAGCCGTTGGTAGCAGTGAATCATTGTATTGGGCGTAAGTTCTTGTAACGCTTAATAATACTGACTATTATAGACATTGAGATGGGCCGCGAAATTACAGGTGCACAGAATCCCGTCGTCTTATATGTTTCTGGTGGAAACACGCAAGTGATAGCATACTCCCAAAGAAAATATAGAATATTTGGTGAGACTTTAGACATCGCAATTGGAAACTGCTTAGACAGATTCGCTCGTGTAATTTCACTGTCGAATGCACCTTCCCCTGGTTACAACATTATGCAGGAAGCCAAACGGTATGATCTAAAATCTATAAGTAAAGTTTTAGAAAGCAATAGAAACGCTAATCGACTAGTGGAAATCAATTTGTTGAATTACCCTATACTGTGAAAGGCATGGATTGCTCCTTCTCTGGTTTACTCTCTGGTGTTGAAGCAGTTGCAAATGAAGTAATGGATGAAAAAAATCCTAATAAAATTACCAAACAGGATCTTTGTTATTCTTTGCAGGAAAACGGATTTGCAATGTTGGTGGAGATTACAGAACGCGCAATGGCTCATGTAGGAGCTGATTCGGTTTTGATTGTCGGAGGTGTTGGCTGTAATGATCGTCTTCAACAAATGATGGGAGAAATGTGCTCAGACAGAGGTGCCAAGGTATATGCTACTGATGAAAGGTTCTGTATCGACAATGGAATTATGATTGCTCAAGCAGGTCTACTTGCTTTTAAAACAGGAGGAATATGTTCTTTAGAAGATTCCACCATTACCCAAAGATATAGAACCGATGATGTACATGTAGCATGGCGAGAATAAAAAATAGTTTTACGACACTTAACTAAATTATTACGATTTATCAAAGCAAATAAATACAAAATTGGGACTGGGGTTTAGTAGAAGATAAATATGTTATTCGCAATTGCTTTTCAATTACCAGATTCAATTATCTAGTAAAACTGACATTAATTAAGTAAATGACTCTTGAGTTAATTAAAAAGTTACCAATGTTTACCCGCTTGCATAATTTCATTTCCATTAGACAACCGGATTTGATTTGTACATTGTCGTAACTATATTTTCATCTTGAATGTCCTTTATATCGTTAGGTTGAATATCGTATACCCATTTGTTTTTTGAAAGCAATTGAATGAGTTCATTCATTACAACTGAATTCGACAATGTAGTTAATGACCCGAACATTACACATTTCACTTTTGCTCTACTCAGAGCAACGTTGATACGGTGCCAATCGCGTAGCAAATCACCAACCTATAAATATGACATTAGCATTTGTTTAATCAGTTCTTCATACATTTTTTCTTAAGTTAGAGCGTACGAATGATATGAATATAAGCTCCTTATCTCGACCCTGATACTTGTCAGCAGTATTGATTTCCAATTGCTCATGAGCTTTTAATTCATGTTCAATAAGATTCACTTGGCTTTTATATATTGATATAATACCAACATGTTTTTGGTCTACACCCATTGTCAACAATGAGCGGACTGCACAAGCTAACAGAGTAGCTTCCATCCGATTTTCCAATACTCTGTCCTTTTTAGTTTCCAAATTATTAAGTAAATCAGTATTGTAAAAAACAACAGAGTTATCCGGATTAAGTAAATGGCGAATCCAAAACATATTCATATTTTCTCCAGCCTTGTCAGTGGGTATTTTGTATATAGGTAAATAGAGCTTGTTTACGGCAACTTCCTTCGATCCACAAAGCAAGTTGCCGCTGTAAATTAAATTATTACATAGAGAATTGATATCATGGTTCATCCGATACTGTAACTTTAAGGTTGCTATAGCTTCTGGGTGTTTCTCTGAAAGCAGCTTGAACAAACTTTTAGATAGTCCAGCTTTCGCAGACTTTGGATTTTTCACCAAAGGAGGGAGTTGATAATGATCCCCTACCAAAATAAATTTCTCAGTATGCATCAAAGGTCCTAAGCACACAGGAAGTGCTATTTGAGATGCCTCATCAATTATGCAATAATCAAATTTTCGAACCTCAAATAGAGGATGGTATACGCCAAGTGCTGAACATGCCACAATCCGAGGTGTTTCATAAAACTCTCTGATAGACTCTAAATCTTTTGGTACATCATCAGCCGTATGACAAAATTCCTTGATTTTTGGATGAATTTTATGACTGGAACCCAACCTAAGTATATTATAATTTGAATGTTTGAGTTTAAGCAGTATATTATCCACTGCAGAATGCGTATATGATGTCAAAAGGATTGAGGCACCTTTCTCTAATAATGATAAAATTAACCGTGCAATTGTCGTAGTCTTGCCTGTTCCTGGCATACCAAGGATAAGCGCATAATTATCAGCAGCTTGGCATTTCTTTAACGCAAATATTTGATCTTGGTTTAGTCCTTCTGTATGAGAAGGATTTAAGCGACAGTTTGCAGGATTAAATGTTGGTGGCTTTAACCTGATAATCATATCCTTAATCATAGTTGGGGCCTCAGGTAAAACACAAGCAATTAAAGTACTGCGTACTGAAGCTATTCCGCCTGAAAACTCATCTCTATCAATTCTAAATGTTTTTGTAACTTCGGGGTACTTATGTTCCTTCTTATGGTAACTGCCATAAAATACCTGATTGTTTTGAGCTTCAAAATTATCTAACCTCTTCCAAGGTGTCAATAAATGGCGAAATGTCTGTATGTAAACGTAATCATTTTTTATATCTTTGATGATACCTTTGGTTAAAGACCAATGCCCTTCTTCGTCTGAAACAAAAATACGATCTGCAACGTTGAAACCCAAGCTTTTCAGTTGACCAGGACGTTTTAAACCAAGCTTAAAATAATATATGTTCTCGTCAATCTCAAGAGGGATGATTTTTTCTTCTTTAATTGTAAGACCACACAGCGATTTGCCTAACGTTTCCAGTTCATACAGATCAGTCGTAAGTATCTCACCCTTCCGTTTTAGGGTTAAGTTCTCTTCTTGTGTCACTATTTTTTCCCATTTCTTGAAAAATTGTAGCTCAAATCCCCCAATTTGGTCTGCAATTGAATTCCACAGATCTTTGACGCCTGAAGTCTCGGAATTTCCGTTTTCAAAAGCTTTATGATAAAGAAAACATTCATTAATTGCATAGCAACGCTTACACTGATGTTCACTTTTAAGCATCGTTGGTAAAGAACGACGAATGTTATGCTGAGCTAAAGTATTTCTGGCAATAAGTAAACCACGGATCTGCGACTTTGAAGCCTCCAGATCTATCAAACTGCTATTTTCTAAATAGCATAACAGGGCTTTTTTAATCTCAATACTATAACGATCAGAGACCAACAAAGTATATAATAAACTCTGGGCGAAATGGCTAATGTTGTTTATATATTTTCCTGTTTTTAATTCTAAAGGTACCGTTAAAGTGAGTGTTTCTCCAGAAGTATTTTTCAGAAGGGCTTCAACGGTTGCGTCAATGTTTCCTTTTAATCCATATCGAGGAGACCATATAGATTCCTCCACGTCAAGAAGCTTTTGAATAGAAATTTTCTTTTTTTGCTGATTTAACTCATCGGTGCATATTTTATGAAAAAACTTCTTGACGATATCCAAAAGGAGAGGAACTCGAGCACTTAGTTCTTCTCGACATTCATCAATGGTTAAATTAGCAAAGTAAATATCTGTCGTGTATTTACTAATCGAATCTTCAAGGATTTTGTTTATGTTTGTTACAGCATTTTCTTGATTCTTCAGAGCACTTTGGAACAAATCATGAAGAATATTACCAGTAACAGTAGGCTTCGTTGGCAATCCAGAGTTAAGTACTCTGTCTGAGAGAGCTGCTTTGCGCATACATGAAAAAGTTTCAGCTACAGCTGTAGCCGATAGTAGTAATTTCGGATGCACTATAATGAATCCCTTAGAATTATCAATGATGATTTCTGTTGATGAATTAGATTCCACCTCTAAATATACCAAGTCGCCTATATACACCGGAATATCTACCCAATCCTCTCGAAGGAAAACTTGTTTCGTCGTTTCTTCATTTTCAGTATACAAGACGAGTTTTAACTGAGGATAGTTTCGTTCATTATAGATGTAAAAATCGCCCGTTACCTCAATGACAGTCGATTCCGTATAGTTATAGGAGGGCTTTACCGTTGGTAATTCATTATCGAAAGAATCATCCCAATCATCCAAGAAATCTTCACCAGTACCTTCAATGGACGTCTGATTAAGATTGAAATCAGAATCATCAACCTGCCTATCGTGACTAGAAGCAGGTACAGAGTCATCAACCCTGCTTGGTAATTCAAGAGATACATCCTCTGAATTTTGATGACTTTCATGCTTTGATTTCTGTTTGTACTCTACTTCAATCGAATCGAGGGCAGCCAGATCGTCCTCTTCTAGCTCAAATGGGTCATCATCAAGTTCTGTATCTGAGCCATCAACATTAGAAGCTGAATATTCACTTTTAACACTTTGACTGGAGGATTTGGCGTTTTGGATAACAGAAACAAGGCTAGGAATCCTATCCAAAGGACTTCCACGCCTGTAATACTCTAGATTCTCTTCATTAAAAGAATTGGAGCTTTTGTAAGAACCCGAAAACTCATTTTTCTTTCGCTTTGGAGAGAGCTTCTTACTATCAGAAACGCTCCTCTCCAAACTTCGCTTATTATTCATGTTTGACATATTAAGTATAGAGCCAGGTGTAAGCTGAACCTTTTTGGTGGATTTTAATGATTCTCCTGTGTCCGAAGACAAGTTCTCTAAATTGAGCGAACCCTTTTCGACTTAAATATTAGTAAACTTTTTAGTTGTACCTAAAACATACCATTTTTGTTTAATTCCGTAAAATTATCTTTCAAAGCCTTGTCTTTAGAATACATACTGGATGAAGCATTTTCTTCATGTATCAGATTTTCTGAGTCATGAAGTGCCCTGGTATCTGATTGAGAAGCTGGTACCACGGAAGAGCATATTTTTCTTGGAACTTTTTCGAATTCTTCTTCTGGAGGGTTCAACTTTGCTTGAGAAGGATTAAATGCCAGGCTCTGTAATTTAGATTTTGTTTGACCATTTAATCGGTATTCCTTCAGCCTCATAGGATAAGAAGCTGATCTGTTGATTGTCCCATTAGAGCTTCTAGGGTAAGATTGCTGATAGTTTGCAGTACTTGTATATCTACGATTCCTCGAGAAATTACTACCTTCAGAGTCTTGACACATAACTCAAGAACTAAATATCACGAAATATGCAAATCCATGAGTATATAGAAACAAAAAAGAATTTCAATGATCGAAGCTTTCTATCACTCGTGATATTCTCAAGCTGGTCTATCGATTTAACGATACAAAACTAATACAAAGGATCCTAAAAGAATGAACAATAAATACGATAAAAGAGCGACTTTGGCCCCGAAAAGGAAAAGGCCTAGGTAAAGAATGGATGTTGAAGTTGAAGACTACGTTGGGTTAGAGTGGTAGTCTGGTCTGGTATAAGAATTGAAACCGAATGGAGAACGAGCAAATTTCTTCCATGCGTTGGATAAGCCTTATACACTGATAAACTTTTTATACCTGAGCTTAATTATCAATAAGTCGGCTTTCCTTCGTTCAGATTGAATACGAGTTTGGGTTGTGAACCAATTCTCAGCATCATTGTTTTCTTGATGAATTCCATTAAATTTTTTAATTTATGGAATTCTTTTATATAAAACATTACATTTCTCCACAAAACATCTTGATGTCCAACCTATTCGCTTCGCTTACTCTGTACAACATGTTTGTTTACATATAGGAACGAAAACTTAATCAACCATTCGAGTACTTGAATAGACGATTCCTTTCAAGAAAAAAATATACAAAACTTCCCTTTTATAAAAAGATAGAATTTAAGTTATAACAAATGCAATTGAATTCTCGTAGGATTTCATGTATACACTATATCCAAGATTCCAATTGTTTGTTTACTATAGCTATATCAGGAACATATCCTTTGCATACTGCCAACTTCTGTAAAATCACCCTTTCTTTTCTAATATAAGCTGAATAGTTAATCACAGTTTGTTGAATTGGAACTTATCCGCTGATTATTTACCACGATATTGCAAATTTAAAAGTACCCGTATTTATCTGGGTTACAATAAATAAACATGGGTTTCCAATGCAACATTACAATCCTCATTGTAATGTTATTCTTCTTACTTACAGGATATGAAACGTTAGCTGCTAGATTCGATGAACGTGAGGTTCCTTGGAATCTGAATCAAAACCGTGAAGCTGTGGATCCTCTGGAGTACTGGGGTGAATGGGAGAATCACAGGTTCTTCCCTAGTCCAGATGATTGGAGAGTGCCGTTTTACACAATTATCTTAGACAAATGGAAAGATGGTGATCCCACGAACAATGAAGCGAACAACACTGTGTATGAGTATGATATACGCGAAACGGGATTTAGAAGTGGAGGAGACATCGTTGGTCTGAAAGAATCTCTGGATTATCTAGTTTCTATGGGTATAAAGGTAAGTCAATGTTTACATAAACAAAGCGATCGCTAATTTTAAGGTTATTTATATCGCAGGTACACCGTTTTTAAATCAGCCTTGGGGTGCAGATCAGTATTCACCGCTGGACTTCACCATCCTCGATCATCATTCGGGTACGATCGAACAATGGAGAGATACAATAGAAGAAATTCATAGAAGAGGGCTGTATCTGGTCTTGGATTTGACCGTAGCTACATTAAGTGACTTAGTTGGGTTTAAGAAATATTTGAACACAACCACGCCTTTTTCGTTATTTGAACACGAAGCAGTTTGGAAAAACGTGCAAACTTACCCCGATTGGAAATTTTCCAATGAATATGATCCAGACTGTGAACTTCCTAGATTCTGGGGAGAAGATGGTGTTCCTGTGATCATTGATTATGTTGGATGTTACGATTCTGATTTCAACCAATATGGCGATACGGAAGCTTTTGGTACGCATCCTGACTGGCAACGTCAGCTTTCAAAGTTTGCATCGGTTCAAGATCGCTTAAGAGACTGGAAACCATCTGTTTCCGAAAAGCTCAAGCGGTTTGCCTGTATAGTAATCTCTTCTCTAGATGTTGATGGATTTCGTATCGATAAAGCAACACAAATTACCGTCGACTTTCTTGCTTCATGGGCTACCTCCGTCCGTGAATGTGCTGCGAGTTACAACAAAAAGAATTTTTTTATTCCAGGTGAAGTAACAGGTTCATCCAGCTACGGATCCATTTACTACGGACAAGGACGGCAACCTGATCAAAGGCCGCCTTCCATTTGGTCTTCCTTGAACACATCGGAATTATTAAAAGAAAATTATTTAAGGGAGCCTGGGAACAATGCTCTTGATGCTTCTGCATTTCACTATTCTGTGTATCGGGCAATCACAAGATTTCTGCTAATGGACGGTGATTTACAGGTTCCCTATGATCTTCCTGTCGAATTCACTGATCTTTGGAATGTAATGACAATTAACGAGGATTTCTTTAATCCCAATACTCATTCAATTGATCCTCGTCATTTACTAGGTGTAACAAATCATGATGTTTTTCGGTGGCCTGCTATAGATGATGGCACCGAACGTCTTCTATTAGGAACTATGGTAACTTATTTTCTGTTTCCAGGGATTCCTTCAATTTATTATGGTGATGAACAAGGATTGTATGTTCTAGACAATACTGCTGATAATTATTTGTACGGTAGACAAGCTATGCCTTCGTCCCCTGCCTGGAAAATACACGGCTGTTATACGCTTCTGTCTGATCAGTACCCAAATATGCCTTTTACTAAAGCTTTGAACGGTTGTACGGATGATTGGAATACTTTAGATCATTTTGATTTTGCAAAACCAGAATTGCAAATGCTGAAAATTTATAATCAAATCCGAGATCATTATCCTGCTGTCAAGGATGGCTGGAAGTCAACAAAAATTTCTAATTGGACTAGTTATACCCAACTTCCGTGTAGTGGGACGATTCCAACTGAAATTGGTGTCTGGAGCATCGTAAGAGGATTCCTAGAACCTCTCCAAAAAGCATCCGATTACCAGAAAGAGAACACATGGAATGGCGACTTATGGTTTTTGTATACTAATGAAAACAAATCTGTGACACTTGATTTTCCTTGCTCTTCTTCGAAAGCTATTCTATCTCCTTATCGGGAAGGTATTGTCATCAAAAATCTTATTTATCCATATGAGGAATATAATTTGGTTGAATCTAACACGTATGCAAGTCAATTAAAGTCTTATTATGGTTGTATTCGTCGAATTACTCTTCCTGCCTGGGGCTTCAAGATTTTTGTTCCCAAAGATAAATTCATCAAATATCTTCCTCGTGTTACATCTTTTAGTCCTGCCCATGATTCTAGGCTGCTAAATGAGGAAGGTCGTTGTAAATTTCAAATAAGGTTTTCCGAGGAAGTAGACTGCGATGATGTTAGCAAAAAGATATCCTTTGTTTCTAAAACAGAAACAAACAACGTTATTGAGCTTGATAGAAGTTCAGTTGTCTGCCAGAAAGTGAACCAATCCGAAACCGAGTTTTATTTTGGATACCCGACCGCTAAGTATATATGGTCAGGCTTTCTCAAAAATATCCATGATGGGATTCATCAAGTTATTCTTCCAGAGGTTTATAGTGATGATCATAAAACGAAAAGTGATTCTCTTTATCGTGTTACACTCAGGTTTGGGAAACCTGACAATCCAATGATTTTCCAGAATGCAAGCAGGGCCTCTGATTTGCTAATAGAGAACGATGAAAAGTTGTATATAAAGCACAAGGCAGCTGGTGCTGACTTATTCCGTTATTCTTTTGATTTCGGTCTCACTTGGTCTGAATGGGAACCGTATCAAGATTCATTGACAGAATGCACTTCTTTTGCAAGAAATATATCCAAAAAGACTTGGGATGGTCACCATGTGTCAGTACAATACTGGAGCCGTCTTGCTGCGTCACCTAATCATATGCAAGAAGGAAGTATAGGTAAACTTGGTTCTTTCCCGCAGCTATATATGAACGGCCCGTACAATGAATGGGGTTTTGATTCAGGTATACCTAATAAACTAAAGTTAAATGATGATTTCACTTGGAGGAAGACACTTATTAGTGAGGTATTTCCATCAAAGTTGCAATTTAATGTTTACAATGTTGATGAATTTGGGAGGCCTGATCAGAAAAGAGTTTATGGCTCTAATGGAAATAGCACCGTTCTTTCACGACTTCCTCCATCTGAACTTAAGGAGTCCGTCATTTTAATTCATAATCCTCCTCCAAAATCGTACTTGTCCTGGGAAGTAGTTATCGACGATCTAAGCAGAAGATTTACATTCGTTCCTAAAGGATCATCAACCGTATCCATTATATTGTTTGTCTCATTTGCATCAACTCCTATGTTGTGTGCGGTTCTAACTGTTTGGGCCTTCAAAACTTATTTTTATAAAGTTCGACTTACTGATGGTGACCAACTAAAGCCTGTTTGGAAAGGGAAATTCTTCAAGCCTTTCAAAAAAGCTGATCAAGTAAAAGCCTGGCAACAGTCGCCGATTGAATTGGAAACAATTCCGAAATCTGATTCTGCTAAAGGGAAATTCCTAATCTTAGTTGCAACGCTTGAATATAACATTCCAGACTGGCAAATTAAAATTAAAATTGGCGGATTAGGAGTAATGGCAGAGTTAATGGGGAAACACCTACAGCACCATAATTTACTATGGGTTGTACCCTGCGTTGGAAATGTTGAGTACCCTGTGGAGGAAGAAGCCGAGCCTTTAAAAGTTGTTGTCTTGGATCAAATATATCAAGTTAAAGTTTATATTCATCATTTATCTAATATCACCTATTTATTATTGGAGGCTCCCGTTTTTAGGAAGCAAACGACTTCTGAGCCTTATCCACCTCGCATGGATGACTTGAGCTCTGCTATTTTTTATTCAGCCTGGAATCAATGTATTGCTGGGATTGCTAAAAGATATCCAATTGATTTATATCACATAAATGATTACCATGGTGCTTTGGCACCTCTATACCTCCTTCCGAAAATTATTCCTTGTGTTATGTCTTTACATAATGCAGAATTTCAAGGTTTGTGGCCTCTCCGAACATCAGAGGAGAAATCCGAAGTTTGTGCTGTATATAATTTATCTATAAAAATTTGCACTAAATATGTGCAATTTGGGAATGTTTTTAATCTATTACATGCAGGTGTTTCCTATATTCGGATTCATCAAAAAGGCTATGGTGTCGTGGGTGTTTCAAATAAGTACGGAAAACGCTCCAGAGATAGATATCCTATATTCTGGGGTTTAAAAAAGATTGGGAAACTCCCCAATCCTGACCCCGCTGACACCGCCAGCCTTGATCCTAAAAGTGAGATTTCTGATTCAATAGAAATAGACGAAAAATGCATAGAATCAAAAAAAAGGAATAAAAGAGAAGCACAAAGCTGGACTGGGCTTAAAATCGACGATTCTGCTGATCTGCTCGTCTTCGTAGGCAGGTGGTCCATGCAGAAAGGTGTTGATTTGATCGCTGATATAGCACCAGCTCTTCTTCAAGATTTCAATGTTCAAATTATTACAATTGGCCCAATTATTGATTTATACGGAAAGTTTGCTGCTGAGAAGCTCGACTTTTTAATGAAGAAGTATCCAAACCGAGTGTACTCAAGACCTGAGTTTACCCATTTACCTCCGTGCATATTTAGTGGAGCTGATTTTGTCCTAATTCCTTCAAGAGATGAGCCTTTTGGGTTAGTCGCTGTTGAATTCGGCAGGAAAGGAGCTTTGGGAATTGGAGCGCGAGTAGGCGGTTTAGGACAAATGCCAGGATGGTGGTATTCCGTAGAATCGAACACCACATCACATACACTTCAACAATTTGAGGAAGCTTGTCGAAAAGCATTAAGTTCGTCTGAGCTACAAAGGGCTCGTATGCGGGCTCAATCTGCTCGCCAAAGGTTTCCAGTGTTAGAATGGACGGCAAAATTGGATGATTTGATGAAAAATAGTGTAGTGATGAGCAAAAAATACAGAAAAGTCTCCGAAAAACCTTCAAAATTTGGCTCTCGTTTTGCTTTCCCTTTACAGAAAAGTCTATCAAGCTTACGTTTGTCTAATAACGAAAGCAACGAAAGTTTCATCGATGAAGTGAATGATGAGGAATGTATTTCCTCTTCTCTTAACCATCAATCTGACTTAAACAGAATGTATTCTTTAGGGTCTAAAAAAGGACCCGGCCATCGATCAACCTCAAATAATGAATTTCTTATCGGTCTTTCAAAAACCAAGGACTCTGAAAATGATGAGGACTCTGAAACTTCAGAACCTTCATATCAGCCGTCTATGAGAGTAATATCTGAATATAGTACTCCCTCGGAAGAGCCCAAGAACTATGAGCCTGAGCATTGGAACGGTGATATACCTCTATGTCAATGCTGCGGAAGAAATGACCATTCGGTATATGACAGTTCTTCAGAAGACATCCATCAATCAATTATATTACATAATGAGCGTTACGAAAAACAAAATGATTCTCAACTAAGTTTGGCTTCTGTCATTACTTCAAGTGGAAACAAAGAGTTTGCTCTAACAAAAACAGATGATGACTTTACAGATACTAATGGTAAAGCACTCGAGTATTTTATCCAAAACTTAAAAGATCTTACCCCAAAGAACTCTAAGGATGACCTATGTATTGAAATGTTTATCACAAAGATGAAGAAAGAATGGTTTGATGGTATTAGAAATCTTCGGTTTGGAATTCAACGCCCCAACTTGCTCCTGGACGATGAAGATAAACAGCTTCTAATGAACGACCCTTTTAACAAAATAACAACGGTACTGGATAATCTGTATAATAAAGAGCTTATTATTGATTACAGTTCTTCAGTGGATTTGTCCATAAACAAAACATCAAGGATAAAGTATTTTATGCAGCGTAGATTCGGTGAATGGCCGGTCTATTCCATATTCCTTTCTTTTGGACAAGTACTAGCAGCTAGTTCCTATCAACTGATACTTTTATCAGGATCTTCAGCGCAATATGCCGAACAACTATACATTGTTGGCAGTATCTTTGCAGTCTCCTCCGTTGTTTGGTGGTATATTTATCGAAAATTACCAAATATCGTATGTTTGACACTACCGTTTGGACTATACTTTCTCGCTTTTACACTCATTGGGGTATCTTCTTTTATCCAGACGAGCACCGCATTTCGCATATGGATTAGTTATTTAGCGGGCTGGATATATAGCGTTGCTTCTGCTAGTGGTTCTTTGTACTTTTCTTTAAATTTTGGAGATGAAGCTGGAGCTAGTGTGATTGCTTGGATTATACGAGCATGTATCGTTCAAGGACTACAGCAAGTATGGGCAAGTTGTCTTTGGTATTGGGGGTCAAAAATCGACCGTCTACTTCAAGATCATCGGTTGTTTCCGCATGATGTTTATCCTTTAGGAGCGGTAGCCGCAGTTGCCTGGCCCTTAGCAATCTTAATGTTAATATGTGGTCTTTTACTTATTTTTGGATTGCCGGATTATTACTGGCAAAGCCCCGGAAACATTCCTGCGTTTTATACCGCATTACTCAGAAGAAAGCTTGTATTGTGGTTTTTAATTGCGACTGTAGTCCAAAATTATTGGTTATCAACTTTATACGGTCGATCGTGGAAATACCTATGGGGCAGTTCGATAATTGCTCCTTGGAAAATTTTAATCTTTTCATTTTCCTTTTTTACAATGTTATGGGTGTCGACGATGATATTGCTGGGATGGAAATCCAGAACTCATACATGGCTCTTACCGGTTTTCGGAATCGGACTAGGGTCTCCACGATGGTTGCAGATGATGTGGGGAACCAGCAATATAGGCGTTTATCTTCCATGGTCGGGTTCCGCGAGTCCCATCGTTGGCCGTCTTCTATGGCTTTGGTTGGGCGTATTAGATTGCATACAAGGAGTAGGCATAGGCATGATACTTTTGCAAACTTTGACGCGAAGGCATTTAGCAACTACCTTAATTGCTGGACAAATTGTGGGTACCATTACTTCGATGATAGCGAGGGCGACGGCTCCTAATCGAATTGGACCATCATCTGTTTTTTTGGATTTCACATCTTGGCAATTTGAAGATGGAATGAAAATCTTTAGGAATGTGCCATTTTGGGTCTGCTTACTGTCGCAAGTAATCGTGAGTGCAGGGTATTTATTATTTTTCCGAAGAGAAAATTTGAGTCGTCCATGATTGGCAGGTACTTTTTTTTCGAAAATGATCATCATTAGTTACGATTAAAAAAGTTGTATTCAAAATAGAGGGTTTCACCTATGATACTAGGAGTAAAGTATAAAAAAGTTTTAATAAAACTATGAATGAGTTAACAAGAGTTATGCAATTGATTATGAATTTTACATCAGTGAAAATTACTGTATCGAAGGGGACTGAAAGATTCATTTATGATACATCTGGTTTCGTTCCTGCGTCCATCAGGGTTGATTCATTTAATTACTTTTGTATTCCTATGGAAAATAGACATAAGATGAAAAATTATAGAGATGAAAATATATGCAGACCAGAAGGACAGAGACAAAATAGGTGATATCGTGAACCAATTGTTGATGATGCGAATTAGTGTTTAAACTCTCTGTAAATCATTACTGTAGTCGCAAAAAATCACCAACGTAACGTATGTATAGAGTGAAATTAAAAAAAACATACAAAAGGAAACATAAATAAAATGACCAATTGATTTATGAATAATTGAAGAAGATCATTGATCTTCTGCATTCACTTGGGGCTTTATTTAAGATGACGCCGATTATGGGCGGATACTATGTATTTTTTAATAATCATGCGTCGATCCATTTCGGAATAATCAACGGACAGCTCGCTAAAGCAGAGTTAACAGCAATTTGGCAAATTAAGTAGTCATGTTTTCAAAGTATGTAGATCAGTTCAGATCACGGAAAATTACGCTGCCGGAAGAGGTAACGAAGACTGTAAATCGAAAAGAAGATTAATGAAGATCACCCAATCGATAAAGAAAAGTAACGATTTGCAAAGTTGAGATTAAAACCTATTGACTGGAAGCAAAGGTTTTCGATATATATGTGGCTCAACAATAATATGCGTCTTTTCAAAGGATTTAATTAAAAAAGGTTTCCGATTTTTTTTACAAAGTAGTTACTCTTTCTTTGACATTTTTCTTGTATTGAGCATACTAACAAGAAAGTTGTTACTTGTGTAGGCTTAAGAGATCTGCGATCGACGTAAATATGGTAGTCTACGAGGTGACGTGCACTATAAACGGCCAGGATTTTTCCTTTCATGCCTCAATCGTTACCTATGATTCGTCCCTCATATCCACTGATTAGCCTCTTTCGGGCGATCGGCAAGGATCGCCATAGCAAAAAAACAGTCTCGTCAATCTTATATAATAGAACGATCTGCAAGGATTTTTCCAATAACAAGCTCGAAGATTTCCCGTGTACATCCAACTTGGATCACCAAAATTCAAGAGAGTTGATTCAATTTCCGGTTGGGCTTTATTATTTCAGGTATAAAAACCACTGAAAAAGCCGGATTTAATCACTCCTTCAAAGTTTGTGATCTACTTGTGTTCTACCACAGTTGAACATTGGTAAATCCTCTTTCGAAATACTAGGAAAGTCGAATTTTTAGTGCAAAAGATTCTTTCTGTGAACAAATAAAGAACAGTTGAATATTGCGTTTTCCTTTGTCGTTTACTCTTCCTTTGATTTTTAACCATTGATCTTCAACAAAAGCGATTCATGCCCCGTATACTTCGATAGAACTGTTGCTTCTTTTTCAGATAAAAAGATTACTCAATTTCTACGTTACAGAATTCTTCATTGCGTTTACTATTTCCTTTTGACTCCATTAGCACTTATAATCATTTGTCCCACTTTATCCCGCTTTTCCTTTTAATACTTATTGTTCTTTTACAGATTGCTTCTCGTCTAAATGTTATATCCAGCAACAGTTCTCAAAAACGCTGTTACTGAATATCAGTCTCAGGACTCATACCAAGTGCTTCGCTTCTTGTTGAAAAGAGACGATCAAGCTATGTTATACAAACGTGATGATGGACCCGTACAGTGCTCAGGTGATAGCAACGAATATGAAGATTATGGTCATATGGGTGTCCGGATTGGTGCAATCTTTGTTATTTTGGTCACATCTTTGATGGGTGTTTGGTTGCCTCTCACTTTGTCTCATTTCATGCGTAACCGACCAAATGCTGTCATCACATATTTTTACTTGTTTTGTCGTTATTTCGGCTCTGGTGTCATTTTGGCGACTGCTTTCATTCACCTATTAGCTCCTGCATGCAAGAAACTTTACGATCCTTGTTTAAGTGACTTATTTGGCAGTTACGACTGGGCTCCTGGTATTTGTCTCATTTCTTGTTGGTTCATGTTCCTTATTGAAGTCGTACTTTCACGTTTTGTTGAATGGAAGTACGGCATGTCACATTGTCACAGTCCCAATCTAACCACTCATAGCCATAACCATGAAGAAGAAGGCACATACGGTATTCATTCCCATGAACACTGCCATGATGACGTCGAAAACCGTCCTGGCAGTCCTAAAGATTTCGAAGATATCAAGCTAAAGTCCCTTTCCAACACTGAAAATAGTGATTTGGTTTCCATTGAAGGATCTAGGAAATCCTTACTTTATCAGCAAATTGGCGCTTTTCTCGTCTTGGAATCCGGTATTATTTTACATAGCGTAATTATTGGTTTGACTACAGCTATCTCTGGTGGAGAATTTAGAACTCTATTCCCTGTTGTAGTCTTCCACCAGGCTTTTGAGGGCACCGGTTTAGGTGCTCGTCTTTCGGGTATGGCTTGGGGTAAAGGATTTAATGCCCTACCATGGATTCTAGGAGGGACTTATGCTATATTTACTCCTGTTGGTATGGCTGCAGGTTTAGGCGCTCGCGAACACTGGAATCCTCTTAGTCATGGTACTTACGCTGCTCAAGGTGTCCTGGACGCTATTTCTTCCGGTATTCTAATTTATGCTGGCTTAGTTGAACTATTGGCCCAAGATTTTCTCTTCGATCCTAATAGAGAGCGCAACTGGATCAAACTTAGCTTTCTTCTTCTATGTGCGATGGCCGGTACTGCTCTTATGGCCCTGCTTGGAAAATGGGCCTAGTTCTGCTTTGATTTTTATTCCAAGTCTAATTATCTAATGTTTCGTTTTGTTCTAATAGTTAATATGTTAATTATTTTATTTTTTATTTTTACGCTTAATATGCAAAATACACTGTATGATTCGAAGCTTGGCGTAGTAAAAACCTCATTTATTAACAACACTGAATGACATATTTGTTTTCTAAACAGTTTGATTCGTATCAGATTCTATGCTGTCTTTGTGAATGCTCTTTATTTCCTCTGGTGCGTTTTCGTTACTTAAAGCTTCCGCTTCTGCTTTACTTTTAATGTAATAAGTTGAGGGTTCCTCAAATTGTACGTCCAGAACTGTATTCCATGCTCTATTCTTAGCCCCAATGTGACATCCAGGTTCATTGCAAAGTTCTTCTAAATCTTTCAACCATCCAGCACGTTTGCATAGTTCTACAATTACCCAATCACAAAATGGACTTATGAAGTTTACATCAAACTGAGTATGACGGACCGGTGTCCTTGATATGTATATTTGGGGAGTTGATGGAGGAACTACACTGATTAACTCAGAGACTGGTGCAACCTTCAAGGAAGTGCCGATACAGATTAACAGGTCCGTTTTTTCCAAATCACCATTTCCCACCTTCTCAAAAAATTGATCAGGTAACGCTTCGCCGAAAAAGGTAATGTCAGGTTTCATCACTCCGGCTTGAGGAACATCATCTTCTTCTTCCTCCGTTCCGTTTTCGCGATAATAGGCATCAGAGGACATACGATCGCTTGAGCTTGCTAATTTTCTTTTTTTGGTAGGTGGCTGATTGCACTCGGTACAATAAGAAATTCTTTGATTTCGGATGTCATCATATAATAGAGAACCCTCTATTTTACGTTTGCATTGAATACAGGTAGCAGTCGCAAAAGACCCTAGTCTAATTAGAAAATACGTCTAACCCATGATCTGTCTTACCATGACATTGAACAATCTTCTCTTCGGAAAGCCCAGTTTCTCTTTCCAAATTGTCAATATTTTGTGTGAATAAAGTAGCAAGTTTGTTTTTTTGTTCTAGTAACCGAATAAAAGCGTGCGATGGTGAATAATGATGAGTTTCGGGTAATAATTCTTTGGCGAAGGTATAGAAGATTCCTGGTTCTTCTCTGAACGTACGGATATCAAACATTTCTGATGGCTCGGATAAGCCATGCTGGGCAAGCCTAGCATAGAAGCCATTATCTGAACGGAAATCCAAAATTCCTAAGCTTGTGCTGATACCTGCTCCTACAAGAACGACAATATTTTTTGCGTTGTGCAGTTGTTTCACTACGTCGTCAAAAGTATTGTACTGGGGTAGCTTTAAACGGCGTGACGATTCTCGTTTTAGAACTTCCTTTAGTAATGGCAGGAGGCTATAATGTCTAAGTTAGCTACTATGTTTCATAATCTAATCGCGTGTGTGGAGACATACTCTAAATCCTCAAATTCGTCCAATGCAGTAGGCTTATTACAAGTTAGTATAAAACATGGAACCATACGACAAGCTTACCAGCGATATACCCAGTTTCTTTAAAATTAAACGCACAGGTATCTGTTGCTCAACATAATATTTTTGTAAAAACTTGGGATATCCTTATAAGAGAGTTAGTATTTGAATCCTTCTTCATTTTACTTACCCAGAATACGAAGGGATTTGATGATCTCTTCGCGTTGCTTGATTACTTCGTGATCATCCATGTCTATTAGAAGTTAGCAATTCAGATCCAAGTAAAAGTTTAGTATGTTTTCTTTAATAATGAGAAGAATGACCCAACAGCCTAAGCCAGATAACAATGATATAAAAACTCATAATTACGACTCCACCGCTGAACAGGTTTCAATCGTGTATATAGGCATTTTGAAGAGGACTGTGTACTATAACTTGTAAATACATACCCGGTCGGTCCCACTCATCAGATTCAGCTTCAGAGTCTTCTGCGTCCTTGCTGCCACACATAATGTCAACTAGAAGACTGGCACTTGAAGAAACGCTAGATGTACTTGCTGCCTCTACATTATCCTTATCTTCAGAATTGACCTCTTTAGGAGTGGAATGCAAATCTTCAGCAGGAGAGAAACTCATTGAAACGAACAATTAACCGAATAAAAAAAAAGAGGGATAAACAGCAACAAAACAGCGTAAAATGATTTTTTTATCTTTTTTCTATTCAAAACATTCGACTAATTATAACAAAACTTCTAAAAAAAGCTCTGCTAAGAATTATTTTTAAGTCGTCAAAACGCAGTACTGATTCTTCAATGGTATATGAGAAGGGTGCGTATAAGAGGTAGTAACTAGTCGTCCCTTTTGAATGTACGGAGAATATTAGATAGTAAATAATTATTCTCTTAATTGTAGACGTAATATATGACAAATTTACTAGTATCAATATCAATTTTCTATGTATAAAATGTACCTTACGACATAAGTACTGCAAATACAGCAGAGGAATTACTTGTTTTATATTACTATTAATTTTCATTGATTAATTACCAAGTACATAACTACAGAGTAGAGTCAAATATAGAGGGTAAAAAAGAAAAATTCATTAGTTTGTACATAAATTTTTTGTAGTTATTCACTAAGCATAAGTAATAAAATTAAATAAATCATAAAATATCAAGCATGTCTAAGTCATCATAAATTGAGACATTTACTCCAGTTCTTCATCTACTTCATCCATATCTTCCATATCAACATCTGCTGAAGCTTCAGTTGGCGCCTCGTGGTTAGGCAGTACAACAATCTTGCCATTGCGGGCAGTGATATGGACCGTCTCTTTATCGCGCAACTGGCCGTTCAAAATTAGTACAGCCATAGGATTTAATACTTGGTTCTGAATGACACGGTTCAGTGGACGGGCACCATATGCAGGAGAGTAGCCAGCACTACCAAGCAAGTCCTTGGCATCTTCATTGACATCAATTTCGATAGAGCGATGATTACTTTGTAATCTCTTTTGCACTTCCATAATTCTGTTATTGACAATATTCCGAATATCAGTGCGACGGAGACGGTTGAAGATTACAATAGAGGAAATACGATTTAAAAATTCAGGTCGGAAAAATCCGCGAATCGTATTCATTACCATTTCACGAGTAGTGGCATCAATCTTTCCAGTATCGTCTTCATTGTCAGTAGACAAATATTCGGCTCCCAAATTAGAAGTCATAATAATTACTGCATTTCTAGCATCCACGATTTGTCCTTGGCCACTAGTAATTCTACCTTCGTCTAAAACCTGCAGAAGGACAGTCAAGACATCAGGAGCAGCCTTCTCTACTTCATCAAACAAGATGACAGAGTAAGGACGACGACGAAGCTGTTCAGTTAATTGACCTCCGGCCTCATGACCAACGTAACCAGGGGGAGCACCAATTAATCTGGAAACGGAGTGTTTCTCCATATATTCTGACATGTCAATACGAATCATTGCATTTTCGTCATCGAATAAGAACCCAGCCAATGCTTTTGTAAGCAAGGTTTTACCGGTACCTGAAGGGCCACAGAACAAGAATGAAGCTATAGGCTGATTAGGATCAGACAAGCCAGCACGAGACAAGCGAATAGCATTGGCAACCGCCGAAACAGCCTCCTTCTGACCAATGACTTGTTTTCCTAAGACGCTCTCCATTTTCAAGAGACGCTCCTTTTCAGTTGTCTTAAGCCTGGTGACAGGAATACCAGTCCAGCGGGCAACAATTTCGTTAATTTGATCAGGTCCGACCACGTCAATCAACAAAGGCTCAGAGCCAGGTTGAGCATTGGCCATAGCGTCTGCATCAGCAGCCTTCTTTTGTTGCTCCAAAAACTCGATGCGCTTTTGTAGATCAGGAATACCGTAATACTTCAAATCTGCTGCAAGCGTAAAGTCGTTACGACGTTCTGCATCAGCAGCCTTGGCTTTGAGTTCATCAAGGCGGCGTTTAGCATCTTGTAGTTCGCTACCACGAGACTTTTCAAGTTCATATTTTTCACGGATAGGACGAGTCTCCTCCTCAACATCAGCAGCCTCCTTAAGAGCAGCCTTGAGACGTTCTCTGGAAACTTCATCCTTTTCACGCTCTAACGCACGAATTTCAACACGAAGCTGACGAAGCTTACGCTCAAGGTTGTCAAGAACCTCGGGTTGAGATTCACGAGTAACACGGACAGCAGCAGCAGCTTCGTCTACGAGATCAATAGCAGAGTCGGGAAGGCGTCGGGCAGTCAGGTAGCGGGAGGCAAGATGAGCCGAAGAAACGAGGGCACGATCGGAAATGGTGACACCATGATGGACCTCATACTTTTCCTTCAATCCACGAAGGATGGAAATGGTGTCCTCGATTGAGGGCTCTTTAACCAAGATAATCTGAAATCTTCGCTCAAAGGCAGCATCCTTCTCAATATACTTTTTGTATTCTCCTAAGGTAGTTGCACCAATGCAGTGCAGTTTACCACGGGCAAGCATAGGTTTAAGAAGGTTAGCAGCATCCATGCTACCTTCACCGCTACCGGCTCCCATAAGAAGATGCATTTCATCGACAAAAAGAATAATGGGAGTTTCGCTATCTTCGATTTCTTTTAGGACAGCCTTGACTCTTTCTTCAAATTCACCACGGAACTTGGAACCAGCAACCAAGCTACCTACATCAAGACTGAGGAGCTTGCAGGAAGCGAGGTTGGCAGGAACATCTGAGTCAATAATACGACGAGCAAGGCCTTCTGCAATGGAGGTCTTACCGACACCTGGCTCACCAATCAAGACTGGGTTGTTCTTTGTTCGACGGGAAAGGACACGGATGGCACGACGGATTTCGTCTTCACGACCGATGACGGGGTCCAGTTGACCATTACGAGCGAGTTCGGTCAAATCAATGGTATATTTATTTAAAGCATCAAAACCTTCTTCAGCGTTTTTCGAGTCAATTCTCCTATTTCCGCGGACATTATTAACAGCAAATTCAAAGGCTTTCGGAGTGACACCGACATCCGTCAAGAGAGATTTTATAATATCGTCTTTAATGAAAGCAGCGATAAAGTGGTCTTGGGCGATGTAGGAGTCCTTTTGTGTCTTTTGAAGTTCATGTGCATTTCTTAACAACTTTGCAGTTTCTGGGGCAAGGGAGACCTGTTCTGGTGGAGGATCTTGGGCAGGGAAACGGACGAGCCGGCTTGTGACACTACGTTCAAATTTTTGGCCATCACCACCGGCTTTCTCAACAATGGTTCGTAAAAGCGATGTACCATTTGTGTCTGCTTCAGAGAGTAAAACGGCAGCAAGATGAACGGTTGACAATTGGGAATGTCCATAAGATTGAGCCAACCCATAAGCATCTGAAAGCACCTTTGCTGCTTTCTCGGTAAATTGATAATCGGCCATATTAAAAGATTATTAAACAATAAAAACAATAATTAGTCGCAAATTAAAAAGAAAGATTCTAAGGGCTCTTCAAAAATAACAAACACAACAAGTAAAAAAGATTATGTAACAAAAAGAGGTATTTTTTTATGAATAAATAAAAAATCCTTTTCCTTATTCAATGTTCTCAAAAGTGAAGAACGCAGGCATCTTGGTGTTGTATATATACCTACGTCAAGCCCAAGGAACGTACTAGAACGTACTAGCTAATTCGGTAAAGCCAACCCGCTAGAAGAATCCATTAAGCTCGTGAACTTGCTAGTAGAATATAATTATTCTATCGGAACATAATAGAACGATATTATATTCTTTGTAATTCCCTGTTATTTTCTTTCATACGCAGTAAACATTGAAGGCTAAAAATTACGCAGTAAACTTTGAAGGCTAAAAATCATGAGAAAAGAAGCTTCAAGTGTCTTCTTTCTCATGAAATCCTTATGTTTTCTACAAATTGCCTTCCTTAGCAGGATATCTGAACCATGGAGTTTTGAGAAAAGTACAGTTTGACATTAGCCATACTCTGATGTTTTCCAGACTTCAATTGTATTCAATGAAATATAGAAGCAAAATTGGTAGGTATTAGTTGCGGAAAAAATTGATAAACCTAGAGTAGAAAGAAACATAGTCGAAGTATGGCAAGGTATACCAAAGGACAAGGGAGGTCGAAGAGAACCCGCATAGATAGGTATTTTTTATTGAAGGAATCAACTCTACTGGTGCTCCCAACAATCGATTTAATCTTTCTCCAAAGTTTTTTAAATCAAAACAAAGGCCTTGATTGATATTATATTAAAAGAGCATTGTCACTTTGATGTGACTTGCGAGTGTATTTCCATATTTACAAGTAAAGGTAAATAAAAAGAAAAGAAAAGAAAAGTAAAGTAAAGTAAAGGTAAAGAGAAAGGAGAAACACTATATATTCTATAGTTTGTACGATGCGGATATACGTTTGCTTCATAAACAACAAGCGAGAGTAGAATACAATGTACAATTCAGAAAACCTCCATGTAAACAAGCCCTTAGAATTGAGCGCTAGAATTATTCTTGATTTTGAACAGTTTACAGAACAAGTAAAGAGGATCCTAAGTGGAGATGTCCATTCTCACTTTTGTAAAATCATTTCTTTCTGAATGACTGGTTTTCTTTCTAAATAAATTGTGTCGCTTTCGGTCAACGCGACGGAATCAGTATCATCACTTCTTTTTTTTTTTTTTTTTTTTTTTTTTTCATAGGCCAGTTTCCCTCGTATACTTCATCTTTGGTTGGTTGGTTTACGACTGTTACTAAATCTATAGAGTATGATATACCAAAACATTGGCAAACAGACTCTTTACGAAAGCAATTATCCTTTTAGTTCGAAATACAACTTACATCTTGCTTCCTTTTTTAGATGCCAATCAAACTTTGCTTTACTGTGCAGAGATGAACACTGTAACCATAAGACAGGGGGGCCTTTGCTCATGCTAACAACGTTTCTTTCTATCTTACTGTAGAATGGCAAAGACAGTGGTGCTATTTCTGTACATATGGTAGGAAGGTCGTCTTTTCAAAAGGATACTTCCATGGAAGATTGGTTTCCTATTGATATTGATGCCAATGAATATTGTCGATAGATGAAAAACTTTTAATTAAACCGTTACTAACTTTACAGAGAATTTTTTAGTAAGAACAAACTGAACCATAAGGACGCCAACCAAAACGACAGACTTTCGCGTTACCTTGTACAACGACGCGTACACCCCGAATATTTTCAACCAGAACCAACTACAGAGGTCCTCGAAAAAAAACCTGTTGTTTATCTTGAATTAAAGGAAAAGTCGGTTTTCCTATTCAGAAAATGTTGGAAGCTAGATTACAACAGGCTGCTTTGCTAAAAAAGCTCCTTGATGCCATAAAAGAACTTGTAACTGATGCTAACGTAAGTTTTACTGGTGTTTGAAACATTTTTTTGAATGCTTCAGAAATGGAGGAAGCTTTATAACTCTATTATGGATCAATGAATTGATTTAGGAGGCTTGTGCTAACGGATCTTTGTAGTTTGATTGCAACGACAATGGTATCTCCCTCCAGGCTATGGATAGCTCTCATGTTGCCCTTGTTTCCATGTTGATCAAATCTGACGGCTTTGAACCTTATCGTTGTGATCGTAACATTGCTTTAGGTATCAATCTGAATGCTTTGTCCAAGGTTCTTCGCTGTGCTCAAAACGAGGACTTGGTAACTTTGAAGGCCGAGGATACACCAGAGACACTTAACATGGTCTTTGAAAGTGAAAAGAATGATCGTATTTCTGATTACGCTGTTAAGCTTATGGATATTGATCAAGAACACTTGGGTATCCCTGACATCGAATACGATGCCACCGTCACCATGCCCTCCGCTGAATTTCAACGTATCATTCGCGATCTTTTGACTTTAAGTGATTCCGTTCGTATTCATGCTAGCAAAGAGGGCGTTCGTTTCAGCTGCAAAGGTGACATTGGTGCTGGCTCCACCACTCTTAAGCAGCATACTGACCTTGCTGACAACGATCAAAGTATCGAGGTATCCCTCACTCAAGCTGTTAGCCTTGGATTTTCTCTGAAATATTTGGCTCAATTCACCAAGGCTACTCCCTTGGCTAATCGTGTTACGTTGTGCATGAGCAGCGAAGTGCCTTTGCTCGTTGAATATCAAATGGAATCTGGATACCTTCGCTTCTATCTTGCTCCCAAGATTGGCGACGAGGACGAGGATGAGTAAAAAATGTAACGCAATGTCTTTTCACTGCTTGATTCGTCAGGTGTGTTTCCTTCTTTTCTTATGTTCAATCGAATCTCATACAACGGTATCTCAAATGGGTATATGGTTCTGCTGACCTATATTTAATAAACATGTTTGTCATTCTCAATTCCCTCTTTTGTTAATCTGGTAGTCATATACATTCAAATATGATTGTTCAATATATGCTTTTATCCTTACACGAGTTAAAGTAGATTCTTAAAAATAGACAAACTACATTGAGGACGATTTTGACTTAATTTGTTCAGCAACCTTCGTAGTTTGACGATCTTTAAAAAAAAATATACATCCTCAGAAAAGCTGTCCTCATAGCTTACCATAAGGTATTTTCAGTAGTAATACATATATTGAACGAAATGTTGACAACATTCATGAGCAGTCGTTATTTTGTTAAACATTTTAGGCTTGTTAAAGAAGACATCATAAAGAACGCTTTACCCTCGATTTGACCTTGACTTTCAATGAAAACAATCAGAATCCTTTTATTTACATAATAACGCTAATCACAATTGTAGTACTATATAATATTATCAAGTACATAAGCTTATTATTCTCAACTCCAAAAGTGTACTCAAACTTTAACAATTAGAAAATATCACTTTTCTTGAGAATCCAAAGAATAGCAATTTATTAAATTCCTGAATAACTTTTCTGTATCTATCGATTTCCATTGTCATTAGTTACAAAAGATCACGTCGGGAAAGCCGAAAAATTGGGGAATTTTTTTTGGTATTCATATTCAGTTCTTTCTTTTTTGGGACAATATGAAACGTTCAGAGAGCATTATTATTGCAATTGCTGGTGGACCGTATGCCGGAAAGGTAGAATTTGCATTTGGTTTTCATAAAATTTGAAACTAGAAATAAAGTAACAAATACTAACATATGCTCAGAAACGCTTGTGTAATGAGCTTCTTGCACGTTTAGAAGCTCTTTCACCTTCTACGAAAGCTCATATTTTACATTTGTCCTCATTTATGTACCCTGGGCAAACGAATCGCTACTGCTTGAACTCTTACGATATTAAAGCCTATAGATCCACTCTGATGGCAATTCAATGTGGAGGAGAGCGCATTCCTCTTCCTGATGGCACAGAATTGTACTTTTCTCCTGATCAAGATCGCGTCGTTTTCACCGAGGGCTATTACTTACTTCTACCAGAACTGCTCCCTTATTATACTTCGAAGCTGTTTGTGTATGCTGATGGAGATACTAGATTAGAGCGTTCTGTAATTCGACGAGTGTGTGGGGATCATGAAATTTTGACTGAAGTTTTAGACGACGTACGTTTGGGAATTCGTTGATGATTACAACTAACATGGTAGTTTGTTCAAAATGCTAAACCTGCTTATGAAATGTCTATTCATCCGGTAAGCTACGCAGCACAAAGTACTAGCATTATACAATATACCTAACACTACTTTCAGACGCGAGAAAATGCAGACATTATTCTCCCTCAGAGAGCCGATATTCAATCTGCTCTTTTATTTGTCAGTCAGCACCTGCAAGATCTTTTGGAGGAGTTGAATCAGCCAAACTTGACGAGCTCTGTCCAGTATGGCCCTCAACATGAGAAATACATGAAGCTTGCCCATGAAATGGTATGTTTTCGGTGACATTTAATAAACAATTTTAACTGAAAGAACTAATTTCAGGCTGAAACGTCCTTGGCGAACCGAGAAGTTCCGGTGGGATGCGTTTTCATATATAAGGGAGAAGTTATTGGCAAAGGATACAACCAAACTAATTGCAGTCTTTCCGTAAGTCTTATCTATGAATTGAGGAACTTCTAGCTGAGCAAGCTCTAATAATATAGGGAATACGGCATGCAGAAATGATAGCTATTGAACAAATCCTGGAAAAGTATCCTGCTTCTGTTATCTCGGAAACAACCCTTTACGTGACGGTTGAGCCGTGTCTTATGTGTGCTGCAGCATTAAAGCAGCTGCATATCCAAGCTGTTTATTTTGGATGTGGAAACGATCGGTTTGGTGGATGTGGAAGTGTATTCAGTATCAACAAAGAGTAAGGATTTATTGGAATTGAATTTTGAAATGATTGGTACTAACGAACGTATAAAGTCCTTCCATTGATCCAAAATACCCGGTGTATCCTGGTCTGTTTCGACCGGAGGCGGTGATGCTAATGAGGCGGTTTTACGTTCAAGAAAATGCAAAGGCACCGGTACCTCAAACGAAAAAGCAAAGGATACTAAAGCACAATATTGCAGAGATGGATATTTCTCGGTACTTGTAGGTTACACAGCATTACTTTTTTTGGAACTTGGGGTTATTATAAATATACAACATAAATATAGATATAAAAATTGAAAACAAGGATTGTGTGAGGAAGACTTAAATAAAAAGATTGGAAAGCTACAGATACATGGAAACTGAAAGGGAAATGAAGTTTAAAATAGAATGGATGAGAACAACATAATAAGCAAAAAAATAATTCCATTGGTTTCATAGAAAACAGAGAGCAGCTACAGCTTACTTCTTTTTGGAGACACCAACGGTCTTACCACGACGGCCAGTGGTCTTGGTATGTTGACCACGGACACGAAGGTCAAGAGCGTGACGAAGACCACGGTGAGTTTGGATCTTCTTAAGACGTTCAAGGTCTTCACGGAGCTTGCTATCTACGTTGTTGGAAAGCAATTGGTGAGACTTGCCATCGACGACATCCTTTTGACGGTTAAGGAACCAAGTAGGGATCTTAAATTGAGTAGGGTTTTGAACGATTGTAACAAGACGCTCCAACTCTTCAGTGGTGAGCTCACCAGCGCGCTTAGACATGTCTACATCAGCCTTCTTGCAGACGATGTTGGCGTAACGACGACCGACACCCTTGATTTGAGTCATGGCGTACATGACCTTGTGCTTGCCGTCCACATTGGTGTTGAGAAGACGGAGAATGTGTTGAAACTAGGAAAGAAGTTAGTAAAAATGAACAACCTAAATGGATCTCCAAGCCTATTCACTCGTAGAAAAGGAGGGAAAGGGAAAAACATAGCACAGTTTTCAAGAAAAGAAAACACTAATTTGTATAATGAAGAGATTGACACGAGGGACCGCACCAACCTCGAATACAGTGTGAGAGGGAGATTGCCAGGGGAACCAAGAGACGTGAAAAAGAAAATGAGCTATGTTTTTCTTGAGAATATAACAGATTTACATACGTTATCAGGAGGAACGAGAGACATCTTCCTGCAGCTGCTGGTAAGTACGACACAAGGTTGATGGATGCAGAGCCTGTATGTTTTAACCAAAAAACAGTCACGAACCGAAGCTTTTAAAGAAGTTTGGTAAATTACGGTGGGATTTTTTAAGGAGGTAGAAAGAAAAAGCGATCAAGAAAGAAACCGAGCTGGAACGAGGGTGAGCGAATGATTTAATACAATATCATGTCAAAAAAAGTATAGTAAAGATTCGCAACGAGAAAACGTTCGATCACTAAGAAATAATAACATCAGAATGACGACATGCATTTATGTGTTTACCTTCTGATCCGTGATGGTCGACTGCCACTAATATAATGGCTAATCAAACACGTAATAAGGAAACCCGTGGGGTTGTCCATCAGGATCGTGGGGTGTAAACAAACGAATGTTTATTTTTTTCTGAAGTTTAGTTTTATGAAGAGATTCTTAAATACAAAGACTGGAAATCAAGCTCAAAACGATTCTGAATCTCTCCGTTTGTATGGTTCGCGCAGCTAGAACATTAAGGATCTACTTTAGCTGAAAATTACTTGTCGAAGTGCTACCATATACTTCCTATTTTGTTTCTTACCTGGAGAAAAATGCAACCGGAAAATCGAGTCTAAAAATTTTACACAAATATGAAATGATAATGACAAGTATCGTTATACGAAAAAAATAAACAAAGTTCCTTAAGGGAAAATTTTTGTCGAAAACCCTACACCGAACAATGAGATGAGTAAACTCGCAAATCTAAATATAAACTTATTATATTAAGGGTTACCTATTTACTTTTCATTCGTCGGAATTGATATTAAAAAGTGAATCATCCTATTGAAGTTGATTCTTTCAAGTTTTCTAATTTCTCTAAGTTCGTTTATTTATTTATTATTTTTATGCTTATTTTTGGTCGTTTACTTTGAAATTCTTGCTCGTAATTGTGAGACGAGTTTCCCTTTCTATTTGGAGATTGTATTTCTTTTTTTGTTTTTTACTCCTTCACTCTTGCTATAACATCAGTGTTCTATTCTAGATTTAGACTCTCTTTTGCTAGATCTTCCCTCGCAAACCCATCCATTGTCACTTGCACATACTCTTCCTTTTTTTTTTGGATTGTGCACTTGGTTTCCCCCGTTTCCCATTGTAGGATTATTGTCCCTCAACATGGGTCGCAAAAAAATCTCTATTCGATCCCATTGCAGATGACCGTTCTCGAAATGTCACCTTTGCAAAACGAAAAAGCGGCATCTATAAAAAAGCTTTTGAACTCTTTGTCTTGTCCGATTACGAGGTTTCGATTACCATCTTTGACCGAAAATGCCGCCTTTATGTCTTTTCTTCTCATGATTTTCAAACAACCCTAAAACATTTGAACTCTACCGATATCTATGAACATAGAACTGGTGCCCAATTGCAGAAAAAAACAAGAGTTAGATTCTGTTTCTCTTAAAACTTCTTCACCTCCTTTTGTTTCTCTCATTTTCCCCGACACTCATCATCCAGATCATGTCTTGTCATCTTCAACACCCTCTTCTTCTTCATATCCTTCTTGTACGAATATCACTAATTATCTAACCCATTTACACCCGTGAGACATGATTATAACAATCCTCACCTCTCTTCTTACACCCAGAATGGCAATCCTCCTCCTCCTCATCCTCCTATCTCAGCTCCTTACATGGTTCATCCAAGCAAGTCTCGTTCCTCTCCCTACATTTACAATGGTCAAACACCTTATCGAACATTTGCTCAACATTGCAAATCAACCCCCTTTCTAGCTCTTTCTCGTGTTTCTTCAAGTCTGATTCCTGCCAATTTTGATCCTTCCTTCAACTCCCACAAAAATGATGTTCCCTGCTCTGCTTCCCTCGTTCACATATCGCTACTCACTTAGTAGCTACTAACCAACCTGCATATCCCTCTTCTCCTTTTCCAAGTCCTCCAAAGGGAACCTATCCAGCACCTTTTGTCCCTCCACCATCAGTCCCCAATTGATATTACAGGTCTCAAGCAAATGACGTTAGCTCCATCTCTGGCCCTTCTCACCCCTATAATCATTATCAAAGCGTGGAAAGGTGACTAGGAGCCAGTAAAGCCATAGGTCCTGCTTCGAACCCTTTCACAATTAATTACAGATACTTCTATCTCCAATGGGTCTCTTTGACAACATAGCTAATGGACCCCTTTCAATTGACAATCCGTAATAAAGTCTTGCCTAGGGTTATGTATTGATTGGTAAAGCTAAAATATCAATTGAAGAATATTCTCTTGCAGATTATCCGTTTCCTATCTTGCAAAAGGCACATACATGGGAAACGAGAATAAGCAGTTTGCTGCATAGAATCTGATGAGGGTCTAAAGATGAAGCTGAATGTTGGATTTCCAGATATCTTTTTGAAAAGATTGGTCTAAATTAGTCAAAGAGTATTTTGAAAAAAATACGATCCATTTTTAACGTTGCTCGTTTTGCTATGTGTGTGTCAGTTTGAGAAAAAGGAGCCTAAAGTTGCATGTACTTTTCCCTCTTCCTCCTTTTCAAAAGTACTTATCATGTTTCGATGAATTTGATTTTAATTTTCGTTCTTGTTTTTGATCACATAATCTTCTGTATTGTATACTTTCTGTTATGAACAAATTCATACTTATGCAGGAACCTGCTATCCTCGCCCGCCGTTTATTTATTATTGCGGAGGCAACTTGGTTATTTATTTCATTTTTATTTATATAATGTTAGCTATACTCGATTTTTTTGCCTGTTCTTATCTTTTCTCGTTTCATGAATATTTGAACAAAAGATCACATATCTTTAATTAGTGCTTAAATAGGCTAATTTCTGTTAATTATATTAGAAGAATTTTAATGAAATGATATACATGCTGTAACATCAAATAACCTTCTTATTACATGCCTTAAATTCAAACTCGTTCGCTAGGAAGAAAGTGTTTGAGCTTCTTCACTGTCAGTACCATTCTTCATCAATCACGACGCTTTTTGTAAGGACCATAACCTGTTTTCAGATCAACACGATTTTATTAGCGAATGTCTTTGAAGGAAGGAAGCAAGGAAGCAACCGAGAAAATATAGTAGCAATACTCATTCTATGTGTCAGAGGGAATCCTAATATTATCAAATACTTTAGAATAGCCAAACCTACAGTCTTTTATTATAGAACTATTTGGGTCAAAAAAAAATAAATAAATAATGAAGCGAGATTTGATTTTCTAATGAGGGAAGTGAAAAAATATTTCAAGGGAAGCATCGCAATTGAAGAGAAAACTCGGGTTATCAACGACGGAAAAATTAAGTACCAAAATAGCTTTCTATAATCTGATGTCTCCAGGTCATATCTTCAGTTAAGAAAATTTGGCAGATGAACAAATCAACCAATTGACTTTAACATCTTTGTCAATCTATCCTATAGGGCATTCCTAGCGTCCCATTAGTAAAAAAAATGAAAGAGCCAAAGTATAATAGTAGCAAGGTTCTTTTCGAAAACGCCATAAAAAAAAAATAACGAAAATCCATTTTGCAATAAGTGCAAGTCAACATCCTTAGTAAATCTTTCCATTGATTATTCTTTTTCCCAAAACCGTAAATTTTTTCTCTTTCTTTCATACTCAGCAAAGGCTATAAACCCTTTTTTTGGTACGGTCTGCAATTGCAGAGCTGGAAACCATTTTTGAAAATGAACTGGTAAAACAAACAGAAACAAAGAACTAAAAGTGATAAAGAAATTTGAAAATAGTTACACGCCTTTTTTCTTTTTTAGTAAATGAAATCTAGGAATCCAATCGCATCTTCAAAGAATTGCAAGTATAAGCGCATTGAACTTAGAGCATCGAATTCTAAAAGTTAAGATGTCTAGCTTAAAAATAATAATAAGTACCAAATATGAATGTCACTGGAGATAAGAGGACGAAGCAAAGCCCGAGAAACATCCAAAGTAAGGGATATGGCTGTTCCGTAAACAGTTTGAGGATATTTCTTTGATTTTCAAAGGTGCAAACGGCATTGCTTTCAACAGTATTTTAACTCAAATAAAAGGACATTGTTTTCGTAAAAATTTACAGTTTAGCAATAGAGATCAAAACTTGTACAAAGCTCTACATTCATTCTCAAAGAAAATCGCAGATGAGATATTCCAAATTCACCTCTGTTTTTCATCCGGAAGACGATTTTCACTTACATTTTTCCTTTTTCCTAACTGTACATTCGAGACAACGCTATCGAGGCGTTAAAGTCCAAAACAAAGAGAATTCGTTTCAGACAAGCAGAACCGAAATTATCGGGAAAACACCTTGAGTACAAGCAAATTCCCTAAACGCTTTTCGTTTTTAAATTGATCCTTTCAATTAAGTTAGCCAAAGTTCAAATTGCACGAGTATTTACGTAGAGCAAAGCAGAATCAATTCACAGTTTGACTTTGCTACACCTCCACGTGACAGAGCTAGACATATTCTACATACCTCTGTCATCACTTCATCCATAAACTCAATAGTTTCTGTAGAAAGGGCTATACGATACCCCTGCTGTTGGTACTTGTCTGCCAGAGCTACGAGCTGCGGAATAGCCATTCCTGTTGACTGATATTGGACAACCCCACTAAGAAAATGTTAGTATGTGCAAAAAAGAGCATCTCGAACAAACCTTCTCTCCAGCTGATGTCTCACTCGTTTCATCATTGCGATCAAATGGGTCTTTCTACGGACGATAATCCCCTTTCGGACAGCGGGTGCACGTTTGATTCTTTGAATATTCATTCTTACAAGGTAACAGCTTTTTTCCTCCACAAAACGTTTTCTAGCTCCTTTTCTTCTTACACCTACTTTGATTCTTTCGTTCATGAGTTTTGGTGGTAGCGACTTAATTAAGTGCGTTAGAAGGCGGTAAATTGTAAATAAACAAATTGATTCCTTTTCTTTTTCATTTGCAACGCATTCTGTTAGTATGTAAAGACAATAATGTAATAAGAACTATTAAATTATTTCATTAACGAATTTAGAGAAATTAATGAAGTATTTGTTTCGCATTCTTTCACTTTTGTATGGTTTTTTCTGTTATTTCTATATATAGCGATTTTATTACCTGGCAAAACAAAATTGAAGCAAATCCTCGTTCTAGTGATGTCTTTGCTATTCAGTTATGCCAATTAACTTAGGAAAAACATCCTCATTGCAAGCATACTTCTTGGTTGTATTGGCTTGTGTAAACAAAGGAAAGTCATCAAGGAAAAGATTTCTATAGCAAGTACAAGTAATAAAATCATTCAATTATCAAGCTTCATACATTAAAATTCAGTTGTTAAAAAGTGCTGCTGAGCTATCCAAAACGAGTTGCTACATAACCCATCCCATAAACTATTCAACCACCATTACAGCATTCATTGTGCAAATCGCTAGGTCCGTATACGAAGTGATTATGCAACTCTTTTAGCCATAACACTCTTATAAGACAAGAAATAAAGAGAAAATATCGGTGGAACTGGAACCGTGAAAGAGAGCATAAACGTGCCATTTACTGGTCTCTTCATCTATAACATATCTGGAGTAAAATCAAGAAGATTTAAACGATGACAGTAGAGAAAATGATCATGGATCCTCCTGTTGCCGTAAATCGGCAGACAGGACTTGTCCTTTTGCAATTAAAAGAAGAAGAGGAAACCCAAAGAAAGGAGTTGTCGAAATATCAAAGGCTTTTAAAAAATGAAGATGATGCCAACCTTGAGCTGGAAGCTACGATCGACGATCTACGACAACAGACTGAACATTTACAAGAGCAAAATCAACAGAACGATAAGTTTCTAAAAAACTTTCATGATGAAAGCGGAGGCTCTGTCCAACGAAGGTCTGAGCTTCGTGAAAAGATTAAAGTACTAGAAGATTCAGTTCTCAGTTACCATTCTTCCTTAAAGCAAGATCAAGCACAATTGAAAGCGATATTACAGGAAAGGGATTTGGCAAAGTCAATTGCACAGAAGTTGCAGACATCTCTTAACGTTTTACAATCACAGAGTAATCCGCAACTAATTCAGGACCTCTTAAGTGAGACGAAGGACTGTAAATCATCGGTTATTGACCAAGTCGGCCAGAGTGCCGACCTACTTCATCACTACGGTGATATCTCGAATCGTATGGAGAAAATGTACACATCTCTTGTAGATACCAGTCGTGCTCACCGCGTCGCTCTCACCGATGCTACCAAATCGTACACTTACTTGTTTGACTCCAACCTTACTAATACTAGACATAAAGCAGAAGACATTTCTGATTCTGTTGAGAAATTCCTTTCAAAACAACTACCTTCATTACAAAGCGACTTTATCGACTATAAGTCTTTGAAAGACTTCTCTGGTTAACCACATTCGTCAGTCATATATATATATAATTTATTTTTATATCCTCCCTTCGTTTTACTTAGATTAATGACTACCATTCAAAAACTTGATTCCTTTTCTACCGAAGGGCATTTATTCATTCAAATTGCACTATGTAACATGTAAGTAAACTACACCTTACTATATACCGAACAACCCACAATTGCTAGTTTAAAACTTTTATTCTTACTATACCTTCAAACCTATCATGTAAGCGACTGAACAAACATCTAGTTTTCGTGGAGGACAGTCAAGAACTTTTCACCAGCAGACTTGGAGGTCTTGCCAGTGTCAACCTTAACGTTGTGTTTGTAGGCCTTGGCATAAGGGTTAAGACGGAGCATAACGTTCTTGTTCTTGAGAGGATTCTTCTTTTGAACATTAGCACGCTTGACGACAGCGGGACCAGCAGGCTTAACAATGCTTTGAATTTCATCAGAGTTAATAAGACGGGTAACGTCAGCGTTAGAGATGACGTTTTGAGGGAGGACATAGTCCTTCTTAAATTGGGAGATTTCAGTGAAGCTACCAAAGACATTGTCAAGGAGGTCGAAAGCAGACTTGGTCCAGATGATGAAGCGACCCAAGTGACCACCAGGGGCAAGTTGAAGCAAGTTCAAACGACGAACGTTGACAAGCTCAACACCAGGAACGTTACGGAAAGCCTTGACGATACCAGCATCCTCGTTGAAAACAACAAGAGGACCACGGCGTTGAACATAACGACGGTTGCGAAGCTTACCCTTACCAGCACGGGTCTTGCGGGAGCTGGTAACCTTGGCAACATCACGGAAGGCCTTAAGTTGCTTCAACAAAGCAACGGCTTCCTTAGTCTTTTGGATAGTTTGGATAGAGTCTTCGACAACCAAAGGAACTTCAGCGATCTCCTCAACACGGTGACCACGAGCCAAAAGGAGAGAAGGAACACCGGAGGCAGCAACAGCGGAAGCGATAGCATAACGCTTCTCGTTTTGGTTGACCTTAACATGCCACTTGCGCCAGGTCTTGGTAGGGGCGAACATACGACCGCTACGGCACATGTTACCAAAAGCAGCTTGACCGGCACGGTGAGTACCACCACCACCAACACGGGGAATACGAGCAAGAGCACGACCAGTACCCCAAGATTCAGCAGAGGTTTGGTGACCAGCCTTCTCGGAGACGGCATAAGGTTGACGCTTATTCTTGGCAACAGCGGTATGAACAGAGCGAACCAAATCAGGACGAATGGGGGCCTTGAAAACGAAAGGAAGAGCGAGAGTCTCAGAAGAGACGCCGCCGTCCTTAGAGTAAACACTAACAGTGGGACGAGCTGCTGCCATTGAAGCGGTTAGTATATACTTGGTGGTAGTGAGTAAGCTACTTGCAGCTGAAATCTTTCACTGCGCAATAATCCGTGACTGTTCTTCGACATGGAGAACGAAATTTTTTACCGAAGCGCTGCGTGTTTTAGCGTGAGAATTACGCCTGTTTTGTTTGTAAACAAAAGACTTGTAGAAAGTCATAAAAGAACAATTAACTAAACGTATATGAAATAATGATTTTTCATCGTCGCTTAATGAAACAGGAAAAATAACCTATATCCTAATTAAAGCTGTTAACCACGGGTTTCTTACTGAAAAACATTTGCTAGAAAGCGTTTATTATATACAAAATTTTCAGGTTTCCGAATCTTACAAACTCTCATAATGAGTTCTATCTATACACACATCTCTCTTCCTATATCTAAAATATTAACGATTGTTTGCTAATTCGTTACCCTTTCAGACACGCCCTCTTTGTTTACATTCACTCTAATACTTGGTCACCACCGACCACCCTAAACTGAATTGCCCTTCAAAATGGAGGGAAATACTGCAAAAGTAAAGCTATATTGGAATGATAATGAGTCAATTGTTGCTGATGTTCTTTTAAAAGTAAGCAAAATTGAAAGAATCACGCTTATATATAATGTCTTCTAGGTGAATACTGGAGATGACAAGTCTCCCATTCCTATCTTGAATTTAAACAATAAGATCTGGAGTCTATTAAACTGTCTAGAAGTCCAAGATGATTCTAATGAGTTACCTTCAAAGCATGCAAATAGTGTTTCAAACCTACAGGTATCTGCTAGAACCTCATTAACACCTTCAAAGCAAAGAATCCCATTGAAAACCTTGACGGACGAGGAAAAGAATACAAACTCGAACATACATGCTCCTGTTGTAACGACACCTTCGGAAGCACTGCGAGAGCAACCCACTATTGGAGACGAGAATGCGTTCAGCTCTCCGACCAAGAGTTATCATTTAGGTAATAAACAAGGGTATGAATCTGCAAACGAGAGCTTTGAGACATTCGATCTTCAGGGTTGGTTTACGGTTGAAAATGATCTTGATCAGACATCCCCCACTCAGCAAGAACGTGAAAGCATTTCCGAAGCTTCTTCTGACTATGATGAAATATTTGACGACTTGTGCTTAAAATCGGAAAATGTAGAGTCTTGTATTCGTCCTTCGAGGAGAAATTCATATTCATTGTTGCTTGATAATGGGTCTTTTACCACCCTGTCCATGTCTTCAAACGATATAATCTCCACATCCTCGTTAAATGAGGATAATATAGTTAGTCCTCGTGCATTAATGTTCGATTTGACAAAAGATATACAAAGCAGTTCTTCCAGCAATCACTCAGAATTTCTTCTGGAAGATAAAGACCAAGTAAGCGTGTCTAACGAAGAAGAGGCTCCTAGTGAAAATCCCATTCTTCCGTATTTATCGCAAAGCTTCGCGCTAGAAAATGACTGTTTATATTACATTCCCCAACTTTTACATCCTTGCTCAGAAATTAATTTAGAATCCTTTGAGAAGTCAAGGTCAACCAAGAAAATATGGTTAATGCTGAAAGCAAAAACTTATTTTGACGAAATGGAACATGATTATAGTATACCTCTGAATTTTTTGATTCCAACGTTCCGAGTTGAATTTAACTTAAAAATTAGTTCCTCATTTTACAAAGATTGGAATGCGCACGTTTCGTCTGGACATTTTGATACACAGCTCGAGCAGGCTTCAAACGTCTCGAAAGAATCATCATTTTATTCATCTGCTCCGCTATCTGCTTCTTCATTGTTGAAAGTCGTTTGGTACACCAAAGAATCCCTCAAAAGTGTCAAAGTTTCTGAAACGACCGTCTCTGTGTTTTCTTTTGAAGAAGACGATTCATCCTCTAAACAATTGTATTACGACGTTCAATGCTTATGTGCCTCTAACATTACAGAAAACAGTATATTCATTTTAATTGCTCCCGAATCTTTTGTTATTAAGAATGTTTTCAGTGATAGTTTTCAGATTGAATTTGAACAACAAAGGAATGGTGACGAAATACGTTTAATTTTCACAAAAGTTCATGACCAGGATAATAAGGATCCAATCAAAACACTAAATGCGCTTCAAATTCGAATGATGAATACTGATACGAATTATCGTATACGTCCAATTCCGATCGTGAAGCACATGAAACATCCTATGAGGGTTTCATTTGAAAATTTGATTTCAGACTACCAGGTTTGCCTGTATGACATTTATGGGAATCTTCAAACATTGGCGTTGGGGTGCTGCGAATTCATTTATAATAAAGAAATGAAGTATGGATTTACTTTGACTCAACGCAAACAGTCTTCAGAGGTAGCCATGCAAAATCCGTTTATCCCGACTAGCATAAAAAGAAGTTGTACGTTCCCTGTCTTCAGAGTGTTTAATGGTGTCGATGATTATTTACAACTTGTATTTTCTTGTACTCTAGTCTCAGATCCTGAAGAGAAAGCTGACATTTTAAAACTCAAACTACCGGATCAATCTCGATTAACGTGGGTAATTGAAGGAAATAAAAACTATTTGACGAATATTCATTATTCAGATGGGATATATGGCATCACCAATTACAAGATGAAACAATGCCTGTCTATTCAAATAGGAATACTGGTTCCTTTGCAAAAGACGACAGAAGGAACAGTATTCAGGTTGCCCGTTGTCCTAGATTATACACTTAACCATGTGGTGGTAGACATGGACGGGGTGGAATTTATGATCTCAGCTATGGAAGTGAACAAGCGTATACAATTAAAGCCATTGAAACGATTGGAATTTAGGATTTTGAGGAATGCTTCTGTTTTATTTACACTGGAAGAAGAGAAAGTAAAATGTAAAAGAACTGCGCTTTTATCGCATGCAGAGGCAGACAACGATTTAAAACCTGAGCCATCAAATTTGTTAAAAGAAACGCTTACTGTGTGTTTTATAGTGGGGTATTTATTAATGTTTTACCAAGTATTTATTAAACAAATTTAAACTAAACAAAGCAAGTTTAAGACAAACTAGATAAGAGATGAATGATATAACAAGTTTGTTAGTTTCTATTCAGGATATAGGAAGAATGAAAATTGGATTTAGTAAATCATGATTCACTACAAGTAGGTAAAACTATTGAAAAAAAAAACTCGTAAGAAAGCAATACTACAAATAGCGCATGCCCAACATAAACATAAATGCATAAACAAAACGAAAGGCATAGCCGAGAGATATAAAAACTTAGTTATAGGGGCTGTATTTGGCCTTCTTGATAGCATCAGAGATGTCTAAACTTTTGATTCTACCTGTGCCGACATCGTAGACCCACCCGTGAACCTGCAAGCCACGAGACTCCATAGCTTGACGGACAAAGCCAACACGGGTTACAGAAACAGCTTGAGCACGGGTATTTAGTTCAGCGAGACGAAGGCGACGCTCATCGGGGTCCTTTATAGAGTCCAGCTCTTCGCGGTTGTCTTCAATTACATCGCGAATGTGACGGAGCCAATGATCCATAAGGTTGTTGGTACTCGGGCCCATAGCAGCTGCAACACCTCCGCAACCATAATGGCCGCACACGATAATGTGCTTAACTTTGAGAGCAGTGACGGAGTATTCCATAGCAGCCAACGCATTGATATCTGAGCGAGGAACCACATTGGCAATATTACGATGGACAAAAACCTCACCGGGCAACAGATCCAAGACAGTGGATTCGGGAACACGAGAATCAGAACATCCAATCCACATGACTTGAGGACTTTGGATATCTTTGGTGACAGAGAAGAAGGATGGGTAGTTGCGAGTTGTTTTTTTTGACCAATTCAGATTGCGTTGAAGCAAGTTTTTCAGTTCGGGAGATTGAATCACTTTGCCTTCTGAAGGAAGAACATTCGCAGCAGGAACTTCGTCAGTAGTTTCAGTTTCTTCTTGGTTATCAATTTCTTGAATGCGACGTTTCAGCTTATCCATTTTTTTGTTTTGTTCCATTTCCTTTGTTGTACCGGGAATTAAGTGGTAGGAAGTGGAAGAAAACTTGCGGTTATATAGTTTGGAGTTGTTGGTTCCACCGCAGGTCCGCTGTAAAGGTCGACTAAGGAGCGAGCGTGATAATTGGATCTCCGATGACTGTCGCGTCCAAGAACGAGATATTGTGGGATCTAAAGCACCTGGTTGGGACACGTACGTATTCGTCAAGAAACGTCTATACCCATCGAATTTCGGTGACACAAGCAGCGACCTGGAAGGAAAAACAACTTTTTGAAGAGCAAATCCCAGACCTTTAGAAAACTGCATTTCTGGATTTTTGATATAACCAGAGGCAATGTAAAACGTTACAAATTGATGCTTGATGAAAGAAACAAACAGAAAGAGTAGCACTAGTAAAGTGATAGCATTCGAGTTTCAATCAAAACGAGGTGGAGACAAGAAATTTTTATTTTTATTTTTATCGCCTTGATAGCTTTGATAAGATCTCTACGTAAGTCAGTGATGAACGAAATTCATCTTACATTTCAGTTGGGAATCTAAACTTCCTTAATCAAGGACGAGAAGCCCGACTTAATGTTTTCATTTGCTACATCAAAATCTTTTCTACCAATACTTTGACAGTGTTCGACATGCATTCCCAAAGAACTTGCTCTGGCGATTGGTCCTTGATTACTTCATGACGAGCCAGCTACTCATTTGTTTGTAAATAAACTGCTGTTTTGCGACTCAATTTCTGTCCCATATGTCAGTAAACGAAGCTTAGTATAAGCTTAAGATAACGTTAAAGTGTTTTGGAAAGTTTAAAGAAACTAAGCGAAGGAACAGTTCATTCCAACGGGGTTTGGGTGTTCTTTCATTGACAAAAAGCTTATACATAATACCCTGCTTGTTTCTTTTCATTTTTCTGTTATTACTCGGTGCCAGTTGAAGTTCGATTTTAAATGAACCAAAGAAAACGACTGTCAAGGAAGAGAAAGCTTACAAACAACCAAGTTGGACACTCACTGTATGGAATTGCAGGTTCATCTCACGTTCTTTTTCAAAAGTCAAAGGAAACCTGTTGAAAGCAGACACCACCTCTATCTGTTTGCCTTTTGTTTACTGTTTAGTAAACACATTGCGACTCGTTAAAATATACCATACTTCTTGTACCCTACCCTGAAAAAGCCAGTCACAATTTGTGTCAACACAGATGTGAAACTATTCAGTCGATTTCTGCCATCAACACGCATTTACACTCCTCATCAAAATGAAGTACCTTGCAGCTTATTTACTTTTGACCGTCGGCGGTAAGGCCTCCCCTTCTACCTCTGACATCGAAACTGTCCTCTCTACTGTTGGTATCGAGAGTGAATCCGCTCGTGTCGAGTCTTTGTTGAACGAACTTCAAGGCAAGAACCTCGAGGAACTCATTGCCGCTGGTAACGAGAAGCTCGCTACCGTTCCCTCTGGAGGCGCTGCTGCTGCTCCTGCTGCCGCTGGTGGTGCTGCCACTCCTGCTGCTGAAGAGGCCAAGAAGGAAGAAGCCAAGGAAGAGGAGGAGTCTGATGAAGATGTAAGTTGTGCAGCGTGCTTTCCCGTTTATTGTCTGCTTTATCAAACGGTGAACCGTTTCATCAAGATACCATTTACTAACTCGTATTTAGATGGGTTTCGGTCTTTTCGACTAAACTTAGTTTTCCCCTTTCAATTCCTCAACGTATCTTCATATAAAAAATCTATTGCCGTGTTGGTTCTTATTACATGCTGTTTCTCTGTAGCTGTCCTTGCTGTAGTAGATTTTGTAACATACACGTACCGAACAGAATATGTTGGTATTCCACTTGTAATCGTAATAAATATATTTTATCCTCCACTCCATATTCTTTTTATTTCCAGTCTTTTATTTTTATTTTTTTGTTTTGTCTATTTTATCCTCGAGCATTCCCTAGTATCGCATCAAATAGTCCTTACATGCCTCTTCAAGTTTGGTTTCAAATGTTCGGAAATATTTATGATCAACAAATGATGACTGATAGTCCTTGCAGACCTCAAAAAATTCCTTTACGTCTTCTACGACAGAAATCGCAAAACAAGTATCTGGATGGCTGTGCTTTACTGTCTCCAATAAATAACCTGCCCGCTGTAGCAACCAAACCACCAAGTCATCTAACGAAATAGAGTAATAGCTTAAGAAGCAATGTTGCTCTCCACGTAAAGCAGAAAAATTGACCTTTTCTTGCTGATCCAGTCGTGCATCACCCGAGTGTGTACGTCCTCCTCCGAGTTCAATTTCAAGGGGTCTGTCATTGGGAAATATACTTTGCTTCACTTCCATTATCAATTGCTTACCTAAAAGCAGCAGTTGATATTCGTCCACCACGTGTATGGCATCCCTATATGGGTCATTCACGCTCTTGAGAAGCAAAGCAGCAAATGCTCCATCATAGTTCATTTCATTCAAAAATCCCAGCTTAATACGATGAAGTAAAATTCCCCATGGATATAGACACTTTTCGCAAGAGGATGACCAAAGTTCTTTTGCTAGCTTTAAATTCTTGGATAAGGATTCCCGATTGTTTTTAAGCTGAGACTGATAGTGCGAACCATCTTTCTCCCCACTGAGTGATTCTTTCGCACACTTCTCACATTCACAATCAAAAAAATACTTTTTTTTCAGTTGCTTTTGTCGAATCGATTGGGGGAGTCGAACATCAGTATACGAAATAAAGAGTTGTTCATTTTTTTGAATCTGTCGGGTTGCTACGAGTATTGCACGAGAACCTTCGAAAATAATGTGACAATTTGGTTCGCATGAATGATTTATGCGCGAAAGAACAGTATCTAGACAGACACCCAGTCGATCAAAAGAACATGTAACAAGATTCATAGAATTGATAGATAGCTTACAGAACAAAGAACGAAAAAAATCTGTCTGATAACTCTTGGTATAATGGGAAGCTGCGGATGCAATTAATTCTGCATCAGTCCATGAAGCCGCTACCTTGGGGAAATCTGTTCGGTGCGATTCTAGTTGCTCAATCCTCTTTGGATTTTTCAGCGAAATTGAATACAAACGAATAAGTAAACGACAAATGGAAGGTAAAATCCCATTGTGTTTTGAAGCTTGCAGAGCTTTGCATTCTAGTTTATGTAGGGGCCAGTCAGCTTTTTGACATGTCTAAGAGATTAGCATATCATCTCTCAGGAAGTATAGATTTAAACTTACCTTTGAACAATAATGAATTGTTTTACAAGCTGTACATCTCAGCGTTTTTTGTCCTTCACTTGTACAACCAGAGCAATGAGTGGTCAGAATTCCAACTTCAAGAGTAAAAGCATCGACGGTTTTCGACAAAGCGATCGTTCCTGTTTGTAAGTTACTTATACTTTCTTATTACAAGTTTTCTTTACCTGGTTGAATCCGCTCCATAGCCACCATACCACGACCATAGTAAGGTAGGTCAATAGGTGCAATAAAACTACTCATAGTCCTTCACAAATCAAACAAGAGAGCCTTTTATACTATAACGAAAAGTTAGACATCGAATAGATTGGGCCGTTTTGGATGCGAAGTAATATTTTCTACAATTTGGAAATTTAGATCTTGTACTATGTACTCGTAAAGAGAAAGAGACAGTACAACTTAACTAATCACCTTCCATGTTACACATTGTATTTAATCATTAGTATTATTGAAAGATTATAAGATAATATATAATCATCCATTCGGTTGGTCATTCCCTTTTTGTAAGTTTAGCTTTTCATATAAAGAATGGGTAGTAGTAAAGACAAGGCAGTAATGCTTAGCGAGTAAATCCCACTCTTCTAATTCATCTAACATTTCAATTTTTGCAATTCTCTTTTTTTCTGTTTCTGGAATCCATTCCCTTTCAAGAGCGGCAAAATCCAAAACTGTAGTATGCTGGAAGCCATTGTCTGTAAAACGTTTTTCTTGATCCTCAACTGTGTTGTAGCTATCCAAGGTTTTCAAGTAAATCCCCCTTGACTTAGTGAAGTTAGTATTAGAAAAAAAAAATAACCATACAGCCAAATTGCTTTTCATCATCTTTCCAAAGCTATCCATTCCTTGGATAGGTTCATAGACCAGTATGCCAACGCATGAGAAACGTTCTCGAAACCATTGACAGATAGAGTTGGCTTCCTTAGGCTCCAAATAACATAAACAGCATTCAGACAGTACGATAGTTGGTAAACCCTGATTTGCTCTTTCTGGTAAACCTGTTTCAGGAATACGACGAATATCAAAGGGGAGTATATCTAAAGATTCTGAAAGTAGTATCCCCTTTTTTGCATCTATTTTATTAGCAAAAACCTTTTTTTCTTGTCGTCTCAACCGTTGTTGATTAGTCGTCCTTACCTATTGTATATACGCCCAACATCGCTTGCAGAGCTTCTTGTTTTGCAATTGACTGGATCTTTCTAACGCAATTTGGATATAAATCAAGCTCAATAAATTTAATGCTCTCTTTTGGAAGCTTTGTCTAACAAGGTCATTCTGTTAATATACAAACAATGAAATCTGAGAACTTACCAAGAAGCGAAAGGCTCTCGTATCTGTCCCTGCTCCCAAAGATATTATCTGTTTTTTCCCTTCTAGTTTACTCAAAAAGTTTTCTAGTACATGATCAATGGACCATGTTCGAACGTAAGTTCCACGATTTATTATTGGAGGCTTATGGATCGATCGCCTAGGGAGAAAATATTGAATGTATGGGTCATCAATGTATCCCATTTTCGTTGCACTCATCCTGCATCTTAGTGCATCCAAATCCGTTTCTAGTACTTCCATCTAGGAATGTTTTTGAAATTGCCAAATTCAAAGTCTACCTAGCTTTAAATTCAAAATATTCTGTCTTATGTTAGAATTTTCACACGTAAAGAGTTTTTACTTGTAGATATGGCCAAAACAGATGGTTTTGAAATACAACAATTAGCTTCGTTTAGGTTGTTTGTTATACCTCCTAATAGTTTTGAACTCTCATATATCGAGGTTTATAATATTTATTCTATAAAACTTCAATACTTGTACGTTTTATTTTTATCGTTAATTTTCTATATAGGAAGTTTCTCAAACACTTAAATGAACATGCTCGAGATATACCTATTGCCTTATATTCTTTACTCCCAGTATCCTACGAAGCTTTATTCTTGCAGATTTGTTTTACTTATATATACAACACGAATAAAAGCAAGGATGTAAGCAAGACGGTACACATAAATCAACCAAACTTCTATTTGGATCCTTATATAAAACAACTAAACCCCTCACACGAAAGTCCTTATGTATAACAAAACACGAAAATTATTTTCATTTTTTAAGCCTGACCTTTTTTTATTGCCTGAATAAATTTTTGAAAAAACTGCTTGAATGTCCTAGAATCTGAGTTTACCAATACTTGGAGGTATTCTGATGCCAACATTTCAGGGAAATTTACAGAAGGGAAATATACTCCAGTTAAGTATGACCTGTAGGCTTCGCCACACATTTCGAGGATGGTTCTTTGTAGATTTGCGAGTTCACCAAGCACTATGTGGGATTGTCCATCATTCGCATTGAAGACTGGATTTACTGGCATCTCAAAACACAAGGGTGTAAGAGAACCAAAAATAACTCTCTCAAACCCTTCAATACCATCAGGGCCACCCCATAAGGATACCATTTTCGACAAAAGAGCGATTGAACTTTTTTGGGTAGAAGGTTCACCATATAAATTAGCAAAGTGGATAATGCTATTTATAAGGGGATCAAAGTAGCTTTGAACTTGTTCAGAGAAAAACGCTGATCCAAAACCTTTATTTAATAAGTGTAGTATAAACGAAATATAAGCTTTCCGCAAATCGCTTTGCTTGATAGCATCATCCGTTCCCTGAGGTGTTTCTGAAAGAGAAGCAAACACCGTATTAAGTAAAGATGGAAGAAGGCTTGAAATCACTCCCATCATGTTTTCTTTATATATGTAGATGAGTTGGCTAATGAAGGACAAAACATCCACCAATTCGTTTAAGCTGATTGAGCTTAATAACAAAGATACCAACTGAGGAACCTTTGGCAACATGTCTGGACCGACCACATTAATAATTCTTCCTGATGCAAACCGTACGGCACTACGAATGTCTTCACTGAAGCCCATACTATTTAAGATAGAGAAAATCGCGTCAGAAGCTTTGTTAAAAGTAGAAAGCCAAGCAATTTCCTGAGAATCACGTGCAGGAAAGCCTTTAGCAAAATTTCCAATTGCCATCAGAGAGCAATAAATAGAAATAATGCTTTCTAAAGAGGAAGCATTACCAGAAAGTGCTGCATTAGCTTTGTAAAGCAATGCATCTATTAAAGAATCACAGAAGAGAACTTGCTCTTCTCTAGGCAATGTGCCAGATGAAATAAGGATACCAGCGGTTTCAAAAAGATACAGCTGAGAGTTAAATGAGCTATTTCTAATAGAAGAATTCAAAGTCGGTTCAGGAGAGTCAATATCCGTAGAAGGTTGAACGTCTATATTAAGGAGATCACCAAGCAAGGCGAGAGAACTTTCTGCATAAGTAGCAACGTACTTAGTAACACTACGAACGAAGCGATAAAATAAATACCAAGCACGGACACGTACCCGTTCGTTTGAATTGTGAATGCCTGTAGGCCCAACAAAGTATTCCATAATTGGTCCAATGGCTGATGGCTGATACTCAAAAAATCCGGAGTATCGAACTATAATCTCCATGTACAAAAGTTGAACAAGAGGATGAGGATGCTGTCCTACTTGGGATTCAATCACCAAAAGCAATATTTGGGAAAGAGGAGACGGGCTTTTATCAGCATCATTCACATATGCAGTTGGACCCCGCAAACCTTCTCCAAATATGTAAGTTTCATGTAAGGCAAATTCAACAAGTTGCCAAGAGTTTTCTATGGGCATAGCTGCAGCAGAGGATATACTTGAGGTTATAACAGAATACATGAAATTTGCGTAAAGGGAATGGTCAATTAAGTTAATGGTATCCTGAAACGTCTTCAATTTTTTACGAAGCTCTTGAAACTCGGCTTCCTCTTCACTTTCAGGATCGTCATCCCATTCTTGAGACTCGTCATAAGTCATTTTCTTAGCAAGTGCTTGTAAAAGCGAATTTAAAAGGTGTTTGCTAGAGTCCGCAAGTGGTTTGGAAGATGATTCTTTTCTAAGAGAAGTAAGTAAATCGGATAAGAAGGGAAAAACAGCAGAAGAAGTTTCATCATAGTCATCGGACAAGTACCGAATAAGATAGGGGAAAAGATTGTATAATTGGTATGAGCAATTTTCCAGCGCCTCGGGAGTCATTTCTGTTGGATCGGATTTAATAGCGATGAGTTCAACGCCTTGGGCATTGACAAGCTTAGCAATGTGCTCGTCAAAAGTAGGGTCGCTTGATTGTTCCTGAAACTGCGTAAAGAAGTAATTTAAATTGAGGAGGACTAGGAGATTGTACTTATCAAGTGGTTTCATTTTTTTGTTAACGATTTCCGTTATCGTTTCGCAAGCTGCGCAACGAAGTTCAGGAATTTGAAGGAATGAGTAAAGCAAGTTCATACAAGGCTCATTTACTATCAAACTAATGTTTATCCAGGAAACCCACTGGCCAAACACTTGAAGGGAAAGAACAACCGGGGAATAATTCTTAGCATTACTATATGCAACCATCATCTCAAATACAAAAGACACAATCTCCGACATGTCTTTTTCGCGGATCGCATCTTTGACAGCTGTGCTTTGCTGAGCCTGAGTGGTGGACTTTGGGATAAGGGAATCTGCAACCTCTTCTCCAATAGACAAAAGCATTTTTAAATAAAATTCTGAGGGCTCTACTTGCGGTGATGAGGCAGCCATGCTCTGCAACGATTGGAAGAAATCATTCCACATTACTGGGTATAATTGAATAAATAACAATGTCAATAAATGTTGAATAGCATTTATAATATAAGCCGGATCATCCAAAAACCTTTGCTCCTTCACATAAGCCCACACATGTTCTTTGACCATCTCCAACTCCATTCCATTTACTTCTCTTTTCCATTCTCTAGCTTTTTCACACAAAATCTGAAGCGAAACTAATCTTGAAGCCTCTTTAAACGCTGTTTTGCCGACGAAAATCTCTTGGCACACTTTCCATCCTTCTGGGGACGTCCGCACCGTAGAAATAAAATCCGTAGCTTGCTGTTTAATCCCAACGTCTACGGAAGGGTCTAATGCTACTTCTACAGCCTTTTCCACATCCTGAGCCGACATGGCAATGAGAAAGACGCTTAATGTGTGTCTTGGGTTGGAAAAATGTACTTGGTAGTGATTTCGCTCTCACACCCCCAATTTGGGGAGATATACGGAGAAGCCCTAAATGCACTGTTTGAAGCGTTTCTGTTATAGAAGATTATATTGTCTTATAATTTAACTAAGCTAACTATTAAATTTAAAAGATAAACGTTGCGCAAGTTTCCATTTTGAAAAAACGAGAAAACACAAGTACATGCTACAAATCCATTTGTACCTACAAAGAATGCAAAATTTATTCTTGTTGCTTACAGTACAGACACAAAGATTAATAAAGAAGAAACTATCCAAAAAATAAATTAGTAATTAAGAGCCATAGTAGTCGTAATATTCTTTTTTAACCAAAAACCAGTCCTTCTTTCTTTTTCTTTTTTTTAGCTAACAAGCTCTCCTTTCTTTATGGGAGCACTTGTGCGTAGAGTACGTGGATAAAGATCACCAACAGATGTCTTTTATAGCTGGACAAACTGAAACTCGAAAAAAAGAATTCGTCTACAAAGAGCCAGCAGTAAGAGGTTTGCGGCGTTTATTTTGACGAGGAACGACTTGGCGTTGAAGCCAAGATCGTTTCTTTTGAGATAATCTTGTATCTGATCCAGGAGCTAAATCATCTTTGTTTGAGGAATCCAATACCGAGACTTTGAAATCGCCCTTCTTTACAACAAATTTGTTTTTACGCTTCTTAGGAGGAGCCTCCTCGGTTGGAAACAAAATTTTTTTGTTCGTTGGGACAGATACCAAACTTTCCCTATCATCATCGCCCCACTCTTCTCCTTCCTGTTGTCTTGCTTCTTCTTCCTTGGCAGCATCCTCTAGAATAGATAGATCCAGTTTTTTCGCTTCTTGTAAAGTTACGTTTCGTTCGCGATTCCTTTCGTTAGCAAGTCTACGTTTTTCCTTCTCATTTTGTCGTATTCTAGTCGAAATATGTTAGTCGGTGTATTCAAAAAAATTACTACAATCTTGTTTGCCAACGCTCTCTTGCTATGACGAGAGACATTAAAAACCATGTTCAATTTCATTACCTTCTCTCGTGTTCGTGGAGTTGTTTCAGCTTCTCCTTTGCTTCTACAGAGCTACTTTTGACAGAAACCTCTTCGGGCGCTTCATCAGAATCGGATTCAGAGTCCTCCTCATGAACAGTTGCTTCTTTGGCTTTTAGTGCTTTTTGGTCTTTGTTTTTCTGTTCATCTTGATTAAGGTGAGATAAAACAGATGCCCCTTTCGGCGACGCAAGTTTTGCCATGATGAAAATTTCTTAAAACGTGATCCACGACAGGTTCTTTCAGCTTAATAACAGATACAGCTTCTTTTCCTTTTAATAAAGTTATTCTACTGACTTTCTGTCAGTAGTAACTGCTTTTCACGGCAGAATGGTTCTTGACAAAAGAGATGGGTAGAGGGATCCTTTCCCTACAGAAGAAGTGAGCAAACCTGACAGTCATTTATTTTATTTACGAAACCATATGGGAAGCAGTAGCAGTAATGGCGAAAGAACTAACAAAATAAAAAGATTTTACAAATACCATTTGGTTCTTTATGAGTGATCAAGTGTGTGATTCATGAGAGCTCTTAACAGTATGTCTGATTCATTCATTCAACGTTCCAATCTTTTCCTTAACAAGTCACGTCAATCAACGAAGGCTGGATAAAATGAAAAAACTACAACTACCTTTTTCATTCTCTACTGCATTTGTTTTTCGTTTCTGATTTATTTGTTTACATCTTAATGCACTCCAACGAGTGAGAAGGAATGAATATGAACTTGTAAAAGCGATATTTGAAAGAAAGATAACTCTTTTTCTTTGGAATATTATCCTTCTATAAGCTATGAAAAGCCTTCTGCTTTCTCGAAACCTGGATTTCGTATTTTTTCTTTCGGTGAATATTCGGTGACCTTCGGTAATCTTGGGCAGTTGCCTCTGCAGAATTTTGTCAGATGAACGTACAGAGAACATTCTTCTAACGAACCTCTATTTCGTAGATTCATACAGCGACTTTTAGACTTTTTAACATTGGAAAACCTTCATCACCATGACCGCCGAAAACACTACTGTATTGGAACCCGTAGTAGGAAAAGATGAGATTGGTTGGATGTTTGTTCAAGAATACTATACCTATTTAAACAAGGAACCCCATCGTCTTCATGTATGTTATAGGTGAATGGTCAGAAAATGTCTTAAGCAGATGCTAACGTTTCTAGTGCTTTTACACCAAGAAGTCTACATTAGTTCATGGTGAGGAGGGAGAAGCCATCAGCCTTTGCCATGGACAACAGGTAAGTATAGAATGAACAGGGCTTGAAAATTTGATGGAAGCATCATCTTTACACAGAAGAAGAACCTTACGGGTCTCAATCACAATGTTCGGTATTTGCTAACTCATGACTGTAGGAGATTCACAACAAGATTTTGGATTTAGATTTTCAGAATTGCAAGGTCCTTATCTCCAATGTGGACAGCTTGGCCTCCTGCAATGGGGGTATTGTCATTCAAGTATTGGGTGAAATGTCCAACAAGGGAAAGCTCTCTAGAAAATTTGCCCAAACCTTCTTCCTGGCCGAACAACCTAATGGTTACTTCGTTTTAAATGATATTTTCCGTTTTTTGCGTGAAGATGTTGAAGATGAGGAGGTTGAGGAAACCGAAGCTCTCGAGGCCTCTCAGGTGAACGGCACCAACGTTCCTTCCTTTACACCCCAAGAAAATAAAGATGAATCCTTACCTTTCGAACTTTCTAAACCAGAATCTGAGAATCCACAAACTCAATCGGTCGTTCCCTCATCCGCGTCTCCTAAACCTGCTAATGTAGAAGTTCCTCCACCATCTAAACCCGAACCTTTACCATCAGCAATCTCTCCTCCTCCAACTCAAGCTGCTTTTGATTCTAGTAGTTCTATGGCGGAAGCTGCCCCGAAGCAATCTAGTCCTGTTGCGTCGTCCGCTACCGCCAAGACTCCTAGGACATGGGCAAACTTGATTGCTCGTAATACCCCCGAGTCCAAGTCTCAGGCTGCAGTAGTCAACGGTCCTTCTCCCCAGCAACAGCATCAAGCTCCGGCTGCCAAGCCCATGAATGTCACATCCAATCAACAACCCCAGAATACAAAACAATTAGAAACCTCCGTTTTCGTCAAAAACATCCCAGATGAAGTATCTGAAGACGGTTTGAAAAAAGCTCTTGGTACTTTTGGTCCTGTCAAGAGTGTCGAATATGCTCGTCGTAAGGGAACAGCTTACGTTGATTTTAACGACCATGCTTGTGTTGAGGCGGCTCTGAGCAAGGGTTCTGCTGAAATTGAAAATGTCGTTTTAAGCATTGAAGAGAGACGCCGTGTTGTTCCCAACAAACTAGGTAAACCCAACGATCGTCGGGGAGGTGATAACTACAATGCTGGACCTAGACGTCAATATCGCAACCGTCCTGGTAGAAGTAATGGTTACGATGGTCATTCAAGAGAAAACAATGTTACCAAAAAACAAAATATTTAATTTATAACAAAAATGTTGGAGTACCTTTGTACAATTAGTTTTGCTACTTCCTTATGTCTGTTGCTCTGCGCATGGATGAAACTGCAGTCAAGCTTAATAATTCTTTTATTTTTGCCTGATTCTTTTCACTTGAATGATCTTTACTTACAAATATCCTCTCCTCTATTGCATAGAATTCTCCCTTCTTGAGAGAAACTAAACCGGTTTTGATCTTACGCAAATTTTGTCAGGATACACCTAGCATCTTGTTTATTACATTCCTTTCTTCCTTATCCGTTACGATCTCATTCCTTAATTTTACCTTTGTGTATATCCTTGTTCTAGACTCGTATGTAAATGAAAAAGTTTATTGTTAAAAACTAATATTTTAAACCAACCTAGGGCTATTAGCTAAACAGGTGTTAGTAAAATTGTATATTTTAGCAGGAAAAAAGCAAACGAAAAACTACCCTCAGAATGTCAATCTCGTCCCGCACCAACCAACATGATAAGTTGAAGGGCTCCGTTGAAGAAATTCATAAAAACCATCATAGGGTAGATCAACTAAGAAAACAAAACATACCTTTAGATCAAAACTTCTTTTGTCTAGATTGGAAAATCATTATCTCGTTCTCCACATAATTCCATTATGTAAAATAGTTGCTCATCGTCAGCAAACGACAACCCAGATTCCAAGATCAGGACTTGAACAACATTGCGCAAGACTTCCCATCGAACCTTTTCCGTTCTCAATTCTTGCTGGGTACTTTCCATAAAATCACGATACACCCCGCTTTTGGAAGAATGCTGTAGAAGACTTGCAGCAACTTCTTGGGTTGCCGGCTCCAGCACCTGCAAAATGCCGCGTTCCTCTTGGATTTTCTTATGAAGGTCAAATATCTCTTCTTCTACGCTCAGGTTCTCTTCGCAAAAAAAGTTTTGTTTCTGTAATAGCGACTCCACGTATGCCTTTGAGTATTTAGCAGAAGAAGACGAGGACGACGATGAAAACTTCTCTTCTAAAATTCGCAAAGTAGTTAAACTTTCCAAAACATCAAATGAGGCCGTTTTGTTTTCATCTCCCTTTTCTTTTACAGCAGTCAGCGACAGTACTCGCAAAAACTCTGTAAACTCCTTCCATAGACAATACGTCCTATCCTCGCGTTGTTTCAAGACATTTTCTTCTTTGGCATCAGAAGCTTGGGAGTCAAGCTCCTCAATTGCAGGTGAGTTTCCTACTAGGAGGCCTACAAGTTGTTGGCATTGTTTCTGTAACTCCATTTGAATATGGATGCGACTCACATCACGCTAAGCACAGCAAATTCTAATCCTTTCAATTTAAGTGAAAGTTTTGGAATTGTGGAAGTACAACAGGTAGAATGTGGGTAATAAATAGTATGTAAACAGAAATATTCTGTGACTAGCACTTACAGGTGATTAGGGTAGGGTTTCGTCAGCAGGTGAATGTAACGTGCCGTTCACATGACAGGAATAGACTAGGAATAATCATCCAAGAGCCATTGTGCCTTTGTTTCGAGCTTTAGAGGTTTCGTAAAGGTACGGAATTGCAATTTATATAGTGAAGATGAAGATTCCAGAATCTAAGCCGATGCAAATGTCGGTGGAAACGGAAACGGTCATGAACGTTTCGCAGGTTCAAATATCCGGAAGTTGCTCAAAAAAACCTTCCTCCGAAGCTTTAAAGACAAAGAAAACTAACTCGAAGAAAAAAAAGATCTCTGTGCCAAATGGTATGTTGTGATGGAGCCGCATGTTTACTAGAGTACCTGCCAAGGTGAAGGCTCATGCTGCTGCTAGATTGATTGCGGGTTCTTTTTTATATATCTTCATACTAAATGCATCAGTCATTACTTCTAAATCGGCGATGTTTGCTGCGAGGGTCGCATCTGCCGTTGACCAAGATTCCAATGATGAGGAAAGCGAAAACTTTGTTTACGAAAGTGTAAATTCTCCATATGATGAGGATTCCCAACATTCTCCGTCGAACTCTATTCGATCCTTGCAGGCTTGCAATCTCCCATTAGAGATGTTGCCGCCAATTAATCATGTTTCTCATTATGGTGCTACTAGCTCAAATGGTGTTTCCCTTGGCGCCTCGAATTGGTCTCCAAAAATTGTTCCCAAAAGATCGGCAAAGTTTTCTTCCATTCCAGCTGCTACTGCTGCTACTGACATCAAGAATATGAGTCCCACTGCCGCAACCCGTGGACTCGCTTCTCAAATGCCAAATCACCTATCAAATACCAAAACTCATTTATTACAAAAGGATAACAATCAACCATGGCATACTCATCACAGTCGATTTCTAAGTGAGAACCTCTCGAAATCGGATTCATTCTCTACCTCCAATTCTAGATATTTCCTGTCCAAACGATTATTCATTCTGCTGCTTCTGGCTGGCATATTCCTATTTCTTTTATTATACATCTTCTATATGCCGGACTTAATTTAATAATGCTATATTAATGGACTTTGGCTTACTTACTTTTTTCCTTCCAATTAAAAGATAATGCTATTAATATCTAGTCTTAGAAGATCTATGACTAGACCTTTTTGTTGACTAAGAATTCTGCGTGTTTAATAGTTTCGACTTGTTCGACTGGAAGACATCCTGATCTCTCTTAAATGCTTTATGCCCCGTTTTCATGTTTTGCCTCCTAATTTTAATTATCCGTTCCGTTCCTACTTAATTTTAATATCCGTTTTATCTTTCTGCGTAGTTGATATGATTTTATCACGTTTTAATTTATTATGTTCTCCTTTGCATAACTCGTACCTTCCTTTCTTTATTTGTTTGGATTAGGAATACAATTTCTCGTTGTCTAATGGCCTTTTTCATCATATTTGAGAGTATATTTTGACTAAAGTTTTGAAAAATATTGAGCATTCATACATGATGCCAGTATATCATCATATCCCAAGTTCTAACGTATTGCAAATGCTTGGTTGTATCGAATGAAAGTTACCCTTATCTTTGTGAGTATAAAGTTTTGGAAACTTGATTTGCATATGTTTTATATGGAATGAAGGAATATTATATATTTCTGCAAGCTAACATAAAACGCTTAGCTTTATTATCGTCTGCCGTCCTCTTTCATCATAATGTTGGTAAAAGATGGATCTAATTACTGATAAACATATTCATTCATAGATGTAAATTAAAATATTTTATTATACACTACCCAAGTACTTTTATATGAGCCCTCAATTTCCGCCTTTCATAGTTTCCTCTCAATAACCCATTAACGCTAACATAACTCAAATACAAGAGATCTTGGGTTCTCTATAGTTCAAAGCCGTTCATGAAACGCAGTAACCTGCTTAGTGACCGGATGAAATTCCTGCCAATTATAATGCAGACCTAATATCAAGGGTCCTGGATTTAGTGCCAGACAACCTCCGTAGTGAATGTTAAAGGCTGGAATTTGAGAATCCACAATTGCCAACTAACTCGTTAGTATATATGGATACTACCCAGAAACTTACACAATTTGGCAAAGGAAACGTGCTTAAGGAGTAATCGAAATCCCACAGTACTGGCCTCGTTCTTGGGTGGAACGGAGACAAATGCGACTGATCTAGAATAGTCTTCACAAGCTTCAATCAGTTAGTAAATAGCATATTAAGCAAAATTACCTTTCTATTTTGATACAATTGTTGCTCTTCAAGAGGTAGCGAATCAGATTGGGCATTTTGAGAAGAAGCATTGGAACCCTTCAAGCCATGTCTTTGAAATCTTCCGGTAATGTCTTCACGATATATTACTATTTCTTGAGAAAAAAAAGATATTCTACAAGGATTAGAAGTAAATATAGCATGTTTGCATATTCTTTGGATACGATTGACAAAATGAAGAGGGATTGCACGTTTTGGCATCAACGAAAGGCCGTAAGTTGTCCAAGGGTCATTGGGGCCAGGGACAAATATAACTCTGCAATCCTTCGAAATCCTTGGGAATTTAGCGAAAGTGAGAGCTAGTTTGTTGAATCCCTCTTTATAATCCAAGGAACTACCAGAGTTATGAAAAGCTGTGGATGTAAAACTTCCGCATAAAATGACACAGGCAGGTAGTAACTCGGCATATTCGTATTTTTGAAATATCTTTTCTAAAGCCTGTAAACATCGGGTATCATCGAGATGAACTTCGCTTAAAAAAACAAAAGGCGATTTATAAGCTTGCTCAGCATGACGGAGTAAATTGAGTTGATTAGCATCTAAGTTTGATCCAAAAGAATCTACCTGAGAGAGAGCTTTTAAAGAAGCTTCTCTTCTTTCTATAGGTGGATGACCCACTTCAGAAACCAAGAAAACGCCAGAATCCAAAAACTGCCCATTAACCAATACGAAGCAACCGGCGCAAAAATGACCAAATCCAAAGGTGGCTATGGATATATCGAGCTGTACTTGACTGTCTAAATCCTCTAACCAAAGTTTACCATCAGGAGCTACCGATAAAATCCCAAAAAGCAAAAACTCTCCGCCAGATCTTCCTAAAAGATTTCTAATAGGGGTAATTTGATGCGAGTTTGTTTGGGAAAACGATCCGCTAAAAGAAGGATTTTGGAAATTTTCGTTTCTGAGGATTCGGTTAAACACGACGTGAAACCTACGATGAAGCATTTCCACAGAGGAAGAAGCTGGAGCCAGCAAACTTGGACTACTTTTTGATGAAATGAAAGTTTTTCGATTAGAGTCATAAATCCTCTTTGGAAGCTGAAACGAGTCGATGACTCGGAAATAATCGTTTTCGTGAAGAGCATCTCTCACTTGAGTGCTGCTGGAACGTAAAAGTGAATTAGTCGAGTCTAGCGTTGGCGCCCGAGAAAATGAAGCTGTTCGTGCTTCATGTGGAACGGCTAGATTTGCTAGTAAGGATGATAAAAGGGGTTTTGTCACAATTGGCTCCGAATCTTGCAATCGTGTTAGAGAGAATGATGAGGTAATATAGTAACATACCATGCAGCCGCTTCCAAGTTTTGGCAATTTCATCTAAAAGTGGTTCACATTGGCTTCGCCATTGCGAGCCACATTTCTTGGATACATAAGCAGCTAGTTCCTGTAAAGAGTCTCGGTTGATATTTAAATCATATTTTCTAGTAAAAACATGAAACGCGACGGGTCGTAGTGCAGTAGGACTTACCAAGCTTGATGCATACAGATTTTCTTTATTTTCTCGATTAGCTGTGTCCATGAACGCGAAACAATTTTTCTCAAAAACCTGTTCAGGTTTATATATTTTTCAATCTAAGTTTCAATAAATTTATCGATCAGTAAAGAGTGTTCTGAATTCATGCAAACGAATATCAGCCTACTGAAAAAAAACCAACTTCAGGATTTGCAATTCACGTTCAAGAGATGTAAACGAAAAAGAAAATAAAAGTAAAAATCAGGTTTCCAAACTGCTTTTCATAAGTCGGCTGTTGTAAATAAAAGGCCTTTTTCGAAGTTTATGTTTTGGGATATTTACAAATTGTATCGTATAATGCAAATTGAAATAAGGAGTCTAAGAGTTTGAATGCTAAATTCCTACTCTTCTTTACTTTAGATCTTACTTTTGAGGTTCATTTTACGCAAAGGAAGTAGAGTTGTTATCACATAGAGTTGGTAATTCTTGAGCAATAGAAAAAAATAAAGGACTAGAGACACACACATTCAAACTCAATTCTTATATAAGCTTTTTATTATGATTAATGATTAAAAGAATGACTAGACTCAAAGAGACATTGATTCCAAGAAGTTAGTAGAAGGGTGATATCCAAAAATTTTGATGCATCATTCAATAATGAGAATTTCCATCGGAAAACTTGTCACGCATGGCAACGAAAAGCAGTTGCTTCTTCAAGATTCATATAACGTTTCGTCACAATTTACGGTCCGTTCCCTAAGAGTCGGCGATAGCAGTGACATTAAGTTATGTTAGGTGAAGAGTTATTTTGAACTGCGGAAGTTGTAGGTGTAGGAGAATGAGAGGACCGACTCGGCGGCTTGTAGTTCGGGCGAGACTGAGGACCATATGGAAGATTGCTCATTTCATTATTTTTCATCATTGGCATCTGGGGAAACCCTGGCATCATAAAAGGAGGAAATGGAGCTGGAAACCCTTGTAAGTGAGGTAATGGTGGCATCCCAGGAGGCATGGGCATGCCTGAAGGCACCGGCATTCCAGGACGAAATGCGGGTTGAGCAGATGGCTTTGCATAGTTTGCTGATGACTTTGCACTATACTTTGATGGATTGCTGACCTCATCATCTTCACGTTTTCTTTTCTCATTTAACGAAGAAGAGGAAGAATCAAGACTTGGAATGGATTCTTGGCTTTCTTTATTATGCGTAGCTAGAACAGATCTTACAACGGATTCAATCTTTCGTTGAACTTGGTAATCAGCTTTTAGGGAATCTAGCAGTACGTCCTTTTGATGACAATGAGGACATTCAAAGTCGGTGTCTAAAAGAGCGGTTTGTATACAGTCCTCGCAGAATAGTTGATCGCAGCAAGGAGTTCGAAAGGCATTTTTGGCCAGCTTCTTGCAAATGGTGCAAGCCAACGACGAGTCAGGGGGCTGCATTTTGTAAACATCGTTTGCAGTCAAGGCTACTTTCCGAGCTTGATAGGACTCCCAAGACGCTTGATCAGGTTGTGCAACCACATATTCTCCTTCCGCATTAATCATGATATTTGCAGTATCTCCCTCAGCAGGAGCATCAATGCTCTTAAGAAACGAACGTGGAATACCAGTTGTTCTCTTTACTCTCGGTTTTCCGTCGTAATTTGGATCAGCGTTTGTGGGACATGCCTGAATCCAGTGACCTTTCAGACCACATCTGTAACAAATATAACCAGGTGGAGGAGGCTTGTCAGGAATAGATGCAGCAATACGTCTTTGGTTAGGCTTGTAGATCGGAGTGGCGGATGCCATTTTATCCTGTGTCTCGCGCCATTGATCACTGGAAACTTGAAACATTTGTTGAATAGCAGCTTCCTCCGACGTACCTGGTGCTAATTTTGTAGCAGATGGATCACCAGATGTAGCGGTATTTGTTTGAGGTTTTTTTTGTAGCATAGGGACCGGTTTCTTCGCTAACTCAGGCCTCGTATTTCCGGTAGTACGTGGTGCACCGCTTACATACCGGGCGGCTGTACCTTTGCCAGATTTTTGAGCGGGAACGCGTCGCACAATTACAGAAGTTGACCGGGGAATAATATATGTATCGTCATCGTATTCTTCATTGGTATTGGCATTATATAGCAGAAGATCGAAATCAAGACCGCTGCCCAATTTTTTCTGCTGGATAATCTCTCGTTTAACATCAAAAACCGACATTCCCACAGTACCATCAAAGCTCACCCGTGAGGGATCCTTCTGAGATTTAAATTTATAATATATGACACCAGACATAATGAATGGTACTTCAATAAAATTTACGTTGGAAGATTAGCAAACACTGACTTCCAAATTTACCAATGAAATTTGAAACCGTAATCGAATAAAAGCTGTCCTTTCGAGCAGTACTATTATCAATAATTTTTTTTTAGCAGATCGTTAATCAACTTTAAGGGATATATATAATACTAGGCTTTTCCAAGTTAGCAAGATTGACTTTTTTGTTGACTTCAAACACCTCCGCGTCTTGCTTACCGCTTGAATGACAAGCTTCTTTATGGCTTAAAATTTATTTTCTCTTGACTTACACAGCAAAAAACGTAGATTAGAGGGTAACAATGATGAATCAAAAATTTACCCACCTAGGCTGTATTTGCAGGAAAAATATTTATCCAGTTTGGATAAAGTCACACAAGCTCCGGTATCCTTTCACCTTTGGTAAAATAAAACAGACTCAAATATAGAAAACGCGAGATTTCCAAAAAAAACCGGCTGTATGTATTAAAGCTGCTTAAACTTGATAAAGACGATGATACGTTAAAAGTCTAATTATTGACACCACTTTCAGAAAATATAATAGCTAACCTATTCTATTATTCTTTATCTTCCAAGAAAAGAATTTATTCAGTTTTCGAGACAAGTACAATGATTTTGTAAACGTTTTTTAATTGTGTTTTCTAACAAACTTTTTTATTCTTTACGTCACCAAACAAAGATTTCGACTTTATGTCTTTCAGCTTTTGTGAATTATTTAAATCAAATATTTACTAAATATACACTGAACCGGCAAAAAGGACTTGCTATTTCCAATAATTCAACTTCTTGCACTGTAGACGAAATAGGTTGGTAGTTGGTAAAGGTTAACTTTTAAATTCTCCTTCATGCCTATTCATACCAGTACTTACGAAATACCCCCGAGCTCCTTATTTGATATTAAAGAAGTAACTTTTACCGATTAAAGTATCGCAATCCTTATTCTTATATCCATAAATATGAAATTTGTATTGCTTTAAGGGGAATAGTGAGATCCAATTCTTTCTTGTTTAGCTACTGGTTACTCTAAGAGTTGTTCTGCTTCTTCAAATTTTACGGTATATACAATCCTTCATTATAGTATAAAATAGCTCCACTATTACTGTTCGCCGTACGCTGTTCATGATTCATATAATCAAACTTTCAAATTAAAGACAAATAATTATTCAATTCACCAGCCACATAAACCTAAATTAATCTAATGAATGTACATATATAACCACAAAAACCCTATTCGCCTTCCAAAAAATAGCATTCTCATAACGCTTCTCAGTTTTTACCATCTAGAGTGTGCAAGAGGTTGGCTATTACTGCCAGTAAAGGAGCGGCCACGTCCACCGTAACCACCACCTCCACCACGGCGGGGACCTCCTCTGCCATAACCGCCGCCTCTACGATAGCCATTATTGAAACGGCCGCCACCAGAGTAACGAACCATCTCTTCTAACTTGGGATCAATATTTTGCTTGGCCTCACGCAAAATACCAATTAATTCTCTAGCTTGTTTGGAACTTTCGGGGGTAAAGTATGTAAAAGCAGTACCCTTAGCTCCGGCACGGCCAGTACGTCCAATACGATGAACATAGTCCTCAGTGTTTCCGGGGAAGTCATAATTGATAACATGAGTAATTCCTTTCACATCTATATTCTGTTAGTATAAACCCTATTGGGCAGATTCTTTCACTCCATGCTAGCATTTAACGGGTACAAGTTTCATGAGATATTACTCATTATACCCAGACCATATCATGCCGTTTAAATTTCAAGAAGAATTGATCCGTATCAAATTTGCTTAAGCATCATAACACAGCATCAACGCACCAGTTCTTCTATCACTGCTACCTAATCTGCAAGTTTAATCAAAAGACGTTCATAGCAATTTTACCATATTTCTGGTAGAATTAAGTTGCCAACTGTTCAAAGTTCAAGAAGAGAATAGGTTTTAATCATCCAGTGCGGTTTTCAAAGCAAGTAGTCAAGAACAATCTGGGTTTCAAAACTCGGCACTGTAAAATTGCTGGTTTCAAGCTTCCAGATAATTTTAAGCCCCCATAGTGATAACCCAACACTAATGAAACCAACCATATATACCACCGAGCTTTTACAATAAAGCCCACACTATTTATGATTTTGATGACCATAATCTCCTCTCAATCTCCCCTCCCTTTAAAAAAGCGAGAGACTAGCGTTTTCTTTGAGTTGAACAAACAATGGCTTAGAACAATCTATCCTTCGTCGAAGGAATAGTACTCCAGCCTTCAAATTTATCCATAAACTCAAATACAACGCCACTGTCCACAACACTGAAAGCATCTTCTGATTAAACCTTTCGAAAGTAATTCTGCGGTAGCGAGGCATGAGTCCCTTAAATAACGCCTACAAAAGTAAAAGTGTCCGAAAAATACTTACCTATACCTCTGGAAGCAACATCGGTTGCAACCATAACAGGAGACTTTCCTGTACGGAACTCTCCCAATACCCAATCACGCTCATCTTGAGCTTTGTCACCATGAATGGCAAGAGCAGGCCATCCATCTTGTCTTAAAAAGCGAGTAATCTCATCAGCAACACGCTTTGTTCCTGTGAAAATCAAAACCTTATTGTTATGATCCTTCAAAATATCTTCCATGTCACGACCAAGGCGAGCTCTCTTGTCAGCATTTTCGACAACTTGAACAATCTGAGTAATACTGTGAGAAGCGGCCAAGTCCAAAGAACCAACGGTACATTGAATATAATCATTTAGATAGTCACGGGCGAGACGTTGGACCTCTTTGGGCCAAGTAGCAGAAAACATCAAAGTTTGACGGTCAGGACGGATTTGGTCGACGATTTTACGAATTTGAGGCTCAAAACCCATATCCAACATTCGATCAGCTTCATCCAAAACCAAATAAGTAACTCTGCGGAGATTGGTTTTGTTGGCGTCAAGCATATCGAGAAGTCGTCCGGGTGTAGCAATGCAAATTTCCACACCGCGAATTAAATCACGGATTTGGGGACCGCGAGGAACACCACCATAAACACATGTGTTGCGGATGCGAGAAGAGCGGCCGAACTTTGTGCATTCAGCTTGAATTTGAACTGCTAACTCACGTGTAGGGGCCAAAACAAGGACAATAGGACCATCTCCGGGGGCAAGCAATGGTTGTGCGTTAATATGAACGATTGAGGGTAAGCAGTAAGTGAGAGTCTTACCGGAACCAGTAGCGGAAATACCAACCATATCACGTCCAGACATAGCCATAGGCCAGGCTTGTTGTTGGATTGGGGTTGGAGCTTCGAATCCCAACTCTTTGACTTCTTTCAATACATAGTTGGGAAACCCAGCTTCATCGAAAGTTGTAACTGGCTTAGGAACATTTAAGCCGTGAACAACAATTTCCTTTTCTTTACGATAGGCTTCGATTTCGGCATCGGAACGATTAATAACATTCTCGTGCTCCTTATAAAAGTCTTTTTGGAACGGAGTCAAGGTTTCATTGGTCCAGTCTTTCTTCTCTAAATTAGCACCGGGACCTTCTGATTCGTAAAAATCGTTTTTACGGCCACCAGATGCGAATCCGTTTCTATCACCACCATATGATCCACGAGAGGAATTGAATCGGTTACCTCCTCCTCTATAGTTACCGCGATAACCTCCATCGGAATAACTACAATGTTAGTCAAAATTCATATTTACGATGGTTCAACTTTTGCAACAAGAAATCGAGACAAAAGCAATAAATACTTACCCTCTGCCATAGCCACCATCTCGGTTGTTATAACTATCCTCTCTGTAAGACATATTTGAAAATTTTTCTATAAGGTGTTATGGTAAAGGAATGGTTTATTGGTGGTTATGGCTGGGGATAGCTTACTTATATAGTTGAAAATTTTTCTACCAAACAAATGGAGGCAAAAATAAAAAATAACAGACCAATGAAAAGAAAAAGCTTACATTGGTTTAGTGAAATTTATCGTTCTTTTCTTTTTTTTTTTATTTATTTTACAACAAAAGGTTACCATACAAAAATTTTGTACAAAAGTTTAGTCCAAGCTTCCTAAGGAAATAGATATGTGCAAATGAAATATATTTTATAAAAACAATAATAAAACTATGCAAAATCACGAGGATGTAAGAATTTAACAATGGAAACAAAAAGGGTCAGCTCATCAAAAATCCAAACCAAACTATGCCTTTGTAAAACAATACCTTTATTTAAGAAAAACGATTGTAAGTATTTGGTATTTGCAGTTAAAATACGGTAGTTTCATTATCCAAGGTAATATCAAGAGCAATCTTCTCTAACGAAAGACTTTGTTCCAAGATTCTAATTAGCATTTGAACCTTTTCAGGTATCAATGTAGAAGCTTCGGATTCCAAATTATCCAGGAGACTATTTAGGTGCTGATTAGTTACTGAATCTTTGCAATGAGCAATAAACGGGTTGAAAGGACCTGGCTGCGAAATGTCCATTGTTGTGAATACATCTTGAATAATTATAGGGAAAGGAAGCATAGCTACTTGGATACCAAGAACACCTTCACGTTGTCCAACATCATTAATAAATCCAGCGTGTGAATTAACAAAGGCAGGTTTCCGATCCACAAACTGCTCGGGTGATAACCCATATTGCTTGCAGATTTCTAGATGAATTTCATTTTCTTCTTTGATAACCTGAATGATCTTGGCACTGCGCTCTATAGCAGCTATATTAGAAGAAGAAAATGCTGTCATACCTGCAGCTTGAGCATTATTCACTAACATGTGATATTTCAGGACTAAGTATTTTTGAAGTTCGCTTACGGACAAGCTTGCATTTTTTAGTTTTTGTAGAAAACGGTGTTCGAAAAGAGAACTCCAGGCTTCTGACAGGTCGGGGTGATTTTTGAAATACCTTACAATCTCTCCCTGCTCAAAGGGTAGATAGCTAAAGCTGGAGGAATAGTCTAAAGAATTTGCTCCACGTCCCAGATGAAAGCTAGACTCGAGAGCATGCTGAGTATAAGCAACGGAACGCTTAACGGCATTTGGTAAATCCACATGGTTAGCAAGGTTAGCAGCAATAGCAGAAGATAAAGCACAGCTTGTCCCTTTAGCGGTTTTTGTGGATAGCCATTTTTGAGGTACAGTCAACTGTCCCTCACTGGTACATAAAACGTACACATACCATGAGGACGGCATTGAAGAATCTTTACAAACAGAAAAGTCAGTATCAAAAGGAATCCCATCACAGCGAATAATAACATTTTTGCAACCAGAAGCAACTAATCTGGCTCCCAATATCTTTACATCGTCGACATGATGAATTTCTATAGTTTCTTGAGTCATGTGTTTTAGTAAAATAGTAGCCTCTGCGATGTTTGGAGTTAAGATAGCAGCTCTTGGGATCAGCTCCTTAATAAATAGATCTAAGTAACTTGGCAACACGAGCAAGACACCCTTTCGTGTAGCGATCAATGGATCCACAACAACAGTCTTAAGCTTGTAGCGATCAATCATGTCAATAGCAACTTTTAAGATTGCCGGATTAAATAACATTCCAGTTTTCATAACGTCACACTTGACGTCCAACATGCAAGCATCGATCTGCTTTTCAACAAAAGGAGCTGGAATTAAATGTACACCATTAACGCCAATGGTGTTCTGCGAGGTTATGGCGGTAATAGCGCTCATACCATAGACAGAATGAGCAGTAAACACCTTCAAGTCTGCTTGAATACCAGCGCCGCCGCTACAGTCTGATCCCGCTACTGTAATACAAGTAGAAAACATGCTGACTAGTAATTTTTATATCCAAGGTGTTGATCCAGTATAAAATAGTAAAAAAAGAAACTTTAACACGAAATAAATACAGATAAAATGAATTAATCACCCAACTCTTTCCTAAATACCCTTTGCTATCGTAGCCTTTTGCTCAATGACTTGGTAATGTAATGCACAACGAAACGTACAAAAAAGAGAGCCCGAAACTGTAAATTCAGAAATAGTAGTAAACAGCATTCATGAAAATAAATATGGCGGGACACCACGCTACATATCAATTGACAAGACCTGGAAGAAAGCAATCTCTTAATATGATAATAACCAGTGAAAATATTATAATAATAAGGTCATTACAGTATATTGATTTGTCCTGCATGTAAACAAACAAGAAAAATAGAAAGTAAAATGAAATGCATAAACGATTGGGACACCTTTTCTATTAGTAAAGCAAATTTTTACTTAGCAGGTAAAAGCAGCGTATTGAATAGGCTTTTATGCCTAAAGGATGATAAGTTCATAGTCTCATCTCATTGTTAGTCAATGGTAATAACAATAATCGAGAAATTTGTGTTTTTCAAATTAAAATTCCTATTTCCGTAAACCAGTATAAAAAAAAGCGGAAACAGAAAATACCCTCCAAAATATTCCTAACTCTTGGTACATCCTCAATAAGCGTGTTTTTTTAAGTTTTTTGTGGATGCTTTGGTTTTGCCATGAAACAATTAAATTGGATATCCCTACTACTTTGTCTCTGTGTTCTAAAGAGCTGAAGTATAAGTCATGGGTTAATAATTTATTTAATAAACTAAGATTGCTTTAAGTCATTGTCAAAGGGAATTTATACTGCTCTTTTTATCAGATATCCTACGCAGGATATCTCAAAAAATCCACAGAATGATGGCTTTCGAATTTATTAACCAATAAAAAGTTGCGTCCGAGAATGATTTTCATTGCAATGATGCCTTAAAAGAAACGTTTGGTCATATTCATATTGCTAATTCGTACTGTCATTTTCATTAGACCGATTTAAATTCCAAGTGGACCATCAAATTTTGATGAAAAATAAATTTGTACACTTCGATTATAGAATTTTGAACCCGATTTCTCCTGTTTGTAATTAACTTTTTGCGATATGAAACAAAAAGGGTCTTGAATGGTTTATCGTAGATGTAATAAATTACTTTAGGAAATTTTTATACAAAATAAAAAACGATAAAATCATATCATCGTTTACATTATTAAGGTCAGAGGTATTTGCAAGAGCAACAAAGTATGATCTAAAGGCTGGGGTCTTCCAAGTTTTGCTTTACAACATACTCTTGGTAGGGAGTTTCCCAAAACAAGATTTCGAACTTTGTAGCACGAATGAAAACTTCGATTAATTCTTGAATTCGTTCTGGTGAAAGAGTAAGCACGATTTCCTCAAGTTGACGGCATCCTCTGCAAACTGCAGAAATATAATCTTCGCAGTAATAATTGTCAATCCAACGTTGGTAGGGGCCACTAACATTTCTGAATGGTTCCTTCATTAGACGACGAGCAACTAAATGATAGCCAATTAAGCAAGGAGCCTGCGCAAACTCCAAAGCAGCCAAATCTTGCTGAGAACCAGTATCTAGCACAAACCGAGAATACGCAGTACACGCAGGAGTTTCTTCGGAACTTTTCAAATCGTCCAAGGAAATGCCATATGACCTGCAAAAGGAAATGTGGAACTCTTTTTCATTAAGGACGTGAAATACAGATTGGGCTGCTTCAAAAATACCAGAAAATGTTGATTCTTTGTAACCTTTTAAAGAGTAAGCACGACAGAATTGAACTAAATATAGGTAGTCTTGCTTAAGGTACTCTTGAAAAGCGCGAAGAGGCAAGTTACCTTTCGCTAACATATTAGTAAATTTGTGGTGGGTATATTCTTGCCAGACAGGGCCTACACGAGGATGGGTGAGCAAATATTCCAAAAAATGACCAGGTGCAAAAGGAGCGATTCGTAGGCGGCTCATGTGGTTCAGCAGATTAGTGTCACAAATGTTTATAGGAGGGCTTTGGGAGATGGCACCATGCACATAATCAATAGCAAACTGAACAGAGTTGACCATGCTGTGATCCCAAGCAAGGAAAGAAGCAATTGCCGAGGACAACGTACAACCCGTACCATGGACTTCCCCTTGCTTCAGATATGTGGAAGTAAAGTGAAAAAAGTTTTTTCCATCGTATAAAACATCAACGACCTGAAGATCAGACTCGCCTTGTTCTTCTTTTAACGCCTTTAACCCAAGTTGATTGACTGGCATATGTCCACCTTTCACAAGAACATAACGTGGCCCAAACTTACAAATAATAGAAGCAAGCTGTTCCATTGAAGAAATAGAATTGACTTCAGGAACATCAACGTTTACGCTTCTGGCAAAAGCCAGAGCTTCGGGTATATTCGGCGTAATAAGCGTAGTAACAGGAAAAAGGTCCTTAACAATCGTATCTACTATGTTTCCATTTGAAAGAGAATCACCAGATGTGGCAATCATTACAGGGTCAACAACAAGGTCCTTGATTTTGTATTTCAAAATAGACTTCACAACGGCCTTGACAATCTCTACATTTCCGAGCATTCCAGTTTTAATGACCTTGCAAGGAACATCTCGAAGACAGCAATCCATTTGGGACTCGACGAATGAAGGAGACATATTTTCAATTTTATCAACCCCACCAGCGTTTTCTGCAACTACGCAAGAAATTGCACTCATTCCGTAGACGCCCAAACTAGTCATAGTTTTTAAATCCGCTTGGATTCCTGCACCTCCACTGCAATCGGAGCCAGCTACTGTAAGACATACGGGGACATTACGACGCTTAATTGAATATCCCATAGGATCCAAGACTGTTTCAATTCTAGTAGCGTCGAATTGGCTTGACAAGAGAGCATATAAGCTATTTGAAGGCATGATACTTCAACTGAATTGCAAACGAAAAATCACTAATTATGTAAAATAGGAAATGTTTTAAGGATAGTGTATTCTAATTGCCAAGATTCTTGCTTCTGTCTGTTACAAGGAAAACATTCGCGATAGGTCTCCAATTATACCAAAGCCAGAAAGCTTTTGGTTTATGTAATATAAACGCATAGCTGCAAGCGTCTTTGCCTGAATCGGTATCGTCCTACCGCCGCCATATCGTACTTGCTCGGTCGCAAATACCCAGCGTGTTGAACTTAACGAAACAAACTTTTTAAAGTTATTTTAACCGAAAAAAAAGATAAACAAAAGAACCAAGGAGTTTCCATGTAAGTTTCGCTCACTTTTATAAATAAAGAAAAAAAATCTCAGTGATTCTTAGATATAAAGCAATTTCAATGAATCCAATGCCACCAATAGCAAACAAAACCTATAGATCGAAATAAACATCATCCAGATAAAAATAGGTCCTGTAGAGATTGTTTAAACTCACTCAAGTTTGAATCATATATTTAAAGTCTGTCTCGACTAGGGACATGAAGGAAATATAAACAATTCAAATTGTTGCGCAAAAGTACTCAATTGAAAATAGTTCCACAAAAGTCTTCTATAAGGAAGTATTGACTAAAAATCTCAACAAAGAACGAACAACTTCAATGTTGGATGCACTTTCAACAGCTTTAATTCGCATCGACAAGCTTAGGTCGAAATTACTTTAAAAATGTCAACGTTCAAACCAGAGAAAAAAGAAAAGTTCAGTAAAAATGTTGAAACTCAATACAGCAAGATTTGTCTTTTCATCTAGACAGAGTGGTACTTTGGGTTGTAAGGTCGCTCAAAATCATTTTCCTTTAGGCAGATAAAACGACTAGCAGAGATAGTTTCTACATATAAATTGTGATTATTAGATAGTTTGTCTTTTTATAGCCATAAGTTTCTCCTAATTAAAAAAAGCCTTTCGAGCACGGTAAACTCCAGGTACGACTTGGCTCTTACCAACGTTTTCATCAAACCTCCTTTAAACCATATTGTTTTCTTCCTGTTTTTGGAGAAAATGAGCAGCATTGAGCTCAACTTGATGCGCCAAAGTTAAAATTACAGTACAAACTAGGGAACTGAAGTTCAAAGATTTCCGCCATAAAAAGATTTCAGGAATTTAAATTAATAAATTCGGAAAAAAAAATATTTTTTTTGGTACCAAAAATGAAATTAGCCTGTTCTAAAAGTTGAAAAGTGAGCGCCGTCAGGAACGCGCTCTTTACAGCCCACCAATACCATAAACCTCACTTTTTCCCTTACAAGACGAATTAAGCAGACATACCAGGGGATTTGTAAAAGTTATTCAATAAAAAAGAGGTTTCATCTATTTTTCCTGAAAAAGGGCCTCAGACACTTTTGTTGAGGGCAAAACTTCAATTAGTATTAAAGAGTGTATAAAAAAACTGCAAGATAAATCATGTCCGAATACCATATTGATGCAAACGTTTTTCACAAACGTTTAAATTTGCTACTTTCTTCCTGGAAAGAGGCTTCAGACGCAAATGAGCTTTTCCAAGGATGTGAAAGTATTTTAGTCGTTATTGGTACAGCGGATGTACCAAATCCTTATCAGAAGTCTGCTGCCATGCATACATGGCTCCTTGGATATGAATTTCCTTCCACGTTAATGCTCGTAGAAAAAGAGCGAGTTACCTTTCTAACATCCAATACGAAAGCAAGCATGCTTGCTCAATTGTTAGAAACAGACAACAAAGCTATTGATGTTAATATATTAAAACGCACAAAGGATCCCGCAGAAAATCGTGCGTTGTTCGATGAAATCATAAAATACCTTCGCGCTACTAACAAAAAAGTCGGTATTTTCCCCAAAGACATTAACCAAGGAAAATTTGTGAATGAATGGAATGAAGTTTTTGAACCTGTCAAATCCGAGTTTGAAATGGTTGATGCTAGTATGGGTCTAGCCAAGGCTTTGGCTGTAAAAGATGAACTCGAAATATCAAATGTCAAGGATGCCTCAAGGGTCAGTGTTGCTTCAATGACAAAATATTTTGCTGATGAACTGTCTACATACGTTGATCGAGGTGTGAAAACCACGCATTCAAAGTTTGCCGAGCGTGTTGAGCGTTTGATTGACAATGAATCCTTTTTCCAAAAGAAAGACGTCCGTCTAGGTGATATTGACACAGAACAGCTTGAATGGTGCTATACTCCCATCATTCAATCTGGTGGCCAATATGATTTGAAACCTTCTGCTATAACAGACGATCGAAATTTACATGGTGATGTTGTTCTTTGCTCTTTGGGTATCCGATACAAATCTTACTGTTCTAACATTGGGCGTACCTACTTGTTTGATCCCAGTCCTGAACAACAGAAAAATTACTCTTTCCTTGTAGCCTTACAAAGGAAATTAATTGAGTATTGCCGAGACGGTACTGTGATTAAAGATATATATACCAAAATTTTGGGCTTCATCAGATCGAAACGACCCGAGTTGGAAAGTCACTTCGTAAAAAATTTGGGTGCTGGTATCGGTATCGAATTTCGTGAATCTTCGTTGCTTGTAAATGCCAAAAACACCCGTACCTTAAAAGCTGGTATGACAATGAACCTTAGTATAGGTTTTGCCAACTTGGTTAATCCTAGACCCAAAAATTCTCACCCTAGAGAATATTCTCTTTTGTTAGTTGACACTATTCAAGTAACTCGAGGTGATCCAGTGGTCTTTACAGATTCTCCGAAAGCTCAAGCAGATATCTCATACTTTTTTGGAGATGAAGCCGATGATATAGAGGATGGTGCGAAGCAACGCAAGCCATCAACTCGTGGAACAGCAACTGTTTCCAGCCACAAAGGAAAAACTCGAAGTGAGACCAGAGAAGTGGATGATTCTGTTGAAAAGCGTCGTGCTGAACATCAAAAGCAGTTGGCTGCTAGAAAGCAGGCTGAAGGTCTTCAAAGATTTGCTGAAGGCTCTACACATACCACTGGAGTTGAGAAGCCAACGGTCAAGCGCTACGAATCTTATAAACGTGATTCTCAAATGCCACAAGCCATTGGTGAATTACGCATTTTAGTGGATTATAGAGCTCAAAGTATTATTTTACCTATCTTTGGCCGTCCCGTTCCTTTCCACATTTCTTCTTTAAAAAATGCTAGTAAAAACGATGAAGGAAGCTTTGTTTACCTACGCTTAAACTTTCTCAGCCCTGGTCAAATAGGTGGTAAAAAAGATGAACTTCCATTTGAAGATCCTAATGCTCAGTTTATTAGAAGCTTCACTTTCAGGAGCTCTGATAGTTCCCGTATGAATCAGATTTTCAAAGACATTCAAGATATGAAGAAGGCAGCTACTAAGCGTGAAGCTGAAAGAAAAGAATTCGCCGATGTTGTCGAGCAAGAAAATCTTATTGAAATTAAAAATCGTCGTCCTATTCATCTTAATGATGTTTATGTGCGCCCTGCACTTGATGGTAAACGGTTACCGGGTTTCGTGGAAATTCACCAGAATGGTATACGTTATCAATCTCCACTTCGATCAGATAGTCATATTGATTTACTGTTTTCAAATATGAAACATTTATTCTTCCAACCTTGTGAAGGTGAATTGATAGTTTTGGTCCATATTCATTTGAAGGCTCCTATTATGGTAGGAAAGCGGAAAACGCAGGATGTGCAATTCTACAGAGAGGTGTCTGATATTCAGTTTGACGAAACAGGAAACAAAAAGAGGAAGTATATGTATGGTGACGAAGATGAAATTGAACAAGAGCAAGAAGAACGACGCCGTCGTGCCCAGTTAGACCGAGAGTTTAAGACTTTTGGTGAAAGAATCGCCGAAGCAAGTGATGGTCGCGTTGAACTTGATATTCCATTCCGTGAGCTTGCCTTTAGCGGTGTACCATTCAGATCTAATGTATTGTTACAACCAACGACAGATTGTTTGGTTCAATTGACTGATACCCCATTTACAGTTGTTACCCTATCAGAAATTGAAATTGCTCACCTGGAACGTGTACAGTTTGGTTTAAAGAACTTTGATTTAGTATTCATTTTCCAAGATTTCCATCGGCCTCCTGTTCATATAAATACAATTCCAATGGAACAATTGGATAATACAAAGGAATGGTTAGATTCTTGCGATATTTGTTTCAGCGAGGGACCCCTAAACTTGAACTGGACTACAATTATGAAGACAGTGAACGAGGATCCTGTCGCCTTTTTCCAAGAAGGTGGATGGGGATTCCTTGGTACAGGAAGTGATGATGAAGCAGAGAACAGTGATGAAGAAGTCTCTGAATATGAAGGGTCTGATGTTGAACCCGAAGAAGAAGAATCGGAGGAAGGATCAGAAGAATACAGCGAAGCAGCTAGTGATGAAGATTTTAGCGGAAGTGAAGTCGAAGAAGAAGAGGAGAGTGGTGAAGACTGGGATGAACTTGAACGAAAAGCTCTCCAGGAAGATGCAAAGCGTGAACAGAATGGTGATCATCCTATTAAAAAGAGAAGATAAAATGGTTATCTGATAGATTTGTTAATGTTTAGGTATGTGTCAATATATTTCTATATAGTACATTGTAAACAATTTTAGATTTACAAGCAAAACTGATACAACCAACAAGTATAAGAACTAAGTGAATTCATTGATTTATCCAAAACTCCATTAACCTATCAAAGTCCAAAATTAATTTAATTCTTTTTAGATACCTTGTAACCCTTAGATTTCAACCATTTTCTACGGTTTTCTTCAATGATAGCTTTATCTGCTTCATCATTGAAAGTAAGATTATCATTTTCAGAGCTTGCGTTGACAGACTCCTCTTCTGCATCTTCATGTTCTTCTTCAGCTTCATCAGCACCATCAGTTGTTTGAGGGATTTTGTCTGACATTTTCTTAAGCTTAGCAACGAAGAAACCATCGATATTGTGAACATGAGGGTAATACCGCCGGGTTAATTTCAAGCTAGGATGGAAGCGCTTTTCTCGGTAACGCACAAATCCTTCACGACCAAACTCGAGGCCAGTGGAAACAAGCTTGACATTTGGACGCTTCTTCAAGGCGTATTGGATGACAGCCTCATCTTCATCAACTGTAATACTACAAGTAGAATAAACGATATAACCACCGGTTTTGCTGTCAGCATTAACGGAATCGATAGCGCTTAAAAGCAGTTGTCTCTGTAAATGACTAAGTGTGTCAAAATCACGCTCAGATTTGTTTGTCTTCACAGATTGATCTTTGTAAATGACACCAGTACCTGAACAAGGTGCATCAAGCAAAACACGATCGAAACCACCTAATACATCATTAGGGAACTTTCTACCGTCATAATTGCAAACGATTGCGTTGCGTACTCCCAAACGATGAATATTAGCGGACAAAGCTTTTGTACGAGCTTTATTTGCATCATTGGCAAAAATAACACCAGTATTCTTCTGTAAAGCGGCAACGTAAGTAACTTTACCACCAGGAGCAGAAGACATATCAAGGATTCGTTCACTGGGTTGAGGAGCGAGAGCCATTACTGGCAAAAATGAAGATGCAGCTTGTAACATGTAGTGACCAGCGAGATATTCAGGAGTTGCACCGATAGGAACTTGGGACTCAAAAACTTGAAGACCCACTTTCGACCATTTTCCGATAGGCTCTAAGTTTACACCGCGATTAATGAGAGCTTGGGCTAATTCACGACGCTGAGTTTTGAGAGTATTTGTACGAATGGTAACGGGACGAGGCAATTCATTGGCTTCGAAAAATTCAATGGCTTCAGAGACAGGGAATAGTTCAAAAAGCTTCTCAGCGAGGAATTTTGAGTATCCATAATAAACGCTGATATCGTTAAGAAGCTGATCGACATATTCAGCGCGGCTACGACCAGGCTCACAGAGATTCTTAAAATCATTTAAGACACGATTGATCTCTTGAATACGAAGTTGAATTTGCGACAGATCCTGAGTAAAGGCGCTTATGGGCTGACCGTCAACCATGCCACCATCTACTGTAGGAGGAAGAATAGCGGGAGCAGTAGGATGAATGTTAGTATGCAACTCTTCTTCAGCCTCCATTTCTTCCTTTTCAGCTTCTTCATCTATCTTACGGGACATAGCTTCCAAGTTGGCGACTTCTAAATCATCTTCATCACCTGAATCGTCGCTAAACATAGGTTTTGCGCGGCTTTCTTCGTCAGAATCAAAAACAGAATCCTCCTCGGACTCCTCTTTGTCTTCACCATCTTGAACGAACTCATCTTGAGCCTCAGCAGCATCATCATCATCCTCTACCTCTGAGAATTCATCAGCTTGTTCAAATTCATCACTAGCTGCTTCAACGTCATCGTTTTCTGGCTCAGATTCAGATTCTTCAAAAAGGCTCTTCTTTTCCTGAGAGATTTGTTTTTTACGAGGTTGCAAAGCCGCCGTTTCTTCCGCTGGTTTTCTCTTTTTCTCTGCCTTCATTTCAGGCTTTTTGCCGGCCCCGCGAACTTCCTCTAATGTGGGAGGGACTCCTTGTTTACTTTTTTGTTTTCTACCCATTTTTTTGCTACAAACAAGTCGTTTCTGCGACACAATCCCCAAATGTTTATGTTTGGTAGAATGTGAAAAATTAAGCACTTCTCTTTTCTTTAAGATACAAGTCGTTGCCTTCTACGTCTTTATTTTAGTTTAACGCAATTCATCACGGATCCTTATATGTATCTTAGAATATGCCTGGGTGGTAGTGGTAGTTTGAGAGACAAACACTATGGATAGAATTTCTCAAGGGAATAGCTATGTGCCGTAAGGCAATTCTTAATTACTCAAAGTGTTAGAAAGATCCATATAGTTATTAAATATCGGAAGATGTATCTAATATTGGCTCTAATTTATATATAATATTGGATGTGATTATAACTTTGCCAGTTGGGCCAGCAAACTCTTCAGTAAGGAAAGATTCATCCGAGAACAGTTAAACTACGTATATGGATAAGTGCTACTTTGTGAATAACCGATTTTGGTGAATCGGTCTTTGGATTTACATTTCCTGTTATCTGTTAACGTCGATTTATTATACAATACATTTCTTTAAGTATTGCACACAGAAAGAAACGATCACTATTGTTATTTCTTCCAATTGATTTAGTCTCATCTGGGAACAGTTATCATTACCAACATTCCAGATCATAACTACAGACTATTGGATAATGTCATTCCTTCTAAAGAAGTGGAAGACGGTGTTCTAACCATTCGCGAATGCAGGAATTTATAGGCATGTGAATACACGAGACCACTATGTGATTCATTAATGATAACTTCGCTGGGTTTGTTAGCAACGTCAGTGAGGGACCTTGGCATGTGAAGCATGTGAACAGGCATCTGAGAGTTTGTTTTTATTCACCTGTATATATTTTAGGATCGCGCCTCCACAACGGTTTGCTTTCCGACTGTATATATTCCATCTTCCCAGAATCTACCTACCGATATTACCGCAAAGCGACGATGACAACGAAGACGCAATTGAACGAGCAAGGTAGCTGCATCAGCAATTAAATGGATGAAGTTTATATCCTCACAAGTGCAGACATTGTGGGGAAAGGGCTATAAGAATGCATTTCCCTCAGGGGTTGATCAGTTAGCCTATAGAAGGGAACTTTTTTTATTTCTTCTGTTTTCATTTTTTAATGATTCTTCAGCTTGATAATCATTATACTTCAAGCTGCCCAAGGTCATCCTTGAGAACCATCCAAACTTATTAGTTACTTTTATTTCGTTCCATTAGTCCCATCATTAATTTGGTTGCAAACTCTGTTAAGTGTCTTATTGTAAACAAGGGGTGAGCTTATTCTTCCACCTCTAAGCATTTTGTCTACATCCTGCAGCTAAACAGACAATGAAATTCGTCGTATCTTCATTTCTCGTTTCTCTCTGCATGCTGCAGCCATTGCACTATCGTCTACTCCACCAAAGTTCATAACACGTCCGTTTTTGTCTTCAGGAAAGTTCCGTTGATGCTAAATTGCTTCGTACAGACAGCGAGCAATCTCTTCAATTGAAAAAAATTACAAGGTAAGGAACTGCCAATTTTTGAATAGACCATTTATTCATTCGTAAACATGTTAAAACAAATCCAGAAAAAGTCACCAGGAAGGATTTCTCCATAATTCGCCAAAATGAATCCTGGAAGAATAGTATAGACGTTGGGGGTTTCCCTTCCTTTGCCCCTATAGCAAAGTGTTTCACTTGCATACTCTGAAAGCGCGTAGCCCATAGCTTGTCCTTTGGCTTCACGGTCTGCCATCGCAAGTTCTTGGTGTCGACCTCTGGATACAGCCACAAAAATATGAACCTACTATGCTCAAATTAAAAAGTGTTTACTCATCACATTACTTTCCATACATTATGATATGTCTTTGTCTGTATGAGTCTTGGAAACATGCTTCTCCAAAAGAATCCCATTTTTCAAAATATAGAAAAAGGCTTTCGTCACTTGAATCGAAACTTAGAAAATTAGAGGAAATTCAGTATACTTTTTAAAGTCTTACATCCTTCTCTCGGCATCTAAATCTTTCAATTCTCGAATAAGACAGATCACCTTCTCTCCTTGACTCAAAAAAAAAAAAAAAAAAAAAAAACATCAATCTCATTCAGCGCTTTCCAAGGAATACAGTAGCCACACATCATTAACACCCAAATATTTTTGATGGGTGTCAATGACTCAATGATGTCTCTTTCAAAAGCCATTTGAATAGCATCATTTCTGTTTATGCAATAAACAGTCGAAGCTCTGTAGATCCATGGATGGCACGTATTTAAGCACTTGGAAAACGCGCTGGCAAGCTTGGATCAGTTTTGAGGATACCATTTCACCGGCAACAACGACCATCTTATACTTAGCAAATGATTTGTTCTTTCTTATAGTAGTCCAATCATTTCCAATAGTTAAGTTAATTAAGAAAGATTAGGAGACATGCATGTCCACATTGCAGGGCATAATGCACATTCCACGCCAAATGTTCGGCCTTGGAAATAATTGGAACGGGTGATTGCGTGAGCAAAGAGGGACACAATATTCATCCTCCTGGAGTGAGTAAAGCAGCCATCCAAGCCATTGTAGAACGGGAAAAGTTGGGAGCCATTATCAATGGATTTGAAGATGATGCGACAACTCTGGAATACCTCAGTCAGCCGCTTAAACACACCTCTTCACACGATAGGGGTGAACTTATTGGATTCCCGTAGATTTATTGCTATGGCTAATCAGCGCAATTTTCAATCTCGTGTCCTGTTTGAATACAAGGTGCAGTGGGATCTGTTTAAAGAGTCGTCAAATGGAGTGTTTCACACCGAGAATATGATAAAAACTAGGAAAGATATTTGCAGGCGATCATACGTAATAAGTATCTACAATATTCTCATCCCAACTTTCACTGAAGATGACAACAGTACTGTGGTCCACTAAGCAAAAAGTGAGCATAACAAGTCATTTGATTGTCTCTTAAAAAGAATAAATGTAGTTCCCGAGGATATACTCTGTTGATAGAGTCCAGCAATTGTGTTGACTCTTTTCTCGTATAGAAATCCACAAAAGGATTATTAGTTCAGAGGTTACCTTTTCCAGAAATCTGGAGATAATAATTAATATGGCGTTAGTGTTCTCAATTCTGTAATTGTATACTAGGGAAGTCATTACTATGAATATATTCTTCCAGCCTTCGCAGGGATTTGCATGTTGTTTTTTTTTTTTTTTTTTTTTTTTCAGTTTTGCCAGATATTTATTTTCATGAACCATGAAATAGGATAGAGAATTGTCAATGGAATCAATACACACTAATCTCGAATGTAAGTATATTAAAATCTGTTACTACAAAATGTAATGGAAGTAGACGTATGTAAAACAAAGTAAAAACCGAACGCCCGAAAGAGTTTTCCTAGTCTCATAACATTAGGAAATGATTTATTAAATGGAATAACTCCAGGAAGCTTTCATCGAAGAATACAGTATGGCATGCAACTTTACATTTTTTTTCATTCACAATTCGTATGGTAGACACAAACGCTAAATAATAAACGTTTCTCTACAAATTGATCATACTTTAAATTTGTCAATTTAATAAAAATATACATTTTCAAAGAAACATAAAAAACTTCATACTAAGTGTTAAAGCGATACGTGTATTATGTACTCACTTAAATCTTAGATGTTTGACGTTTGATTATAGACAAATGAATGTTGGAGGAAGTATATATATTGTAAAGTATCATGGAGTGAGTGTTGTTTATGGACCACCTTTAATGAGAAATTAGCAACTTCAATTGATTGTAATCTTCGTAATGCGACAGTTTACCATGTACGAAACTTCATTAAACGTAACATTATACCTCACACTTTGTTCGTTGATTTTTTGGAAAATAGTCATTGTACGTCTATTATTGTTGTGAATGAAAAAAAAATACACAGTCGTAATAATTTCAGCCAGCTTTTATGCTGGCAAGCGGAACCTCTTTCCTTGTAACACAGTGCGTCGATAGACGATAGCAAAATCGGCGTACAGGATCGTTTGAGCAATTCCAGCAATCAACGAGACAGCCATGACGGACTTGTGAGTCGCAAGACGATAAATCCAGTGAGGAATGTAGAGACCACGATAAAGACACATCGCAAACAAGTAATGAGCAGTTATGGTTTCAGCTTCACCAGATCGTTGAAGCATAAATAACTGAGGCAAGATAGCGACACTTTCCAACCAGAGACTGAAGGTCCATAAAATGCCAGAAATGCTGTATTTACTGGGATAAATGAGAGTCAAAACCACACACCCGCCTAAGAGGTATCCAATACGAAAGGTGTCCAAACGCTTGTCATAAGTTGGTCGTAAATTCTGCAAAATTAAGTAACATATATAGAATTCAGAGCAGATAAAAACTATCCGCATTGAGAAAAAATAAAGGTTTTTAAAACGCCAAAACAAGTCTAGCTCGCAAAGAACGCGAATGGATTAGCTTTTGTGATTCATTCCTGGGTAATTAGACATACTCAGATATCGTGTAATATACACTAAAAGAAAGAGAAGATGTGATTTTAGAGAGATTCCTGAACATGATCTTGACTTTTTCATCTTGTGTAACAAAAGGAAAATCGCAGCCAAATGGGCCAAATCACCTTGTTCAATTAGTATTTTTTAAGCAAGAGGATTCCACTTACCCAATCCACTGAAAAAAGACATGCTTCAAAGCTATTTTTTGTGTTTTCCTCTCAAGTAGCTAAACAATGGTAAAAGGTAAATATTGGGTTACTTAATTAGCTGCTAAGCGCTGGTTGTACTCAGTGGGGGAATATGATATAAAAACAAAAGGTGATGAATAGAATGGGGAAAAATCATAGAGAAAGCATTATTTGTGAATTATATAAATAGAGAATCAAGATTCCTGAAATTTCATATTCCTCGTTTATGCGTTCATTTATATGTAGTACCTTGCATACATGATACATGAGCTAACGAACTAAACAAGATTATTATTATTATTTATGAAAAGAGAACTTGGAAAATTTAAATTGATATGGTTTCAACCTGTAGCGGCCTAACAAACAATCGTAAAGAACAAATCTGACGAAAACCAAATCTCTACTGTACAACCAAATTAATATAGAACAATTACCGAAAACAATAACACCACCAATGTTTTCCTTTAGAAAGCTAAGAGAACGTTCCTATATAAAACGGGAAGTGGCATTTGAGAAATTAAGCACATGGAATCCAAAAACGTAGTCGACAACTGGAAAACGTGCTAACAAATCAAGGAATGAGAAATAAATAAAGCCCGATGAGAAATTTTTGTAGAAAATCCATTCTAATCTTTCGTAATAACTATTCACCCATATTCTGTTAAAGTACAATTAGAAAAGTGATACCTTGTAACACAGAAAATGGGTTTTATTGAGGACCCAACACAGCCACAAAAAAAAATGCACCGTACTTTAAATCGCTCCTTTATATTTCCACATCGCCTTAATTTTTTCTTGTATAGAATAATAAGTATGCCACTTTATCACTCGAAGCACCATAGCTGCCGTTTTCAACAGCAGCTTTAGGTATCTCAACATCAGAAACTCGAATTTTATGGATATGGGTATCATCGATGCGAATCCATCCACCTCCATCGTGCTGTTTAACGTCCACGGTATAATGACCGCCAGAAGCAGAAATACCGTGATGATATACAACAGCATTCAGACTATACTCGATAGGAACAGTTCCGCGGATTGAAGGACTGAAAACGCTTTGAGGGATGGTCAAATCAGCTGGATAAGCAACAGGCTTATAGTTCTTTTGTGTACCTCCGGCAATATCATAGAAGAAGCGTTTTAAATGCAAAATTAACACAGGAGGTAACGACTCTATGTACATCTGCTTCGTAGCAGTAACATTTCCCTTGGAGGAGGGCCATTCTGGCAGGACCTCAGGCTCCGTCATCTTTTCCAACGTATCGGTAACAGAAAGGATGTCGTCAGATTGGATATCAAGTTGCAAAGGTTGAAATGGTTCTAGTAGGACAGAGTCTCTTTGATTTGGTACTCGCAATGTAGAACGCAATTGACCGCCAAAAATCTGGCTAATAGGAGAACGCTCTATGGTTGCCGATCTTGCTATAACTGGCTTCTTATTTTTTCCTACCTCTGTCCATCCACTACTCTCATCCTTACTTTCGGAATCGTTGGCTATTCCATTCACAAACTTCACGGTTTCTTCGTCAGTCTTGTTTCCTTTCTTTTGTTGATAGGTTTTGTATTCGTTCAAGAATTCTTCATGAAGTTCGTTTAAAAACAAGTTCAGAAATTCTTCAGCATCCTCTTGTTCTCCGCTCTGGAGAATTTCGAACCGAGGATTTCCTTTAGTAGAAGAGTAGACAACTTCTGGCAAGAGAGATTCGCCTTGTTCCTCATCTTTGTCCCATTTTTGTTTAAAATCATTTAAAAACAATGTCGTAGACTCGATTAAAGGCGTGGTTTTCTCAAAATTATAAGGGACGGTTTTATTAATAAGCTTGAGTAAATTGAAGAATGGTACGCAATAGAGCAAAGCTTGTAAAATTGAATTCATGAAGCAAATATTTCCTGTGTTGATAAATCCACGAGGTTGAATTACAACTTTTGCTTGAAAATCAGGCTGAAAAGTTTCAATCAGTTGGGCAAATGCTGCATTTGCACTCTTCTTCTCAGTTGCTGCCGCTGATGTGTAAGAAGCACTTACGGCAGGTGAAACTTCATGCGAAGAAGGTACCCGAACATGCTTTTTTACAACAGCAGACCAAGACTTCGGCTTGCTGGGCGTAGCTTTAACTTTCCCAACACTCTTGTTTATCTGGACCGGATTGCTCAGTTCTTGCTTCGGAGCACGAAATTTTCGTGGTTTCCTTCTAGGAAACTCGCTTTTCTTACAAGAGTACCATGGTAGCTTGATTTGTTAGACTATAGCTCTTCTAAGAAATTTTTCATACCAAAGAATTAATGTGAAATCCTCCTCTGGGGTGAAGATTATCTATAGGCGCCGTGTCGGTTGCAGATTTTAAATCTCGCATGAAATAAGCCCTTACAAACAGAAGCTTTTGTTTATTTTGAACTTTCCAATTTGGCTAATGTACAAACTTCTGTTGGTAGCAAGTGACATGGTTTTCGCTAATACATAGGGAGAAGGCGTAATCACTCATTAAACCAACATAACACAACAAACTGCATCCTTAGTAAACAATCAATGAAACAGCAAGTTTCTTGGATAAATCAAGTTAGAATCGCTCTCTATAACATGAGGGAGAAGAAATGAAAGGAAATTTTATTCCATAAGTAGCTTTTTTTGTTTATGGAAACCTACAATTTGCCAGTATGCAAAGGATCCTAACCAGAATGGGTCCTTTTCCTTTGCTTCAATGCGCTTCTAACTTTGTCAGGATCTTTTGGTTCACTGGGACTAAAAGTAATTCTTTTGAAAAACTGAACTGTTTCTATTATGAGTATTAAGCGTAAAAAAAGTTGAAAGTATGATCTGCATCTTTGTAAAAGAAACGAATGAAGAGGAAATAAAATAACCAAATACAGTCCTCATCCTGAATAAGAAAACACTTATAAGAGCTTTCTTTTTTATTCATTCTGTACATTTCGACTTTTCTTTTCCTATATAAATTTCTTAGATTACAACTCAATGTAATAAACATTACCGTATCGAGGGAATATCATGAGACACCTTATATTAGTATTGGCGGCCATTTGGTATTTACCCAATACACAAACGTCCCTAGGAAGGGAAATTGCTAAAAAATAATTTTGGAGGGGGTTTAAATGAACAGTTTGTAAAATTATTTATATTTAGTTAATTTGATGGTGAGCAGAGAGACATTAGCCACGGGAGAAGCTACAGCAAATATGGGATCTATCAACAAACTGAACGTTGATGCTCCTAGTTTTACTCCCAACCAAGCATCATCATCGCATGCGCCGAATAAAGGAAAAAAGGCTGAAGCTGGTAGCTCGAAACGATCGGATTCACATGGATCTTCTAAGAAGAGTCAAGGAATGCCTCGAAAAAACCAACCTTCTGCTTCTGGAGGAAAGTCACATAAGAGCAAGACTCGACCCAGTAAGAAGACAAGTGCCGTCTCTGAGGCAATCAATGATTCGTTAGAAGATGCCCAAAATGAACATGATGATCATCTTTTCGACATTCTATCTGCTAGGACCAATCGTCGTGGTCAAATAAGTTTAAACCATTTATTGAATTTTCAATTTGCCCCAAGGAATACCTACAGCACGATGTCTGCCCCTCCCAGACGAACTAGGCAATACAATACTTACGGTTATGGCTCGGGCTACCATCCGATGGACAAGGCCCGGTATGTGAATGCAAATTATCGATTTATTGTCTCGCCTCTTGGAGAATATCAATATCAGAAGTTGGATCCAGACTCTCCAGTGAAATGGGAAGATGTTTGGCAAGTGTTGTGTTCTTCTGATTTTCAAGTTGCTGTCTGTCCGTTTTGTCTTGGTGAAAAGCCAGTTGCTGCTCGTATGTCCCGCTGCGGCCATGCTTTTTGTTTACCTTGCTTGCTTCGCTACATGGAGACACCCACGAATGAGGAAGTGAAAGCAGCTGAACATTCTGGCTCTAAAGTTCCAAAATGTGGTACCCGAACGTGTCCGATTTGTTTGGATGTTATTAGGATACGTGATATTCGTCCCATCCGTTGGGTGCAGGATGAAGAATTTCAAAAACTAGAAGAAGGAAAATTGGTATGTCTTCGTTTATACCAAAGAAATGTCGGCTCTATCTTGGCATTTCCTAGGGCGTTTCGATCTTTTGCGGTTGACGGTTCATTCCATACTGATAGTTTTCCTAATGTCTCTATGGATGGTGCTGCATATGCTCGAATCATAATCGGTACTCACGAATACATGCTTCAACAGTATAGCAACGAAATTGAACAGCTAGCTCAGGTTGCTGCTGAGGACGTCGGATTGTACGGAGTAGCTGATTGTTATTATGAAAAAGCAACTGCAAAGCTCCTAGACCAAACAACTACTTTATCCTCCAGTTTGGATCAAAATGAGCAAACATCTCTTGCAGCTAATATTGATAACCTGAGCTTACAAGATAATGCATTAAAGCAGTTGTCAAGCGTTGAGGATCTTGAAAAGACTACCGGTGACTCTGAAGAAACAGATTCTTATCTATTTTATCAACCTTCCGCACATTCGCATGTATACCTTGCACCATTGGATATTCGGATTCTCAAAACCGCATTTGGGTCGTACGCCCGATTCCCAAATGAGCTGCAGCCTGTTGTAGAAAGGATTTCTTCAGGACACTCCGTAAATACGGAATTTAGGCAGCGCTTTAAATACATGGGACACTTACCAGAAGGCTGTGAAGTCGCCTTTATTGAGTGTGATTGGTCCAAGGTAGTACCTGAAGAGACGTTGAAGGTGTTTAGGACTGAAATTAATAAGCGTCGTAAGCAACGTAAGGCTCAAGAAACAAGAGAAGAGAAATATCGACAAAGAGCTCAACGTGCAACAGAGGATCAAATATTCACAGAACTAAATATGCAACGACCTATCCCTCGTCAAATAATTCAAGAAGAAAATACCGCTGAAGCTTTTCCTACCTTGGAGTCTCTCAACGTGAGCGGAGAAGGCAATTCTTCGACACGTTCAAATGACGAAAACGAAATTGCCAATACTCTGGATGCCAATCAAAGGGCAACAGAAAGGCAGACGATTAAAACAGTCTGGGGAACGCACGCAATTTCTGGAGCATCCCATGAAACAGACGAAAGTGAGGATTTAGACGCCTGGAAGGTGGATTGGGAGAAGATAGCAAACATGAGCGCGAATTCCAAGAATTCAAAGAACAAGAAAAAGAAGAAACTCGTATTATTAAGTACGGGAGGAGGGCGCCGGTAAGCAAATTTTTGAACTTTTTTTTTTGGTATTTCAAATATATCTATGTATTTATAGATGCATTCATATGCATACACATGATCATTGCTATAATGGGATTCAAGTAGAAACAGCCCTATCTATTTTTTTAGACGATTTGAAGTGATGATATTTAACGATTATTTAATATTAATTTGTTTACCACATTAAATAGGTTAGTTTGGTAATGTTGTTCACGGAAGTAGAAACGAGTGAATTTGGTAAGGTAATTTGTAATGGAAAATAAGAAGGTACATTTCATTTTCATAACAACCCTAATTTATATTCAAGGGTAAAAATTAAAGAGAAAAGGAATCAGCATTGAATCTGCAAATTCATTATGGTCGAATTATCAGTTATGCGAATCAACGCAGGATGCGAATCATTTCATAAGCTTCATCAGTAAACGATATAAAAAAACCATTAGAAGGATGTTCAGCATAAAAACGAAAAAGGCATTTGTGAAGTTAATTTTCTTTTTTTTAGCTTTGTAAAATGCCTAATCACTCAATCATCTTAAAAAAAACAGGGAAAAAATAAAGAAAAGGGGGGACAGAAAAAAAGATACAAAAAAAATTAATCAAAGCAAGTGCCGAAAGTGTTTTCTCCGGAATAAGTGATGTACAAAAAGCCATCTTCGCTTTTGTGTTCTTCGTATATAGTGGACATCAGAGCTGCAGTAGGAGGCAAAATCTCATCAATGAAAATAAATATAGCTTTTTCTGGAGAAAGCTTGATTCGTTTTCTAATTACATACACAAACTGGCCTACTGTGAGATCTGATGGGACCAAATACTTCTTTTTGTCGATGGCGGCAATATCAGATTTGTCGACTTTTTCGCAAATTACCTGTCCACCCACGTTAGCACTTATCTTAGAAGAAAGGAGAAGACTTCAAAAAAAACTACGAGTCGAATAGTTAACATACAGGAATTCGATCAGGATACTTTTCACGGATCCTTTGAGACTCAGTTTTTCTTTTCTCTGATAATAATTGTTAGCAAGGGAACAATTGAAAAAAAGGGAGTAACGGGAATAAAGTAAATTAAATAAAAGGCACATAAAGCTGGAAGGGCTCTTTGTTTACCAATCAATGACATACCAAAGGAAAAATCGTCCTTGAATTGAGACCGCATCAGTAGATTGACACGGGAAACAAAATTTCTCTTGTATTCTACTGATAAAAATCCTGGTTAAATGATCACTGCTTTCTTCTATAATTCGAGGTAATGGCTCCGGAAAGGTTTCTACGACTTGAATGTCTACTAGCTTAATGCTTTCATAGATAGGTAGCAATGTAACTTGGTATGATTGGAGCTTTGTAAACATAAATAAGAGGTTTTTGGAAGTTCAAGATGGACGTGATTGATTAATACATTTATTCTTGCTTTGAATTGGGCTTTCTTTGCTTCTTTTTCTTCAGTTTGTGGACCTTTTGTTACTTTTTTCAAGAATCGTTTTTTATGGAAGAAAGAAAAATAAAGTAATACAATAGTTGATGCTTATATGTGGTAGAAAGATCTATGGCTTGAATTTGTTAAGTATTTACTAAAGCTTTGTTCCCTTTAAATAGAGAAATAGTATAAAGAAAAGGCATAGCAGTTCAATGACAAATGGTATGTTTCCTCAATCATCTAGATTCCAACGATCATTGAATCTATGGACTTTTATACCAAGAATAGCTCTTTAAGTGCTAATTAAATTTCTTTTTTAACCTGAAATTCGTTCAATGGTGTTAACTTGGATTGTTTATTTTCTACAAACCCCGTAAAAAAGTAGATAACTTGCCTAAAAAAAATTCGCTTGAAGAAAAGGATTATAAAAAAATAAACTAAAAAGTAAATCTTTAACAACTAGGGAAAAAAATCCTTCGTTTTTTGCTGAATATGAATTCATTCATCTGTGTACGTAAAGGAAATATTCTACAAAAGTCAGAGAAATAAAAACGCATCCATACAGTTTCTTTGAAAGAAGAAAGAAACCTCTTGTCTTTAATTTTAAAGTCTTACTACTTTTCTTGTTTCTTTAATTTCTTTTAGTTCCCTATTTGTTTGTTTACTTTGCACATTGTGGGGGAAGGCGGGGGTTGCTACAGTAACAATGGCGAAATGTACGACTTTTGACTTCACCTTTCTTCCACTACGAGCTTTAAAAATGTATTGGGTTCGCTTTTCTCTACTTATTTCCGCTTTGTTTGCTGTCCTTTGCGCAGCTAATCGCGGTCCCACCATTACAGACATTGTTTACTTTGATCTGAAACAGGGCGACGACTTTTTGGGACGTGTCGAATTCGGTTTGTATGGAAAGACTGTCCCGAATACGGTAAGAACAAACGAATAAATGGAGGAAATCCATTGAATATTTTTGGAACACTTGCTTACAAAGTATCGTGATTTTAGGCCGAAAACTTTCGTGTGTTAGCAACTGGAGAAAAGGGCTTTGGCTATGAAGGATCTTCCTTCCATCGCGTGATTCCCAAATTTATGATCCAAGGAGGAGGTTTGTTCAATTTATCTTGCTTTTAATGCTTGTCAACTAACATGCTTTCGTAGACTTTACTAACCATGATGGTACCGGTGGAAAATCAAGTAAGTCTATTCTTCTTGTTTAGTCTTAGCACAAGAGGACATGTGATCCATTTTCAATGACACAATGGATGTCCTTGCAAAGCTCCAATTCCTAGTAGGTGGACTTTCTGATACTAACAATCTAGTTTATGGACCTCGTTTCCGTGATGAGAACTTTAAAATCAGTCATAGCCGTCCTGGTTTATTGAGTATGGCGAATGCCGGTCCCGATACCAATGGTTCTCAATTCTTCATCACCACCACGAAGACCCCCTGGTTGGATGGCCATCATGTTGTGTTCGGTGAAGGTATGATACTTTTCGCTTGTAGCATTCTTCTTGTCCAAGGTCTTATTTCTGTATGCTAACCTACAGTCGTTTCTGGTTATGAAATCGTTCAAAGGATTTCCAAGACCAAAACTGATAAGCGTGATCGTCCTGTTGTCGATGTTGTCATTGCCAAATCTGGTGTTCTTTCCAAAGCTGAAAATGACGAAGGAAATGAAGAGTTGTAACTCCCTGACAAGTGAATACGTGTCTCCAACGAAATGAATGGTTTCTTATTCATCCTGCATGATATTTTATATATGATCGTAGCTTTCTTTTAGATAATGCATTCTTTGAAATAGAAGACGAGTTCTGTCCGTTTCCGGTAAAGGATTCTACCATCTGTTGACATTCGCATAAGTAATCAAAATTTCTTTTAACCTTTTGTTTTTGTTTATTTTCTTTTATCTAGTGCGCAGTACAATCGTTTTCTCTAGAAATCTCTTTAATGAAAGTAGTCTGAATGTATATCCAGATTTTTTTTTTTAGTTTCTTTTATCCATAGTTTTCTTATTTAATTTTCTTTCTTTTCCATTTTTAATTTTCACTTGTCTGAGAATGAAGGCGTTTCCTGGCTACTTGGAATGGACTTGACCAACTGGCGTCTCGGGTAAACACGACCTTCACTAAACACTTTGTGGGTTAAAAGAAAATCTGCTATTTTTAACTCAAAGCATCGATTTTTCTTACATAAAGAAATAGAGAAGGCTTAAAAAGATTACTTGAAAGGAATTGAGCTCTTTTGTACATCCATATGGCGTTTGATGCAAAGAAATCGTTTGGCTCTTTACAAACTTCTGCAAATCGTGCACAGCAAAAATTAAACTCTAAATTACCTGGTATGTCTTTCTATCCTTCTGTTATCTTTACGGATTAGCTAGCAGTACACGAAAATATGAACCGTAATTTGTTGGATGAATTTCTAACCTTACTTAGCCGAATTTGCAAGAGATGGTCCTATGTACGATACAAGGGCCGTATATGGAAGTGGTCCACGTTTAAGTATCCGTCATGTCGACGTTTCAACTCTGCCACCACCTCCCAAACACTTTTCCCAACTGCATCCTAATGCATCGAGTCCAAGCAGTTCAGCGAAAGCTGCGGCCTCCCCATCTAAGCCATCCTTTTTGGCTCAATCTCCTAGCTTAACCAGCCCTTCTCCTCCTACCTCTGTCTTAAACAGCCCTTCTTCTCCTACACGATCCACCTCTCGCGCTCCTCCTCCTCCTCCTCCTGTGCGCTCACCACTAACTTCTTCTACTTTTGCAGGAGAAGAATCATCTTCCCTCCCTCCCCCTCCTTATACTTCTGCTAGTTCTATCCCACCTTCTTCAGCACCTAAAGCTCCCCCTTTACCTACTCCTACAAAAACCAATTCTCCAGCACCACCTCCTCGACGCACATTATTAACACCTGGGGTGAACACCATTCCTCCACAACCTGTTCCCCAGCCTTCTGTTTCGAAACCCCCAAAAAAGGCTCCTCCGCCAGCTCCCCCCAAACCTAGACGTTTGATTTCTCGTGACAGTACACCTTCTGCAGGTGCTATTCCTGTCCCTCCACCAATTCAAAGAAACACACGTCCATCTCTATAAACCCGTTATAGCCGGTTCTTTCGTTTCCTTTTACTGTACAATGTATACACGATCCATGAAAGGAAAAATACAAAACATATCGCTAAACCAAATCGAGAAAAACATCAGTTATGAGAAGGATGTGATTATGGTTTCTTAGAATTTTTCCTTCTTTTTTATGGTAATGACTCAATTTTCTCTAAGAGGTTGCAATGTCTTTGAATTTTTGTCTACATGTTGGATATTTGTTTACTTTACGATTATAGCTGAATACTTTGGGAATTTCGTAAATCTTGGCTCACCTTGACTCTATGATGATGAAATTTTTAGTCCGATGTTTTCTTAATTTTCTGTAGTTATTCGTATATTGTTACATGTTTGTTTCTTTTTATTTTCCACCAAATAATTTAATTCATATAACGTTTACTCCCTTCGTTTAGTTATTGGTTTCCTCAGCTTAGGTATTTAGGATTCCAGTATGTTTTTCTCAAATTCTTTTTTGAGCAAGCTAGTCCAAAAAATTGAATCCCATGCAATCATATAGGTATACATTGTCTATTTCATCTTGTTTTTTCTACCTTTTAAATCATTTCTGTTAACATCCACAAGGGCAGTGATGTTTTTAAGTTTCATCGAAGATTGCTATTTTCCATTCACTCGCTAATAAATAAAGATTACTATCATTGAAAATAAAAACGAATATGTTATATAAACAATATACTTTCACATAGATACCTTCCTTGTTTAAACAACGACCGTCTAAGGACCTGGCTTATAGTCAGTTCCATAAATTATCCTTGAATCAGAACATATTGTCAAGCTTTGTGTCTGAATTTCACTTTACATGCCGTGGAATAGAAGGGATTTTTTGGCATATGTTAACCGTTCAGTATTTTGTATTTTTTAATTCCCCGATATCAAAGTTGTTAATCGAACAAAAAAGCTTTATTTGGTTTTAGTTTTATTATTCACCATTTTACAAGTACAAAGCTTCGAATTAAAAGGCTTGGTCTGTGATGATAGATTGACGAAATAAGTCATAGCTGGCAGCTACGCAATCATTAATTCAAGTTCGCTGAGTTGTTGACAGAGCGCTAGTGAGTCGTATTCGACGCATAATTTTGTAATGTATATTTTGATTAGGATAATCCATATTAAAGAACGTTTTGTAACATTACTCCCAAAAACCAATTTCTACACCCATCGCTTGAACACTCTGTACTATTCTTTTCCACGGTTGTTTCATCAAAAGTAAAGGAAATTGTAGAGCCAGTTTTTTTAAAAAGCATTAAAAGCCAATGCCTTCTTCTGTACCGAGCATTACCCAATTTGCTGATCATACTTCTCGGACACAACCTTGCGAACCGAATAGTCATGAGCATTTGGAATCAGATAAGCCCCCTTGCACCTCACGATCCTATTCTGATGCACATATAAAGGTATCTGAAAAACTTAAAGAGCTTGTGTTTCAGCAGATGGGTGGAAATCCCGTAGGATTTCGATGGCCGGGATCCTCCAAGGGCAGTCATAACAACCATGGCAATGAAGACGAACTAGAAATGGTAATGAGAGAATTTAAAATGACTTTCCAACTAACATTGTTCAGGTGGTGGGAACTTGCATTTGCTGCAGAAGTAGTCTTCGATATCCCAAAACAGTGCCATGCTTTCGATGTGTTGTTTGCTTGACCATAAACGACTTACATCCCATCCATGGCAAATTGGACCATCAGCGAAAAACAGATAATCCATCAACTATCTCAGCGACCCTCGTCTTTCAAAAGATTAAAGAAACACGTTCCTCTCTAAAAAATGCTAAACGGAAAAATGACAAACACGCATATACTTTGGCTATCTTGTCTCTGCAGCAGTTCCTTTCACGATTGTTTCGCAATTCGCACATCCTTCTTCAAGCCTTCTCTACCGCAGAACGTGTATATAAAAGTTGCGGTCTCAACTTCCACGACATATGGCTTATGTATGAGCAACTCATGAGTTTAGATCCCTCTATTATGGAAGAGGTATTAAGAGCAACCGACAATTTGCTTCGACGACCGAAACAGCACTGTTACGATATCACTCATTATCGATTTTTGTTGATTCTGTTGGAGAATCCACTCATCACCTATAATTACAGAGAAAAGAGGTATAGTAAATTGGGAGTTTTAAAGAGAATTTTGGGAATCCTTTCCAATCTCGGAAATGAAGCCCATCGATACTTTATTTGTTGGTTTACTCAAGGCCCATATCGAAATGCCGAGTTTTTTCGAGATAAGGTCGATCTCATCAATAGGTTTATTGGACAACGATTGTCCAAGCAGTGTGAACGAATTCAATACAACTACTCCTATAATTCAGATTGGCAGATTCGTGCTGCTGCCATCAGCATGGCTCTTTTGTATGGAGCAAATTGTCAAACGAATCTTATCGTAAAAAGCTCTTTTTATTGTACCATGGTTGACTATATCAACCTCAATAAAGATTTTGAGCTATGGGAGCAGAAAAGGCATTATTTTACATTCTGTCAGTACCCTTTCCTGCTTTCCATGGGGGCGAAAGTAAAAATTATGCAATTTGATGCCCGTCGACAAATGGAGTATCGGGCAAGAGAAGCTTTTTTCTCTTCCATCCTTTCAAAAAAGGCAGTTGAACCTTATCTTATTCTTCGCGTACGACGGACTCACCTCCTAGCTGACAGCTTAAGACAAGTTAGCAAACCAGGAATCGATCTAAAAAAGTCTCTTAAAGTTGAATTTGTGAATGAGGAAGGTGTAGATGCTGGCGGATTAAAAAAGGAATGGCTTTTATTGCTTAGTCGCGAAATCTTTGATCCTAGTTTCGGGCTTTTTGAAAGTTATCCTGATGAACAATTGGACTACGTTTGGTTCAGTAGTAGAAGGAAAACCACCAACAAAGAGTACTATCATCTCGTTGGTGTGCTCATGGGCATGGCTGTGTATAATTCGGTGAATCTTGATGTAAAATTGCCGACTGCCTGTTACAAAAAGCTTTTAGGTCTGCCTCTTACTTTGAACGACGTGGCAGAATTTCGACCATCCCTAACCCACGGACTCCGGATGCTGCTGGAGTTCGACGGAGACGTTGAAGAGATGTACGGATTGAATTTTACTGTTAATGTACCAACAGAAACAGGTTATGAAACAGTAGAACTCATAAAGGATGGGGCTCAAATAAGCCTCAATAATGAAAATAAGAAGGAATATGTGGTAGCTTATTCCGACTATTTACTAAACAAATCCATACAGTCACAATTTTCGACCTTTCAAGAGGGATTTTTAAAGGTCTGCGGAGGGAATGCACTCTCGCTTTTTCAAGAGCAAGAGATGGAAAAACTAGTTAGAGGTAATGAGGAGCTCATCAATTGGGATTTGTTACGTGCAACTTGCACGTACGACATGTATAATCGTGAAACCGTCTGTAGACAAAACAGCAGGGCACATGAGAGACGGACTCACATGCTCAATGACCATTCTGTTAAAAAAATTCCTGTAATTGCTTGGCTTTGGGAAACAATTTTCAGTCTCCCAGAAGAGAAACAACGAAGACTGCTTGTTTTTATGACGGGAAGCGATCGAATCCCAGCAACTGGGATTCAAAGTATTCAGCTTCGAGTATCTATATTAGGACCGAATAACGAAAAACTTCCGATTGCTCACACCTGCTTTAACCAACTATGCATCTGGGAATATTCCAGCAAAGAAAAATTGAAGCAAAAACTAAATCGAGCAATATATGAAACGAAAGGATTTGGACTTCGATAATTGTTATATTTATTGTAATAAGGTGGAATCATTAAGGCCTTCATTAATCATATTTTTAATGTCAAACTTTAAAGATTTCCGAAAAATGTTCATATAGAAATAAATTTCTTCAATCTCAGTATAATCTATTCTTTTCGTTTGTTCTTTGTATCGTATCGTGCATGAAAAGCTTTTCATGTGTCTATAATTGTAATGATCTTCAGAATCGCTCGTGCAATTTTTCATACATATGTTGTCCGTCATCAGTTAGTTCTTAGCTTTTGAATTAGCATGATTTATCTCTGGTTCCGGAAGGATTTTACGTTGGAGATTCCTAGTCTTCAAAATCAAAATCATCATCCTCCTCATCCTCGAAGGGATCGATAAATGCTTCATCATCATTATCTTCAATGCCATCATTTCTTTGTAAATGGACACAAGCTTGACACCTTGGAGCCATCGTCTTGCGTTGAGACTTTGAAAACGCAGCAACAGGTTTGTCCTCATTACAGGCAGGGCAATTCAGTACGTCTGCTTGCTTTGGTTGACACGATGAGCAAATTGCTTTAGCTTCAGAGATTGCTACGATTTCACCACGCCAACTTCGGTACCCTTTCTGCCATTGGGATTTGTTGTACCCATTACGGCCTTTAGCTAGCTTGCATCGCATGCACGTTAAAAAGTTGTTCTTCTGCGTCGAAGAAACTTCTTTAGAAATTGAACGATCGTTTCTCACTCCTGTAGACGACTCTTGATTTCGTCCAAATTTGTACATTTCACTTTGAGAGATTGAAACAAAAGGTGGGGGAGAGCAACTTAAGCTTAAATTATTAAAGATTAAGAAATAAAGCTCTTATTATAATGAAACAATGAAGTTTTCAGTCAGTATGTACAAACGAATACAGTATTCGTAGCATTTGGTAAAAGGCAAGAGAGGAACATTCTGTTACATCCCATTCTTAGGAAGCAATGAATTATTAATCAAGAAGACAATTAAATATATAGGTTTTGAAACTAGCAATTGCTACATAAAAATGGTATTCCTTTGCGATACAAACATAATCCGTACCGTACTGGGTACAAACTAGTAATCAGCGGAGACTTTCTAATACACGCTTTTTGCTCAGTTTTTAGATGCTTCGAGTATTTTAAAAGGGAACTCTGAAAGTTGAGTTTAGTTCTCATCTCTTACATCTTTCTACTTGTCAAAATTGATATCCTACAACAGCTAATTGTGTTTTCACGTAACTATAAAATTCCGATATCTGCTTCTATAATTACTATCCGCGGGGAATGCTGATGTCTCTGGGAAAAAATTGAAATATAACATACTGATTTTGCAACAATGATGACTGACAGAGAAAAACCCTTACGAGTATTGTTGGTGGACTGTTATGATTCTTACACCTTTAATGTTCATGATTTAATTCAGCGTGCTTCTAATGAATGTTCCATTACCACTGTACATTGGGATACAGGTGGTCTTGATCTGTGGGACAGTCTTTACTTTTTTGACGCCATCTTTATAGGACCTGGCCCCGGGAGCCCGTCAGAGTATGCTTCTGTCCTTGATAAAGTGTGGCATTCTGATATACCGACACTAGGAATTTGCTTGGGATTCCAATCTCTTGCTCTGCATTATGGATGTTCAGTGGACAAAATGCTTACACTTCCTTGGCACGGAAGGATTTCCAACATATTGACCACGAACGATTCAATTTTCCAGGATTTGCCCTCGGTCAAGGGCATGAGATATCATAGTTTGTGTGTTGATTCCATCCCTACTGGTGCTCTTCGAGTCCTTGCAAAGTCAGTAGAAGACCAAATCATTATGGCAATTGAGGCAATAGAAAAGCCTCATTATGGGATTCTTTACCATCCAGAAAGCGTTGGCTCATCTGATGCCGTTAGCATTGTGCAGAATTTTCTTAATATTGTCCGGAAGTTTCGAACGAAAAAGCCCACTTCATCTTCAACCTATACAAATTTTGATGCACTAGACATCCAGCCATCACCATTCATTAAAAATCCAAAAACACCCTCACTACGGATTCATAGTCAGGAAATACCATGGGTTGATCCTCTAACGGCTGTCGAATATCTCAACAATGCAAACAAGCCCGTCTGTTTTTTGGATTCAGCTAAAAACCCAGGAAAGTTTTCGATTATTGGCTTTTTCGAGGGGCCCTTAGCTCATTTTATCCATTATAAAAAATCGGTAAATACTACTTTTATAGTTAATTGTCAGAATAACCTCGAGAAAGAATACAAAGGAGATTTTTGGGAAAGTGTTGCAAAGTTTATGGAAGAGCATAAAGCTTTTCCTATTGAATCCGCTTTACCATTCCATTGCGGAATTATTGGAGCAATTGGTTACGAATGCAGCGAATACTCTTCTAGGTCAATAGCAGAAACATCATTGTTTCCTCAAAGCCACAAAAATAATAAAAGAAATTATGTTGATGCCGAACTTGCTTTCGTCGATAGGTCAATTGTGTTTGACCTCGAAAAAGAAAAAGCTTATGTTCAAACACTACTTCCTTCAGATGATTCAATACGTATCTGGTGGGAAGATTTGCTCTTCGACCTTCAGAACTTTCAAAAAAATAAGATTAAAACATATAGTTTTGGATCGGTAAATAAAATACCGACTGAGCAAGAATATTGCAACCATGTACAGAAATGTCAACAAAGATTACTGGCCGGTGATTCCTATGAAATGTGTTTAACAGATACTACATTTGTATCAGCCCATCCAAATATGTCTGATTATGACTTGTACTTACGTGCCCGTTTTCATAACCCTGCATCGTTTGCCGGTTTTCTTCGTTTTCCTCATTTAACATTACTATGCTGTTCACCGGAAAGGTTTATGAAATTTAAGGACTCAACATGTCATTTTTCTCCTATCAAGGGTACTCTAAGAAAAGATCTGCAAATGACCTATGAAGAAGCAAGAAGCAAATTATTAAATCCCAAGGATACAGCAGAGTTAAATATGATTATAGATCTTATTCGAAATGATTTGCATCAATTGGCGAAGAAAAATTCAGTTGAAGTTCCCCAACTTTATCAAGTTGAGGAGCATCCTACTGTTTATTCTCTTTTATCGCATATCTACGGTCAAGTAGACAAACCTATCACCGCATGGGATGTTTTAGCTAAGTGCTTCCCTCCAGGATCCATGACAGGTGCTCCTAAGCTAAGGACTGTTCGAATGCTTGAGGACTTGGAGCCTCATGGCCGTGGTATATATTCTGGAACATTAGGATATTGGGATGTTAGCGGTTCCTCGGAATTCAACGTTATAATCCGATCAGCCTTTAAATACACTGAAGACAATCTATGGAGAATTGGCGCTGGTGGTGCCGTAACTGTTTTAAGTACGTCGTTAGGTGAATATGAAGAAATGCTGTTAAAAGCTAACAGCATTCTGCCTGCGTTTTGTAAAATTGATCTTGAACAGAAAAAGACATAATGATAAAGTGATTAAAGTGCAGTTTAATAGATATTTAAATAGAATTAGGGGTGACGGTAAGAAACAGCGAATGTAAAAGTAATAGTATATAGACTTTCCTGTTTGCGATGTCCTTAATTAGTTGAAGAGAGGCTTAGTGGATGCCCAAGGAATAGATCTTGTACCACAGTGGAATGGCGCTGACCCACGACTAGTAGATCCTCGCTAGTTATATCCTAATTAATTAGTGATAGTAGTGAAGCCAACTTACCTTAAATTGAAGTGCTGCTTGCTCTGCTGCGATTTGAATAGCTTCCCCTTTCTTCAAAGAATGACCGATTCCTCTAACGCAATCATCACACCAAACTTCAGCAAGCCAAACTATATTATTCGTGTCACGAAGAGTCACATGAAGATGTTTGAGTGAAACAAAGCGTGGATTATGCATTATTGAACTCGCAGCTTCTATAGGTCTCCCATAAATTGGGCTAGTGTAGTTCCATTCTTTTAAAGGGCGGCCTGTAAGTTTAAGGTATCTAGCTCTAATAATTCTCATTGCTTTCTCATCGTTTGTAAATGAATCCACTTGAGTTAAATATTCTAGGACAGCAGGTTCAGTAAGGAGTGCCTCTTGTGAGACATGATATTTTTGAGCAATAGGCAGAGACTCCAAAGGATGATTATATTTATAATTTGCTGAAGGAAGGTTGTCACGATTTCTTACTTCCCGAATGTTTCTTAAGGCGTTTCGATATTTTTCTACCTTCGGCTCTACTTTTCGAACGGAAGAATGCTTCTCGATCTCTCTCGATATATTTTGAATCGAAAGCTCTTTTTGATCGGCTTTTTCTCGTAACAGAATCTAAAGGTTAGTAAAGGTACAATAGCACATACATACCAAAGATTTATTTAAATTTGCTTTTAAAAGTAAGACTTTTTCCATGAGGTCCTTTGAACTTTGCTTGAATTTAATGTCTTGCGAGGTTAAATTATTTGAATAGGTTTCAATATGTTCAATAAATTGGTTTATAGAGGATAAATGTTCAGCACGCTGCTCTAAAATTTGCTGTTGTGTCCTCAAATGAAACGCAACCAGCTCTAAATCTTTCGGTTCTAAAGTTAGTGAATCATGATCAGTCACCGACTTTGGCCTCAGCAGGCAGGACGGATATAAATATGCAGCATTAGCATCTACCGGCAGACTTAGCGAAGCATTGGAAACAGCACACAAAATACTAAGTAATGATTTTGACTTTGGCTTTGCTAGTTGCAATGCTTCGTTAATTGAGTCATATTCTTTTTCGAGACGAGATTCTTCCTCAAGAAGCTCTTCATGAGCCGGGCAATCCTTCAATCCTAGTAGGTCGAAAAACCTATTTACGTCGTTTGTAATAGATTGAAAATTTGCCTCGGATTATGTTAATTGTCTATCGTAAAAAGTCTTTACATACGTGCTCTGCAAGCATTTCAGTCTGTAGCGTTCGATGCTCGTCCATATCAGAATCTAATTTGGTCTAAAATAATAATTAGGATGAAGTAGCATATAATTTTCGTACCATTTCTTTCTCCAAGTCTCCGACTCTGTCTCGAATATGCCTCTTTTGCTCACTGATCTCAAGCTTTTCAGTTTGTAAGGATTTCTAAACGTTAGCATATTTGGGTTTAGGGTCATCGTACCATTTCTCTTTGATAACTCTTTATTTTTTCCTCGACTTCTGCTGTAAAAACCTTGTTTTCAGCTTCCAAGTGCTCCTTGGTAAACAATTAGCAAAAATGGTTCAAGCGAGTTCATTCATACTATTTTTTCAGACATAGCACTTATTTTTTTTAGTTCGTCATCGGAAAGATCATTGCTGGTGGTTTTAACAACTGGTTTGTCTGAACTGTATGTTTGTTTAATAAGTTTATCATTCTGTCTCAAGGATGGAGACGCAGAATCATAAGGAAACATGTTTCATTAAACAATTTCAGGATTGAATACCGACTTTGGAGGTTTCACAATTGTTTGTATATACGTAGCTCGAATTGCTCTACGGACCAGTGATTATTCAAGTCTGTTGTTTGCAAAACTTTGCTTTATTACTTTAATTTGCTTTTAGACTAGAGATGTTCTCTAGAATAGTCAAACTTTGAAAATGATTTCGTGTTTAGTACAGGTAGGTTGTTTACAGTATTTGGTTAAATGGATATTTAATATGGCAATGTAAAGCACATAAGAGCAATTCATTAATTTAAGTAATATACACATTTATATAAATAAATAAAAAGAAAAAGATTTTAGAAACAAAAAACATGAAAAATGAAAGAGGTCCAATTCAATATGCATATCTCAGCTAAGTTTATTAGACTCTATGTCCATACTAAGCAATGCTTCATGCCATGAAAGAAAGGGATGAGAAGAAGCTGTATTAGATTCAGTAGACGAAGGGTGTTTCTCATAACTGGAATGTGAATCCATTTCTAATGATGTAGCGTTGGAATTTGCTTTTAATGAATGCCCAACGGGCAAATCTGAATCTTTCGAAAGTTCTTGTATCCATGTTTTCCATGCAAGGTATCCTTCTTGCACACTGCAAATTTCGGATGGACGATCGTTGCCTGGAAAGCTTGACTTTTGTTGTGTAGCTAGATATTCACTTTGACACTTTGAGGCTACTGTTTTTAACTTGCTCAACTTTTCCTTAGCATTAACTGAGACAGATCCCATGCTTTCTAGAAGATGAATACACTTTAAAAAAGGCTTGTCATCAGTAACTCGTGTAACGAAAAGCAAGAGAGACATCGAAGCTGCCATATACAGAATTTCATACTCCAAAGAAAAGCAATTGTCCAATTGATTATTCTCTTGTAGTAGTAAGATAAGTGACAAAATGGACTGTACAGACTGAAAACATGAATTTGAATCTAGAATGACGGACGTAGATTCCGTTACCAACGAAAATTTTGAGGAAAAAGTATTGTACTTTAAGTGATAAAATACAACAGTTTGAAAAAGTAACAGATTGAAATGGTGATATAAAAGATGCAAGAAGACGCTTCCACGAAACAAAGAATTTGTACGGTCATGCATATCATTTACTTGTTGATGAGGAAGGCTCTTTTTCCATTCATTAATTTTCTCAGAGGCACCCTTAACCTTCGATAAAAGCGCGGCATAATCCTGCTCTTGATTGGAGTGAATTCCTGTTGGATTATATATGGACAGCAGTGAAGGAACTGCAATAGAAAAAAACTTGATCGTACTTGTAAAATAAAAAACGGTTGATGGAAGATGAGGAACCTCTAACTCATGTATAATATTCGGCAAGTTGTGGAAATAAAGATCGTTGACTGGAAACAAAGAAATTATTGGGGTAATCCCAGCCTGTAAAAACAAGAAAGACGAAATTACACGAAGAGACCACAGAATTCTTCGATTTGTTTCTTGGGCAACTGAGTCATCTAAGGTTTGGGTAGAATCCATTACTTCCAGTCCAATGACACGAGCTATATGAAAAGCTAATCCTACATAGGAATAAGCTTCCTTTTTTCTATCCATTAATAAACATTGAAATGCGACAATAGCAATTCCCTGCACAGTGGACAGACTGAATTTTGGTAAGAGGAAGAAGAGCAATTGCTCACTGAGGTTTAGGAGCTCAAATGCATTTTCTATAGGTTCTTTGATATGAATTCCATCGTTGTTTGCGGTCAATTGGCCAAGAGCCATAATGCTCATTGATACAATAAGAAAACCAATGTCCAAATTATTGGGCAGTTTGGGAATATTATAAAAGATTTGATAACGTTTATAGAAAAAGGCAGGCGGATAAAGTTGCAAAAAACATTGAAAACGAACAAAAAAGATTTGAGACAGTTGCCTTGCTGTTTCTAGAGAAGGTAGCAATTGACAAGCTAAAAGAGACAGTGACTCAAAGTATTGCGATGTAACATTTGATGATTTTAAGTCAGGACTTGGTCCCAATGAGATTAAACCACGCTGAAGAAGCACAGGTAAACAAGACTTGAATGCTTCCACAGATTGTAAAGAGGGTGAGAGCGACTCTGAAGTCAGACACGGAGAAGCACGTTCAAGGACATTTAGGGATGAAGCTAATTCCTCCAAAAAAACAGAAGACGAAGTTGGACCTATAAGGACCGGCCCTAACGTATCATGAGACAGACGTTCATTGGGTACAAAATTGGTTGCATGTTTTATTGTTTTTGCAAAACGATCCGAAATGGACCCTTCAGTCAAAAGACATTGATCAGGAACTCTGGGTTCAGAGGAAACGTATACTTTCTGTTGATTCGTAGACTCTTCGGAAGTCTCTTCTTCAGAGTTCAAAGAAAATTTGCAAAGAGTTTCATCAATGACTGCAGGCTTGATCAAAGAAGCAAGTGGTGTTCCTTGTTTGATATTAGACTCTAAACTTTTGCATAGTTGGACTAACGCTTGTGTACATTGAGGGACAGAAGGGCAAATGTGTTCAAATAAGTATTCGAAACATTTTTGTCGTTTACTTAATTCTGCGATATACTGCTTGGACGGGGTCCTTTCCTTCTCTACATCCGTATATACACATTGACTTCCTAAAGCTAGACAGGAATGACACGGTACCGTTCCTGTACAACGACTTTTTTTTAACCGACAACCCAAACAAGCACGTCGAATTCGCTTTCGAATGTCAGCAGGGACCCTACGCTTCTGTTTGCTGGATTCGGTTTTTTCTTCCAGATATAGCGGCCGACTAGAAAATCCCTTCAACGGCATCAGAATAAAAAGTAATATGCCTATATTAAAAAAAAAAAAACTACATGATTCCCACAAGTTACGATTTTCTTCAGTTGCTCATCGGGCGTAGCTACCCGTTTTCTAATTGAAGGTAGTTTGAGTTAATTTAAGCGAGTTGGCATTATTTACTGATGTAGCAGGAAAGCATTGCGTAGACCAGATTGTGTTTCCATGAAGCATAAAAAGTCAATAAATTACAATTTGAATAATAAGCGTCTTGCTAAGTCATGAGCCACCTCTTTTTTGGATTCTAGTGCAGATGCATAGTTTGTGTGTTTTCTAACTGAAACAGTCCAAACTCTTACAGCCATAGAGTACCGACTTTTAATTCTTAAGTAGAATACTAGAAGTAGCTCTTCTGCCTTCCCACTATAAAATTCAGACTCGTCCACTGGGTTATTGTACTAAAAGGGTATTTAATATCATGTGAAAATTTTTTTTTGGAATAATACCTTTTCAATGGAGTAAGCCGTTTAGAGCTATTCTAAGATGAAATCTTTTCATCTAAACTGTGAAGACTCCTTTTCTCATTATCATAGAAGAAGTTCCTTGCTGTAAATAATATCGTAATACAGTAGAATATGATATACCAGCAAAAGAACAAATATTCGATCATAGCCAAGACCAAGTAGGAAAGAAATATTTAGATTGGTCTTTAATTATTGAGATTCTAATACCGCCACATTTCTACTACCAAAATCGTTGATCTGAAAACTTACCCTCATACAACGATCGAAAAAGAAAATTTCAGACGTACATAGGAAAGAGGTTTCTTCCTCTTGTAAACCCAATCTTTCATATTTGCTTCTTTACAATCTCTGTATCTTTCTTTCTCTTAGAGCTCAAAGTAAGGCATTTCTGACGCAAAGTCGTTTCTCTCGTTTCATTTACTTTCTTTGCGAACCGAACCTAGCAAGTCCTAATCAAAGGCTTTTTGTTTGAGAAGTTTTCCTTTTTTTAAAGTTTCCTCTATAATATGTCTTCGAATTATCCAAAGTGTGTCGTTTTTGATTTAGATTATACATTGTGGCCTCTATGGATTGATACTCATGGTATGTAACAACCATCAAAGCATTCTGCTTCTGCAGCTTTCAGCATGAATTTCTAATACCAGTAGTCACTCCACCATTTCGGGCATCGAAAAATAATCCTCAAGTCATTCTCGATCGGTATGGGACCGACATATCTTTTTATAAAAATGTAACGGATATCCTTCAACAATTAAAAGATGCCCAAGTAAAGCTTTGCATCGCAAGTCGAACCCACGCTCCTAAATTTGCGTACCAAGTATTAAACCTGATGCGGGTTCCAATTGATGGTGAATTGCAACCGGCTTCTAAGTTCTTTACCAACATTAAAGCATTTCCTGGTAAGTACAATAAAAAAAAATTGGAAATTATGTCGTTGACATATACCTCTAAAAAAGTCCCATCTCTAACATGATAATGATAGCAACCAAAATCGATCATTTCGAGCAGCTCCATAAAGAAACTGGAATAAGCTACAAGGATATGCTTTTTTTTGATGATGAAGGTCGTAACCGAGTTGTAGAATCTTTGGGCGTTACCTTCTGTTTAGTACCCGATGGCCTTAATCGTGCTTCTTTTGAAGAAGGCATTAGAAAATGGCAAAAAAATAGAAAATAACTTGAAATAGCCTATCTGAATGATATTTATTAAGACCCTGATACCAAGTCTTTTATAAAAAAGAACAAAAGTCTCTACTACTAATAAAATATACTTGAAAACAAAAAATTTTCTACTTCAATTGTAGCAATATAAGAACCATGGAATTTTTTCTATTCTTTCATAACATCTTACCAATAATAGATACTCTCAGGGGTATACCTACTAGTTTTTACCCAGAGTTCAAGCTTTTTTAGCTTCTGTGAGAGCTTTTTTTTTTCTTTCCTTTATTCCTTTAACCGGTCCATATATTCATTTCTTACCCAAGAAAACTTTCCCTATCCATTTTTTTTTTACAACAGAACTAACTCCTCAAGCGCCAAATCTATGCTCGTAAAAAGTACCTGGAACATCCGTGCTCATTAACATATCGGCTATCGGCCGCTCAACTACGAGAAGCTCGGCTGCTCCAACCAAGCCAACCAGTAACATAGGACGATACTTATGCGTAATCCAAAACGACCTAGATGTTCCTGTTCCAAATTTGGATGTAGCGGTGGAATTCTGAACAGCAGCACGTTGCTTTGTTGACGAAACTCCATCGACAGTTCCCTCCATTTTGCGCTTTTCAGCATTTCGAGGTGCTGGAAGATTTAAGTTCAAATCAAAGAAAGATACATAATTTGCAGACCAAATCCAAAATCGGCTTGGGTTTTGTATATCGAAAAACGCACCAAAAGGCTTGTCTAACAGATGTGCGAATGGTTTTGGCATATTGTTCAAATTTGCCTTGGACCATTCTGTCAGCTTTCGGCTTTGAACATCAAACTCAAAAACTTGATTGCCTGCGGTCACAACCGCCAAACGTCCACCAACGTCTGGTCGGAAAGCCATGGCTCGCACAAAGCTATTTACCCTGGGCAACTCGATGTAGGACAAGGTCGAAAGTGAGTAACAAAATGTATTTCCATTCAAATCAGCAACAGCAAAGTAATCACCGTCTGGTGAAACAGTTACCGTGGCAATGCCTTCGCATACAGTTTGAGCATTTGCTTTGGATTTAGCAGGTGCTTTCTTAGTTTCGGGTTGAGAGACCTCAAACACTTCAAGCTGATGTGTCTCAATTCGACTCAAGTCAATCAAGAAAATATCAGACTCGTTGCTAATCAAAATGAGTTTCTTCATGTCAACTGTAAACTGTAATAAGGTAGCGCCAACATTGGCCAAAAACGCATCTTCAATACTTTCCACATAAACCTTTTCATCTGTATAATGAATACGATACAACTTAGTAGTCAAAATAGTAGATACCGCAAGCAGTTCTCCGTTTTGTGAAATGGCTGCATGTACAATATTTTCTTCATTTGGTAAAACAATTTTCAGAAGGAAACGGTAGCCTGGAGATCCAATTCTCCAAACCAAAACTTGATGATCTTCCCACAACATAAATAGTCTAGCTTTAGTAGCAATTGCCATACGAGGTTTTTGTGGAACAGCTGGTATCATTCGATGATGCTTTGAATTAAATTGGCGAACAGGCACAACTGCAAGCATCATGTCTGTACCACCCGAAACCAGGACATCTACCGTTTTGCATTCAAGGATGGACATACAGCGAACATCATGAGAATGAAATCTCCGGAAGCTATTGCTTACCCATTCACGCTTGCCACCATCTCTGGTATACTGAATTGTCTTGCGATCAATACCAGAAGAGAAGACTATATTGCCATTGCTGGATACAGCTAAAGTCAGTGCATCAGCCGAATGGAGCTTGAACGACTGGGTAAGAGTAAAATATTTTCCGTTCCAGAACTTGACTGCTCCGGAAGAATCTGCTGTAACAATCGTATCATCGTTAAGTGACTTGACATCCCATACAAGTGAACGACTGCCTTTCTTAGCGCGGTCAACTTGCATTCTGGCAATAATTGTGGAGTTTGGACTTTCGACATCCCAAACTTTTACTATTCCATCTGCACATCCTCCGACAAGATGGTTCTTTCCTTGCCAACATAGAGAGAGAATACGAGAAGTCTGTCGCATCAATGTGCGCTTATACTCTATGACACCACGTCCTCCATTAATGTCAAATAAAACACAGCTACCATCGTCACAACCGATAGCCAATGTTTTTGTTTCCTCGTGAAGCGAAATAGACCATATTGCACCAGCATTAGAATCTTGGTGCACTAATGGCTTACCAGTTCGTAAATTCCACTCGGTGATAGAAGTAGAAAATCCAATACTAAATAATCGTAGTTCCTCTTCACTCACACTCCAGGCGAGTCCTTCAACGCTTCGATTCAGACCACCATAAAGGACCCCCTTTAAGCACCAGTCTCCCTTTGGTGTCCATATCTCAATATTTCCGTTGGCACGTCCGACAGCCAAATGTAAATTTGAGGGCAAGGGATCCTGTGAAGAAAGTTGATGCGAAAATGCAAGCGCAGTGATGGGAGAAGGAGTATACTCCACGAAACGACAACGATGAATATCCATAATAGATTAGAATTCTGAATCCTTTCTTTTAAAGTATAAAAGGAAGAACAGATGTTTTAATTATTATAATAATTTAAAGAACCCGACTACAAAAAGATGCGGATTGTGCTAAAATTCCAACAAAACCAAAACGAGTATAAATCGAGAATTGTAATGCGACCACAACTAAAAGATATTTTCCCTACCTATCTTTTTGCTTCCAACCTTTCTTTAACTGAATTGACACGAATAATGCAAAATTTCAGTGTCCAAAGAAGGATGAAAAAATGACAATGCAAAGTACGCGTGAATTAACACCCCGAACCTAGTGCTTTTCACTTTTAAAAAATAAGCAAAGTACAGGAAATCAATGGAAATTTAATTTGCCTGGTTTCATTAATTTCCAGTGCTTTTTACACTGTAGCAAGGTCGTGGTAGTGGTCAGCGAAATTTCAACAGGTTACTGAAAATAACGATGGTGGTTGAAAATCCAAGGAGAAACTAAATTGCAGACGAACAACAGAGAAAACTTCTTGTACTATTTCAGTTTTAATTTTATGTGTAATAAGATTTTCTTTTTTTCCACGTACGATGATTTTCTTGAAAACTTGCAAGGAGAATAGTGCACTCCCTTGAACGGGAGAAGGAGGAAGCCATTGAATCAACAGACCGAAGATGCTTTTACATCTTTATAACTTCTCTAATTTATAAAGTCAATTCCTGTGTTATTGTGCAAGTTTTGGATCGTCTAACCATCAGGTCCCTTAGGATACAGTGAACATACGACCTTCCATTAACCAACCACGGAGGAAAGCCTACTGAATCTTCGAAGGAGATTATAAAGAAGAAATGGTGCAGTTCGAAGCAACAGAAAAGCAATTTAAGCTTCGTCGCGAGGATTGTTGCTTGTTGATTGATCGTGCAACGGGAGGCATCCAAGTTACGCCAGAGGAATTGGATTCCGAAGACCGCAAAAGTGAAAACAGCGTTACTATATTTGGATCTATTAAACTGAAGAACGATGAATATCTGATTCTTGCTACAGAACGGTCTAGCGCTGCTCAGATTTTGGGCCACAAAATTTATCGCGTGGAAAAGTTTGAGGTGATTCCTTACATGGGGCGACTTGCGACCGACCAAGATGAATTAGATTTATACAATTTGCTTCAAAACCATTTGAAAACAGGACCTTTTTACTTTAGTTATACTTGGGATCTAACCAACTCTTTGCAACGGTCTTGTGCAGAGGAAACCAAGAATTCGAATGTTTCTAGAAGTGATAATCGATTCTTTTGGAACGAGTTTGCCAGCAAAAAATATATTGAAGCGATCCAGGCGCACCCAGAAGCTGCCTCATTCGTTACGCCTATGATTTATGGCTTCATTACTTCCTCCACATGCATGGTGAAAGGCCGCTCAGTCACTTTAGCACTTATTTCTCGCCGTTCCAAATTCCGTGCAGGAACACGTTATTTTACAAGAGGGATTGATGAAAATGGAAATCCTGCCAACTTCAATGAAGTAGAGCAGATAACCATTGTTTCGGATGAACGCTCTGAAATCACATACTCTCATGTTCAAACTCGTGGAAGTGTCCCGGCCTACTGGGCAGAAGTGAATAATCTTCGCTATCGTCCGCGAATGATCACTAACTCGGCATCTCTTGCTACTAAGGCAGCACAAAAGCATTTCGACGAGCAAATTGCTATCTATGGCGATCAAATTATAGTAAACTTGGTAAACTGCAAAGGACACGAACTTCCCGTTAAACAGGTTTATGAAAATGTGGTACGACGTCTCGATAATCCTCGCATCCATTATCACTATTTTGACTTTCATAAGGAATGCAGCCGTATGCGGTGGAACCGTGTTTCGTTATTGATGGACGAGATCCTTCCAGAGTTGGACGAGCAAGGATATACTACCCTCGACACGCAAAAATATCGAGTACTTTCTAGACAAACGAGCGTCGTCCGCAGCAACTGTATGGATTGCCTAGATCGAACCAATGTGGTTCAAAGCTGTATTGGGCGACACGTTTTGACAAATCAGCTTCGCAAATGCGGTCTACTTGGCGCTACCCATCCTCTTCGTTCCATCCTTCCTTTGGAAAAAAGCTTCTGTTGTATTTGGGCTGACAATGCTGACCACATTAGTACGGCGTATTCCGGAACAGGTGCTCTAAAGACTGATTTTACCCGTACTGGAGTTCGCACTCGTCGAGGTGCGTTTGATGACTTCGTTAATTCTGCTAAGCGATACATCTTAAACAACTTTTATGATGGTGCTCGTCAAGATGCCTATGATTTGGTATTGGGTCGCTTTATTCCTTCTTCCGACTTTCATTACCGTCTTGATTTACGCCCTCTTACCATTCGTTGTATGCCTTACGTGTTATTAGCATGCGTACTCTTGTTTTTCTTTTCCTTGTTCTCCAGATCTTCTACGGCGGTATTTTCCCCGCACATTCTTTTGCTGCTTTCCTTTCTTGGTATTTTGGCTTCCACTTTCTACTGTGTTTCTCGCGGAATGCAATACGTCAATTGGCCTCGTCTTTTGCTTCCAACTTTTTTGCATTCCGAATTCACTTCTGAAGGTCGAGTCTTTCTCCCCAATAGTCAATTGGCAACTCAGTACAAAGCCCAAAATGACTGAGAAGAAGACTCTTAATTCAGAAAAATTCTATGACCATATCGCCAGAACAGGAAGATATACGTTTTCTTTTCCCTCGTGCTTGACTTTGATTTGATGAAATAACAAGAAGGTTTTTGTTTCCCATATTGTTCTTTTTGTTTCTCTCTGTGACCCACTGTGAGATGATCTTTCAATAGATTCTGATCTTTTGCGACGACTCCTTTCTTGGTATGAATTATGAGATCTATTTAATTACGTATCTATCTATAACGAATGGAAACTATTTTCCTCAATGGAAACATCAAGACTAGAAATATACTGCAAATAATCACAATCTCTGTTTCTAATCTCAACTATAACTTCTTCCAACATTCGTAAACCATCATTTCTGTTCTTTATTGCTTGCTATAGTATTAGTATTTATAACTCTACCTTTTTCTTCTTTTGCCCTGCGCTTCACTATTGTTCAGTAAGCGGGTTTAGTGAGAATCTACCATATACTATGCTATCTCTTTATATCAAGTAGTGAAAAAAGCGAAAACGGGTAAAATGAACTTGGAAAGTGCTGTTCACTCTTTATAAACAAGAAGTATCGGCCATGAGCACTCAGGAGAAATTGGCCAATAACCCAGTTAATGGCTGGGTTGTCCAGAAATTCGGCGGAACGAGTATTGGAAAATTCCCAAATAAAATCGCAGTCGATGTTGCCAAGTAAGTCATGGATGCAATCGTTACTCAAAGCATGATTCAAAAATTGCGACAATTGTTAAGCAGACTCGGAGTGATCTTCTGGAGAGGAGTCGCTCAACTGGCTTTCATTTGGTAAAAATGCACGATGATTGTCCCTAGAAACATTTCACTCCTTACACCAAATTTGTGGAAGGACGCGTGAAAAGAAGCCTTGTATCATGTTTATGCTTATCAATCAGACTTGACTTTCTGCATGGAAGCCAGGTCTGTCTTGTCGTTACCTTATAATATAATTCAAGAAACTAATGATTGCTTAGATCTTATTTAAAAGAAAAACGCGTTGTTTTGGTCTGCTCTGCTCGCAGTACTGACACCAAAGCAGAAGGTACCACGAACCGTCTGATTCGCGCTGCTGAACAAGCTCTTAAACAGCATTCAACATCTTACGATATCGTTAATGCCATTGAACAGGATCATATACAAGCTACTAGTGACTTTATCGGAGATATCAATATTCAAGAAAGATTGTTTAAAGAAATTCGTCATGATTGTGCCGAATTGGAGCAGTATTTGAACGCAATTCGTGTTCTGACTGAAATCTCTCCCCGTACACGTGACCTTGTTCTCGGTATGGGTGAACGCTTGAGTTGTCGTTTTATGGCTGGTATCTTGCAAGATCAAGGCGTCGATGCCGAGTACGTCGACATGTGCCATATCCTTGATGAACATAAAGAGTGGAAATCCCTTGATGCATCTTTCTATAGCTATGTCGCCAACCAGTTAGCTAGCAAGGTCACTGTGCTTGGCAACAAAGTTCCTGTTGTGACTGGCTTCTTCGGTATGGTTCCCGGAAGTTTGTTGTCTCAGATCGGTCGCGGTTACACTGATTTCTGCGCTGCTTTATTAGCCGTCGGTTTGGCTGCCGATGAATTGCAAATTTGGAAAGAAGTCGACGGTATCTTTACCGCCGACCCTCGAAAAGTACCGACTGCTCGCTTGCTTCCTTTAATTACTCCCGAAGAGGCTGCTGAATTGACTTACTATGGTAGCGAAGTAATTCATCCTTTTACCATGTCTCAAGTCATCAGTGCCCGCATTCCCATTCGCATCAAAAACGTTGGCAATCCCGGTGCCCCAGGAACCGTTATTTTCCCTGATACAATCTCTCGTCATGGCAGTGCTACTCCTCCTCATCCTCCCAAGGTTATGCCTGATGATTCGGAATATGAATCAGCACGTAAGGGTCCCACTGCTGTCACCATCAAGGATACTATTATGGTAATCAATATAAATTCCAATCGAAAGATTTCTTCACATGGATTTTTGGCCTCTATCTTTGCCATTTTTGACAAGTACAAGCTTGCTGTTGATTTGATTATCACCTCTGAGGTCCATGTCTCTATGGCTCTGAATCAAGAGTCAGATGAAAATAGCTTACAGGATGCTTTCGTCGAATTGCGTCGTTTGGGTACCCTGGATGTTTTGCGTGGTATGGCTATTTTATCTCTTGTAGGCAAACACATGCGTAATTCAGTTGGCATATCTGGTCGCATGTTTAGCACCCTTGCCGAAGCTGAAATCAACCTTGAAATGATTAGTCAAGGTGCCAGTGAGATTAACATCTCTTGCGTTATTGACGAGAAGAATGCTGTTAAGGCTCTTAACTGCATCCATAAGGATTTGCTCGAACCCTCTACAATTCCAGAGGTTCCCTCCCATGCTTCCTTGGTTGTTGAGAAGCCATGGCTTTACAGTGTTTGAACAAAAATGGATTAAATGGGTGACCTTACATTAAATGTTGTTCATTTCAAGCTTTCTGTTCTTTGATTATTTATTCATATCTGCTATTGCAATATTTAGCATGAATGTTACGGTTTGAAATGGAAAGTGTTTTTACATAGAATTTATAGGTTTGATTTCTTTTTGTTTTAATGAAAACTTTCTTTTTACATTTTTTGATGGCTATATGGTTAAATGTAGAGTCGAATATTTATTATTGATATGCTAATGAACATCCATATAACCCAAAAAATTTCCAAATTGTATTACTATGTACCGTAATTAAAAAACAACCCTCTATTTATCAGCCTTTGCCTTTTTGTTCTTCTCAATATTCTTCTTTTTATTACGAAGACTATTGTTGTAGTTTTCCTTCTTAACATTGGCATTTTCCAGCTTGTTGTAAAGTTTTCTTTGTTTGTTGCTCATCATCATCTTAGAGAGCTCCTTAGCTTCTTTCTCGTCTTTCTGATCCGCGTTCATGGTATCGCGAGAACGCTTCTTAGACTTGGAAGGCTTACTGTTCTTAATGTATTCAGAATATTCAACACCAGCAGCTTCAGCTTCAAGTTCTCGTTGATGTTCAAGTTCGGCCTTTTCGGTCTCATCTTCTTCAACATCAGCAGTAGGTTCTTCAACTCTCTCTTTTTCTGGAGCCTCAATAGCCTTCTTGTCTTCATTAGCTTCGACATCTTCTTCTTCCTCTTCTTCGCCAGCTGATACTTCATCTTCAGGGTTATAGTCATTTTCGCTAACCTTGACGAATGGACTAAGATGGGGAGGGAGGGTTGCTCCAGGAACATAGAGATCCGTTCTTTCCAAATGACCCTTGTTCACTGAATCGTAAACCCATTGAGGCTGAATGTAGACACGACCCTCGTATTTCTGAGCAAGGTGAGGACGGTCACTTATGTGATGAGTAATTACTGGGTCAGATTCAGCATATGGAGATCCAGCACCAAGAACAGGGTCCCAAGCAACTTTGCCGCCAAAAGCACGAATTACAAACTCCAAAGAAAAGCGAGGAACTTCTCGAGAAAGGTAGAAAGTAAAAGGGGAAAGTAACGACGTATTAACGGAAGAAACTTGAGTGTTGACTTTAGAAGCTGCATCCGAAGTATCTTCATCGATGGATTTAAATTCATCCAACTTTTCATCTTCGCCATTCTCCACTGTCGTACCACTTGTCTCAGCAACCTCCTGTTCGGGCCGCTCATCCGTTTTAGAATCATTCTCAACTATATCACCAATCTTATGGCCTAGACTAGCAATACGTTTACGAGCTTCCTTATTGTCTCCATGTGCAATAGCAGGAAGGGAATTGGATTCTTCTAAATCATAGGCGGCAAGACCAGCAGCGGACTCAATCTTAGCAACATCCAACTTAGGGGGATAACGAAGTCCAGCACTGCTGAATAGCTTAAAGTTGACAAATCCCATTAAAGACTGGTAAAACTCGAGGAATGTGTGCATGATACGGAAATCCACATCAGTAGGAACGTTTTGGGAAAACTTGTAGGGAACTATCCAAGTAACATCAACACCAAAAATATCAGCTTGATAGTAAATACCTTTGATTGACAAGAACGTCTTGCGGAGACTGTGGTTACGGATTACATATTGTTGGAATTCAGCACAAAGACGTTCGCAATTGGCTACGGTTGCTGCACCAATTTTGTCTGTAACGGGCATGGTAGAAAACAGAAAAAGCATACTTAAAGCATCATCAATGTCCTTTATAGCGTCATGGAAGGTGGGATAACGCTCTTTGATAATATGGTCTAAATGATAAACGGGCTTATTGTTTTCAAGACGCTTCGCAGTGTCCAATTCTCCTTTACCAATTGCTTTGCTTAATTTACGCACAAATGTCTTGTACTCGCGGAACTTCTGGACAATTGGTTCATGAAGCAAATACTGAATGTCCTTGGTATAGTCTATGATGGGTTAGTATCTTTCGATTCCTTATGCTCATAAATCTGAGCGTGTCCTCTTCCAAAAACTATGCAAAACCAATGAAACTGTGAGTTACTCCCACTTAAAGCATCCTTAGCTATATTTCTTCATGGCTAGTCTCGTTTTCGGCGCATTTTTAAAAAAAGAGGAAAGATGTCAGATGTATACTTACAAAACGTAACGGGAGCAGTGGACCCCTTATTAGCCTTCTTTTTGTTTTTTGGTTCACGAGGATAAACACCCTTTAAAATACAAATGCGACGAAAGTCAGCAAGAGTTACCTGAAGCTTTTTTAAAGCTTGGTTCCTCGTGATATATACACGAGCAGCTCCAGATTTCCCTACAATTCGTTAGTAAATAAAGTAGATAATCAATTTCCTACCTTTCTGCTTGATTTTTCCCATATTGTAGGAAAAGTGTCTTGACTTTGTGTAAAAGGGAGTGGGCAAGAAAAAACTCGTTCCTGCCACGAACTCCACATATCGTTTAGTGTAATATAACGTCGTGCCTTAAATACTATTACGATTTTTATCATACTGAATGAACATTATAGAAACTCTTGCTGCAGTTTGTAAGAAATTAGGTGGATAGTGTTTTGTTTATTAGATTCACGGATATTTCAAATATTAGTTGAGGTGGAATGAAAGGTTACATAGAATCGTTTTCCTGAATGTACTTTCGATCATTTCATAGCTGACTTGGAGAGAATATGTTCAGTGATAGTTACAAATAAAAGTGAAAGTTCACTCTTACAAAGGAATAACAAACGTAATCTATGGGAAATGTAAGCTCGTAAATTGAAACGAATGTAAAAGGATACTAAGTAAAACGTAAAGAAAAAGAGATAGAACTTTAGGCAAGAGCAGCTAAACCAGCAAGTCCCGTACTCTTTCTAGGTCTACCTCTTCCTCTCTTTTTCTGAGGTACAGCAGCACTTGCACGTTTTTCTAAGGGGATCGGGTTTGCTTTTTCTTGCATAGGGGCATCGGACTCACTTGAAGAGGACTCTTCATCTGAATCATTCTCTTCGCTTTCCGAAGAAGATTGCTGTTCTTTCTCCTTAGATGCATCTTTGGAGTCAATGTTTTTGTCGGACTTTTGAGGCTCGTCTTTTCTAAGCATCGGATCCTTAATTTCGGGAGAAAACGTTTTCGACAGCTCAGAAAGCCGAGAATACGACAGAGTCCTTTGTGGTTCAGGCTTCTGGGTGTTAGATTTACTTCTGGTTGTTATTTTAGATGGTAGATTTTTAGACGAAGTGTCAGCGACTTCAGCTGAAGGAGGATGCGCTCGCTGACTTAAAGGAATGGAAGAATCAGACTCTGATTCCGATTCACTGGAAGATTCTGTAGTTGGCTCGCTATCAGTATCCGAGTTTTGGCTAATTTGTCTGAATTTCTTTCCCGCATCTTGAATGTTAGCATTAGAAGCACCAGTTGATGTGTTAACATCCTCATTTTTAGAAATTTCCTCTCTTGCTGTTTCTTTTGCATTGGACATCGCTAAACGCTCTTTTGAAGAAGAGATCGAGTTTTGTTCACCAACGTCATCACTTTCCTCGGAAAGGTCACTTGAAGAACTCGATGAGACAGACACGGATGAAGACCCAGAAATGCTTCCACTATCAGAGCTGCTGTCTTCGTTTTCCGAAGGAACAGCTGTAGATGGATGAGAAGGTGTTTCATGAACAACAATTTCAGGCGCAAGGACACTTGGCTCTTCGATCTCTTCCTCTTCGGACTCGCTAGTTGTAGAATGATCTTCGTGCTCTTGTTTTTGTTCGGCCATCTGACCCTTGGAATTTTCAGCGGGAGCTTCGGTGCGTTCTTTCTTTAGCTCTAATCTCTTTGATGACCTTGTAATACGTGGACTTGCCGCGGAAAGTTGAGATAATTCTTCACCTTTCTTCTGTTTTGATGGGGAAGGAGTTGTTTGTTTTTGCGATAGTTTCCGTGGTGAATCTGACAATGTCTTTACTTCTTCACTTGTTCCGCGTATATTGTCTTTGATAGGACTTGTTTCTTGAACAGTGTGTTCTTTTTTCTCAATCGCCCCATTTTCCGTCGAGTCTGAAACTAAATTAGGTTGAGTAATATTATTATAGTTTTCATCATCTGAAGGTAAGGCATCTTCTCGATGATTGATAGATGTGACTGACGAAATGGAATCACGAGCATTGGTAGGACGATAAATAAACCCGGATGACTCAATCCCTTCATCAGAAGCTGCGTTAAGTTTCTTTTGAGAAGACTGTTCCGAAAACGAAGACCTTGAGCGTTTCAATGAAGGTTGAGCATGCTCGCTTAAGTGCTGGGGTAATGTAGTTTTACCAATTTCAACAGTGTCTATTGGCACGTAATTTTCTTCATTATCTATAGAAGAATAAGTATTGTCCTTCTGAACGACCGTAGAGATATTTACAGAATTACACTCTACGAGTACTTTCGAATTCCCTTGAAAGATGTCACCAATACAATATTCATTAGGAATATCGTAGTTCTCTTCGTCTTTAATATTAACAACATTTATGTTTCTAGGAGCGTTAGTTAACCAACTTGTACGAACCTCTAAATGAAACTTACCCCTTGTCAGGATATAAGGATTTATAAGTAGATTGGATTTTTTGCTTCACATCGTTCACGAAGGATGAGCGATCACATAACAGAATAAACTGATAGCTTTCTTTTCCATCCTTCAAGATATGTAAACGTAAAATAATATTCATGTCAGTGAACATCTAAGTTTTAATTCACCGCCAAAACGACTCCAAAAATTCACTTAAAGATTAATCAGATATTTGAATATACAAAAATTTCTAAAATAATTAATAAACATCCAAGGATAGAGATACCAATGGGTATCTGAGCATATAGGCTCGTGAAGGTAAAAAGCTTACTGTCGTACTAGTTGGCCTTATAATATGGAGGTAAGGGTGAGGCAAAAAGTGGATTGGTTTATTTTTAGAATTTTTCAATGAATTGAGACAATAAAGTCGATTATATATGTAATATAATAAACTATATAAAATAAAATGAAAATTAGAATAACCTACGCCTCTAGGTTTCATCGCTCAATTATGCATTCCGAACAGTAGAATGACTGAGAGTAAAAGATAAAAACCGAAATGATAGTCCTTTCGTAAACTATCTGACTAATAGAACAAAGCACAAATACCAATAAAAGGAAAAGAAAGACCCAAAATAACATATAGATCATTAACGAGTGAAATTATTGTACATACTGAAAAAAAATAAAAATAACCAAGGATTTACTTACATATCAGGATCTAAAAACATAATATTTTGTCCGTTATCCGTAGTAAGTAAAACGCCCAATTCAGTGTATTCCTGAATTGTGTTCAGAAGATGATTTTCGGTGAATCCTTTCGCAAGAACGCGTTCTCTAATGGTGCGAAGAGGCAGTGAAGACCTACTTTCTTCCTCGCTGGAAGCATTGTTGAGCATGTCTCTAATAATTTTGTATATTTTAGAGGAAATGGTAGTATCATGATAACCGGGGTCTAAATCTTCATACAATGAAGACTTAGAAACAGCCATCAACCTCAATGCCTCATCAACATCACTGATTTCCACTGTGTTGCTAAACCTAAGTCTAGCAAGCGCCTGACCCATACGAAGAATACCTAGAAGCGTACGCGGAGTCGTATGGGAAAACTGTCTTTCATTTGCTTCGTCACGTTTTTGGTTCTGACGAAGCTGAACATAGGCACCAGTCACATACTCGCATACATGTTTAGGAACAATAGGACGGTATTGCCGAGCGGCTGAAATATAATGGCGAATCATGGAGGGATCTAAGGGCTCAAAATCCATCTTGGGTTGCTCATTAAACATGTGAACGTAGGTAACGTGCTGAGCCAAATGCTCATCTGTTTCGCGGGAAGGGGTATCAAGGATGAGGAATAAAATATCGAAACGCGAAAGCAAAGCAGCCGGGAGATTAATATTATGAATAGGGGCAACTTTTGGATTATAGCGGCCGTATAAAGGGTTTGCAGCAGCAAGGATACTTGTGCGAGCATTTAAGGTAGTAGTTATACCTGCTTTCGAGATAGAAATGGTTTGCTGTTCCATCACTTCATGGATAGCAGTACGATCACTTTCATCCATTTTATCAAATTCATCAATACAACATATACCATTATCGGCCAATACCAAAGCACCACCTTCCAAAACCATTTCGTCCGTCACAGGATCTCGCATAACAGCAGCAGTTAAACCAACTCCTGATGAACCACGGCCTGTTGTATACACACCACGTGGCGCAACCTTGGAGATATATTTCAAAAGCTGAGATTTAGCAACACCAGGATCACCAGTAAGGCAAACATTGATGTCACCACGAATACGCATGCCGTCGCCAAGATGTTTGGTTACACCGCCTACCAAAAGCAAAAGCAATGCCTTTTTAACATCTTCATGACCATAAATTTCAGGGGCAATCGACTTTGCTAACTTTTCGTATACGTTTCCACCTTTGTGTAACTCAGCAATTGTAGCCTCTGTTTCAGGAGTTCGTTCAATATTGGTGTAGCTTTTGATTAGGTGTGAAATTGAATGACACTCAAGATAAGTATCAGTGAGTAGACCAGCACGCAAAGCACGGAAGCCAGTGTAGGGAGTGGGTAGGTAAATACCAGAAACATCAACTATATCACCAGGATTCACTGTACGGGTAATCGCTCCATATAAATGAACAGTCACTGTACGAGGAATATGGCCAATCGGAACTTGATTTGTCAGTTCTTGAACTTTGACCTCTTGGAAAGCAAGAAATTTGCTTGCACGAGTACTCATGAAAAGCTGACCTTTTGCATCATTCTTTCTGCATTCATCGGATGGGCATTCAGTGATAGGTAAAAATGTTTTTTGGCGGATTTGTTGAAACACTTCATAACCACAGCGATCACATGTGTATGCGTTTACAATTAAGCTTGGCTTCACATCACTTGTACGCGTAATGATGCCGCGTAAAGTGATAAGAGAGCCTAGATTTTCGCCGCGAAGATCGCGAACGCTGAAAGGCTTTTTACTACGAGTCACAGGGTAAAAATAAAGGTCATAACCACGCGTGAGCTCTGGGGGGAATCCCTTTTGTTCAGGATCAAGGTTTTCGTTGCGCTGAAGACGCTGCTGCATAATTACATCCAATACCTCGTTTTTATAGTTTATATCAACGGTAGGAGGAGGCATCAATGCATCTACAGATTGAGAGAAGAGCTCAACAAAGCGCTTCGTATTTTGTTCGATATTCGAAAGGAGCTTAGTATCACTTGGATCAAATTCGTAAAGATCGTTTAAATCAATTGTAATTACATTTCGTTTTCGATTTGCGACATCCTGTAAAATATCCATGTATTTAGCTTTCAACACTGGACCATTGTCAGCGGGCTGGATATCTTCCATCAGAAGATCATCTTCGTCTGATCCTTCTCGGTTTCTAGCGGCTAAACCAGCGCTTGTTACAGAAGGCACCACCTCTTGTTTGAAATGCGATAAAAAGTCTGTAATTTTATGCTGACATTCCTCATATTCGGGAATCTTTAAGTCGATGGTGGGAAGAGCCATCCTACGAGATCGTACCCTTCACAAATAGCAAAAGAACGAATCTACCACTGGAAAGGTAAGAAAAATTAGCAAAATATGAACTTTTGCCTATTGTGCGAGGTAAGATGTTGGATGCTCGTAAGAAAGCCAAATGTCGCATGTTACTTCACCAGGTAACAAATGCTGAATGAAAACAATACTTAATTATTTTACCCCGTAGGGAAAGAATGCATAACTGAAAAAATAAAATAAAATAAATAAAAAAGGATTCTTTAATAACATATTTTGAAAGAAAAACGAACATAAAAATATATTTCGAGAGCTTGCTTTCGGTTTGAAGAAATGGCTATGAACACCATGTAGAAGTGGATTTGCTTTGTTTTTCTACCTATTCCATTCAATGGAGTATTCGATTACATTCCTGAATTATTTAATTCTAAATTTTTTTTTGTACATTTTTTTTCTGTTTCATTTCAAGCGCGTCGCGAGGATACCCCTTTGCAAAGGCGAGAGTCGCGTCGCGCGTCGCGTCTTTTCTTTTTGCTAAGTGTGTTGTACAAAGACAAAACCTTTTCTTCTTTTAAGCAAAAGGTGGTATATACGTTGAAAAATAAAAAGGAGTCAAGAAAAACACAGTCTACCTACACGTACTCAAACGAACTTGGCAAGTTCAGTTGTACGATTCCGTCGGGATTGTATCGTCCAAGCAGAGCTGGTTTATTTAAAAAGATAAAAACAACGAAATTTAGTGGTTATGATGCTTGTCAAACATTGGGTTGTTCGAGTACAGAATGAACGAAGCAAAAGCATAAGAGCCATCCGGAACGAACGATGAATAAAAGTCCATAGAACATTGCATTGGAATTTGCTTTGTAATCACCTTTTGTCAGAAGAATCAGTTGATTTTACAAGAGGTTGATCTAATTGCTGAAGATATAAATAAAGAAGACGCGTTCTATTATTTAATTAAATCTCATCGCGTGCGTGTATCAATTTTTCTAGGATACGAAATTCCCGCATAAATCAGCTAGAATCAGTCCTTTTAACTTTTGTTTTTTTTCTTTTTATTTTTTTTTTTAACAAAAAAAATCGTTTTTTCTTGGTAAAGGTCAAAGAAACTGTTTTGAGCACTTTCATAATCCCTCATCACTTCAAGTGTCTATACCTTGTAAAGTTCGCCTTTTCAGTTCTTTTACCAAGGTTCTTTATTGTTGCAATTGAGTATCCAAAGGGTTCATAAACATCGAATCTTGGTTCGCATTCGACGTTCTTTATTCAAATATTTGATCGCAATAATCTGTGCCTAAGTAAAATAAAGATATTGGTATTGTTTAATATTTACTCACGATCACTAGTTCCTTGTCTCAATCTTTTTGTTTTGACGATTTTGTGACAAATCTTCTTAGAACGCTATAATACGATTTTTACGTACTCTGAGAAAGAAACTTTTTACCTACAGCAAACTCCTCCAGGAATAGTCAAATCTACGTTTTTTCTTCGGTACCACTGGCATATAATTCTATATATAAATCTTTTTGATATGTCTAATTCTGAAGAGTTCACCTTCCCCAAGGAAAAGGGAGAAGTCGTCACTTACGAGAGCCCTACTGGAGCTCGTGAAATTTATGTCAAGTCCATAAAAGAAACTTTCAAATTTGACAATATAAAGGAAGAAGATAAGCTAGAAGGAGGTGATTATTATACTGGGAAACCTGAAGATGAAAAGGATGAAGTGATTCTTCGTCCTAATCCTCGTCGTTTTGTTTTATTCCCTATCCAATACCATGAAATTTGGCAATTTTACAAGAAAGCTGAAGCTTCTTTCTGGACTGCCGAAGAAATCGATCTTTCCAAGGATTTGATTGATTGGGATAACAAGCTGAATGCTGATGAACGTTACTTTATTTCCACAGTTCTCGCTTACTTTGCTGCTTCTGATGGTATTGTGAACGAAAATCTTTTGGAACGATTCAGTTCTGAGGTTCAAATTCCCGAAGCTCGTTGTGTGTACGGCTTTCAAATCATGATAGAAAACATCCACTCTGAAACTTACTCCTTGCTTTTGGATACTTATATCCGTGATCCTAAAGAAAAAGAACGCCATTTCGACGCTATTCTGACTATGGGGTCCATCACTGCAAAGGCCAAGTGGGCTATTCGTTGGATTAATGACCCGGACTCAAATTATGCTATTCGTCTTGTCGCTTTTGCTGCCGTTGAAGGTATCTTCTTTTCCGGCTCCTTTGCTTCGATTTTCTGGTTGAAGAAACGTGGTCTCATGCCTGGTTTGACCTTTTCTAATGAGTTAATTTGCCGTGATGAAGGTTTGCATACCGATTTTGCTTGTCTCATGTTCAGTCACTTGAAGCATCGCCCTGGTCGTAAGATTGTCGAATCCATCATTGTTGAGGCTGTCGACATTGAAAAAGAATATTTCACTGATGCTCTTCCTGCCAGTTTGCTTGGCATGAATAAGGACTTGATGTGCCAATATATCGAATTCGTTGCTGATCGTCTTTTGGTGTCTCTCGGTAATGACAAGTATTACAATGTTACTAATCCCTTCGACTTTATGGAAAATATCTCTTTGGCTGGTAAAACTAACTTCTTCGAAAAGAAGGTTTCGGACTATCAAATTGCTGGTGTCATGTCCAGTGCCAAAGCTGAAGACAAAGATGATCATACTTTCCGTCTTGATGAAGAATTTTAGATGCTTGATGAGTAACGGTTTGTTGAGTTCTTATAATCTATTATTTTATACTTTGTTTGGTTAGCTCCATTCAGAGAATTCTATATACTTTATCCTTTGAGTTGCGAATTATGGAAGTTTATTGTTTTATCAAAATATATATATATACCTTAACATTTCGTTTGTTCCTTTAGGTACGAATATATTGGATAATCTACTGTTGGATAAAAATAGGTCAAATGTGAATGATCGGCGTTAACTTTAAAATTAATGTATTATGAAAATATATAAACTTCTTTTTTCTCTGTAAATCCTTCTTTCGAAAAAAATTCGGCTTTGGAAAAAGCATCTTTATGTGTCCTTCCATGTAGATATAGAAGGTTAAAGAACTATTAGCTTAATATTAATCTTCTCCAAGAGTAATAAAAAGTTAAACAAATTTACTGTATAGTGGTAAATTGTCTTGGGGTTGATTTCATTTCTATACATCTACAGAGTACCCAGAAACCACATGCTTTGGTATTAGCAATTGTACTTGAACAAAGAATTTTCTATTTGTAATATCTACTTATTTTGCAGATGCTTTCTTAATGTTGAAAAATTATAGGGCTCTTCAAGGAACGCTACGAAACTTCACCACTGCCAGAATGTCGGTGAATGGAGCAAAGGTGACGGAAGGTTCTGCGACCATCCTTTTTAGTGATCCTGATGAAGTCTTTTATAACCCCGTTCAACAATTTAATCGGGACTTAAGCACTACTGCCATTCGCGCATGGGCAGAAAGCCGCAACCAAAAAGCGGTTGCGAAAGCAAAGCATCGTCAGGAAATTATAGAAGCACGTGAAAAAAAGGATGAAAACAAAGTAAACTCGAACCAAGAAAATTCATCTCCGTCCGGTAGTGAAGCGACTGCTGTTCCTGCAGAATATTCTGAAAATAATACCAAAAAAAAGGCGGATGAGGGTAATAACGTCGGATTTAGCGTCTTAGAAGCGTTATCTGCCACTGGTTTACGGGCTATTCGTTATGCTAGAGAACTGCCCGATGTAAAAAAAATTTTAGCAAACGATTTACTTGCTCGTGCAGTGGAAGCTATCGATGCCAATGTCAAGCGCAATGATGTTGCTCACATCGTGATTCCTAATAAGGGAGATGCAAATTCTGTTATGCATTCATTTAAAAATCAATACGATGTGATTGACTTGGATCCTTATGGTACGGCTGCTCCTTTCTTGGATGCAGCTGTGCAATCTGTTGCAGACAATGGTCTACTTTGTATCACATGTACAGACTCAGCTGTGCTTGCAGGCAATGCTTATCCAGAGAAGTGTTTCTCCAATTATGGCGGAACTTCATTACGATCAGATTTCTGTCACGAACAAGCTATCCGTCACCTTTTGTATGCTATAGCTACGGCAGCGGCTAAGTATGGACGTGCTATTAAGCCCCTGCTTTCCCTTAGTATCGATTTTTATTTTCGTGTATTCGTACAAGTAGAGGCTAAACCAGCTCTTGTAAAAAACCTGCACAGTCAGTCAGCACTTATCTATCACTGTTCAGGATGTGGAAGCTATTCCATTCAACGTATGGGCAAGACGGTTCCTGGAAGGATCCCTGGAAGTACAAAGTATACTAATGCCACTGGTCCAACGATTAGCGCAAATTGTGAGCATTGTGGATTTGTACACCATTTGGGTGGACCTGTTTGGGGAGGTCCCTTGCACGATGCAGAGTTTATCGGAAGGATGAGAAAGATTGCCGAAAATCTGGATGAGGAAACTTATGGAACCAAACGACGCATATTGGGAATGTTAGCAGTTGCCGCTGAAGAATTATTGGATATACCATTTTATTTTATTATATCTCAAACTGCTAGTGTTTTACGTGCGCAATCACCTCCCCAGAATACTTTTGTTTCTGCTTTGCTAAATGCAGGCTATCGTGTTTCTGGATCTCATGCAAAGAGCAATGCTATTAAAACTGATGCACCTTGGGCTTATATATGGGACGTTATGAGAGCTTGGGTTCAGGATCATCCTGTAAACTACAACAATATCAAACCAAACTCCGCAGGCTCCATGATTCTAAAAAAAGAGTGCACTTCCAAGGTTGATTTCACTTTACAACCTGGTGCTGAGTTTTCCTCTAAAAAGGCTGGTTACACTCGTTATCAAATGAACCCTACTGAGAATTGGGGTCCTAAGGCAAAAGCTGGTAAAAGGAAAATATCTGAAACGGACGTACAAACTAAGGTATAATTGGGAAGTGGGATATCATTATTATTATTATAATACATTTTGAATTTTTGGTTGTCTTACATGTCTGTTTATTGTGTTTTTCCTGAGAAAGGTAATTCACTTTTTTCTAATGTTCGAAAGAGTATTGATAAGGTTATTCTCAGTAATTTGAAACTTCTCTTCTTTGTAGCGAACATCCTTGTCAATTGTATTGTCGATTCTTGAATTTATTACAATATGCAGAAAATACTTGTTTTTGTAAGAATCCCAATGCTGAGATTTAAAGACAGTAAATGAAAGTTTGAATAAACTTTTCAAAAATTGTAATTCCATCTTCTCAAAATACATTTTTAGCAAAGGATGTTTTTGAAAAATCATCATTTACTTGTACTTGACCATTTCATCCACCCATCTTTAGAGGTTTCTACTTCCTAGGTTATTTACAAACTTCATGAAATGTTGCTCTCGTTTAAACTTTGATGTCAAGCAAAGTGCAAATTTATTAACAGGAATGAAACTAAATCCTCATATGCTCAGGGCTTACTGGTTTCATGTAATTCCTCAAAGGTTTCAGTTTTCTTGCCGAAGGTGGGCATCTAAGCGTTCTAAAGCAGTAAATAACAATACTTGGATCGTTAATGAGAATGATTTAAGAAAATACTCTCCTGCATACAAGCTAGAAGGAGAACATGAACTTTATATGGTCCAGCAACAACATGAACGTTCAAAGGTGAGATTTCAGAAATTACCATTACATGAGAATGTGCAGCAAGGATTATATAAAAACTTTCCTGAAATTAGATACTGCACTCCTGTCCAAATGCGAATTATACGTGCCTTTTTAATGAATCGCTTTTCTTTTATGGTACGAGGATGGAACGGATCAGGTAAATCATTTAGCGGGCTTCTTGCGGCATTATCCATGTACCACGAATTTATGGACAAATTCTCTAGCGTTACCAATCATGGATGTCAAGTACTCATCGTAGTTCCAAACAAAAATCTTGCTCAGCAATATCAAGCGCGGGTAGAAAAACTTGTCTCGGGGGAACCTTTGCAAGAACCCTTGCAAAAGGTTTCACAAGTGTTGGAGGTTTCCTTGTTTCGCATCGAAGAAGTCAAGCGAAACCTTCCATTTATCCTCATTGCTGACTACCGTGACTTGGAGCGATTAAAAAAGTTGAACCACCCAATTTTAGGTCAGATCCTTACGAACTTAAAGACTATTGTTTTTGATGAATCTGATCTTTATATTCCTACGGAAGGGAGACAGCGTCGCCTATCGGCTCCGGAGCCACGTACCTCGAGTACTTCACTTTCTTCTTTCATTCATCTTTGCCGAGAACATTCTATGAGCTCGAAAACCAACAACGATCTCTCTGAAAAGGAACGCCAAACAAAGATGAAAAACGGCACCTGGCTACCAAGCCTAATTTTCATATCTGCTACAAATTCTTGGCCATGTGCTGACTATGTCGGAAGTAAAGTTACAAATCAATTGGGTGTTATTGGAATCAATCGGAAATTCCAACCCTATTGGAATCTAAACTGCTCTTCAAAGATACAACATTTTCTAATTGAAGCTACCCGAGATCAACGATCGGATTCTTTGCGGATGGAAGATGTGAAATATGAATACGCTAGAGAACCTAATTTACATTTTTCTATCGGTGATGCACCCCTTTTTTATGAGAATGTTGAGATGTCGGCTGACATGTTTGTCAATTTAATTCGTAAAACTCTGCTTGAACTTTATAAAGACCATCGAGTGAAATTGGCTCCCAAAAAAAACATACTTATTATAATTCCAAAAGAATTTGACGTATCGTGGTTTTGCGAGAAATATCAACGAATTGGAACAAGCTTATTGCGATCCTTTGAGTGTTATCCTCTTAAAGGGGAAGGTATTCCAGAGAGTCACGAGCAAAAACAGATTGCTTACGTAGCAAATGCTTCTGAAATTAGAGGTGTCTATCTTCCTGAGGTCAGCCACGTATTTCATCTATGGAGTACATTGTCGGCGGCTTCGTATTTACACATTGCTGGGAGAACTGGTTATTTACATAAGAATGGTATGGTGTTCAACTTTTTGTTACCGGAATTTCTTAGAAGTCAAGATTTTGAAAGCCTGAACTGTTCCAGAAGTGCCTTGTTAGTGCTTCAACGCATTGGTGTCCGACCTCATAGATTTTTTGAAGAAAAGTGATAAGTCAGAAATCATCGTCTAGTGATTAAAACTGACCATCGTTAATGTAATTTATATAAAAGGTGCTTGGATAATAGAGTTATTCTTATTTAATAATAGAATAATGCATTTAACGCAAAATGTAATAAATATATATTTCTTTTTTTTATGAGAATGGCATATATCTATCAGTCTCACTAAGAGAACTAGTTAGCGAGTAGCTGAACACTATTAGATTCTCAATACACTTCACCTATTTCTAGAGTACGAAAAATCCATAGACTCCCTACTGAGGCTTCTAGTGGGGCTTCGACTCATACTTCTTGGCGAATGTAAAGAAGGGCTTCTACCCCTTCTATACCGCGAGTCATTGTCAAAACGATTTGGGCGATAAAAATTATCGGAAACCTTGGAATAGCCTCTTTTTCTGTAACTCTTTGTTTCAGGTCGCTTCAGGGAGAGAAACAACTCTTCACCATCTAGTTCACCATTGTTCATTTTATCGACAGCGTTCGCAGCCTGATCAGGATAAGAATAAGTAACATAGCAGAATCCCATGTTTGTTTTAGCTGGTAATGTAGGTTAGTAAATCTCACTTCTTGATTGTCGGTGAAGTATTATACATTTTCTATAAAGAGGCATATGAATCGAGTTTATTCTACCATAAACTCCAAATATTTCTGCAATATGCTCACGTGTAACATTCCGGGTTAAGTTTTCTACAAAGACCTAATTGTCATGTCGTCAGTGAATGTTGCTAAATCAAAGCAATAGTAAATATCAAACAAGCATACCGTAGTTTGATCCCTATCAGGAGAACGTGAGATGGAACGTGAATGTGGAGATTCTGAGGAATGAAAGCCAGGGCTATGGGAGCGATAGGAATAGCCAGAAGACCGAGACATTGATCGCTCATAAGGGCTGGGCGTCCGACGAGAAGGGCCTGAACGTCCTCCATGGTAATTAGTGTTTCGCTCCGTGTACATTGAAGACATATTTTAAAGGCTAAGAGTGCCTTATAAAACGAGACGAAACGGCAGGAGGATATTGGAGGTTGTCAAGCATAATCTGTTAGACTACCATAGAATTAAAGGTGAAACCAACATTTGGATATATAATGTATACATAAATGAATTTTATTAAATGAAGGAATATAAATTATTCTGCTACGTTTATGCTTACACAAGTTTGGGCAACTTGGTTTGGCGGACAGGATACCTTTCAGAAAGAGAGTTCTTTAAGGATTTTATCTTGGGCTCATATAAGTCACGGGGACCACGGAAGAATCCAGGATCATGGATTCTCTGAGGGAACAGTCTTTTGGCTTGACGACGAACAGCGCCTTGACGCATGCATCGACTACGTATGTAGAAGCTGTAAGCAAGAGCATGGACATCCTCAGGGAAGGGTGAAGGGACTTCGGTGAACCCTGGACGAGCTACTGGATCGCGTACATACACGAAAGAACATGTTTGGAAGCATACTTCCAGGTAAGACGGGATAAAAGCCATGAGAGCCATATAGGGCTTTGGAGAGAAGTTATGCACAGCTCTTTCAAGTTTAGGGTCCAAGTTTGATTTGGTCAAAGACGTTTTCTGAGTGTCTTCGTTGAAAGAAGTCACTTCTGGTTCATTGGAAGACGAAGAAGACTCGTCTTTCTCGGTAGAGGTAGTAGATCCAGAGGAAGCTTGTTGAGAATTCTTGGTATTTAATGCAGACACACAATGCAAAACAGATATGGGATTAACAGTTACTAGATCACCTGGTTTGAGTACTCGATAGCTCCGTTTTTCGGGCAAACCATTCACACAAACTTTGCCGTGCACAACCAGTTGACGAGCTTGTAGAGCACTAGAAGCAAACATTGCACGATGAATAGACATATCTAGTCGTGATTCTATAAATGCATACATCTGTGACATAAAAGGAATGGGGATTTTGTTTTCATGCGAAGGAGTAACTCCATGCAGCTTTGGTTGAAATGAGTTTTTTAGCTGGTATTCACGTAGCTGAGGTCCATGATAGGCCCTTGTTTCACGTTTCGCAGTCCATTTTTTTTGGAAAAGTGTCCTGCTGCTAGTGGACGGTAACTGCTTACGAGCAATGTTATACAGATTATATTTGTTCCATGAGGGACGCAACAGCTTTAATTTATTGTTAGTTATAATAAAATCACATTATTCAGCATCAATTTCTATCATACCATCCGCTTCAAGGAAATAAATGGTTTTCCTCTCATTTGAGAAGTAGTAGTGTGAACAAGGGGTTGTGAGGAAGAGGAAAATTAAGCAAAAAAGAATTAAAACGAGTAGGAAACAATACACTATTCAAAAAGTTTTTTTCGTTTCAAATACCTAAGGAATTGAGAAAAATTTGATTTTTCGGTATGAGTAGTAAGCGAACCTGGCACTTGGAAAATTGGAAAGAATCGTTTCAGTCATAACCATCATTAGACCCTGTTTAGAATGAGTTCTTTTTTTATGGATGAATACTTTATGAATGTAAACATGGGAAGAAAGTTTAATACTGGAAAATGGCAGGATCATCCATTTTCCTAGGCACAGGTGACCCTCTCAATCAACAAGACTTGAAAGAAGCTCTTCAGGTTGATTGACTGTGACACCAACTAGAAAAGGTTGTTTTATCAAATACGAATGTTTACCTATTTTCTTACATCGCGTTAATGTCGAATCGGCATGTTTGCGTATACGAGTCCATTGAACAATTTGTTCATGATGAAGGATTGTAGAAGCAAGAAACGTAAAAGATCCTATTGATCCAACAATGGCGTTGAAACCACACAGCGTATTCAGGAAAAAGAAAAGACATGAAATCATACTTAAAGCCAACATGGAATGGACGATTGGAAAGCCAATCGACTATACAGAGCTATTTATAAGCTGAGAAATCCCATGTACTCATTTTTGTTTCAGTTTGATTCAACGTTTTATGAAAATCCAGCAGCTGTTTGCATAAATTTGAAATCCTTGAAAAAGAGCAATCAAGTCTCGTATTTTATCATTTCCTCGCCATAAAAGTTTTTCACGACTTCGTTTACTGCTTGACAGGATGGTTTAAGTTTGAAAATGAAAATTGTTGAAAGACCGCATGTGTAAACAATTCCTAGATTCAGAGGATTCATCACTTTTATATAGTTCCATGACCATTATTATAAATTTTTTTAGCAAAATACATAGAATTATTACCTTTGTAAAGCATAGATTTGTGTTCACCTAGATGTGGGTAGAGCGCACGTTACATCAGTCTCATGTCCCTCGTTCCTCCAGCGACTTTTCATACAGGGCAAGAACAACCTTGTCGAAACCCAACCACTACACCAAACTAGAATTCTAAAAGAACGCTTTGGAATTGTTTTACCATCCTTCATTTCTTGGTTGTTTTTCTATTAAGCGTGAAAGCTGAACATCATGATTTCGTCTGCGGTCATTCTCGTCGGCGGTCCTTCTCGGTATGAACTATTCAATGGAGTGTTCACGCATCATATACTGGCTTGAGTTTAACGTGCTAATATGAAATTTATTTAGTGGTACCCGTTTCCGTCCTCTTTCTTTTGATGTTCCCAAGGTATGTTCAGACTTCGGTCGTTTATTGTTATTTCCCTTTGTATCTCATGAAACGTGGTTATTAACGCTTGTTTTGATAGCCTTTATTCAAAATTGGAGGCCGTGAAATGATCTACCATCACTTACAAGCGTTATCAAAAGTCGAAAGTGTCAAGGATGTTTTCTTGGTTGGCTTTTATGAAGACTCTGTTTTCAAGGAGTTCATTCATGAAGCCTCGGTTGAATTCCCCATGTTTCATCGTATCAAATATCTCCGCGAGTACAATTGCTTAGGCACTGGCGGTGGATTGTATCATTTCCGTGACCAAATCCTGAAAGGACATACAGATAATGTGTTTGTTATGCATGCAGATGTCTGCTGCAGCTTCCCCTTGAATGAACTGTTGCAATCACATCAAGCAAAGGATGCTTTGGTCACCCTTATGGCCACTAAGGTGAACAAGGAAGATGCCTCTAACTTTGGTTGCCTCGTAGAGGATCCCAACACGAACCGTGTTTTGCACTACGTTGATAAGCCTAGTTCTTATTTATCCAACATTATTTCTTGTGGTATCTACGTTTTTGATGCCTCCATTTTCGACGAAATCAAGAAAGCTTATGAGCGCCGTATTGAGGAAGTCGAGAAGCAACTCCGTTCTTTAGATGATGGAATGGAAGATTATTTGAGTTTGGAGGATGATGTCTTGGCTCCTTTATGCTCTGACTCCTCTAAAGCTATTTTTGCTTATAACGCACCTGAATTTTGGCGCCAAATCAAAACTGCCGGTTCTGCTGTCCCTGCTAACTCTCTTTACCTTCAAAAGGCTTATCACGATGGCACTCTTCCTCGCCCTGATACGGAAGCTGAAATCATTCAACCTGTTTTCATCCATCCTTCTGCCACCGTCAGCCGTGGAGCTAAAATCGGTCCCAATGTTTTCATTGGCGCTCGCGTACGTGTAGATGATGGTGCACGCATTCGCAATTCCATTATCCAAGAAGACTGTGAGGTTTCCTCTCAAGCTGTTATCTTGCACTCTATTCTTTCTCGTAATTGCAAGATCGGTAAATGGTCTCGTGTAGAAGGATCCCCTACCTTGCCCAGTCAGCACTCTACCACTATCATGCGTAATCATGTTAAAGTACAGGCTATAACTGTAATGGGTGCCGATTGCCATGTCCACGATGAGGTGCGTGTTCAAAATTGCCTTGTTCTCCCTCATAAAGAGATTAAGGTCGGTTTGGTTGGAGAAATTGTTATGTAAAAGCCTCCGGTTCTACTGTTTATGAAGCAAGCAAACTTATCTTTTACTTCCTCCGCTTTCTTTGAATAGAAGATATATTTATATATTATACATGTATACCAAAAAAAATCACTTCATAGATTTAGGAATAACTTGTACATCATAGTACGTAGTTTCCAGTGGGTTCAGATATAGATAGCACGACTAATAAATCTGTTTCCTTCTGTTGGTCGTAAAAGCGTTTTGTTCTAAACTCGCTGTACTGTCAATTTCACGAAAAATCCACATCATCAGTAGCTTGAGCATGCATGGATAACTGCCAGTCAGGTAAAGGAGAAGTAGCTTCTTCTTCGTTACTTGTCTTTTCGAGGTTTGGTTGTTGCCCACCTTTGTCTATAAAAGCGGGAGTGCCACTGAGTTCGCCCGTTGAAGATTGATGGTTTTGTTGAAGAGATTGCAGTTGCTTCACTTCTTCAGCAAGCTTCTTCAATGCTTCTTCTTGTGATTTTTGGATCCTTTCTAAAGATTCTGGAAGGGTTTTAGCACTCATAGTATAAACATCTTGAGAAATCCTGGCAATATCTCGATCTCGCTGATCAGAGTTGCGGCGCAAAGTGCTGAGCGTTTCCTCCAAGTCGTCTAAAGCGGCATCGAGATCATCCTGATTCTTTTCACTTCTTTCTTCAAGCTTCTTTGTTGTTTCTGACAAAGAATCCAGTGTCCGTTCAGCTTCTTCAAACCTACGATCCAATGCATCCTTGTCTTCTTCATATGCACTACGAGATGGAGGTTCTAACATAGGAACAACATATTTCTAAAAACAGTTAGATACTAGCTTATGAAGCATTGTATTACCTTTACTAGTGTGTAAGCAGACCATGCAAATCCACCAGAGATGACGCCCATAATAAACCAGTCTCTCCAGTCTCTCGTAAGTGTGTTTTCACTATTTGAGTAATTCTCCATTGTGTTGTACAGCGGACTTTGCGCTAACGCGAATGCATTCTGAATTTCATCCTGGTTAAGACCTTTTGAACCCAAAAATTTAGCCTTTTCAGAGTCTGGTGCATTCATGATTGAATCTTGTCTTAGAAACTCCACAGCATCCTTTATAAGCTCTTGTTTCATGTTAAAAGCAAGTAGACTTAGTATTGACTAAATAGGAACAAAAAATTCAGTAGAAATCGGAACAACAAAGTATTAAAAGTATATAGATGACAAAAGAATAAACAAGTATTTAATTTGTATGCTGAAACTTAATCATATAATGTTGTATATACGAGCTATTGAAAAAGATCAGAGTGCTAATTGAATAGGTGAAACGAATCCTTACTTAAAAATGTCGATGTCTAAGATTCTTACAAGTGAAACGATAGTAACATTGAAATAAGGAAATTATAGAACAAAAGTCAATTAGTTTAGACCATTTTGGATTTTTTATCCAACGTAAAAGAGAGGAATGGTAAATAAAAAAATTCCTTGGCGAAGTTTTGTATATCAGGTATTTTGTTCTATAATATAGATTTATATATATACAGCCAGTTTGAGTGAGAAGTTGTAAGCTTTATTGAAAGCGATTAACCATACAACAAAAAAAAAAAAAGAAAAAAAGAAAAAAAAGGGATTTTCCTCTAGTTCCCAAGTCCAAAAAGTAAGCCGTGTGTAAAATGTACAATAACTTGAATGGGTAAAACCTTCTATGAGTTTCGTACTTGACGAATATTAAAGTTAATTCGTTTGGTTTGAATCCAGCGATTCCATTTATCGTTTTCTGTTAATAGGTAAGAAGGAGTCGTCGATGCTAAAATTTTCGGTACAGCTAAAGGTAAGTCTGTTAGTTCTTACTACATCCGTAAATAGTCAAAAGCTTACCGTGGAATGCTTGTCTCGAAAGCCCTGTCATGATCACCACGTCTCCGCTATGTAATCTCAAAGCTGTTGGAACCTCAGAGCGACTTGATCCTCCAATCAAATAAATACAATCTAATCCTATAGAAAGGGAAATAAGAGGGAGCGTTAAGTCTTCTTCGGATTCGTCCACATGGGCACTGAGGGTGTCACCAGGAGAGTAAAAGTTTACAATGGCAGCCTCCGCTTTCCAGTTTGGGAAATCCGTATACTTTTGTACGAGATCTTCTACAAATTTTGCCAACGTCTTAGGGAAAGGAGGAGACAACGATGGGTCAGGATAGACTTTTTCGGTCCAGTCATACTGTTCACCAAGTGTAATCCAACGAAGTTTTTTTTGAATGAGTCTATCTACTGTAATTGGCTTTGTAGGGGGAATCCCTTCAACGAGATCGCTTTCTTTGCCATTATAGTACCGTCTCCATATACTGTCAGTTACCAGAGGTAATTTGTGAAAGGGAGAAAGGTTCGTTTTGTTTTTAGCATCTTGTAGTTGACCAAACATAATTTCCTCTAATAAATGCTTTTGCAATTCAGGTGAAACACAATTTCTTAAAATTATTAACCCCGGAACCTTGGTATACATGAAAACATCCGGCTGTATAGCTTGTAAGCAATCAAATCCATAGGAATTTGGATCTTTTGTATCCAGCACTTCTGACATATCTGGTACTTGGTCGCCAGGACATTTGTATCGCTTTTCTTGTGCACGAAAAACATTTACATTTTCCATTTTGAAGACGCCGTTCAATCCAAAGCAGTCAACAATTTTTCCACGAGGTTAGACTTTTTTCCAGGTAAACACAATTCTTCGAACGATGTCTACTTGGAACCAAATTCTCAAACTTTTCAGTAGAAAATTAAAACAAACAAAAAATATGCAATTGATTGAGGGCCAATAGCCCAGTGTGATTTTTTCAAAGTAAAAGTTGTACGTTACTAGGCAAGGGCCTCTGAGATATTCCAGTACCGGGAAAAAACCATCAGATCACAAAATAATTAATGAGAAAAAGAAAATTTCAATAAATAAGCTTTTATAAGAAAGTATTTCGGTTTCACTTTAAAGGTGGATCAATCTCGTGATATATTTCCTTTTGCTTTTATATATTTTGAGGTACAGTATGAACAAAATGAGATAGTGTAAGAGATTTAAAGATGTCGATTCAGGCGAAATACGTTTCTAAAAACCTGTTTTGTTGTGCTGTTCATATTTTGTTGCTTTGTTTACACTTTGAAAAACGCCGAAAATCTTCAAATCTATAGCTGTAAATGAGACAGTTTGTTAGTTGTAGTAAATTGGATTCCATTTCACAAAGAATTCATTCATTTCATGAAAGCTTTTTTGGAATTTCCTTACCTCAAATACAAGGTAATGTTTGCGCAACAAAGACAAACTTGAAGGATTTCTATCCCTTCTTTTTACCCTCTAAAAAAAGAAAAAAGAAAAATAAACTTATAAAGTCTATGTCAAACCTTCAACACAACTTTTGTCGAATTCTTGTTTGTTTACATGATGTTTATTTTCAAACCAAAAGAGAAAATAGAAAGACGAGGGTTTCTGGATAATTTCGCTCGAACAGTCATATTCTTTCGATATAATACTCTTTTTTATTGTCATTGAGAGACTCTGCGCAATTTTATAGAATGGTTGGAAATTGTCTGTTCATGTTCCAAGTACAAACACAAAAATGCAGTCTGTCTCTCACATAAATGCCAATTCTATACTCTTTCATTTTTAAGTATTTCCCTAAAAACAGAAAACTCCTTTGTCGGTTCACTTCATGCTTGGCACCTCGTACTTACTGCTTCTACGATCAAAAAGCCCATACATAGTAGTATCATTCCCACATCCTTTGTGAAAAATAAAACGTACCTAAACAAAGCAAATTAACGAATAGAACGGAATTGCTAGAAGCTTTACGATAAGTTGTGCTGATATTTCTTTCCACAAGAGGTTTGGATTTTGAAAAAGCACCAGCACTAAGAGCGAGTTATACTCGTAATAACAAAATTAAAAATTCCTTCTGGAATTGTTAGAGAAACTTACTCACTGCCTCTTCTATTTCCGCTTGATTGAAAAAGGTAATAGATTCCTTCTATATGTGTGTGTGAACGATTATGATTGTATGAGTCTTTTTATGAAACGCAATTGTTTTCAACTTTATAGAAATTTAATCCTCTTCATTGAACCAACAGCTATATCTATTAGAATTTTGCAAGGGGACAGGCTATCTTGAACTTGATTCATTCCTTTCGTATACAGGAAGAAAGATGGAAGAAATCAATAGCACTACTAAACCAATGGATCACCAAAAGGAGGTGAATGCGAGTCGATTCTCTTCCAATAATTATCAAAGCAACAGCCCCCGGGATCCTTCTCATGAATCCAAAGTACACAATAGTTCGCATACTTCAAGCAGATCCTTGCCGATGGATAAATTAAAGCATCAGCAAGAGTTTGTAATTATCCAGAAGCCAAAGGAAAAATTATTTCCTCCTTTATTGAACAAAAGAAGTGCTTCCGCTGAAAACCTTAATTCCACTTCTCATGCTTCTTCCAAAAGCAATCTTTTCCCTAAAGAAAGATCACATCCTACCTTTGTTCCACCCGAAAATAATGAACCCAAGCAGAATCACGAACTTAAAGAAAAACCACACACGATGCCGGCTTCCAAAACTCAGATAGCAGGATTACGAATGCGAAGTTTTTGGGATTATGTTCGTCTAGAGCTGACGGCTTCTGATACTGAATCTGCGAATCCAATCAAACAAACCATGGTGGAAGATTTTTTCGCTACTCCACTCTCCATCGAGAAGACACTCCTTTATGGATGGTTTGTTTGCGTCGATAGCTTCCTTTACGTTTTCACTCTTCTACCCATCCGTATTTTCTTGTCCATTCTATTTTTGTTCCATTACATTTTTCATAATACAATTCGATTTTTATCACCTGGAAACAAAATATCACCAATTGCTTTTCCCAAAAGCAGAAAAATTGACCTCATAAAAGTCTCTTTATTATTATCTACAAGTATTTTAATTCGAAGGCTTGATGTGAGTCGTCTATACCATGTTATTCGAGCTCAAGCTAGCATTCGTTTCTATGTTTTATACAATGTTTTGGAAATTGCCGATAGACTCTGTGGTGCTTTAGGACAAGACGTTCTGGACTGTTTATTCGCAGATTATAATCTCTCCTTTCATTTTTTGGAGCTTTCAGGTTGGCTAAGGTTTTTTTATTACTATTTCATTTCTCTTGCGTACATGGTATTACATACGTTGGTTCTTTTATATCAAATAGTTACATTAAACGTTACTGTGAACTCTTATTCTAATGCAGTTCTTGCTCTTTTAATGTCAAATCAGATGGTAGAGATCAAAGGTTCTGTATTTAAAAAATTCGAAAAAGAAAACTTATTTCAGTTGACTTGTTCAGGTAAGTCATATACTTTAAAACAATAACTAATTCCCACAGACATCGTCGAGCGTTTCCAAATCACGGTTATGGCGACTGTTATTTTTTTAAGAAATCTAACAGAAATGTATACTACCTCCTCTCTGGATGCTCCCTTAATAACTTTTGACCGTCTCAAAACACTAATGGCCCCATTTGTCTGGGTTATCGGTTCTGAATTATTTGTGGATTGGCTAAAGCATGCTTTTATCATAAAGTTTAACTATTTTAAACCAAGTATTTATGGGCGCTTTACAGATGTCCTGTGTCATGATTATGTTGCTTCTGGTGGACGGCCTGCTCAGGTTAGTTAAGATAATGCTTTCTTCTTCCCTTTTTGAACAAAACTAACCAATATAGACTGTTACCGGAAAATCTCAGCACGTCGCACGAAGAATGGGTCTTCCAGTTCTTCCACTTGTCTGTGTGTTTATAAGAACCTCCATGCAGACCTGGAATATGTTTCGGTCAACACATTCCATGAAACAAGAAATTGCCAAATCGATAGGAATGCTTCTTCCTACCAAAGACAATTACATTTATTACCTACCAAAGGGCCAAACTCAAGTTTACAATATTGAAAAAGAGCCCTCATGGGAATCGATCTTCTTATCCTGGTTACAAGGGAAAGCAGGAATTGCTGTTCTTTTTTTTATTTTGCTCATGCTCAAACTCATTTTAGGAATGGCTCTCCTCTCTTTTGCTCAGTCTCGATACAGGTCTATGAAGATACGAGAGGAAGACACGGAAACATGGGAAAAAGAGCGCAAGACAAACAATTTTTTCAGAGGACATATTGTAAGTAAACAATTGATATTGTTGATTAAGCTAACAGTCATGTACCAGGAAATTGACAATCGAACCAAAACTTATCTTAATAACTCAAAAGATGATTTGCCCGTCAGCAAGGGCCAACTACTCACACTAGAGCGATACTCAATGTTTTCAAAACGTATATGGTAATCCAATGACCGTGGTTTCTTTTTCCATTACTTTTACTTTGCGCACGATAGAGTGGTAGAATCGGAAGCAAAATGATTCGTAATCATTAATAAGCATAATAAAATTTCAATTCTTTTTCATAAACAACGTTGTTTGGTTTATAAGGTCCTAATGAAACAAAAACACCGAAGGGAATTTGTAGCTCAAAGCTGAGAGGCATTTTCGAACGACTTTTTCACATTCACTTCTGCATTATCAGCATTCTACATACTTGGTTAGTTCCTCCTTGTTTTATAGCGACTTTTGCCCCACACCCAATTTCACCGTCTTTACATACCTCGACAACGAGATTTCTCCTGTTATACATTCCATTTAGAGTTGTTTGTCGTTGCACAACTCCTAGCATATATCGTGCTTCTTGTTCAAATTCATGTATCTTTGAGGGATCTGTTACATTCTTTAATTCTTTAAACCTGTCTCTGGTACGACGGAGCGTATATTCACGGTAAGTATAGGGGAACAATTTTGCCGTTCTCATCAAATCCCTATATAAATGAACAAAAGTTTGTCGATTGGAAGCCATTTTGTTGATAAAATTTGTTTGCTTTCGTTATGCGGGAGTTGCGGTGTTCATATAGTTGTAGCTTAATAATAGGCATAGGTTCTCTCCACCATCCATATGATGAAATGAAGATGAGTTGGAAAATAAAGATTTTTTTATAAAATAATAGTCAATTACTGATCAATTATTTTAACAAGGTGAAAGTAAATAGTCGTTGCTGCTGCAAATAACTCATGTCTTGGAAATGAACTTCTTCTACAAATATTTGCTCTTTGTAGCCATCATAAGTGTTTTTGTGTTTATTCTGCTTTTCGGACAGCTTCGAGGATTTCGACATACATTCATTGGGAAGGTAAACCGACTGTTTTTGGTATGGCTTCCAAGACAACTATCCCAGGTGGATCAAAAATGGCTTCACGGTAGGGGTAGTATATACTATCGTAAACTTTCTAATTATATATTCTTTCAAAAGCATTCTCTTGTTGTTCTTTTCTATTTATGTTTGATTACTATTTGTATCTTCAACTTCTTATACCATGGGCGTACTTTAACGAATCACTTTCATACATTGGACTGGTTAAGTATATTTATTTCCATAAGTTTACCTTATATTTCCCTTTATACGGCAATGTATTCGGATCCAGGCGTGGTCACAAGTGATAATTGGCAAGAAGCTTCAGTTGCTTACCCTTATGACTTTAAGATTTTTTTCCCGCATATATGTGAAACATGCAAATTTGTTAAGCCAGCTAGGTCTAAACATTGCCGCTTATGCAACTGTTGTGTCCAAAAGTTTGATCATCATTGCATTTGGATTAACAACTGCGTTGGACGCAACAACATTCGCTATTTCTTTCTATTTTTATTTTCAACATTACAGTTGCTGTTGCATTCTATCCTTCGGATTGGTACACATCTGAATCATGTACGGGATTCTCGTCTAAACTCTTATTTGGTCTCTTGGTGGACCGCTATCACCAATGAGAGGGAACTTGGTTCCATATTTTTAATTTCACTATTTAGTAGTGTAATCGTGTTTTCGTTCTTGTGTTATGAGTTTTATTTGGTGTATGCTGGATATACTACAAGCGAAAGTGAAAAATGGGCAGATTTGAACGAGCTTATTCAGCAGTCCAGAATCTTTATGCACTACAGAAATGGAATTCAAAAGTTAACCCTCCAAGAAGACGCTCCCCCCGATGCTACTTTAACCCACTCACTTGCTCAGGTTGAGAACATTTACGATCGAGGATTCTTGAACAATTTCAAGTCTATATGGTTTCCATAAAAGGTTGCACATGCCTACATTATGCATTTTCTATAAAAAGATCAATAATGAGCTGTTCATATATCAAAAAGTATATTAAAACCATGTAACCTTTTCTATTATTCTAAAATTTCTTTGATTTCAGGAATGACTGTTAAACCTGTTTCATCTTGTTCAGGTAAAATATCTGTCGAGAAAGTATTAGGTTCATTTGAATAATCGATTTCGTCAAGAATATCACATAAAACGTCTTCCGCAATTTGTTCATTATATCTTTCTGAGACTGGTCGGACATTGGATCCCAACGCAGACGGGCGATGTGAAAATTGAGGACCAAATTGAAATCTAGCAATTCCTCCTCCAAACATGCTAATGGCAGGATAATAACCCAAGGAACCGTCATTAAATGAATATTGATTAGAGTTTATAGAATGAAGGGGATTGAAGTCTAGCAAATTCTCAAAAGCTGTTCCCATATACGAGCCATTTTTGTATACTTTAATATATGAACCAGGTAAATATGCCAAATCCATGTACTTGATTTGTTCATTTGGTACCAGTAGTTCATCCATTGCTTTGCTCGGTACGTAGTCCGGCTGTTCAAAAAACAACTGTCCTCTGTAACGAATAGGAATCCTGTCATGGTATATGTTAGACGCCTGAGCATCCATCGGCGTAATTTTGGGCAATGAAATATGAAATCCTATAATGTCTCCAGTTCCAAAAGATTCCATAAAAGCACGTGGCCGAGACGTGTGCACTTTTTGCCCTCCCACATCTCGCAGTCCGTAGGAGTACACGTCGTAACCAACCGGAGCATCCAGTGGAGCTTCTCTCCTAGCAAGTCCGACTCGAACGTGAGCGCCGTCATGGCCGCCTCCTTTTTCTACTTTGACCTCAAAGTACCATTCTCCCTGGGTCAAAAACACGTTTGAACGTGCCATACGGAAACCCTTTTCCACTGTTGCAGACAACACCGAGTGATCGACCAACACGGGAGGCGATATATCATGCCAATTAATCCTTGCACAAAAGGGAGGTAGTTCGATTTCACGATACATTGTACTTGGGAGGTCACGGGCAGCCTCGCAAGGCGTGTATCGAAAACCTCGCGAATTAAAAGGAATTTCAGACAAGGAAAAAAAACCATGGGACTTGTTGGAGGATGCAGGGGTAAAACTAGGGAGTTTGGGGACAGTGTTAAAATCAGAAGGTTTCCAAGGAGGCGGTTTGTAACGAATCGGAATGGTAGGCACATCTTTTTTCTTGTTAAAAGCACTGGACACAGAGCTATTTACACGCTTTTGTTCCTTCTTTGGTTCTTTAAAGTCTTCTTTTAACCTAGCTGATATCAGGGACGAAGACTCCATTTCAGAAAACGGTCGCTTCGGAACGGTTGCGCCAATCCTCTGGAAAGGGGCAATGTAGCCAGAGCGAAAGATAAATAAATCAGGATTGCTTAAGGCGTATTCAGAGTTTTGGTTTCTTAAAGATTCATCCCTTGCACGGTATGTATCTTTATTAGCAACCAAGCAACTTCCTAAAGTTGCTTGCCAAGTTTGCACTTTTTCACGATCAGGACACAAAAGCTGCCAGTTTTCTTCAATATAAGGAATCAGATCTTCTTTTTTTTTGAAGAAATACGTGTCTGCAGGAAAATTCCTTTTATTAGCGGCATTGAAGTCTTCGATAGATAAATCAGGATGAATATTGTCATAGCGCTTTACAACCAAATTGGCCATTGCAGTGGCCGTTACAGCCTTCCAGGCTGATACTCCTCGTTCCAAATGTTCAAACCCGTCATCACTGCAGAATCGACATACAAAGGTATAGTTCGTGCAAAAGCCCGTCATGCTATTACAAGGCGGTGTTAAGCAAGAAAGATGGAAAACATTTTGACACGTCCGACATTGAGCATCTGGAAACTTTAAATTGCGATCTTTTCCGCAGTAACAGTATTGATTTTGATCGTTAAGGGTATGTGTAACATTCCAACTAAGGCTCGCAGTGTTATAAGGCAGTGCTTCAGGAAATGCCATGTTCGTATTGGTGATTTTATCCTCGCTTTAGACAACTTCAATTCCTTGTTAATAATTTCAACGAACGGACATGGATTAATGCACCTCCTGTTTCTCTATAAAAGGGAGTCGAAAGCCAAAATATACAAAGAATAAAGCAAAAAATCAACTCAAATCTTTTTCTTTTATTTTTATTTTTAAAGAAAAAACGCGCTAAAAAAGCCAAATTGCAGTATTCAAGGACAAAATGATTACAAGAACATACAAACCAATCGTGCAGCGAGCAAGCTCAAAGTTACCAAACCAAAATTGCCAATTTTATAGTGAAGAATATCGATTAATAATAGAAAAGACGTTGTACTTTAACTTGAAAACCCAATATATCTATAGTATGAAGTTTCTGTAATTAGAAAATGAATTAGGAGGCTGAATGTGTTGGGGTAAATTTTGTTTACGTATTTGAAGCCATCACTAAAAAGATTGGAAACCTAAACCTGTTTCGTAAATTTGGATTAACGAAAGCTACCATTTAGCTGTATATGCATGTTCTGCCAGCTCGCTTAAAAACCTACCTTTAGCATAGCTCTTTGCTGCGGCATTCAAACAGGAAACTATTGAATTGAAATATGCCGAAAGCACCTAAACCTAGATTACAGCACGCCCCTTTGTATAAGGACATTGCTGATTCGTCTGAGACGGGAATTCTACGACAGAAGTCGAGTAAGCAACAAAAAGGAAAAGAAAATGTAGACAGAAATGGATATATGGACGCGAAAGCATCCAAACGAATTTTACAATTGGCTAGAGAACAGCAAGAAGAGCTAGAACAGGAAGAATCTGGCGAAAACCCAAAAGCTCTTACTGAAGAAGATGGATTCCCACAGATGTCTCACGAGAAGGATACGCTTGAAAATCCAGCCATTGAGCCAAAGGATGAAGAAGATGAGTCGGAGCGATTTGAAGCCGCTTCCAATGCTAGCGACAGCGATGAATTCGAAGAAGACGATGAATATGAAGAACTAGATATTGACGAAACGGATCGCAAACTTTTTGATAAATTTTTCCCAGAAAACAATGATCAAGAAAAGAATGAAGCACCTCAAGAACAATCAACAAACCTCTCTGATTTGATTTTGCAAAAAATTAGCGAGGCTGAAGCTCGTTCACGAGGCGAGCATGTTCCTACAGCTGAGGAAGAAGAAGAAGAGACAATGCCTCCCCTTCCCCCTAAAGTGATTGAAGTCTACTCAAAAGTAGGTGTTTTGCTGAGCAAATACCGTTCAGGAAAAATTCCCAAGGCATTCAAGATCATCCCTAGCTTGTCGAATTGGGAAGAAATTTTGTATATTACACGTCCTGACACATGGACCCCTCATGCCTGTTATGAGGCTACTCGTATTTTTATTTCGAATTTGAAACCCATTCAAGCTCAGCACTTCTTGAACGTGATTCTTCTTGAAAGGGTTCGTGAAGATATCCAAACTAACAAAAAATTAAATTATCATTTATATATGGCTTTGAAGAAGGCTTTGTATAAACCTTCGGCTTTTTTTAAAGGATTTTTGTTTCCTCTTGTGTCGGTAAGTTACTGAATTGTAGTCCGGTATCATCTTGCTAATCTTTTATTTTTTAGGAAAACTGTACTTTACGCGAAGCTGCCGTCATTGGTAGTGTTTTAGTAAAAGTTTCTGTCCCTGTCCTTCATTCTGCTGCTGCCTTACTTCGCTTAACAGAGTTTGATGTTAATGGTGCCAGCTCCGTTTTTATCCGAATTTTATTAGACAAAAAATATGCATTACCTTACAAGGTTTTGGATTCACTCGTTTTCTACTTTATGCGCTGGAAAGCTTTGGATCGTCCTTTGGCTGTTTTAGAACATCAGTCAATGCTCGTCTTCGCTCAACGCTACAAGTTTGATATTACCCCTGAACAAAAGGATGCACTTTTAGAGGTTGTACGTGTTAAAGGCCATTATTCCATCGGCCCTGAAATTCGTCGTGAATTGGTTAACAGTGCTAGTCGTGGCGAAGAAATCCCCCAGGATATGGAAGAGTATTGATAGGTTTTGCGGGTTGGTATATCGGGTTAATTATATAATACTTGTTTTATTTTTGGTCATATTTTAATAAAGAATCATTTTTTTGGTCTTGGAGCTCTTTAAGACATAGTATTTGTTATTTTTACTAACAAAAATATTGTAAAACTGAGAATAAATAATGGTATAGATAATTTCGTTTTATTCTTGCAAAACGAATTTTTGTTCGTACGTCAAGGGATATCCATCACAGACAACCATGACTTTGACTTTGCGTCCGCGGCAAGGTTCAGGAATTTCCAGCTTGCAAGTAAGTGAAAGTCTAACATGATCCGATTGTCCTTTTCCAGACAAGGATACACGACGAATAGCAAACAATTCCTTTGTAGCCGAGTCAATGACTAAGACGAAAAAACCTTCAGTTTGCGATTTAGGAAATGGAGCAGAAATAGAAAAGTCGGGATTCAAAGGTTTGTTTTTACGACGCAAAGAGACTTGTAATTTTTCAGCTTCTTTTTGTGAAAGCCGAATATCCAAATCAGGATACGCCATAAGCTTTTCGATTGCTGCTGACAGGTCGAAAACATTTTCATTCTTCGATAACTCCTTTTCGAGGTATTCTCTCGGTTTACCGGCAAACTGATAAACCATTTTCATAGCATCTTTTTCTTCATTACAATGGAATCCTGGAAGAGCATTTCTGTAGAGAGCGTCAGGATAACAAGCTTGTTTAAAACACTGCAACAAAGTCATATATTTTAAGCACACTTGTGAGTAACCCAATTCAGCTGCAACATCAATGTATGCTTGAATGATACGAATAACCTGGTCCAAAACTTGAAGTGTATCTGTTATATAATCATCAATAGGTAGTTTCAATCTACCCATATGAGCTTGAGATAAGATAAATGCTTTCACATGCGGATCAACCATATTTAAGTTAAGGCATTCAGCAGAATACTTAAGGCTCTTGTTAATTTCAGCGTTAATTAAATCTTCGTTGTGTCTGACAGCTAAATCATCAAACTCCGTAGCTTCACATAGAAGTTGAAGAGCAAATTGAAAGTCAATCTCCTCTTTAACTTTCTGTACATAATTCCTCACAGTTTGATGAAATAAGTAATAGTAACTGACAATCTTTCCTAAGGAAGTAGGAGCATAGCTTTCTTCATCCACTCGGTATATACATGCAGATTTTTCAAGTTCATTAAAACCATTAACGACTAAGCCCGATAGAAACTTGTCTACACTGTCCTGATCATCACCTTCAGCGCCGTAGTAAAAAGGATTCTGGTAAACTCTACGATAAAAGTAGGTCCATGTCAAAAAGTCCAGTGCACCCTGAATGCTACCAATAGTACCGCTAGCTATCTCTGCGTTCAAATGATTATCGAGTACTTTATGTAGGTAAGACTCGACTGGAAATCCGCTATGAAGAAAGTGTTTATAAAATGACTTTTTCGTGTCTTGCACAAATATACGTGCAACACCAGAGCTGTCAAACTGAGGACGACCAGCACGTCCAAGCATTTGCAAAACATCGGTGATATCCATATCTTTGTAACCTTCAATTTTAACATCATAGTATTCGGTACCTTTCACAATTACTAAGTGTGCTGGTGTGTTAACACCCCATGCCAGGGTGCTTGTTGCTATAAGGATTTGAATTTTGTTGTTGACAAACAGTTCTTCAGAAATCTTACGATCGGTTTCAGTAAGACCAGCATGATGAAGAGCTATACCAAATGGTAAAGCGAGCTTCAAATTCTTGTCTTCAACCCTGGAAAGAATCATTTCTAACTCTGAATCGTCCATATGTAAAAACCTGCGTGGATTATCCTCTAAACCGCAATATGCTATTAGATCTTTCGCTGTAAGCCTTGTTTGTCGACGAGAAGAAACAAATATTAGAACAGGTTGTGTGGGAGAATGCGTTTTGATAGCTTGAAAAGCGGGTTTATTCATGGACATCATTCGTGGACTATATGCCCTTCCAGGGAAACCATCTATGTAAATTTCTAAAGGTACTGGGCGAACAGAATGCCTAAAGTTAAATAAACCATCCTTAATATTGAGCCAATCAGCCAGATCATTTGCGTTGGCAACAGCAGTAGAGAGACCCACAATTCTGACACCCTTATTTGTTTGTGAGGCTATATAATTCATACGAGAAACAATCATTTCCAAAATGGGGCCTCGATCACTTCCTAACAAGTGTACTTCGTCAAGAATAACCAAGGAGACGTCTTGTACATATTTCCTGGTTTTCCAACTTCTAGATATACCATCCCATTTTTCTGGCGTTGTGATTATAATATTAGCCTCCATAATTGTCTTTGTATCAAGGTTAGTATCACCAGTTAATTCGATCATGCTCAGTCCCATTGGCTCTATCAATCTGGAACCCCAATCGCTAATTCTTTCTTTAACTAAGGCTTTCATTGGAGCAATATAAATGACCTTGTGAGTTGGATTCTTTTGAAAAGCGCGCCATGTTGCAAACTCTGCTGCCATTGTTTTACCAGATCCGGTAGGGGCACCAACAAAGACATTGGTATCTGTATGGTAAATAGTATGGAAAAATTGTGTTTGTACGGCATTGAAAAATGCGAACCTTCTCCCACAGATGTACTCTAAGACAGGATCATGAAGAGCAGTTATAGGTAAAGGTTGTAAATCCAAAAGTTCAGTTACAGGATTAGAATCTTCATGCAAAACTACATTTGACAATGAAACTGGAGTAACACTTTCCGCCCCAATCCATCTATCGGACATTGCAACAATATATAGTTGAGAAGGTAAGGGATCCGAAACAGGAATAGTAAATGACATTAATTGTGGAGATGTAGAGCTTTTTTTGTTTAAAACAAGGAGCTCATGGTAGAGGATTTCCAATCCATCACTATCTTCAACGAAAATCCAAAATAATTGCGAGTTGCCATGGTATTTCATATCCCATGTAAACTTGGCATTAATCGTCAAAGTCAATCGAAGTACATTTTTAGTCAACGGTAGCAAATCAACCTCTACTCCGAGTAAAGGTAATCGAGAAAGACAATGTTTAATAGTGGGTCCCATTTTCTTATTGTGGATATAATCCCCAAGTTCATTAGCTGACATTTCAGATAAGTCTTCAATAGAAAGGTTACTGTACTGATTCTCAAGTTTAGTGGCAATGTCATTTGGGAGATCGAATTGTAACAATGGGTGCTCAAAACCCCATTGTCTTTTCTCTATTGATTTACTTAAGCTTAAAATTGTAAATGCTGATGCCCAGGCACGAGATAAAGCAATTTCAAATAAAGCTCGAGAGATTCGTCCAGCATTTTGAGCAACATAGTTAGTATCAGAAGATAAAGCAAAATCCTCAACACGAGCTTGAGAAATATAACTTTGTAAAATAACATTTACTTTACCGGCTGTGTTTGAAATGCTGTCTCTTAATTGGCATGGAGCATTGTGTTCCATTAATGATTCCAGTTCCTTATGCTCGTTTTCTCTCGATTTTATTTGCGAGAACTCGGTACACTGACTTAACAAAGAAAGAATATCCGCCTCTGACATCTTACTTTTTAGTAAACCATTCAAAGTAGTAATGGTTTGATATGAAATATAGAAATGTGAAGCGATTCTTCCCAAATCTTTAGGTGATAAGTAACCGTTTTTCTTATTAAATATGATCATTTGATTATCGGCCAACCTTGTAGCCGCCAATTCAATCAACTCTCGTCGTTTACTTCCCAAATATGGGTCATCCAATAGCTCATCGTATGCAATTCCATAAATTAAAGGATTTCGTCGCATTCTAATATACAGGTATGTGTAACCTAACCAAGTTACAGCTTCATCAACATTTGTGACAGTTCCTAGAGCAATTTCCGCATTCAAATTATCAACAAGTCGTTCAGTGAACCGAGATTCAATCGGTGTTTGTTGAGTGACAACTGAAACATAATGAGAAAGCTTATCATGAGTAGTGATAATGAATGCGGCAGCCGATTTTTCAAATTGGGGACGACCAGCACGACCAAAAATTTGTAAAACATCTAAAACACCCAAATCTACGAAAGAACCTTTCTGGGGATCATACAACTGAGTACCTTTGATAACTACCGCGTAGGCTGGAAGATTGACACCCCACGCGAGTGTAGCCGTACAACATAGGATTTTTAATGCACCTTGTGAAAAAAGCCGCTCTGTTAAATGTCTATCAGAACGTAACATACCAGCGTTATGAATACCGACACCATATTTGAAAAGTTCTCTTAAATCTTTATTTTTTGATTTAGCAACTTCCCTTTGGAAAAGTCCATATTTTTCATGCGTTGAACAATCAAGATAATCAGCGGCACCTTCGTGGAAGAATTGCTCTCTGATTTTGTTTGCAGATTTTATCGTCTCTTTTCGAGAATGAACAAAAATCATCACTTGATGACCTTCACGAATAAGTTCAAGGACTTTATCAAAGCAAGCTTCATCAACGTTTGTGTTTACAACTTTCGGAGACCCTTTAGCACCAATAAAATGATGTTCTATAGGGCATGGACGAAAAGCAGAAGAAAAATAGAATAATCCTTTATACCTATTAACACCCAAAAAGTCCGCTACGTCAAGATAATTAGGAAGAGTCGCAGATAAACCAATAATTCGAATCATCTGCTGACTTGTTTCTACAAACCGTTGAGTTCTGGCAACTAAAGACTCAATGACAGCACCACGATCATCATGAAGCATATGAATTTCGTCGATGATAACCAATCGCACTTTTTCCGTTAACTGGCTATCGCCTACACTCTTTCTGGTAACGACATCCCATTTTTCTGGAGTAGTTACGATAATTTGAGTTTCTGCAATCTCAGCTTTGGTCAATTGCATATCACCAGTAAGCTCCCTCGTTTTAATTCCTAGCCAACTAAGGCGTTTGTCCATCTTTTCTACCACCTCTGCAGCTAAAGCTTTCATTGGTGCAATATAGATAATTTTGAAATCATCCTTCAAAACCCGCAAGCGTTCTTCATTTTTCTCGTCTAAGCCCAACTTCTCAGTAAAGCTAGAAATTGTCTGGAGAATAGTAAGTAAGGCAACGTCGGTTTTACCAGCACCCGTAGGGGCACAAATGAGCATGTTCTCATTAGTCTTATAAGCAACAGGGAAAACAAGCGACTGAATTCTATTAAGTGTTTCATATCGCATAAACGTTTTCTGACATATGGTATCCAGGGAAGATATTTTGATTGGGGTTTCACTCTGCATAGGAGGTAAATGCTTTGCAGGAGGAACAACTATTTCCTCGTATTTGTCATAATCATCGCGTTGACTCCCTACCGGCAAAGCGAATTTTTTTCCAATGACACTAATCGTATTTCCAAGCCTTTTGTCTCCGTAAACATGAGGATAGTTTTCGCTTTCAAAGAGCTGTTGTCCAGTGAACAACGGACCGCGATTATCTTTAGAGCGTGTAAACTGAGGTCCTTTTGTTCGAACTGAATCCAGGAGGGCTTGTCCGTGAGTAGGAGTTGACTCTGCAGAAGTTCTCTCATTAGCAAGATTTTGCTGCTTAGTGTATTCCTGCAGGATTAATGATGATCGTTCGAAAATCTGAGATAAGAGTTCGACATTTTCATATCCCAGAAGATTTAATAAATCCTCTTGTACAGTCAATTCATCGTTTTCTGACTGAAGGGCCTCAATAATCGAATCAAATAAGGTGGAAGGACTCAATTCCGCCTCCATGGTAGAACAAATCAGTTCACATTTTTCCTTCAGCCAATGTACGTTAGAAACTGTATCCGAGACCACTTCATTTTCTCGTATAGATATCTTTTTCGGTTGGTAAGTGTAAGTCGTATCCAGAATATTCTGAATGGTCCTTCCAACTATATCAAGAGAAGAGTTTATATTCTTTGGTTCAAATTTATAAAAACCATCTTGAAAACAATTCGAATCTAGCTTTTCTAAGCGATTCGCTACATGCTTGAGCGCTAATTCCATATAAGCCAGTTTCAAGAAGCTTTCGCGACTTCTCACAAAAAATTATTTTCCTCTGTATCCTTATAATATAAAAAAGTGTAATTTCTTACAATCCTTAATGAACTGGCCTTTAAAGGCTTAAACTGGTAAAGGGCCTTTTGCCAAGGGCCAGTATATTTGTACTCGATTCAGAAATAACAAGATACGCTGCACTGCGCTATTTCCTGGAGTGTTAACTGATATGGTAGAAACAAACTTGGTCGGAACCAAAACGTTTGTAAAGTGAAGCAAATAGAAGAAGATGAAGCTGTATTCAATTTCTATTCTTCGTTTTGACCCAAAGCCAGTCCAGCTGCTCTGTACAGCTTCAGATTTATCTAGCTTTTCTTTCTTTCAGAGGTCTACGTATGGAAATCAAGGTTTTGGATTATTTATGGTAACTAACTAAGTATGAAATTAGTGTTGGAGAGTTTATGACTTTTTTTACGAAGACAGTTACAGAAAGAACCAACCCTGGACAACGACAAGATGTTGAGGAATCAGACTATGTGTTTCATGTGTATAATCGTTCAGACGGCTTGTGTGGTGTCATCGCAAGCGATAAAGAATATCCTTTGCGAGTTGCATATACCCTGTTGAATAAATTATTAGATGAGTTTGTTACGAAGAACCCTCGTCACAAATGGGAATCTGGTGCAGTTACTCTTCCCTTCCCCGAACTTGATACGTATTTGTCTAAATACCAGGATCCTAAACAAGCAGACACAATCATGCGTGTACAGCAAGAATTAGACGAAACAAAGGATGTGCTTCATAGAACCATTGAAAGCGTTTTGGCTCGTGGAGAGAAGCTGGACGATCTTATTGCTCGTAGTGATAATTTGTCTAGTCAATCTCGTATGTTTTACAAATCTGCCAAGAAGCAAAATTCATGTTGCCTTATCCAATAATTTCCTTTTTTACTCTGAGAGGAGTTGCATTTTTTCGAGACACTCTCCTTGTCGACGTATAATAATGAGAACGTTCTGATTACTTAATAACCATCAAGGTTTTTTTAAAGATTTATATTAAAAGTCAAAAACTTATGGAAGAAAAGGATCTTTTATATATTATTTCTTTGACGACCGTTGCTCAAAAAAGAAAAGAGATTATATCATGAACAGAGCAAACGAAGGAAAAACTCAATGTTTACGTCTCTTGTGACTTAACATTCAGCAATTCTGTTCTTCTGTTTCCGTTTCAAAGAAAGATAGGTTTCCAGATTTTTGGGCAACTGTTGTTTTGAAGATGATCTGGTTCATACAGTTACATAGAACACTACAGTAATGATCAAGACACTATCCGTGTTTTCTTATTTAAGAATTTGGCAATGTTACCCTCCCTCTATGAACGTATAGCGTATTAGGAACTAATTCATGTTATCTGGTCATTGTTATGTTGCTCAAGTATTGAGTATCTCTGACCTTCATGTTCTTGAACGTTTTATGAGGAAATTGTAGTGCATGCTTTTCGAAAGCATATTTTTGGTTATTTATTAATATAATCTAAAGATGCGGGTTTGTTGTGGTTTGTCTTTAATTATGGTCAAATAATGGATAGGTATGCACCCCATAACTAATTTTTATAACAAGACATCTGAAACTGATAGAAAATAATAAGACAGATCCATTCCTTATCGTCCAGGAATTGGTTTTTTTGATTTGTAGTATAACGCTTTGCAAGTCTTAAACTCAGTTGTACCGTCTGGGTTTGGTGTTTGTTCACCATCAAGCGTATAGTAATTGCCCTGGAACACCTTTATATCCTGAGGAATTGATAATTTTGGCAAATTCAGTTGATTTTCTTTGTCTTGTTCCATTTGAGAGAGGTAGGATATTGTAGAAAGCAAGTTGGGGATGTGTCATATTTGTTTACATTTTGGTACATGAAGCAAACACAAACATCGTTACACCATGAAACCCTATTATATCGTAGTTTTTGTAAAAAGTTAAACTCAATTAATAAAAAACGAAATGAATCCTGTTTCTCATAAAATTTTACACCATCAACTTCTTGTCAGGAAACGGCTTTAAGTTGAAAATACTTGGGTTCTCTTCAGCTTCCTTCCAACGATCATTTCTACGGATAAGAATCTAATTATCTAATTTTAATTACCATCATGAAAGTTCCTAAAAGAAAACAAAAACCGAAAATGATCCAAACAACTGGATTATCAGCATAAAGAATAGAGACGCTACGAATTACGCCATTCAAAGAAACATTTACCTTGTATTTTAAATTGATTAGCAAATGCTAATTTCTCTAATAGAAAAACAATGTCTCTGAATATGAATTCAAGCAAGATAAATTTCCTCTTTCTTTTGTTTATTTACATTTTCCTTGGTGACATCATTCAAAAAAGAAAGTAGGAGCAACAACGAAAGTTGGTAAATAAGATAACGATATGCAGTGAATAGTCAAGAGGATAAGAAGAATGGGTGAATATGCACAGAACAACAACGAAATTGAAAAACATGAGTAATTTGGAAGGTATAGAAAAAATTATCTAATGTCACGTCTAGTTCTAACATTTTAGCATCATTATTTCAATTAAAGGTGCGAATTTTTCCGTAGCCTCACTAACAATGGGTAGTTTGCGGCCAAATCGCTGAATAAACAATCCTTAAAGGCTTCAAAGGAGGAACGGTTAGAACGCGAGAAAGTAAAAAAGGTTTGTAATTATCTGTTAGAAAACTTTCGGTTGGCGTTTCGTCACTCAGCAGTCGTGGTAGGCTGAATTCAAATGTTGTGTCGAAGTTTCTTAAGGATTACCAAGTTTGGATAGGAAAGCTCATGAATTCGTATAGGCAATTATGAAAGGAAACCAAGAAGTTGCTCAAATTTATGCCTCGAATGCTATCCGTAAACAGCAAGAGTCCCTTAACCTTTTAAAGCTTGCATCACGAATTGATGCAGTTTCTAGCAGGCTACAGACCGCAGTAACCATGAGAGCTGTATGTGGCTTCTTTCCAGATATAAGAAATAATGCGTTTTGTATACTAACATCAACTAGGTTTCTGGAAATATGGCTTCTGTTGTCCGTGGAATGGATAAAGCTATGCAAAGCATGAATTTGGATATGGTAAGCTGCTTACTATTTTACTATTTTTTAAAAAAGCGAAAGTTCGTTCTTCTAACCATGGATGGTAGATATCTCAAATCATGGATAAATTCGAGTCTCAGTTTGACGACGTTGATGTTCAGACCGATTACATGCATAAAGTAAGAAATCTCTTAGTGTTCCTTCTATTAACTTTCAAGACTATGGGTTCTGCTACTGCTGTAGATACTCCTCAAGAGAATGTAGATTTACTAATGCAATCCGTTGCTGATGAGGCGGGATTGGAATTCAATCAGAATATGAACGCCAACCTTTCCGTTCCTACAGATAAGGTTCCAACTCCTTCTCCGGCCGTTGAAGACGACAATTTGCAAGAACGATTGAGAGCCTTGCGTTCTTCTTGAACTTTATAATATATCATCCTTAAAAATTGTTTATGGATACTCCTAATGGATTTTTTTTTTTTAAAAAAAAAAGAACAAGAATTATCTATAAAAAAAATCTTAGACTTGAATAGATTAATGACTGAGTATAATGAAATATCTATCTTGTGTTATATTTATGACAAAGCCTCTCAAGCTCTAAAAATCCAAGGCAATTCAGATAATTGTCACTAAATTTTCAGCTTTTTCCTTACTTACAATGAACTTTCATATTAGTCACAATTTTGCTTAACCGCAAGTTCTAACGGTTGAGTCCATTCCTCTAGCTTCTACATTTGAGCTTCTAACGTCTGTTCACATACCCAGTTCCATGAATCGCTCGTTTTCCTAGTATAATAATTTATTCTAAAAGTTATTTATTCATTTTCTAAAAATTTTTTGTCTTCTTGTTTGTTTTAGGTTGAACGTGTCTTGTTGTTTCAGTACTGAATTAAAGGATGCAAGCGGAATTTAAGTCGAGCATCAATGATTTTCTAGAGCAACTTCCAAATCATGCAAGACTGTATCAGAAACCAGCGGCTTGCCTTGCTGTTTTTCGATTATTACCGATTTTGGCAAGACAGTATGTAATGTCCATGCTTTTTAATCCTATGCCTGTCGCTCTTTCAGATTTTGATTTATGGACGAAGATGTCGAGTAAAGTATATCAATCTGAATCATTCAACAAGCTAGTGAGCATGCACATTTTTCAATTCGATGGTCAGTATATTACTCTCAACGAAGAATTTCGAAAGCAATTTATCACTGCTCTTACTGGAGGGTATGATACTCACATAGTTTAAGAAAATGCAATGCTAACTCCTTTAGTGGGAATCATAATTCCTTTGGTGTTCCTTGCACTGATGAAGATAAGCACCGTGTGGATTTAGAGTTTTTAGACAAATACGCGAAAGAAACTTGGGAAACTATCTTACATTTTATGGTAGGAACCCCTGAGGGAAAATTTCCCGGAGAAGGAGTCCTAAGTTTACTTCGAAGAGGAGGTTTAATGACTGGTCCCAAAAATCAATTGCGAATTACACATGCAGGTTTTCAGTTCCTTTTGCAGGATATCAATACACAGATTTGGACTCTTTTACTTGAATATCTCAAGCTATCCGAAGATACGCATATGGATCCTATTCAAGTGTTACATTTTCTATTTATGCTAGGAAGTTTGGATTTGGGAAGAGATTACTCCGTAGATTTCTTAACTGATACTCAACAAATTATGCTGGAGGATTTACGAGAATACGGAATCGTGTATCAAAGGAAAACAACATCACAGCGGTTTTATCCCACACGTCTCGCAACTAGTTTAACAACCGACTATCATGCATTAGAAGGATCTCAGAATGACAACGATGCTGATAAAGGATTTATTATCGTAGAAACAAACTATCGTTTGTATGCCTATACAAGCTCGCCCTTACAGATTGCCATCATAGGTTTGTTTGCTAATTTACGGGCCCGATTTTCAAATTTAGTCGTTGGTGTAATTACCCGGGATAGTATCCGAAGAGCTTTAATCAACGGAATTGCTGCTGAACAGATTATTACATATTTGTCTACGCATGCTCATCCTCAAATGAGAGCGAATGTAAGTATTAGGACGCATCAGAAGTTATCAGAGCTCTAACAACATAAATAGGTACCTTTACTTCCTCCCACTTTAGTTGATCAGATCTATTTATGGGAATTGGAGAAGAATCGTCTTAAGGCAACACCGGGAATTCTATTTCGAGACTTTCTTACTGACATGGAGTTTGACCAAGCGGTTGAATACGCAAAAGAACTCGGAGTTCTTGTATGGGAAAGTTCTATTAAACGTATGTTTTTCATTACTACAGCTGGCGCACAGCCCATGATTGCCTTCTTGAAAAGAAAAGCTGTGAAGTAGATCTTCAAAAAATTTGTTCAAGAAAAATTACTGATGTATAACGAATAATGAATATGAGCATAATTCAATGCGCAATAGTACATCTCAAACGTGCTCAAATAAATATGTTTGACATGTGAAACCCTTAACCTTTTGAAATATTTGGTAACGCAAAAACCTTTGCATTTTTGACGAAACGATTCAACAGTGAAACCTGTATTACCTTAAATAACACAAGATCAAGATATGTATGCTCTCTTTGGAAACTTTCCCTCTTCTAATTAATTTATTTTATTTTTTTCTCCGAAAGGAGCTGCGTAAATAAAATGAAGATGAATGAATTATCTAAGGAATGGCGAATCTATACCAATTCTAAAATGATATTAAACTTCGGTTTAAGGAAAAACAGCTCTTTCAATGCCTTTTTTTGTTATTCAAATGGTTCCATTTACCTACCTCTCCATCATACCCTATAATTACTTACCAACGTGGAATTCGGTCTAACCACACCTAAAGTACCCGAGCGTTTTCAGTTCTTGATTCCACATTCATCTGTTATCTTTTTGAGGCAAGGAGCAATTTTATTTCATTTATATTTCAGAAAATATCTATAGCATGACTACTTATCCTGGGAGTTCCAGAGTTCTGTCTTTTGTTCGCTCTGTTTGGCAAGACTTTAAAAACAGTAACGGGTTTGATGCTTATTTGCTTGGAGATATTCAGGTTCTCAGTGCTGTCCCTGGATTCGTGGAATGCTCATTGAAATTGGAAAACTACCATTTGAACAGAATGGGGAATTTGCATGGAGGATGCATTGCCGCCCTTACTGACTTGGGTGGAAGTTTGGCTCTTGCAAGTCGAGGATTGTTTGTTTCTGGTGTTTCAATTGATATGAATCAGACATTTCTGAAAAGTGGAGGAACTCTTGGTTCACAGATTCTCTTTCATGCCAAATGTGACCGACTTGGTTCCAACATTGCTTTTACGAGTGTTGACTTTTTAACCGAAACCCAGGAAACTTTTGCTAAGGGAAGACACACTAAATTTGTTCGTAACGCTTTAAATGACCCTAGAAACTCTCTCGACTTAAACTGAAGGACTTAAAGCCATTATGCCCACTTGCTTAATTCCTTTTCCCATTAACGTTTTGATACCCAGAGAATTCATGTTATTATTTCCTCTTACTTTTATACATGTAACACCCATTTTTCGAGAATTTTTTAACGAACTTCATTCCGCTTGCTTATGAGCTTAATAGTATCCTATGTAGGTTACTGCAATTTTCCTGCTTATGATTCAGTTTCTTCATCTTTGGAATTTTTAATTCATTGACTTAATGATTTAGTATAGAATATGGAAACTTTGTCCCCTGAAGGAAGTTTTTGGATTTTTGGATATGGTTCATTGATTTGGCACCCTCCTCCCAAATTTGATCTAAGTATTCCATGTAACATTCGGGGATATGTTCGACGACTTTGGATGAAAAGTGAGGATCATCGGGGAACCGTGGAGAGGCCAGGACGTGTATTGACGTTGATTCCTTACGAAGAATGGGAACAATTCTCGGATTGGGCTCACACACCTTATGAAGAGGGATGCTGGGGGATGGCATTTCGTATTCCTGCTCCCTTTGCGAAAGAAATTAGAGCGTACTTAGATGATCGGGAAATCAATGGCTACACTGCTCATAGTGTTCCTGTGTATGCTCATGTTGGAGATAAAAAACCTATCCTTGAAAATTGTCTCGTTTACGTAGGCACATCAAATAGCCCCCAATTTCAGCCTTCAGAAACACTCGAGGAATTATCAGAGATTATTTCAACTCGGAAAGGGAAAAGTGGACCTAATTATGTTTACCTTTTTGAGCTTGCCAATGCTCTTCGCCATCTTTCACCTGAATCTAAAGATACCCACGTTTATAAGTTGGAAACTGCAGTTAAAAAGAAGCTCCAGATTTTGTAAATGCGACTTTGAACTTGTAATATATAAAAATGCTATACAAAGTTCGAGATGTATAAATGCTGTCTGAAATATTTAATTCTTTCTATCATTTGTGTTTTGGCTACTTTTCTATGCTTCATAAATACTTATTACATTTAATTGCTACTCTAGTAGGAATTGATTTTTCTTTCTCACATTCTTTATGAAGATAATAATATCGGTAACTGATCTTCTAACGATTTTTAACACTTTAGATAACTATAAACCCTTCAATGTTGATTACATATGACATTAACATTATTTATTCTTGAATAGCATTGGAAGCAACTTCTCCCCTTTGTTTTCGCGCATGCTCTATGTATTGACACATATTTTTTACGGAAGAGAATTTATAGAAATTGTAGGCATCTTTATACTTCCAAACTGTTTTTTCGGTTCCGTGCAAGGTCGGATTATGCTGAATATGAGCTGGTAAAGATGAATCAAGGTCAAGATACCACTGTAAGCTTAAGCGATTTGTTAGTAAAAAATTTTCAAAGGTTAAAAAGTCTTGTGCTGATTCCCAAGGATAGGAAGGTAAATACTCAAACTTTATGCCCTCGTTCTGCAACCAGTTTTGAAATTGACGAGCTTCCTCATGAATAGCGTAGTAAAAAATTAGAGGACGAATAATCTGAGGAGCCGAAGCGTCAATGACCATCGCCAATTCCGCTTGTTGTAGTTTTCTGTTAGGATTTCGGCAATACTGTAAGAATAAAATGTGCGTGATGGCATTGACTGCATCACAACACCTTTGTGATAGCTTTTTTGTTTCATAATCATATTCTTCTTCCTGATCTACATTCAAAAAATCGGCTTCTGGATCTTGCCGAGATTCTTCTGTGTTTGTATCAAGGAAAATTCGCAAAGAAAATTCAGGATTACAAGATAGTACAATGGTGTCGCCCGTGAAAACTACGCCTTGATTTTCGCAGATTTGTGCTTCCTGTAGTAAAGCGTTCCAAACATCCATTTCTAGCAGTACTCGTTGAGCACTTTGAATTTTTACTAACAGTTGATCTTCTTCTTCTTGTATTCCCCAACTCCAGTTCCATTTTGAAGAAGCGATGATTTTTCCAGTACTTGAAACTAAATCAACACGTAAGCTTGCTTTTTGATGCACAAGCCCAGACTCAAAATTGTAGCTTTGCTTTTCTTGATCCTTCCTAACTAAACCAAGGCCTAAGGAAATCCCCCCTAGAGCACTATACTGTACTGAGACATCGTAATTACCTCCTTTGTTGCTCAGTACAAGAGGCCATGATGAATCTCTGACATTGGATAAAATTTGGAAGTACTCCCTCTCAGAATCCACAACTTTAGATAATCTCTCCTTTGCATCGAAAAGCAAGTTCTTCGAAGACGTTAGAGACTTTCTTTTCCAGCACATAGCTAAAATAGAATCGGATTCTTTTGCTTCAGGAGGATGACATCGCTCCAATCCTAGCGACCCAGGAGGGACAGTAGATTTCAGGAAAGGTGAAATAGTGTCTGAACTAGATTGCTTGTATTTGGAAAGAAGTAAAGAAGTCATATCGAGTGCCAGTGAACACTCATTCTGAGCAATCCTATCCCAAAAGATTAGTACGCAATTTGGAGGACAAAAGAATAAAGCGGAGGAAGCTTACAATATATAATCTACAAGTTCTTTTTTGTAATCATGAATATTCATAGAGTTCTGAGAAACGTCGTTGCCTTCTTGTTGAGAAGGAAGAATGGTAAATCCATAGTAAGGATCCTGTTTACCAGAAAACGCCTTAGAAGAATCTTCCTCTTCCTCCAATTGTTTTTCTAATTCTGTTTCATCCAAGTCCCTAAAATTTCCACGTTCCTGGACAATCTTTTGAAAAATCTGAGGCAGCTCAATTTCACTAGACAGGAAACAAAGGTCAATAAAACGAAAGAGATGTAGTTAAAAAGAGCTTCACATACGGTGCCAAATTTCGAGATTCTATCACTTCAGGATTTAGACTGACTGGCAAGGGTGTTGTATCCATTTTGTTATTCTCATCTTGTGCTGAATGTTCGTCCATTTATCACACCAAAAAGTCTGTTTTTATCTTCTTTTTTCTATAAATGTAATAACAAATATAGTTGAAAGCTAAAATTACCTAACAAAATTAATCGAACTTATACTTGGTTACTGCCAAACAATCGGCATTCGACACTTTATAAGAACAGTCGAAAATTCTCTGTCAATTGTCAAGAGCAAATGTATGAACGAAATGCTTTCTCAAACTCATAATTATTTCACTATTAAAACAGGGAGACGCTTACGTGGATGAGCTGGAATGTCTGTGGTTTTATCTTTTGTACACTTACAATTTAACATAGTCAGTTTTAATTTATTAAGAACAGTAATAAATGAAGCGTCTCATGAGCCAGAAAGTTGTATAAAAAGCGCGTATAGTCGTTGATTACTATGCATTTGACAGTCTCCATACTTGTTGAGTTCAAACGCATTTCTCCTTCTAACAATAGAGGAATTTGAAAAAATAATTCAAATCGCAATCGTTTTACATCCTTACTCGGGGTGTGAAATATACCTATACTCTTGAAACGTATTCCCTGCTTTTCCCAATACATTAGGAACCTCTTATACGCGCCGAGAAATCGAAATGAAACGTTCAGGTAGCTTAGATAATAAAGAAATGAAAAGGAAAAAGAATTGGGATGATTCTAAAGAAATTTGCTTACTAGAAAAGGAAGTGCTTGAAGATAATACTGAAACGAAAAAACGAAACCTGCATCCTAAGTCGAACCAATCTACAAGAAGTTTTTTATTAAACGATAAAAATACAGAATCTGATTGTGATCAAAAGCCTTTTGTCGAGATTCCAGTTCGAGGACCATTTCCAGCAGTGAAAGAAATGAAAACAGAGGATGAGGGACTACGAGGGTTTCATTCGAATTCCGTCTTACGAACTTGCTTTCGAGTTGGTGAACTATTAAAGGTGTACAGTTCGCGTCTTTCTACCTATTTGACTGTTGTCGAGTTTTTCGGTAATTCACAAATCCTTGAAGGGAGATTAATATGCTAACATGAGTCTAAAGGTAAAGTTCGTTCACATAAATGTGTAGGAAATATTATCCTACTAGAGTTGGAGGATGTGTTTCGGGGTAGTAAATCCCCATGCATTCATGCTAAACTATATTCTACACAGTCAGTATCGTCGTTTCTATTAGAAACGGGGTCTTTTGTGCGAATCGTAGGAAATGCAGCCTGTTCGGAAAAGCTTTTAAAGATCATGCACATAAGCAGCACAGACATGGATGAACTGATAGAAACCTACAACATGACTCATTACCAACGAACATAAAACTAAAATGTTTAAACAAAGAAGAATGAAACTTTAACGAGTAAAAAGGAATTTATTATCCCTAAGTGATACATTTAAATATGAACTCTACGAATAAGATCTTCACAATTGAAACTAAGTCCATAGGAATGTGAGTGGAAGGCAGTCATTAAGCATATGAAAATTTGAAATCGAATCTAGCTGAAGGTAAAACAACGGTTAGACCTGTCTATTCAGAATGATAATCCATCAGTCATGGAAAAACGCAAGATGTCCGCAACTATTTGAAACCTGTAATAATGTATAGCTCATGGTGAACTATTGCAAAAGGAATCCACAAGTGGATTTAAAAAAAAATAAGCATGAAAACAATCTAGACGAACGAAAACCAGCCCAAAAGGAGAATGTGGTAATTCAACCATCTTTAAAACATGGATTGGGGATAGACCAAAGAATAGAATAATAAAGAAGAATCAAGCAGAAGTAGATTAGCAAAGATTACTCCGAATTAGGTAAGAATAATTCTGGAAATTTAAACGTATTGAGCCAACCACTTAAAACCTTCTCCATATCCTTGACGAAGAACAACCGAGCACATAAAGACTTCGATGGGACGGATTCCAGGAACAGGCTTGGAAACACCTTTACCGGTTGTCTGATACAAGCCAAGAGCAGCCTTTAATTCGTCCTCTGAAATAGCACCAGGCGCATCAATTTTGTTACCGAGAATTAAGAAAGGAACCTTAGCAAGCTCCTCCATAGCCAACAAAGCATCCAACTCGGCTTTAGATTCGGAAAGACGCTCGAAATCGCAGCAGTCAACAAGGTATACAATGCCATTCACTTCTGGAAAGTAGTCTCTCCAAAGACGACGAGCTAGAAAGGAAGTTAATATAATAATTCCTGAAGATAAAGCTAAGAAGGAAGCTAAGGACAAAAAGATAATTTAAATATAAATTTAAAAGTTGCTGTCCTATCAACCAGGCAGGCCATCATAGGACACTCACCAGGCGAAGCTTGGACCTTCAATAAGCCAAAATGGCGGCTTCTTTTTCCAAAGCAATAAGAAATACTTACCTTGTTGGTGACCACCCAAGTCAAAGGTTGTAAAACGAACCTTTCCAATAGCTAACTCTTCAGAAGTAGGATGCAAAGTAGGTTGCATAACAGCTAAACGGTCATTCTATTTCAAGAGTTAAAGTCAACATTCCTCTTCTTTTATTCTGCTTGCGTACCTTCAGCATGTGCAGCAATGTGGTTTTACCAGCATTATCCAAACCCAAGAAAAGCATCTTGGCATGCTTATTCACAAGACCAAGAGCAGCTAGAGCATCATAAAACCAATTAAGGATGAACATTGGGATGATTATCTCGAAATTGTACAAACTTTTGCAGATTCACAACAAGAGTTGGTAGTTGGCAAAGGACGACCTTAGTATGGGGGTTACATATCCTTCCGTATGCTAACTTGTCATAATGCGAGTATGGATCCTTGGTAGAGAGATAGGTTTATTCCATTTATTGAGCTGAATTTAAATATTTATGGCTTGTTACAAAGGTTTCGCATAGGAAGGAAGCATTTGTGGAAAATTCGGATTCATAAACGTGGGTTCACCATTTCACCTTTACATGCTGTTTTGCCATATATATATATTAAACAAAGTGCTTTTTTAAAGAATAAAAGACGACTGCGTACTTCTTGGTGCTGACTTTGGTGAGAATTCCTCGCCGTAGCTGAAAAATACTCGTTTTATTCTAGAGCAGGGATCCATTGCACCGCAATACAACATCTCATCCATTCCTTTATTTGAATTTTGCGAATAGATTATGCGTCTTTCATGCGGTTGCTTCTACATCGCTTGCAAGTGTTACAGTCTATCGTGATCCATTCAGGAGACACTTTCAATACGAGAGCAGCAATTTATGATTAATTTTAGAAAAAAGTCCCTTCTATGCAGTCCACTAGCTTGCTTCTCGTAGGAGAAAGCAAGATGGATTTCTGAGGAGGCACGAAACCTTCCTTCATTGATGCTTAAGAGACGAAGAGAATACTTTTACTTTCCTTTAGAAGCCATAAACTGATCTTTTGGGATTTAATTTTCAGCTCAAGGACCAAGCTTCACCAGCATTTTCGTTACTCATGTAACCCCTTTGAAGTCTATAAATATTTACTTTCAGGTTTACAGTGGAGAATCAATTATAATCAATAAGATATCGACTATAATAAAATATGAAACAGGAAATAGGAAGCAAGCTTTTGATGGTCGAAATGTCTATATAGAACGAAAGGAAACTTGTGCTAACATTGATCAACTTCCTATGCTAGGTACTATTTCTGATCTCAAACAAACATGATTGTATTCCATATTGAGTACTTTTTCTCCTTTTTGGTTTGTTTACCTGAAGCACTTATTTACACATGTTGCAAGCCTGGGATTCGTCTGCGCAAGCTGTTTATCATCTTATTATCCAGTTCATATAAATTCGACACAGTCAAGTAAACAAATGAAAAGTACAATAACTGCCCTTATTCCTTCGATTTAGTCACCGTGGTGTTCATTATAAATGACAAGCCAGCTACTCCTCGGAAACCGCATACGGGTCGAGTTCCAATTTTATTTATTTATTTTATTTAATGTTTCTTTTTCATATGAACGAAACTAGAAGTTCTCTCAATGAGTTTGAATTAGGCTTATCCACATCATCCACATTCTGAACGTCCCTTCAACATCTATCTTTGTTATTCTCCAAACGTCTTGATTTTAACAAGGATTCATCAAAGACAAAGGGATTTTTATATAAAATAATTTTTTTTTTTAGTAAAACATTCACCTGGAATCTTTCTTTTCAGCTTTTCTATTAAAATCCCATCAGACCTAGCATTGTTCTAAATTCGTTAGGGTTTCACCTCAGAGTTGAACCTTTTTCACTTTCCTTTCGCATCTTTCGTTTTCTAATAGAAAAATGCTGTTGTTCAGTGACTCTAAACCAGTTACTGCGGTAACTACGTATATTGACAAGATGACTGTTGGTGGCCGCACTGATAACGACCTCTCTGGAATTGTCGAATTGTCAGAAGTAGTGGGTCTTACTTCTACTGGGCCGAAAGAAGCAGCACGTACACTTCGTAAAAAGTTGAAGTATGGCCGGCTTGACGAACAAGTTCGAGCTCTAATTGTCCTTCAAGCATTAATTGAAAATGCGGGATCACACTTTGTCGAAAACTTTTCCGATGAAAAGTTAGAGGAACGTATATTTTTATGTGCTACAAGTCCAGCTTATCCAAAAAAAGTGCGAATCAGGGCTTACTCATTAATCAAATTATGGCAATCCGACTATTCCAACGTTCGGGGAATGGAAAACCTGAGTAAGTTGGCTAGGAAACTTCCGTCGAAGATGCCTCCCTTAAGCATTCGTCAACAACAACCAATTAATATGAAGCGCGTTGCCCCTATACTTGAGCGTTTGATTGTCTCCTCCAACATGGCGGCTACCAATTTGGCAAACACACTTGCTCAAATTAATCCTCACCGCGAAAATCCCACCCATAACAAACAAATTATGATGTATTATGTTGACTGTAAACGGTGCCATCGCTCTTTGTTGAGATATATAGAAGCCATTCAAGATGAGATGTGGCTTGCAAATTTGTTGAAAACCAATGATGAAATTGTCAGTGCGATTGATTCGTATAAAGAGAAGACAAGCCATAATGAGGAACAGGATGATGACTTTGAAAGCGGCTCTGATTCTTATTCTCTGAACGACAGAGCTTCTTACTTGTCCGGTTCCGATGTTTCTGATACTATTTCTCAAACTGAGGAAGATCTGGACGCCAACAACCCTTTCAGTGATTTGAACCGTACAGATTAATGGAGTGTATTTATCTTTTTATTTTTGTGAATAAGTCCCTCTCTTCCTTTTCTAGATGATCTTTTATATGAGACTCCTTCTTTTAATGACTTTGATTACGCATAAAAACTCACTTATATACAATGCCCGACTATTTGCTCCGCATCTGTACTATTATGAATGTAAAGACTCTGTATAACATTTCTAATTACGATATGCTGCTGTTTTGTTTTGGTTATGACTAGATTGCACCCTAATAACATTATATACTTCATTTAGTGAATGAATTATTCATGCGCATCAGATCCGTTTCATCATATATGCCTTTTTAACATCACTTCTATTTAGTTTTATATAACGTCTTTAAAATATAAAGAGCATCTGAGTTTCTCTGTTCGTTTCCACCTAATCCTTCCTTTTATGATCTGTCCCTTGTCCTTGACATTGAGTAAGAGTTTAGCGAATGTTTACATGACTGAATTTCCATCAATTCCACGCATATAGTCATATATTTTTTTATAAATCGAAAATAATAGTTAATTGATTTAAATCTAGAAAATTTATTTCCCGTATTTCTTCCTGATCTATCTTGCACACATGTTTCATGCTCCTGGAAACATGTAAACAAACATTTCCTCCCTCACCACATACCAGAAATATCAGCATTGAAGGTAGCTTCCAAGTATACACTGAAGGAAACCATAAATTGATCATTGAATGGATTGTTTAGCGACCTTCGACCATGGACTTTTCTCCTCTGAATTGCAAGATGCGTCTCTACTTCCCGAGTCATTGAAGCAAGCAAACAAAGAACAAAATCAAGGAATTACAGCTTTCGATGTTCTATCCGATAATAGAACGTTCAAAAAAGAGAGAAGAACCAACACTAAACGGAAGCGTTCAGAAAGAGAACAGAAGAAAACATGCGAAAAGCAGCCCAAAAAGCATATAAGACAGGACAATCAAGTTCCTGAAAAACTTGAAAACTATTTAAAGAAGAAAAATCCTCAGACTCCCGTCAACATCGAAACGCTTTGTCCATCTGCACCAATGTATATAGAAGATATCATCATAAGGGACACCAATATGTCAAAGATAGAGACACCTGTGTCCAGCTTTCCAGGAAGTCAGCCAGCAAATTCGTATCATGGACATGACGCTTACAGTAATAGCTTGCATTTTCAGCTTTCACCTTTTTCATCTAGGGAAAGCCCTACCAATAATTTATCTAGAAAAGAATCAGCAAAATATGGTACCTTAAAAAATGCAAAAGAGAGTCCATATGTAAAAACACCTTGCTACGGAAATTCCAAAACGAACAGATCAAATTCGACCTCCCCTAAAGAGAAGATTACAGTTATTTATGTAAGAGCTTTAAATGGGAAAGAAAGATACTAACTAAACTCTTAGGATGATAATGAAGTGAGAGACTACTTATATGTATTCGGCTCTCGATCCCAAAATAAAAAGCAAGACTACACGGTTGTAGCAAAGAAAAAGTCTTTCCAAAGCACTAATTGTGCAAACTTCTTTCTGTTAAAAAACTTGATGGATCCAAAGTACATTCCGGAGACAGCTGAAGAACGGTCACTGTGCATTCAGGTTTTGGAAGAAGTACTGAATCCATAAGAGGGAACAAAGTAAAGCATCAACAAAGAATGTTTTTTTACGTTTACTAAGTGAATTGATCCTTCTTTTTTTTTTTTTTTTTTTTTGAAGAGCTTTATTTAGAGCCCTGAGCAAGAATATCATCGACGTCGTTCTTTAAGTGAGGATAAGCAGAAATGATCTCTTCAGCTAAGGTTTGCTGAAAGTTTTCCATAGCTAAAAACTTTCCATGCACGTATTGATTGTCTTTTTGAACCAACTCACTGAATTGTCGAGCGTATACATCAGGATTTCTACCTTGTTCAACATATTCTAGCACATCTTGAGAGATCGGTTCATTTACTTTTTTAGATATCTTAGGGAGTGACCTAAGATGATTTATCAAGGTGCTAATATTTTCTGGAATAGTATCTGGAGGAGTTGTGTCTTCCAAATTGTAAATTACCAAAGCCAAGTCATACAGCGATTGAGTCGTATCTTCCAGTTTGCTTGCTAGTTCTTTCATTTCAGGTGTCATTTCTTCTGCAGTGCTTCTTTTTTGTCACAACGCAAGCTTGCCCAAACTGCTTTTGGTAAAGCGGTGCTATTTAAGATATAGAATGATTTATTGTCTTTATGAAATTTAATCGTTATTAATAAAACGGTAACAAATAAATGCAAAGACAACAAGATAGTAAATATTCTTAGCTTTCAGTATACGTGTCAGATTTATGAAGATCGGTGGTACAGTGGTACACCAAAGCATCTATAATTTACCTTTGATTCTGATTTAAGTGGAAAATGTGTTGATCAATAGGAATCGAATACAGAAAAACAAAACGAACTCATTATTTCTTTTGATAATAAATTTCTACTTGCTATTAAATGTTACAATATTGAAAATTATTAATATAACATGATCATGGACTTTAAATACTAATAAAAAATTAGAGAAATATTACGTTTAAGGAAGCCATAGTAGACATTAATGTGAACTAAGTAAAAGCAGTAATCTGTGTAACCCCAAAAGTGAGATAGAATAAATCATTAGCAGCAGATATTTTCATCCAATAAAAATAATTTGAGAGATCTAAATTGGCAGATTTTTAGTTTTTGCTGGAGACAATATTAAAGACCTGTCGGTATGCACGGATTGTCGTTGGATGTAGAGAATTTCTAGAAGCGATAACGAAAGATTTTATATATTGGAATTTTGTGCAGTTGCGGTTGACGAATTGGATTCAGAAGCTTCTGGCGTATTACTATGTATCCCTACACCAGAGTTTGTTGCAACGGGTCCTGATTCTACTCCCGCTCCCGGTACTTGCGAAAGTTGCTTTCCAACCTCTCGCCTAGAAGACCGAGCATCTTTGTGTATAACACGACACCATCGACTATGTCCAGGCCAAGCTTGCTGTTGGCATTCTTTACTGCAATATTTAGTACGACGACAACGCCTGCATTTGGCAAATTGACGGCTGTGTTCTTCCCATTTATTACATTGCAAACTTGCGCAACGACGAATTCCTCCACGACTCTCATCCTTTCGGCAGTAGTTGTTCATTATAGCTCTGGCCCAGTATTGAATTTGTGGCGGGTAAAACTTTAAGGTGAACTGCTCAACCAGTTGAAAGGTATTCCAAACTTTGTTCCCGCTGCGCAACGGCGACATACGTAAGCTAGGCACGTCTTTGGATATCTCAAAATGAGGCCGTAGGTGAAAGTAATTTTTACTCGTATAAGCCAAGATTTGCAACCCGTAAAGTATATCTTCCTCCCTAGGAAGTTTATTGATTTTTTTGTCGAAATTATCAAAAAATGAAGTGATTCCTTGAAAATCTGCAGTATTCTCGAGCCTTCGTGCTTCAAATAATACTAAGGGAGTAGGAATAGAAATTGCCCGCTGAGCGCGACGACGACGAATTATCGCTTGCTGCTGAGCTATAGACATAGATAATTGATCTGATACACGAGAAGCCTCCTGGACCGTATTTAAAGGATTTACAGGTAAAGGTGTGAAGAGATTTAAAGAGTTAGGGCGGTCAGAAGGAGCGGTATCCGAATTGGAACTATCCCTGGAAGCAACTCCATTTTGGGACATACTTGGAGAGGAAGGGGAAGGGGATGAAACAGGATTTATATTTTCGTTGGAAAAGGAGGTACTTGAGGCTGAAGACGGTAATCTTTGAATAGTAAAAGGAGACTGGACTTGAGAATCGCCATATGCGTCCTGAGAATAGACAGCAGAGTGACCCTGTGAAGAACCAGTATCTGCAAATTCTCTCCCATTATCTTCACGATTAGTTGAACGATTTCGATTTTGAAATTCGTTACTGTCTCTAACTTCAACGGCGACGTTCCTCCGTCCAGAAATATTGTTCGGGTAAGGAGAAGACAAATCACCGCCAACGTATAACGAATTTAAAGGAGAGTTATTTTCAGTAATCGCATCCATCGAGTTTGAGTCTAATGGGGCTAAAGAGTTGTTTGGAGGCGGCGTAGATACAGACGTAAAAGTACTTGCTGTCCGGTTAGTAGAAGGAACCACAGATTCAAGAGCAAACAAAAAGTCATCCAAGAGTGTTACAACAATAGGAACGATTCCTGCTTCAACTACGCGAATTCTGATAGCTTCTGAGCCCCGGATACCGACATTAACGACACACTGCAAGGCAAGTTGCCAGATAGTCATACGAGCAAACGTTTGTCCTCTTCCAGCTCGCAAAATATTCATTAATCGGACCAAGCCACCGTCTATAGTAAGAATTTCTCGGATTTTGGGTGAAGTAGATGTTAAGTATGCGAGATGACTCAAGGAATTCATAAGAGCCATTTCTGAATCACAATCAAGAGCACGACGGTCATACAAAACCGTGTTGATAGTGACAGAGGCTCTATTATTCCAAACAACGCTCACATTGGATTCTCTCATTTTGTAGTTAATTAATCAAAGGAAAGTTAGGATAAGTAGCTTAATAATCAAAAAAATAAATAGATGCGAAAAAATAAGAAAGAAATTAGCGGAAAATAAACAAAGGGTAACGAGCCGAAATAGGAGAAGCCAGAAACAAAAGAAAAACGAATGCAATGGTTACAGACAGATAGGAAAGGAATAATAAAAAAAAATACCAGTAAAATTCCAAAAAGCGAGGTTGTTTAACTATAAGGGGCTTTTTAAGACAATAGGGGAAGGTCGCAAACGAACAAGGGGAAGGGCAATTAATTAACACAGATTCTTTGGTTTTTTTTTTTTTTTATCCAGCCAAGCTATACGAGAAATTAAAAGATCAATGTGTTGACTCCAGGAAGAGCTGTCGTCTAACGAACTTTTAATTCAGGAGTATAAGCACGTGTATGAAAAAAAAAAGGCTCAATAAGAAACAAACAGTTATATTTTAGCCAGAAATGTTTACAATCTGAAATTGAGCAGCACAAGTGTAAAAGGAAAACCAAATGTTACGATGACCAAAGAGAAAGATAGTTACCTTTTCCGACGGATACTTAAGAGGCAGGACGAAAATAGGAAAATGTATGAGATTCAAGCCAATAAATCAATTATTTCTCAATGCCAACGGAAGTCCTCTAACAAGTTTTCAATTCCCGAATGAACAAATAAGCAAGAAAAACTGATCCTAGCGAATTCAGAATCTTTTTTTAGACAAGATGTAAATGTGAATAAAAAACTTCTAAAAAAGCATAGGGTAGCACGTTCCACGTACTATGTATACAAATACACTGAGGGCTTTCCGTCTTAGATATGCTCCAATTCCTTTTTTTTTTCTATTGCAATTTATGTTTCTATATGACTTTAACTTGAAACGAAGGTTTAACAATGGTTTCAATGCAATTTTTTCTTCTTCTTTGGAGACCTTCTCTGGCGGCAATATAGACAAAGGGCAGGTTACGTTTCTCCTGCTAACAATGCACCTGCCTCAGCAGATACTCGCTAAAGAGGGAAGGGTAGCGCTTACAAGTAAAATGGCGTGGGGATTAATGGGAAAGTCTTCTAATGATCTGCAGATTCGCTTATGAACGTCGATCATTTTACTTTGTAGGAAGTGAATACAGAAAAAGAAATGTATTTGAAAGAAATTGTTTACCATTTTGGAGTATATGAATATAAGTAATTTTCTTTTAATAATTACTATGATAGTTATCTTTTAACAGAACTTACAGTTTATGGTAAGAACCGATCATAAAATACACAATTAGATGCAGACAAGAATTACAGAAATCAAGAGAACGCAAACCAGTACAAAACGAAAGAAAACGAAAAAGTAACCCAAGTAAACCATATCGGATGCTTAAACTTGTTTGACTGTAACCCATGGATGAGTACTGTATTGTGAGTAAGTGAAAGTTGGAAGATTGCTATCTCCTTTCCTTTCTTTCCCTTAGGCTTGAACAATGAACACAAGTTTTTGAAAATTCTACTTCATTCAATTGTATTTTGAAACAAAAAATTATCCACATCCTGGGCTGTTCTATTTTTTTTTACTCATCTCCATAGCAATACATATACACATGATTCATTGGCAAAGGAAGAGTTATTATTAATTAACGGTACCTTGTTTTTTTGCCATTTCTTCCTTCCACTGCCTTGACTTTTCCAATAATTTTCGCATCTTGTCGCCTTGGTCGACAGCTGTATCAGGAAATACGTAGTCCAGATATTCTTCAAAGAGCCCATTTTCCAATCTTCGACGCTTCTTAACCACCTGTGGGGTTTGACTGTCGACATATTTGCGACTTTCTTCTGTTCCATGCATGCTTTCAAATTGCTTCCAAGCCTCTAATAAACCAATACGCTCTTCTTTTAACCCTTGTTGACGAAGATTTGTCATAGCAGCTTCAAACACCTTGCGAGCACGAACAACTGCAGTAGGTGATGCTGTATCATCATTGGGTGGATCTTCATCACCGTCCTCCAAATGTGCAATTTCAAAGTTGGCAAAACTAATCCATACTTTGACATGAGGAGCAGCTTGCAATAATCGCTGATATAGCGACCTTGCTCTTCCATATTCCATTTCTTCGAATTCAAAATCAATATAAGCCTTCCAAACCAATTCGGGCGTCTCCAAAACAGGTTGGGTTATAGCCAATTCAAACAAGGCACGTGCACGATCCGTATCCCCAAGCTTGTTTTCTAAATTAGCATAACCGAGCCAAGGTGCACATGCTTCTGGATCATACAAAATCCATTTTTCGTATAAAATACGACAGCGATCAAATTGTTTAATACTGTCCTCATATTCAATGTATCCGCGAAAGAGCTTGGGCTTTGGACACATACCTAGCGCTCTTCCTAATGTCTTCCTAGCTGCATCGATGTTTTGTTGCCGTAACTCAAACATTGCATACATAATCCAAACTTTCGCGAATGTAAAATCTTTATGAGGTATTATTTTCAAACACTGCAAGTAAACATTTCGAGCTCTCTCCACATCATTAGCATCTATTTCCTCAAACAAAACGTAGTTTAGCCATATATATATGTATCTACACCATGCCCTTTTTTCTTTGACTTCAGGAACTTTCGCAATCCCCTGCTCATACATTTCACGTATTCTATCAAGATTTCCCGTCTGTTCTTCTAGTTTGATTAAATCAAGCCAAACATCATAATCATACGGATTATCCTTAAGCTCGTTTTCGTAAGCAAGACGTCGTTTATCAAAAACAATAGATTCAATTCCCGACTGTTCCCCATATTGCTTTTCAAAGTGGGTATATTCCTTATATAGTTCTGTAGATTTTGACCTCGGCATGAAATCAATGGCGTACTTAAAGATAGTACGAGCCCGCTCATACTCTTTTTGTCGGATTTCAAACTTGGCAAATGCAATAAAAAACTTCTCCGTTAAAAACTCATGCCCTAAAGCATCCATGGCTGCCATATAAACAGACCGAACATTTGCGGCATTTCCGCATTCTTCTTCGAATCGAGCCCAGCGTAACCAGTTGACTACGTCGGGATGGACAACAACAAAGCGTTCAAAAATACCTCGTGCACGTTCGTTCTCATGGTATCGTCGCTCCAATCGAATATAGCTCATCCAAGCAACCTCATCTGGTTCCCATTTAAGCCAACGCTCAAAAACTTGACGGCAGCCAGTGATGTTTCCAAGCATTTCCTCCATATATACATACTTATACCACAACTTGTCGACTCGAGGAAGGAATGTAATAGCTCTATCGAATAAGTTTCTGGCATGGTTTATATTGCGATTTTTCATTTCACATTCAATGTATTTGAGCCATATGGGGATGTACTTCGGATCGACATCAAGAGCTCTCTCAAAGACAGAACGCGCCCGCGCAAATTCTTTTTGTTCAAGTTCCCATTGCCCATAACGCATCCAATGGCCCATCGCTAGTCTGTTACGTCGGATTGCATCTTCGAATCCTTTCCGCTTTCGGCCCTGAAATTCGTGAAGCTCTTCTAAGTCTGCAATACTAACCTTTGGAGGTACAAAGGCAACATCCTGTCTTTCTACGGCTTCTCGTAACAACTGCTCCGCCGAAATTTGAATAGGAGCAGGATTCTTGTTTTTTACCCTAGGAATTGCTGGATCCATCTTTAATCCTTATTTTATCAACTATTATTTAATAAAATCATAAAATCACCTCTCTACTGGTTCGAAAGAATCTGTATTTCGCTTGCCGTTGATTGTCTGTGTTGCGTAAAGGACAGGACGCGTCCTCTATAGCAACACCCTATACAGACTTGTCCTTAGCAAACAGCTTGAGAATTTCAGGCTTATTAGCAGTTTATTAATTGTTTGTGCTAAAAAAATAAATACTAAAATAATAATGTTCAAAAGGTTGGTTTCTTTGTGGGTTCTTTGCTATTTTCGATTATGTCTCTAACACTACCAATAGATTTAACTCAAAGGAAGACTTTAAAGGAACAACACCTATTAAATCCTCTATCCAACGTGGCATCAAGTCAAAACTTGTTGAAACTTTCCCTAAGCTCGAGCTAGTCATTGACGAATTGATCCCAAAAAAATCTCAGTTGACGCAAATTAAATGGTTTGTCTTGGAGTCGAATTCCTCCTTGAGTTACTAGCTAACAGTTCGTTATTAGTGAGGATCGTATCTTCCTGTATGCTTTGAATGGAGAAGTAATTCTCTTTCAACACTTTGATGGACCAGTAGTTCCCTCTCTTCGCCTTATTCACAAGTGTATGTTATTTACTTTGCTTATTATTCAAAAGCATGAATATCCTTCTAATAAATGCTTGTGCAGGTCCCGATGCTTTCCCTCAAGTTCGCGTTGACCGTGGTGCTATCAAATTCGTTTTGTCTGGCGCCAATGTTATGATTCCGGGTCTTACTTCTGCAGGTGGAAACTTACCAGAAGATATTGGCAAAGATGAATATGTGATTATTATGGCTGAAGGAAAAGGAGCTCCGGCCGCCATTGGTCTCACAAAGATGACTTCTAAAGAAATGTATGCATACTATTTTCACGATAACTTTCGTTTTCATTGCGTTTATTAACAATATTATCTAGGATTGAGACAAATAAGGGAATTGGAATTGAGAATGTCCACCATTTAGGTGATAATTTGGTAAGCTTGCCAGATTTATCCTTGATTTTATTTACTAATCCCTTACAGTGGAAAACCATTTTAGATTAAATGCACGACCTGAGGAATGTGTACATTTTTACAAGCCATGTTGATTGAAAAATCTCTTAGACTTAAAAATTAATTGTTTTTCTATGTGGAGTTGTTTGCACCAATAAAAAAATTCGAATTTGCAAAGAAAGTTCATGAGCCTTTAAAGTAATGAATAAGTAGGATATTTTTGTATGGTCTTATTTACACGTTCAAATTCCGCATCAGTTTGTACGAGTTGCCGAAGAGCTATTAGAATCCTTGCAACAAGTTCTTTTCCAGAAAGTAGATCTGTAGATTCCGTATCTGCATAAACTTCATCTAAGAATTCTTCCAACTTTTGCCAGCATCCACTTTGCATTAATAATTTACAGTAGCTTTCACTTGTCTCCAAAAACTCATCATTCAAATGTAACAGGCGCGCAGCTGCAATCCTGTTCTCCAAATGATTTATGGTCATAATTCTTTCAAAATCTTCATAGCCCTCTTCATTTGTAAAATCCTCTACCATTTTGTGTAAAAATTTTCCTCTTCCAATTTCCATTAGTGCTTCATTTGTTTGTTGCTCATAAAAACGTAAAGGTCGGTCTCTATTCTCTATTCCATTGGAATCCCAATGCTTACTGCCGAATGCCCACCAAGGATCACTGACTCTTTGCCAAGAAAGCATGAAACTAGAGTACACATATGTTTGTCCAGTTGATAAGCTAACGCTTGGGATGCCTTCACGACTTATGTTAGCTGTAGTAACATGCGGCACTATATAAGGCTCTTCACTCTGTAGTTGAGTAGCAGAATCTAAAATAGGAGCCAAGGAACAAGAGCTAAATAAAGATTTTTTATTAGGAATATCCCAAGCATGCGTCATTCCGTTTGAACAGATGCAAAATAGAAAATTGTTGTTGCATTCTAGGAACACCGGTTTTGACTCAATCATCACTGGAGGAAGTAGTCTTGATCCTGTAAGGGAATAAATATGCAATGACGCATCATCACAGGCAACTGCCCAAAAATGTATGCTACCAGTAGACAATAAAACTGGGCGTGGTAAATAATCCATCCATCTTGTAGTACCATTCTCTAGAACCACAATACGGGTAGGATTCTTTTCACTGCTCCCATTCTTAACTTCCAAAGTATATCGACTAAGGTTATCTATTGATGTGATAACGGCGGATTTTAAAGAAGGAACTTTAAGCTCTCCTGTAGGGATGACGGTGCTTCTTTCTATAGCATTCGGAAGGAAGTTTTGGAATGTGTCAATATTGGGTAAATTACTTTCTTCTACACCAATAAATTCACCAGTATTAGGATCTTCCGATGGTTTTTGCTTAGAACCAACGACTAAAATTGGAACACCACCTTTTGGTATTGAGTTAACTGGTTGCGAAAATTGTTGAGGAGGTAACTGAGGAGCGCTGCTTTGCTGTAATTGAGTTGATGGCAATCGTGATGTACTAGGAGCTGCTTGTAGCGTCGTTAAAAGTTGAGGAGCAACACGTTTTCTTCCATCCTTTGTAATTGTAACCTTTTGTGTATTTTTTCCCGGAGTCTCAACAGCAGCTGTATCGTTAACTGGAGTCTTCTTAGGAGATTGATTCGAAACTTTGGGTAATGTTTCAACATTGATTGATGGTGAAGCCGGTTTAGTAACTTCACTTCCTCTCAAAGGGGTCGACGGCATCTCCGAGAGTAATGGATTAGATTCTAATTTATTTTTATTTGATAAAGACTTTGCGTTTTCAGCTGATTCTTCTAGAGATAACTGTTTCGAAGACTCAGGTAAAACAATACCATGCCTACCATGACCATACTTTGCCAAGGTTTTTGCAATCTCCTCATCGCTCACCATCTGTCCAAACTCATCTGCCTCAAATGTGCAAACAAGAAGAGTACCATCGTAAGAGCAAAGGTATAGATTTAATCCATCTGGAGACCAACAAACATCTCCAATGCTTTTTTGACATATGTTTTGGCAATTTAACATTGGTCTGGAAGTTGCGCTACTCCAGATACTTAAGGAACGATCTTGACCCCCGCAAGCCAAAATGCAAACGAGCTTGTCATTACTGTCCTTGAACAACTTTGGATTAAAAGAAGTCACCTCAACTGGTCCCTCGTGACCTATTAAATTAATTTCACTGGTCCAAGTACCTCTTTCAATTATTGAAACACATGCTACAGGTCCGTTCATAGCATTTGAGGCAGCAATATGTTTTCCATCTGGAGACCATGAAGGCCTCCGAAAATAAGTAGACAACGGAGAGTTATTGAAAGGTTCGGAGATAGTTTTTTCAAGGGCAAAGTCGCTAACACGCCAGACCTTGATTGTACGATCATCGCTTTCTGTAGCAAAATACTTCCCTGCTGGATCAAAGGTTATTCCTTTCACATGGCTTTGATGAGCTTCAATTCGTTTTAGGCGTTCGAACGTCGTCCCGTTCCAAACAATGATGGAGCTGTCAAGACCAACACTAACGAACAATTGACTGTCGTAGCTCCAGCAAATGTCTTGGATGTCTGAAATCAGTCAGTAAAAGTACTCAATTCGAAAGACATACCGTTATCATGTCCTAAAAGACGACGATAGCTGCGCCAATTTTCGGTATGGGTTTCACTAGAACCAAAAGTAGGACCAATACCAGGAATTATGCTACAACTGTTAGAAAAAAATTGTAAACTGATCACATACTCTTCCTTGTGCCAAATGATTACCACGCGATCATCACTTCCCGAAGCAAGGTATTGCCCGTTTGCACTGAAACGCACAGACGTTACTGTACCAGTATGAGTACTCATACAACAAAGCTGTTTGTGTACTTTCAATTCCTCATTTCCGTCTGCTAAACGAATTGCTTCGGTTGACCATATTCGAACAGTACCGTCTACAAACATTAGTTATGGGTGTTTGAGAACAACTATGTTATTTGAACTTACCTAATCCACCAGTAGCAATTCTTGATCCATCTGGGTGTACGTGTACAGAAAAAATGGATAATCTATGCCCGCGATCATCTTTCCATATGTAAGCAATCTAAATTCCACTAAAGCAATGCATAAAGCCTAGTTTAGACTCAATCGCCTTACCAAAATGTCCTAACCATGGGATTTTATGAATTTTCATTGATCTTGAGCCCTTGAAACGTACAATGATTGGAGGCTGCTTTTCTTCAGCTATGACACTGGGAAGGTACACTCAAAACAATATGAAACTTTATCAATACAAAAAAACGCTTAAAATTAAGCCTGTGCTGTGCAGAAACGAATACAATAAGGAAAATGATTTTTCGCTGATGATTTCAAGTGAAGATACCTCGTATATACGCGTGAAGAGAAAGAACTCGTATAGTGACAATTATAAGAATCATAGTGTACATATATACATAAACTGATATTATTTTTCTATCTATTATGAACTATTTTTCCTCATATTCTAAAAGCTAAAACCTGTTAGTTTTCAGTTTTACGATCATAAATTGATGATACGACACATAGTTAAACTGAAGTCTACAGGCTTCAACCATCTGGATCCAATTTTCCTTCTGTTTCTTGTTCATTATCAGAACCAGCATCTACAAAGGACGAAGAATTCGACAAAGAAGCTTGCGATGGCTTGGACGCAAGCTCACGATTAGTTGAATCTTTAGAAGGGCGGCATAAATGAACAATTTTTGATATGAGTTCCTTACGACTGATATTTGCTTGTTTGTTTTTTGTGGACCCTTCTTGAACTTGTATGTCATTTTTTTCGTTCGAGGATTTTGCAATACCAGGATCTGAAGATAAGACAACCGGCATAGTCTTTTCGTAAAGGTCCATAAAGCAATCTATTAAGAAATCATCAAGCTTCGTCGTTGGATACAGACCATTATTTAATTTTCGCAGCTCATAAACTTGCATCATTAATGACAATTGTTGTTCACCTAAATTCGAGATTTTTTCGTATACAATATTAAATTCGCTCATTGGAATCCCTTCTCTTTGTTCTTCTTTTATTTCCTTAATAGAGTGGGTTTCACACAAGTCATTAATATATTTATTTATAACTTCAAGCCAGATATTCCGATGATTATAAATTGAAGGAGAAGACCTTCTGAACCTTCTCATAAATTGAAGTAAATTTCCATGATCGTTTGTTTTATAAAGTAATGAGATAAAAAACTTGCTGTAGACAGTGCCATAGTAGAAATGTCGACCCGCTCGCTCATAATAAGTCCTCCAAATATTTAATAAAGATTTTCCTGAGGACTTAAAAGATATCAGCTTTTCCATTTCCTTTTTAGCCTCTTCAAACTGACCAAGGTGATCCAATATTTTTGCAATTCTGTAAGTTGGTCGATGCTGCCAGGATTGTTTGTCAACCGAACGAAGCTCTTGAATTGCCAAAAGTATTTGATTTAATACAAAATCTGGATCTAAGTCCTCCTCATTCTCATATGTGGTAATAAACTCGGAGTTATTCTTAGGAGGAAATTGAATTCTTGTTAAATATTGACATATAATTTTAGTAGGCACAAGCTTCTCAATGATAGCTTTACTGAGATTGGAAAGTAGTACATAATGAGGTTCCAAAAGCAATGTTTGTTGAGAACCACTTCCACCTTTCTTAGGGGCAATTTTGGTAGCTTCTTCAAAGTATTCTAGAGCAGTAGTCATGTCGCCAAGTTTACGTACAGCTTTAGCTAACATAATCGCTACTTTCCAATCCTTTTTTAAACTGAATGACTTATCAAAAAAATCAGCGGCAACTGCTATAGCTTGCTTTAAATCAACCGATTTTAAAGGAACACTAAACAATCCAGAGCTACCACTAATAACTCGACTTTCAAAGGAGCAAAAACCACCCATCTCCAGAGGCGGACGGGCAGTTGAATAGAAGCATGTCCCAAAATCGAAGTATAATTGTGATCTGTAAGATTCATCTGAAACGGATTTAAGTGAGACAGCCATGAGAAAGCAAAGCAATGCCTTTCGTCGATAATCAGTAATTTGCTCTTCATCCATGACAATCAAATCTGCGCTCCATGATAGCTCTTCATCGGCCAAAGCAGAATAAAGTACTGCACAAGTATACCATGAATCCTGTCGGAGGGGGTTTATGTACAAATCCATAAGGGCATAGTCGACGGCTTTATTTAATTCGCTTATACATCTGGTGCCTTTTAGTCTAGCTCTATAATATCCAAGCAGTACCTGAGCTTGAGAATAATATAGATTACGAAGTGCATCACTAACATGCTTTGATGATACCTCCTGCAATTTTAATAATTCACGTCCACTGAGACAAAACTTTACGTGCTTTGCGGTAATATCTGTCTCTAGATAGTTACTAATGGAAGATTTGTTTAAATAAATATCGATAACATCTTCATCCGGAGGCCCAATAGCATCACACATTGTTTCAAAAGCATGTTTTTGATCAGATCGAGGCATTATCCATCCATGTGAACGCTTAACGGCAAAACCTAAGACAAAAGGCACTAAAGCAATAGCATCTTCACGAGAAAATTCTTTTTTGGGAGAATGATGGTCTTGAGGAAGATAATATTCGCTCCCAATCATCAAACCAAAACGACAAAAGACACACTGAAGAATTTCATTTTCATTCTCCCAGACGTCCAATCTTTGACATTCTGTCTGTGATAACTCCAAAAACGAGCCATTTGCAAAGCCGCAATAACCCCGGAATGAAAATTGAGCATGAATTAAAGTTAATATGTTAGGCAATACTTTCTTTGATTCAACTTTTACATTTTCAAACTGTAACAATCTTGCGCAAAGCCTGTAAAATATACACCAAGAACTTAGTAGAGTATCTTTAACATTTTGGCCATAGGAATCAAAATCAGGACTGAGAGGCTTTGGAATCCTGTCATCAGCGATATCATCATCTATACCGGCGTATACAGAAAAAAGCTTCAAATAAATAATAATAACTTTCATGTTATCAAAAGTAGTGTCAAAGGAAAGACCATCCAACAGCCCGGAATTTTTCCGAATGAGATGCCAAATAGCCTGTAAAAGGTTGGATATCAACTTTAGCATTCCAAGTAATTCAGCCTTTCGGCGATCAGCATTTTGCTTACTGAAAGGCTCAGAACCGAGTCTTTTGAGGACAAGTCGTAAAGGATAAAAAGAGCAAAGCAGAGATTCAAAGGGTCGATTAGCAGAGTTAAAGGCTTCTCTGAGTAATCCCCAAAGATGGATCTGGAACTCCGTAGAAGTCTTCACCAAAAATTGTGATATGAGATAGGACTGATTATCATTTGAAACAGATTTCTCAAATAATAACACCGGTTCCAAGTTTTCTATTACTGCATTATAGTCCAGTAATTTGGTATTCATAAACAATGTGTTAAAAAACTCAATCGTTTGTAACTTTGACAGTTCAAAATCAATTACATCGACACTTATATCAGGCATGCAATGACTGTTCAATAGTTCAAAGGATATATTGTGTTGTATGAGTATACTTTTTATCTTCAAAAAGGTTTCAACGATTGAATCATTAGGAGATCCTAATAACCTCAATAGTAAGTTTCGAGCCCATTCGAACCTAACTTTTAATTGAATGAAAGCACTGGAAGAAATGGAGGTAGAATGGAAGTACATAATTTCACCAGTCAGTAATTTCCAACGTATGCATCGCCTTTTCTTACGTTCAAGGATTTCTTTCGAATTTTCATTTCGAACACTTTCATTTTTTGTATTGATTTTTAATTCTTGGAAGTAATCATCCAAAAAGATCTCGAAAAGTGACTGAGCGCATGGGGTTGAGCGGTCGCTTCCTATATTTTGCTTAGCGACAGCATACAGAATATCTTCTACTTTAATAGCAACATCAGTGAACTTGCATTTAAAGCTTTTACCCCAACACTGACGCATATATAGGGGAACCTCAGCTTCATCGTCTATAGGCTCTAACATTGTGCGAACGAAAAAAGCCGCAAGTTCGGAAGGGACCATTTTTTTATTGTTTATATTCAAAATCAAATTAATAAGAAAATCATTTGATGTTTCCATGTGCTCCAGTCTATGAGAACTCTGCATTGCCAAGTCAAACAGCATCATCTGAGAAAAGGCTCCATTTGCAGACATATCGCTTATGCTAGTGTCACTGACGTTATCCTGACTAGGAAAATTGATAAGCAGTTGTCGATATTCATCAAATAAATCCTTGTAAGGTTCAAAGATACCATCAAAGACTAACGGGTTCTTTTGTTTTGAAAATTCTGTAGTCAACGACACGTTTAAGTCTTCAAGTATATTAAATATGGAGAGAAAAAGGTTTGTTTCTGACGAGACACGAAGTTCACGACCACGTGAACGTTTACTACTCCTGACTTCTGAGTCATCGGCTGGTCGTTTCGGACTTTTGGAAGCTACGGGTGGTAAAGGAGGAGGGACAATGTCATTGGCATATATCGGATCTGGTTGAGCAGGTTGTTTATTAACAGAGATTTCTGGTTCGGATTTAGTAGATGTATCCGGCCACAATTCTGAATCAGTGGAATCTAGGTCATCGCCTAATGACATTAAATTAGGGGCATTGATAAGAAATACGGTTGTGGAGGGTGTACTGTAGGAAGGTAAACGCTTCTCAAGGAGCCGGAATAGATTAAGAATTAAATCCAAAACTCCATGCAAGGAATCATCGGGAAGGGATACTGCTTTTACTTTGGCAAATATTTCAAGAGAAGGACGAGAAGAAGGGACGTTCGGTATAAAAGGAAAATGAGGGGATAATGTATACATGGTCAAAGTAAAAAAGTCAAGTTTTGGTATATCATTACGTTGAACATGAAAGCGTTTTAAAATTGAGCATAATTTTTGAAGGGAAGCCAGCTTTCCAGGATTTAACTCATCCGGCTTCATCAAAGATGATGCAGGATCAAAAGACTCATACCCAGTGTATAAGGAAGACTCTAATGCAAACCTCAAGATTCTCGAAAGATGTAGCTTTTCGGCTAGTTCAGCAACCTTGGTCCATAGATCTATGTCATTGGGATCACAGGCAAGAGCAATGGCAAAATCATTGACGGCCTGCCGACATAAATCAATTACGTCCGCTTCGGACGAGAATGGAAACTTTTTGGACAGGGCACTAGAGAAGAGAAATTCACCATGGTTTTTTCGCACAAGATAATGAAGGAGCAAGAGAGCATTATTCCTAGGCTTTCGTGATAAATGAGAGACATTTGGTTTACGGAGTAGTCGAAGGTTAAGCAAGTTTTCGTAATGTTTGGAAGCAAGCTCCCAGTCATTTTCTTTTTGTGCCAGCAATGCGTTCTGATATATCTGAAGCGCTTCTTCAATCCGAACTTCCAAGGTGCGTTTCTCTTTGTCGAGATCTTCGCCAGCTGCGTTCAAAGGCGTAAAGGAAGCCATAACGAGAAGAAATGAAAAGCTAAAAATGCAAAAACAAAATTTATTATAACACAAAGGAAAGGTGGCCAGTATACGATTGCGAGAAAAGGCACCTTTACAGAAGAATTATCGTGCAAAAAATCATAAACGTAAGGATCTTGTGCCTGTACAAATCGGTATGTATTTGTAAGGGTTAAATTAATACAAGGTTAAATTTCGGTCGACAAAACCATGAAACAATGGTAAAATACCTCGTCGCAGACTCGAAGATCCAAAGGATTTTGAATTAAGAAGTGAAAAGCAAAATTATACAAAAGGGAAAGGAAAAAAAAAAAAAAACCTAATTGATCAGTAAACAACAATAAAACCAAGATCAATAGGAAGGTTGAAGAACAAAACTTTCTCTTTACGAATGAAGGAAAAAGAATAGCGATAATAATAACGGTAATAATTACAGACTTTTGAGTCGTTTAGAACGATAGAATATACAAAGTAGTCGGATTTTCACGAGTTAAACATATGTCGAACGTTAATAAAGGAGCACTATTTGCAAGTTTTTATTGAATTTTTCTTAAAAAAAATGAAAATTAAAGAAAAATGAAAGGTATTTTGAACGAAAAAGTCTTTTCCCGCCTAACAGTAATTTTTGAGTGTCGCTAGCGTTGTTATATCTGGTTGGATAGTAAGTGCATATGTAGGTTTCTTTGGAGTATGGGACTTTGTGTGTCGGAACAAGCTCATGAAAGCCTGTTTAGTCGACATCACTGGCGAAATCCTTCTTAACGAACTCGGTTGTATCGTATTGAGCATACGATACAACATGCATCTGCAGATATCAAGTCAAAGAAGGACAGTACTGGTAGTGCTATGTTGGCTTGCAAGTGAAAGCGCCAAGAAGGAAGTGATGGAATGCAAATAAAATAACAAAGTTGAGACATCACACTCAGTAGAATGCACAGTTTCACTATGAAGTAGCTTGTGAGTAGAAATTGTTTTACATGACAAGCGTTACGTTGAAAAAGCCTCTTTTTACTTTTGTAACGGGAAAAAGAACACAACTCTACAAATGGAAATACGACGCATCAGCCTCATGAAGAAATATGTTTAAAGATAAGAAATTCAATAAATGATAGACCTACTGTTTGTATCAAGAAGGACACTGGTGAGCTAAAATGTCATCGTTCTTGAAAAGGAACCGATTTCGTCAGCTTACTTATTTCTTTTCTTTTTTTGCTCTCTTTCCTGTAAAACTCAGTATATACTATACTATTCTGTGTTTTATTACCATTGAAAGCAACAAGTTCATATAGATATACAGCGTTTCACTCGTAGAAAAACTCATAAGTTTCCTATATCCACAAAGTCAACAAACAAAAGAAAACCTCCGAGTGTTTCATGGGCAGAAAGCAAAAAGGATTAAAATTAAAAGAATATAATGGTAACTGGAAGAAGAAAAATAAAAAATGAAAAGAAAGCAAGGTATATGTTTTGACTACAGCGTGCAAGGGAACCAAAACAAGAACTTCATAGTAATATTGTTTATTTCTTTCAAAAGAAAGAGCGGGAAAAACAAGTAGTAAGAATCATCATTGCATTCACCACAATTCTTCAACGGTAACTATTTCAGCCTTATTTTTGTTCATTGGTGTCAGCAGATTGATAAGTTTGGGCTGGTTCTTGAGTTCCGTTCTTCCATTTGGCATAGACAAATTCAACGTTATTAGAACCCTTAAGTTCAGAGCGTAGTTCGGGCTTCAATGCCTGACGAACCGTCTGGGAACATAAGGAAGCATATTTGGAGTAGCTAAATCCAAATGTAAGTCTTCTTGTTGTATTTTATAAATTTAAAATGCCAAAATGTCATTTCCAAATCTGTTTCTCGTACTTACCTAAAGTTCTTTTTCCAAGCGAATGCCATTTCTAATGCTGTTAGAAAGTAAGAGATGGGGGAATGTAGGAACACAACACCCGCTTTATCAAAGGTGAGTGTTCAGCGTAGGGGAAGGGTATGACACATTGTACGAAGACGAGGAAATCGTCAATTCATTTCTAGATTTGTTGGAAATAAAACAACTAAAATAACCCAATAATTGAAAATAAACTATGAGTCCTTCACAAAAACTGTATGATTGAGTCTTCTGCTAAGAGGTACCATCTCGTTTCGTATGACTACGGTCAAGGTGTGCTAAAATGCAACGCAAAGCCTTGGGCTTTGTCAAATTATTCCAACTTTTATTCTGAAGCCATTTTTAAATAGTTCCTTGTAACTTTCCTTCCTTTACCTTGCTTCTACTGTAAAAAGGTCAGCTTTCCACAAATTCATTTGCTTATTAACGTGCTATTTTCCTTCGTTATCTAAGATATCGACGACTACGTTTACCTTTTTATATTAGATTACGATAGCTGCTTATAGTTCGCAAAGTGGTTTCCGCATTTTGCTCCAATACCCTATTCACGCACAGATGTTCAGTTTGGCAGCTTGACGTTTGCGTTTCACAACCAACAGAAACTTAACAGAAACCAATTAGGGAACCATTGAATTTCTGGTTTTTAAAAAAGGAAAAGAATATATGAGTGATTCATTTTTCAAAGATATTCCGGAGTATGTATTAAATGATAATAGTAAATGAAACTGCGCATCCAAGTTCCATGTTGCTAATGTGTCTCGTAGGTTCCTCGAAACTCGCGTCAATGAGTCACTAGATGCTCGCTCCAAGTCTCTTTCACAGTTTAAAGAGTTAGGGCCGCCGGATCATGTTCATACTACGAAAGTAAACACTCGAAACCCTTCAAAAGAGGTATGTATCAGTAGTGCTACAGTGAATATTTGAATTCGGGAGCCACCAGGATGCTCAGAGGAGCTTCTAGACGATTATCATCATCATAAGTGGTTTCCCAGCATAGGTGTCACTTTTGCTTTTACCGGGTTACGGGTGCACCAAGGAACTTGTAGTTCTATGAGCAATTGATACTAATATGATTAGGTTGGTACATATCATTTTGTTTCAGGAATTGATGCTTCCTCATCTGCTTCTTTGGCTGCCTATCTGAACACGCTCTCGTATTCCTTAGACAAAAGTCAGCAATGGTTTTCCAAATCGCAATCTTGGTCCATTAGTCATAGTGTATATTGCTGTTATAATGCATTTTCACGGATGGATGTTCGTGTTGAGGCAAAAGTTCCTGGCGGTGTAGAAACGTATGTAATTGATGAAAATGGTCAAAAACACAAAATGGATGCCCGCATGTGGTTGGAAACATACATGTCTTCCGTACTTCGATCTTTGCTTTATTCTGATGAGTTGTATTCTCGCTTCACTGGCCATCGCAAATTCAATCCAATACCCAATCCGGACATTGAAATTCGATTTTTTGAAGCTTTCGAAGAACTTTTCCCCGTTGGGTATATATTAGGTTCCTCGCCTGAGATTCGCGTACCAACAAACGTCAACAACCATTTAGTTCGAGGTTTCTTTGCTTATGTTCGTCAAAACTGTCGTTTCAGTGCTGCTCTAAATTCATTGGAGAAATTACATATCAATTCTCCGGAAGTATCGGTTCTTTTGGCTGAACTATACCTTTTAATGGATCATGAAGTTCATGCTGTTCGTGTGCTTCATGAAGCATTGCAAAAGCAAAGAATGTCTGCCGACTTACTGGTCCTTCAGGCAAAATACTTGGTTTCCAAAGAGCGTTTTGATCTTGCTTTAACAAGTGCTAAACGTGCTGTCCATGCTTCGCCATCTGAATTTATACCTTGGATTTGTTTGGCAGAAGTGTATCTTCATTTGGAAGACTTTGATTCTGCGTTATTGGCTTTGAATTCTTGCCCCATGTATACATATTATGAAAGAGATGTTTACCCCATTCCTCCTCCTACAAAAGCTCACCTCCCATTGCCCGTTAACTTTCCTAAAGAAGAACTAGAGGGTGAAAATGGAGGTGGACGAGCCGGTTCTATGGAAGCAGTAGATCCCTACCTTGCCCGTCTCCCTTCACCAAGCCTTCGTGGTACTTTTGCAAAAGTATACGAACTACTAACTCTCATATGCTCAAAAATTGGTTGGGACGATCTTTTAAGGGTTCGTTCCTCTGTCTTTGTCATGGAAGAAGAGTACCGCTCACTGAACGAAAATGGGAAAGTTGATCCCGAAACGAGGGAGGATGAAACCTCAAATATTCAGCAAAACGGCAATGAATCTACTTTAGATAAGCCAGAGGCAATAATGAGTGGGTCCGCGCAAAACTTGAATGTTCATAGTAAGCGCTTATGTGAACGATGGTTGGATAATCTTTTTATGGTTCTCTATGAGGACCTCCGTGTGTTTACTATCTGGCGTGCTGAGTATACGCATTTTAGATCACAGGGATTGGTTTACCGTAAGTCTCCAATGGAATGGGAAATTTTGGGTGAAGTTGCTTTCCGTTTGCACCATCGGGTCGAAGCTGTCGAAGCTTTTTGTGCTTGTCTTGATAATATGTTTTCATTTAAAGCTTGGAAGACCATGCTGATAATATGTGCTGAGGACAACAATATCGAACTGGTACTGACGGCTATTGCTAAGTTAACCCTGTCTAATTATCGCTGGTATCAAGAGTACTCTCCATTTTTGTTAGAGCACATCAAAATTAGAATTATGCAAGATGGTGCTTTGAAGATGAAAAGTATATTGGCTTCGACAAGATTGGATCCCTATATTTTAAATCTGATCCATAAACTTTATTTTGAATGGGCAATTGCTTTTCAAATTCCTGGACATGAATTGTAACTTTCTTTCTGATGTTTTTCTTACCTTCTTTTCTATATCTTGTTTTGCTTGTTTGGACTGCCTTGGCTGTCTTATTGGGTCCCCATCGTTCCTTAATAATGAAGTTGGTCAAATACTCTACTGACCTTTACGTTCCTTACTAAAGGTAACATATATATATATGCGATTAATAAATAAAATTAAATTTAGTACTAAAGAAGTTCCGCGTACCTAGTGCTGTCACTAGTAAGTCTTGCTAGTACGATCTGATGTAAAAGTAAAATCATCGATATTTTACCAAAAAAAGGTAATAAAACCCTGGACCTTTTGATACTACTACTACGTTAATTCCAGAATGAACACCCAATTTAAGTAATCCTTTACAAGAGAAGAAGGGAGGTAAAAAGACCCATACGAACGTTTTTGAATCTCAGCCTTTACAATGTGAATATGTAGCACGAAAGATAGCAGCTCTTATATAATAGCAATTTATTAGCTACCATGTTAAAACAAGAGAAAATAAATAAAATAAATTAAGTCATAAAAGTTTTAAACGAAAGAATAATTCTGTAACCCCTTAGTTCCAGTCATTAAAAAAAAAGGCTTTAAAGAAGTAATTAAGTCATAAATAACAATCGGAAAGTTATGAAATTCGAAGAAGTTCAAGCTGATTGTTGATCGCTCAAATAAAGCATTATAATAATTCCAACTCGTAAGCTGTTATGTGTTGCAAGCTATTAAGCTCATCTCGTATTTTCCGATAAATATATTCCCGGGCAGTGTTTTGAGGAACTAGGAATTCGTACCAGGTACCTTTCTTTAAAAGCAGAGCTATTTTTCGATCATTTCTTAATTCAACGTTTTGAACTTTTCGAAGAAGAAATACTTTTGTACACCGTAAACTCTTTGACCGAACAAACATAATACGTCGGTTAGTTAAAATAACAATTAACTGGCTCTTGATAACTATATGTGCTCTGTAGTACTCATTAAAGTAGCGTCCGTTGTCCAGATGCTTTAACCAATACTGCCCAAGAGCTTCTCTCAAATCAAACGGATGAACGACACCATCTTCATGAACGAGCCTTGACATTCTTATTTTTTCAATATTTCGTTCATCAAATACAGTCGTAGTGTTTCTAGCGCCTTCGGTAATACTCGATGCGAAATCAAAGAGACCCACGAGAGGTTTTGTCGTGAATCCAACAACTCCTTTGCCAAGGCCTTTCATAAACCCTGGCATTCCATTCCTTCTTGCTCCTAAAACTGGCTGAAGAGCTAATCCACTGACACCGCTGCGAATACCAGCATAGAATGAAGAGGCGCCAGCCGTAACTCCGTATAAAATATGAACTGGTCGGTTGCGGATACGGGCAGTTCTTCGACGAGTTTGGAATTTTTGATCCATAGTGATCACACTCAAACTTCTCGAAATTGTACCTGTTACTCTTGACATGCTGTCAGTTAAACCAAATATGGTTTTCTTCACAAAACTCGCAGTCCCTTTGGCAAATCCAATTCCAAGTTCATAAGAACCTTCATTTATGATGAATCCATGGAAAGGCTCATAAAAAATATCGGCAAAGCCAGATGTAATTGTGGTAAATAAGCCAACAGGATTGCCTAAAAAGTCAGCAGACCCAACTATTTTATGAACTTGGAACAGCATCTCTTGTTCATAGTGGTTTTTAACTAGTTCAAATAAGCGTCTTAAAGATACGTGAGCATTGTCCATCAATAATGCGTTTAATCGAACAGGGGCATCATTGATATTTCCTATCGCCATTGATAGCAAATTTACGAAGAAGACGAACGGGTTATGTGATGATACCGATGTAGTATTTGCATTGTTAATCCGTTCCGTTCTCACAAAAGACAAGTGAAGCTGAGTTGGCTGCAAATTCAGAACTTCAAAATATACCTTTAAATCAGAACTAAGGTCACTCGGTGCACGCATATGCAAGCCAAGGTTAAACATTATTTCTTCCGAAGGTTTCCACGACTGGGGCATAGAATCTTTCATAAATTCAAACGCAGCAAACGCAAAGTCTTCGTCAATTTCAATGGTCAGTTCTTGCAGTAGTATTGTCGCATATTTGACGTACGTGACACCATAAGTATCGTTCTTCATCAAGGCTACCATGGAATGGAAAGTCGGTAAAAAGGAGTTATCGTTCATTGCATCCTCCTGGGATAAAATAGTAGGATATAAAAGGATTGGATAAATACCGCCATATAACTGATTATCTGCTTGAATCCAGCGAATATCCAGTTTGAAGGTTCGAAGAGCGCTAGAATCTGTATAAAAAAAATTTACACCATGAAAGGTTATGTAAGCTAGTTCTTGTGTATTTTTACATACAAGAGATACGCCAATCCCTTCCATAATAAATTTAACGGATAGGTCTATACTATTATCTTCCTGTTCCAGATTGAAGTCTTGTTCTTCACAAGCTACTTTACTGGAAAATTTCGGTTTTGCAATCATTGATGCAGGATCAGCCGTCTTTAAAATTAATATTTTTGAGATTCCACTCGCGATGATGTCTCTTGAAACAAAGGTGTATTCACCTCCTTCATTCTTTATTTTAAAAGGCGTTAAAGAGCCGATTTCTGCCAACGTTGTCAAGCACTTGTTTGAGCCACTATACAAAACAATTTCCTTGGATAATGAAGAAGGATAATCCCAAGAATATTTTACTTCACTTTGAGAAGGTAAATCGTGTGTTCTTTGCCCAAGTAGTTGACTCCGTTTCTTATTCTCTTCATCAATAACATTTACTTGTGAAAACTGGAAATCTAGGTTAGTCTCATTCCTTATATAGAATGGCCAACTCCCGTTTTCCTCTAAAAAGTAGATAAAAATGGTAGCCATATCAAGAGTAATTTCTGCTCTTATTAGCTTTTCACCTTCCGGAGTAGGTAAACGCAAATATATAGAACCAATTTCTTCTATCATAAACGGTGAAGACCATTCAGAAAAGTTTACACAACAGACTTGGATCATTGGGGAAGTAGTTTTCGTAATATATTTCAAAAACTCCTCCCCGTGAGGTTCAATTTCCATTGTGGCTTCTTCATTAGGTTCAGTTATTGAAAGTGTCCATCGAGTTTTATTTACTATTATGAACCTTGAGGTTATAGTAACGATTTTCGTATTTGAGTAACCATTTGGTCCTGTTTCAATGAAAACACCAACCTTATAAACCAGATCATGAAGAGATTTATGGGGGAGATCGACTTCAAAAACACTTCCAATGGCATCAAAGCTAATTGGTTCACTCCACTGTGAGTTACTTGAACGTAAACGACAACGACGACTACCATAATTTTTCCAGTATGAAAAAAGACAAGGAATGGCATTATCATTAGTACCGTGAGAAAGGTTCACAGCAGAAAATGCAAATTTTTTGTATTCACTTTTCGGGCCAATAGCCAAAGCTGTCCTTGTTTTATTAATAACAACATACGGACTGAAAATTTCAATATGGAAAATTCTTGGGAAAATTTCAATATATTTCAATCCAAGCCTGACCTTTCTTCCGTCTTCAAGTGTCACTGTAAGATATTTATCTCGCTCATATACTTCAGGGTTGTTGGTCACGATTGTAGCATACGAACTGGAAGCATGTTCAGAATTCGATGCTTGAACTTGCAAAAGCAGAACATGAGATATATCAACAGAATGAACGTAAGAACATTTACCGACATCTATCTTCGACATCCAAGTAGAGTTTGCTTCCTTATCGACGATTCTGACTCGGAGATCAATCGGTAATAAATTCTTCAATTCTAACAAAGCAGTTATAGAAATATGCATATATGGATAATGTGATGCAATTTGTTTGTTTCTATAAACTGCACTAGCCGCAAATCGACAAAAAGGAACTTTATCAGCCTGTTGTAATTGAGAACACGAAAGTATGCTTTGCTTCTTCTCGGCAAAATTTCTCCAATTAATAGGTTCCAGAGACCAGGCATATCCGAATTCTGAGAATGGCCGAATGTGAATAAGGCCATCATAGGCGGCTTCAATAGGTAAATTACACACTTCTTTGGGAGGAATTGTGTAGATAGGGGATTTTTTATGACCATTAGAGTCGCATAAAATAAATTCTACTTCCATCATGCTTTCATTTTTTAGTAATAAAGGGGACCTTAAAGTGATGTGCTTAACAAATTCCCCACTCAAAGAAACATCAACCACTATGTAATGTTTCAATGATGAGTTTTCAGACATAAGTGGAAAAATATACTCTCCAACTTTGTTAACTCGGATGCGGCGTAAAGTGCCCCAAATCCCATTTTCGAAATGCAAGCCTATGCATGATCTATTGCCATCCTGCTTCATAATGTCTTGCATTTGTCGCCATTCTTCGAATTTCCAATCAGTTTCTTTTCCATCTTCCAACCTACGGACGCAAGAATTATCACTTCCTTCATAATCGGCCCAAATACTCACAGTGTATCCAGTATAGTTATGAATTCTGTATGGAGCATCGGTTTCAGAAGACGCTCGTAATTCCTCATTTACTACTTTGGAAAAACCGAAATTGAGTGTTTCCAAAAGCTGAGAAGTTATTACCAGTTCTAATTTTTTCCTCGAAATCAAATAAACGGCACTCTTTAAAGTATTTGGATTCCGAGACAGGTGCAAACCAAGTGCCCAAGGTTCTAAAAAGGGTTCCCAATGTGAGTTTGCAAAGTTGTAAAAATTCATAAAAAGTTCTAAATGGGTATTCAAATTTAGTTCTGATGACCAGTCATTCAAATCAATTTTCAAGGGTTTCACATTCAAGTTTATAATCGGTAAATCATGTAATCGACTAATTAATAGAATTCGAATTCCATCTATGGTAAGAGAGCATTCTTCTTTGCAAATCTTTATTCCAAAGAGGGAACACGAATTCGTATTCGGAATGCCTGTAAAAAATTGATTATCTGCTACATCTTCGTTCAATCGTTCTCCTTCTTTTATAGGAACCTTGTACAACGCATCGTAGAAATTGTATACATCACACAGCACTTTCTGTAGGAACAACAAATCAAGGTATGTAGCTCGAACAATCAATGCGTCAAAATCTAATGAAATGTTGGACATAACCTGCATATTACTGGCAGTATGCAACGAATATGCAAATCGAAAGCCAAACGGATCAACTAACTGAGTAGCAACTCTCGACGTATCATTCAACGCATGAGCATTCAATATAACATTATTTGCAGTTACAGCCATTATTGATTGTTGAGTTATTAATAGCTCCCCAAAATAAACAGGAAGAATATACGGTAATGGAGCTTCAATGTCCTTTATAAATAAGAGAGACAATTCAACAAATGTGATCCTATAAAATAAGGCATAATCCTCTGTATGACTGGAGGTTTCTTTATTTTTCAAAGCTCGATTATTGGCAAAATTTATAGTATCGTAATAAGCACGATGCCAGTGAACAAAAACAGACCATAATGGATATAAGTAATCAAAGTTAACATAAACCGTAGGTGAATCCACTTCGATGATCAAATTATATCTCGGCAAATCAGCGTCACAATCAAATGAGCCTATAACAAGAGTGTGATGTTTTTCCGGATACTGGAAAGCCTTACTTAAAGTAGGATGTGCTCTCCTGCTTACATCGTATAACTGAATTTCAGAAATTGAAAATTCGGTATAGCTACGACCATTCGCATACATATATTGCTCAGCTTGAATATGAGAGAAATCGATGACCGTATGTAAAGTCGTCAAATCCATAAGATCCTCAAACAATTCGTCAGTAAAAACATTATATCGTAATTTCGTAAAATTATATATCACAACTATTGAAAACTCATAGGAAGACATATCAAGTATAGTCAACTCGCTAGTTATTCCGTTCCTGGATAAGGTTGCAACAAGTTCATTTCTCAGTTGCTTATCAGAGTAATAAGCATTATTAAGGTTAGTAAAGCCAACGACAGAATTATACAATGTCCATAAAAGTACATGATGAGGTTCGCACAAATTTAGCTCCAGTTCATTGCTTTTTGCATCTATCTTTAGGATGCTAGACAATGATTTCAAATCTGTTGCATAATTAAGACTTAGATTAAAATTAGAGGTTTTTGAAAGCTGCATGCGTCGCTCAATATTAGAACTTGACGTAGAAAAGTTAATAGCATTCAGTTCTACCGTGAACGGACATTTCTTCAGCTTATTGTTAACTTTGGGAGCTCCATTGTGTATGGAAAATGAACCCATGTTAACAAAAAGGGTTAATTTGTTTTGCTTATTCGGAGTAACGATTCCATCATAGACAACTGTAGGATTTCGAACATGGAATTCAAATTTGGTATAAGTCTGAGAAATATCTTCTCTATGAAGTTTATAATATGTTGCATACCTAATAGAGTCATAAAGTCCCTTTTGCTTTTTGTACTTAATGAAGAACCCGTAAAGAGCATTAAAATATTCCTCATTAAAATTAAGGGTAACAGGACCAACAGACAATTCTAAACATGAGTCATGCTGTAACTGTCCTTTCAATATTGGCTTGGAAATGTTGTAACTATCATATTGCAAATTGAATAAAGCCTCATCATCAATCGATAGAATCGTTTTCGGGTTCGACGAGTTAGACAAACAATCTAAAAGTTCGCCTTTATATAAATGAGCCTGGAGCGAAAAAGTTTCTCGGAATTCCATATGTAGTCTCAAATTTTCCAAATACAGTATAGAGAAGTTTAATTCTCTATCATAGAGAAAAATATTAACACGCTGGAGCCGTAAGTTGGCGTTTTCTTTTATAGAAGTTTTTTCATTGCTTTGGCTTCCTTCATCATTTGCTGCAGCAATCTCTACTCCTTCTCTCAATTTATATACGTCATTTAGCGGTGTGAAGGTGCACAGAACGTAATCATATATAAGTATAAAGCCAGCAGGGGCTATGTTGAGATTAAAATCTGATATTACAACGCCAGTTGTAACCCTAACACCTTCGTAAACCGTTTGTAATTCTGGAGAGTCCTCATCAATGCTCGTATAACTTATAACAACTCTCCCAGTAGGGTCTTCTGAAGAACTCGAAGATGGAGCCATCAGCGTGTTATTGCACAATCCTGAAGGATATGTAAATTCCTTAATAGTTAAATCGGTAAGGGTTATTAGAACATGATAGTCAAATTTGCGAACGATCAGTTCCACTGAAAAAGTATTAAAAGCACGCATTATAGGAATTACTTTGTCATTAAGTCTCCAAAACATAGAACAAACAACATTATCAACAGTAAAATAAAAGGCAAATACTTCCTGGGCTATAAACTCAGCAATCTTTGTACTTCCAAATTTATATGAGTAGTCTTCTGCGGATGGCTGAAAATTCTCAGAAGCATCAAAGAATTCAGGAGGTTTAACAGCATCAAGGAATTGTTGAGTCGTAAACGGGATCTCTATGGTCGGAAAATCAGGAAGCAATTTACTCATCATATTTATAAAAACTTTATACTGATCATCCGTGAACATGATTTCGGCACTTTTCATGTGACTAAACACACGAAATTTGGTTAGATTAGTCGCTTTTTGTAGAATGGATATCTCAAAACTAATATCCAAGGAACACTCTTTTAAAATATGATATTGAGAGTCTACTTGTAGACTAGACATTCCTGTATCGTAATTTGGAGCAATTAAGCACCTTGTTTCAAAAAGGGACATGACAAATCGATCGTACATTAAGTTTTTTAACTGTTCCATAAGTTCAGAATTGATCTGCTTACTCTGTAAACAGCGAAATTTTTCAATAATCTGATCATCGACGAGTTGAGTATGAACAACGATGCGCCCGACATCGAGAAATAAAGTAGGACTATTTAAATCGGAACAGACCTCACGAACCACAATGAGAGGTGCTTGTAAGTCAATGGTCATGTCGGCTGTCTTATGTTGTTCCAGTGCATAATCTAGACTCGCTCGAGTTTGTCTAGCCAGATTCATAACTTTGGCAGCAGCTGAATAACTCCATTCGGTAACATGCTCGAGTCTCGTTCGAGTTGGTAGAAAGAATTCAATAAGTTTTTCAGCGCAAATTCGATTGTAAATTATTATAAGTGTTCTTAAATGAATTAACAAAACAGAGCTAGCCTTGGAATCTAAAGAATTAGAATCAAATAAAAGGAAAAACAGATGTTCTCTATAAGACTTGGGTATTTTTTGATTACTTTCGCTGTTTTCGTCGGAATGCTTGCAGAAAACAACTTTACTAGGAGGCAAATGAGGATTGGTAATCCCATCCACAATATCCAAATCCTTTAAGGAAACCTTTAGCTTAAAAGACCGAGGACGAATTAAGCATTCGGTTTCAAAACCTTTGAATTGTTGCTCTATTATCGGCACAATTTTATTTTCCTTTTTTGACAATATTGAAAAGCTTCCTCTTTCAATAAAGATGTTTAATACAGCCATACAAGTATCTGGATTCAACGAAACTGTATTTGGATAAACTTGTCCACTCCATTCGATAGCAGAAAAAAACTGCTTTTGTTCCTCTTCAGTAAATTTTGGATTATCATTAACATGATCTGGAGGTTTGCGAATGTGTGCTGCGGCCCAATCAAACCAACCTTGAATAGCAGACTTTTTCAATTTCAAATACGCAGGATTATTCTCGTTTAACAAGGAAGTATGGACACGGGAACGGTATTTGATAAGGTCATAAATGTTCGTCCTCTGCTCAATTGCCTTTTGCAAATCAATTTCATGGGGAGCAACCTGTTCGTTCAAATATCTTCTTCGAATTATATCCATATATAAAATCCGATCATCTCGGCGGGATTTAAAGTATCTCCATGCCCATTGCTTCTGCTTTTGGTGGATGGAGTCTTTAACAACTAAAGCACTATACCTAAACCAGGCAAGAGGATCATCCTTTGGGTTTACTGCGGGTCGGAAATGCACATAAAGCTGCTGTCGCAGCATAAGTTTGAAATAATCGATAATTCCAAGAAGACTGTTAAACTCGACATTACTAAGAGCGAAGGATAATTCTTCGATCGATAAAGAACCTCGTAACTGCATAATCTGATCAACAGGATGCCGAAAAAATATAAGATGTCCTGTAACTGTCATTGGTTTCAGTATATAGTCAAAGTTCGAAAACTGCCTGGAATCGGGAATGGACGCTCGTAATTTGGCAAAAATTTCTTCAGGAGGAGAAGTTCGGGATATCATGCATTTTTCTAGGTAATAAATAGAAACGTAACCAATAACAAAATGTTTGTGAATACACTTGTCAGGAATAGGATCGGAAGGCAATAAATAACCCTTATAATCTTCACTTGTAGAATTTAAACGTAGCGATCTCAAAGTAATTCCTAGAGAAAATGGACGGTTGGAATCGCTTAAATCATCATCGTAATGTAAATGGATTCTTTCAATTGAAATTTCGAGATTAGCAGTCAACTTTGCAATCATGTATTCTAGAAGCGATTGTTTTTTACTGTTAGTTGTGGTAGAATTCACATCATCAAGAGCTTCCCGAAAATTTTTCCTCAAGATTTCAAAACTGTCGAGCTGTTCTTGCTTAAAGTTCTGACGGGATTCTTCAAGTTGTTGCTCAGTAAGGGAAGTTTTTCCTTGAGGGTGAATCAAGAGATAGATATCTTCAATGTTTACTTTCAGTGATTGTTTTTGTATATTTGACCATGGAATATCTAAGTTAAAAGTACCTATAAACCCTCGACTAATTTTTATAGGTATGCCCAATTTGTCCAAGGCCTACAAAGACGGTTAAGATCAACATAAAAGAGAAATATTTCCTCTGCTTACCTCTGGTTTAATCGAAAGGTTACGTAGACTAACATGTCCACCCCAGACACCAATATTCAGTTGTTTGGTGTCCAGATTATCCACATAAGAGCCTAAAACCTTGTTCAAGAGTCCTAATTAATCAGTTAGTATAAATATTTAATTTCTTTATTTATTAAAAATGTATTATACCTGCTATAAGACCCTCTAACATCTTGGTGGGACTCTCAAAAAGAAGGGCTGAAGCTCAGTTACATATGTGGCATCACAAATAATAATATCAGCTAAACCACTTTACTTTACATTCGTTTTTTGGGTTATGCTGCAGGAAATTCTAAATTAAAAAGATTAATGTCTTATTACGTAAAAGTTTGTTATTACAAAGAATTTTTTAAAGGAAGGTAAACATATATAGCAGTCTTCCATAAGTACGGGGATAATATTATACGTGATAGAAATACCATTAATCAAAGAATTGATAAGTAAAAATGCAAGTTGGGAACAAAAAATAAACTATCCATAAAGAGGAGTATTTTCGTTTTGCTGAAAGATGTAATGGTAAACATATCTAGTGTCAAGACAACCTGGAGCAATTTCATGCTTTTCGAATAGATTCCATCCATTCGAAAAACATGACAGCAATAAATAAATTCACATTTAGGAGCGATCCCAAAAGGGTTAGCCAATTCAGAATATATACTAAGACAATTGATTATGAACTCGTAGAAGATCATCCATGTTACGCAGTCTAAAGGGAATTGTTAAACAAAATTGTACAAAAAGGCAGAGGAATTTTGGAAAAGATCAGACGATGGTAGGGAAAAGTAAGGCCGACAAGAAGTTTTGGGCAAAAAAAAAAAATTAGTAAGGTGATTGAATTCTTGTAAAAAAAATAATAGTTTTCCAGTTCAAAGTGGTAAACAAAAAAGAAAGAAAAAGTTATATACAAAGTTACGTTATTCCACACGTAAGTCTTTTACCTATCGTTACCAAACAACTCGCCCATCTCAATTAAATCCTGTTGTATATCATCCATGGAAGCCTGTTCAATAATGGGGGCTGTTGGGAATCCGACAAAATTATCCAACTCACAAAGAACCGCTGTTTCATAATCTAACCTTTGCTTATTAAATAAAGCGTTTTGGCGATAAGAAGTCTGCTTCTGAAGTTGAATGATGGGATCATAAGAAATTTGTTGCCTGTTCAGTAAACGATAAAATTTGGCAGCGACGTTTGTAGATAACGTCTGTCTCACTTTCCGCTTATCAAAAAGAAATTGATACTTTCTTTGCGAATATACAAAATTCATCATATTCTGGATAGCGGTCAGTTGTTTCTTGAGGAGTTCAGTAGCCCGATGGATTCGATTGTTTCTATGTTCTACAACCAAATCAACACATGCATTGAATCGTTCGTGTTTTTTGTTTCTGATTAATTCTTCTTGTTCGTCAAGTCTCAAAAGTCTTTTTCCATAAATACGATTCCGCAAAACTGAAAACTCATTTTCTATACCCGATAAAGCTTCAAAGGCCTCTTTACGTTTCAGCGTTTTCTCAGCATCCTGATCAGACGGTTGTTCAAATCCATTCCGACTGTCATATGCTGATTCTCCATCAGGATCGGCTCCACTCTCTTGGCCTTCAGCTGTTGAACTTCGTTTCGATCGGCCATCACGAATACTATACCTGGCACGGGACGCAGTAACACGTCGTCGCTTCCTTCCAGAAGGTCCGCGCGTTTCAATCTTCTTGCTATATTCTCTTCCTTCGGAGACTGATTCCTTTTCTTCTTCTTCTTCTTCCTCGTCTTCTTCGTCGGCGTCCTCTTCTTTCTCAGCGGCACTCGTCTCTTCTTCTACGACCATTGATCTGTTTTCTTGGGTTGGGTTATCCTTTACGAATCTAGTTGAAGCATCTTCTACATGGTTATTAAGGCTCAATCCTTCTGACTGTACTCTCGTAACTTCTTTGTTTACGTTGGCTCGTTCATCGACGATATTGTTTTCTTCTTCCTGAAAAATAACTGTTTCTGCTTCAGACAGATTTTCATTTTCAGTTTCGTGTTGGATTGTGGTCTCTTGTTGAGTAGCGTCTGTTTCAACAGTAGATGACTGCGGTATTGCTGGTAAAATTGGCGAATCCTCCTCAGGAATGTCAGAACGTGAGTTTTCAGAAACTTGATTTTTTTTATCATCAGGAACTTTCTCTTCAAATTTTGGTGACACCGCTTGATTGTTTGTGAATGGGGTTGAGTCATCGGTGTCTTTATTTTGAAATTGATGATTCAATGCTGGCGGTCCCTTCATATATTCAACCGTCAGTTTGTTTTCCTGCTCTGATCCCTTCTTGTTTATCATTTCCAAATTTTCTGCACTGACAGGGGTAGGTGAATAATTTTCAGTCATGATGAATTCCCTATTCCTCAAATCGGATCTTGAATCCGCGTAAAATGTGATGACTTTAGAAATGGTAAGCAAAAAAGGATTGAATTCCTAAATGTCTGGCTACGATTCTTGCTTTTTCATGAAAATGGTTGTGTAGTGGAATAGGTGACATACAATTTCATACTTTCGAAAATACATGTCGTGTAGCAAAATATAAGTTTTCAGTGTATCAGAAAAAGGGAATTATTTAAAGTATATATTATTAAAAAAAAGAAATAAAATAAAGCTCGAACGAAGAACAACGCCCAAAATTACTAAACATTTTTGTTTTTTCCGTTGCTCGTTTTTATTTACGTTTTGTGTTGACAGAGGAAATCGACAATAAATAAATAGATACTGGCTCTTGGGTAGTTTTCTGTGATTTGAGAAACAAAAATAGCTTTCTTCTTGCAAATAAATATAGTAGAATGGGAAACCATCCTTGTTCATTCAAAGCTATTGCAGACGATTCTTGTGACGCAAAGTTAACAAAACAGTTCAAGAATAAAGCCTGTCATGTAGAAACAAAAAGAAAGACTTGAATCCTTCTTCTTTTTTTTTTTTTTTACTTTTTCATATAAGCTGTCATATACAATGATACAAGATGTCATTGAGTGTATACAAAGATTTACCAAAATGCTTAGAATTTCAATTTGGAATTCATTTTTCTCTTCTCTTTATTTTATTTTATTTATCCTCAAGAGCGATGCTATGAAGCTGCAAAAATGAATGAACGATCTTCTATTTCACCTCTATGACTTAATAGTTCGCCAAGTACCATATTATACTACATAAGACAAGTGTTCAAAAGTTACCCGGCCTTTCATTGGGATCCTGTTTATGATTTGTTGATTGAAAAAACAAATTAAACAAACGTTTCGTCTACCTTTCCTTTTTTCTAGTTTTTCCAATCAAGGATTTTCTTCTTATGTCAAATTGGGCAAGAACCTAAAAACTCTGATGTTTTGAAACTAAACTAGAATTGTATCGTGCTATTTATATAACTTATCTTCTAGATTTGGAGGCACACACTCATTTGCTCACTCCCTTTTAGTTATTTCGCAATTTACTGATTGCAGAAAAGGAAATGATTCTGTCTGTTTAAGTGTGATTATGTTTTTATACTCTCAAATGAAACCAAGCTATATTTTAGCAAGTTCTATAAAAACCATTGCGACATTAAGGACTGTGCCTAGGTATAATTTAGACCCAAGACTATTTCGTTCTTTTTCCATAGCGTCAGTTTTATTGAGAAAGAACAGATCGAACACTTTCTTTGATGGAGTGGATGATTTAACTCATCTTCGTTGGACAATTGTCGGTCAACAAGCTCCCGTGGCTTTTACCAGAAGATACGCAACCGGTTTTAATTATCCCAACTTTCAAAGCTCGAATCGAAGACTATTTTCTTCTTTGTTTATTACCATTCCTGTCGGTCTTTCAGGTTGCATCCTCGCGTACAAAATATGGGAGCATCTCTATCAAAAACAACAGCAACAACCTTCGCTGGACCCACCATTGAATAATAAAGTGACAGACTTCCATGATAAAAGTTCCTTTGGGAAGATTAAGCTAATATTACAACTGTGCAGACGTATCACTTATTTATTTTTGGTCTTTTTCCCTATCTCTATCACCGCTCCCCTTGTATACTTAGTGTATTTAACTCCGTTTCAAAAGTTTTTCGCTAGTATTTTTTCTATATGGGTAAAACTGTTGGTGCGTCAGCTTGAAAAAGCTGGAGCTACTTTCATAAAGGTATGATACAGGCTTTCTCATAGTAACCTGTATATTATTACCATTTTTTACTAACCTATTTTCTTAGCTTGGTCAATGGGCAGCTACAAGAACTGATTTGTTCCCCCCAGACCTTTGCAACCAGTTATGCAAATTTCATTCTCATGTAACTCCGCATAATTTTGATCACACCGAAAAAATCATCAAAGATTCCTTTAAAGTGAATTCAATTTCTGATGTTTTTCTTGACTTTGCGCCTGTACCTATTGGCGTTGGATCCATTGCGCAAGTGTACACTGCTACTCTGAAGAATGCTTGCGCACACCAACAGGACAATTCTGCAATTGAATCATATAAAAGAAAAATAAAAAGACTTTTGTCTTTTGAGCGAGCACCGGAGGAAGAAAATATGCATAAAAGTGTGGCTGTCAAAGTATTACATCCGAATGTGGGACTGAAAATATCATTGGATTTAAAGATTCTTGAAATATTTGCAAGCTTATTCAATTTAATTCCTACCATGAAATGGTTGTCGTTTCCACAGGAAGTGAAAGTGTTTGGAGACATGCTAAACCAACAGCTGGATCTTCGACATGAAGCCCAGAATCTTATACAATTTAGCAAGAACTTTGAAAAAAAATCATATGTCGAATTTCCTATGGTGTACGAAAATTATACCAAAGATGCAGTCTTGGTTGAGGAATTTATTCCTGGTATTCCATTGAGTTTGTTCCTTCGTCATAAGGATGGCCCTTTTAATAAGTGTTTAGCAAATGTGGGAAACAGTGCTCTATTTCAAATGCTTATCCTTGATAACTTTACGCACGCCGATCTGCATAGCGGAAACATTATAGTCGGCTTCAAGAAAGGATCAGCCTTTGCAAGCAATTATGTGGTTTCAGGGAAGGACTTATACTCTAATTTAATGTCCAGCGATGATGAAGAATGGAAATCTACGATGCAGTACCTACAAACTATGGGATATCAGCCTTTTCTAACTTATTTGGATGCCGGTCTCGTGACGAAACTTAGTCCACAGGATTTGCAAAACTTTATTGACCTATTTCAAGCAGTGTTAACTTTCAAAGGATATGAAGCTGGCTTGCTTATGGTAGAGCGAAGTCGACAAACAGAACTTGTACGAGATAGAGAAGTATTTGCTTTGAAAATGGAACACCTGCTGAACGGTATTCAAAAGAACACACTTTCGCTGAAGTCGCTTCAGATTGGAACAATCTTACAGGAAGTTATGACGATGTCTAGAGAGCATCATGTTCGTATTGAAGCTAATTTTGCCAACACGGTTTTATCCATTCTTTTGATGGAAGGAGCAGGTAGACAATTATACCCTGACATGGATATTTTGAGCAATGCTACACCCTTTTTGAGGGCTGCTTCTGCTAAATCCAACATTTCTTTGAAAAGTCCAATGATCAAGCTATGGCTGGCTCTAGAAGCAAGACAATTTTTGCTTTTGAGCACATCAAAAGAGACAGTTGAAACCTGGATAAAGGCAGATATGATTTCTCCAAACATATAATGACTAAGTTTCATGTATTTAATAGATAATTTGTTCCTCAGAATTAAAAAAAAAAGTTATTATTTATTTCAAAGTATGTAACCCTATGCTAGAGATGGGGCAGGAGAAAGGAGAAAGAAAGCACAATTCATTAGACAAAAAAGATATCATTTGAAAGAGTAAACGTGGTTTTTAATGGGTTAAATACATTCTGCCTTTTCTGCGACGGTTTCTTAGTATTTTTCTACCATTGACGGAACGGATTCTCGCTAAAAATCCAAATTTCCTCTTTCTTTTACGGTTCGAAGGTTGATATTCGTTTCCCATAGTTTTCCATCGAACTTGCTGCTGCATACCTATACCATCAAAAGCAGGGAATGAAGAGCGCAACAAACCACTTCCTAAACCATTAGATCCTTGTAAAGTAGGAAGAAATTGGGCTTTTTTCATTGAGAAAGAGTTAAGAAGACCACTCCATCTTGCACCGGGAAGGAACGATTGAAAGGAACGAAAAAACATGAAAGGTATGTTAGAATTGGGAATGTAAATGAATCCAATATAATATTCTGCAATTCTATTGCGCTTTTTTCGTTAATAATTCATCCAACCCTTATAAATCGATCCTTTTTGACAGAAAGGAAGAGTGAGCATCCAGTGAAGGTAAAGGTATAAGTGGAGGAATAAAAATCAGTAGAAGCGACGACGTTGGATACACATCCATTTTCAATTGCAAGTTTTTTTACTTTTATTCCTTTTTCTTTTCTTTTTGTTCTTTTTTTTTGTTTTTTTGCCTTTGTGCGTTTTCTCTTTGCTTTTTTTTCCTACTCTATTACAATGTGTACTCACATTGGTAAGCCATTGAGAGTTGATACTTTTTTTTCTTATTTATGATTCTAGTGATTTCTTTAATTGTCTATGTCTCAATGCCTGTGTCTGAAAAGAAGGAATGGACACTTAGGTAAGAAATATATGGATGCTAAAATGCGGTCGAAGTACAAACCTTAAGGATCAACTTAACGCCAATTATCATTCTTTTGATTAATTGTTTTTATTACTTTAGATCATGCTTTTGACTCTTGCGCTTGTCTGTTTCACAGGTTCCATTGGAATAAACAATGCAAACTCAATGGGAAACAAAACTCCAAAGAAACTGCAATGCTTAGGGACTTTGTATAATTGAAGTAATCATTCCTTTTTATAATTTAAAAAAAGGAAAACAAAAGAAATCTCTCCTACAGTGCGTTTGATGTATCCAAACCGCGTATATTATAAGTAGTGACTTGCTTCGTGTGAACTTAGTATAAATTATTTATATAAGGTAAAGAAACATTTGTAATTGAAATAAAAGATAGAAGTCACTGACTTCCGTTTTCAAGAGTTAGAAATAAAAATGTTTGTATTATTTATTTATTAAAGCAACTTCGGTAGAATTCACTAAACAAAAAGAGTACCTGAACGATGCACTAAACAATTTTTAAGTGCCACTCCATTTCACTAAATCGAATCTAACTTGCTTTCAGGTTCGAAAACGAGGATTGTTTCTTACCTCAATCAGGACAATTGAATTTCCTTTTAAAAAATGGACTATCAAAATCGTGCTGGTAGCCGCTTTGGAGGAGGCGGTGTCGCTGGATATCAAGAAACGAATGCAGCGCGTCGCGAGCGTCTCAAAAAATTGGCATTGGAAACCATTGATCTTTCTAAGGTATGTTTTCGTTGATGAGCTTGAATCATCCTCTTGAAGTGAATGGCTTTTTGTCTCCAACAACGTGGAAACTTTAACGGATGATGTTTGACGTGTCCTTTTGCTGAAAACGAAGCATAACCTGCCAAAGAAGTACATTCAAGTGAGTGATGGAATCCCTCTTGGTTTTACAAGAAGCCCCTGGTTGCAGATGGGATTCGTAGCTTGTCGAGGGAGACGGTTGTTTCAAGAATTGGCTTTTTGCTCATACAATGTTTTCGATTTACTGTCTGTATGCTAACGCTGTAGGATCCTTACTTTATGAAAAACCATTTAGGAACTTATGAATGTCGTTTGTGTCTGACGATGCATGCAAATGAAAATTCATATTTGACACATACTCAAGGGAAAGCGCATCAGACCAATCTGGCTCGTAGAGAGGCCCTGGAAAACAGAAAGGCCCAAAGGACTGCACCTGTAGTGCAAACAGGATTGTCTCAATCGCAGGTGCCGTTACGAAAGAATATAATGAAAATTGGAAGACCCGGGTACAAAGCATCCAAAATTCGTGATCCCGAAACTGGTCAGTTTGGTCTTCGATTTCAACTTAAGTACCCGGATATCCAAGTCAATGTAAAGCCCCGGTATCGTATTATGAGTGCATATGAGCAGAGAGTGGAAGCTCCTGATCGCAAGTTTCAATATTTGGTTGTCGCAGCTGAGCCATACGAATCTGTTGCATTCAAAATAAGTAAGTGATTTTCTTTAACTCATATTTTTATACTGACTATTTTTACAGATGCGCATGAAATCGATCGTTCTCCAGGCCGATTCTGGACATATTGGGATGCACCAACTTATACTATTCAATTCTTTTTCAATGTGGATAAACTTTCCTAAATCATTCTTTTTGTTTATAAAAGAATGAATCTATCCAGCTACTGTTTTTTGCTTCAGTTTCCCATTTTGTGTTTTCTACTCCCCTGCTCTTTCATCCTACCTACATCTTTTAGGGCACACGACTTCATAAAGTCAGTGGCAGAGTATACCACCAAAAAAGGATCATCAAGTGAAGATTATAAGTTTATAGGATGTTTACTCAGTCTGATACTTTTTAAAAAATTATTTGAAGGTTATATTTTTGGCATAATCAAGTTTGTTTGGACTGACAAAGATTGCAATGGCTTCCACCCAATTTTCCGGAATTCGACCGTTAGATGCTATCTTTACCGTTTCTAGCGCTACGTTATTTGCTTCCTCTCTTGCGCTACAGAAAACAATTTTGAAAAAGCCACGCTTCTTTACTTCCAATCATATTATGGACCGTTTATTTCGTCCAACTTTGTTTGCTTGGAAAATTCTCTCAACTACCTCGATTTTAACAGCTTCTGTGTCTGTATCTTCGTTTTGTATTTTAATGGCAGCAACGGGTTACCATACGCCTAGAGAACTTGGAGGATTTCTGCGCGATCAATTGTCATTCGCAAGAGCGAAGTCGATTCCAAATGACATAGATGCTCCTAGTTGGGATGAAGTTCATGTCAAATTAGAAACGGAAAACAATATGTAATAGAATGATATTAGGTGCTATCTTAAAGGCGCTGGAAAGGAGCTGTTTATCTTTTATAGTTCTTTATACCTTACGATGGAAAGTGATATTGTATATTAGAATGAATGGATATCTTTATTAAAAGCTTTTAACCAATATATATGAAACACTATTCCGTAATAATCGCAGACAACGTAATCCCAAAACCATATATGGTTTTCATTTTTTAAATTTTGCTTGAAGCCAGCAGCGGTACATTTTCACTTTCTTCTTGCGATTCACAATCAGCCTAGGAATATGATAATTAATATGTCTTCACATAGGTGTGCATCAAGAATGGTACTTACCTTTTATCGACTCCATTCTGACAGACTTCAAATCTGTCTCCAAAAATTCTGTCGAGTTCATCTTAAGAGTACAATTAGTACAAGAACTGTAAATGATTGCCCTTACCGTTGTCAAGGTAGTAAACCCGGGTACCATCACCACGAATATAAAAATTTTCATCCAGATATCTATTCTTTTTTGCTCGTAACTGAGTCAAATCCAAGCGGCCATAATCACGGAAGAAAATGACGCCCCCAGGCTTCAGTACTCGATACAAATTATTGACCGCCTGGTTCCATTGATCAGGGGAAAGTGCAGAAAAACAAAATATCAAAGTAATTGCATCTACGGAGTTTTCTGAAAGCCCTTCTGGCAGTGTTGGTCCAGCTAAATCCCATACAGATGCATGACAATGATTGGGATCATAAAGAGGATTTTGGTAGACGACGTCAATAGCTTTCCTGGAGTAGTCCACAGGATAAACTTTCAAATGTTCATTTTTATTTTCTGCTAAGATGGGCCAAATTGTATTACCAGCACCGCATCCTATTTCTAACAGCACTTTTTGTCCAGCGTCAGGCTGTACAAGTTGAAGTAAGTCTGGGAATTCCTGGGCAATCCATCTTCGGTTCATAAAAAAATTCCCTTCATTTTTCTCGTAAAACCTATCCCAATACTCATTTGGATTTGCCATATACTCATCCTTGTTTATTACCGGGTACTCCTTTTGCTCTGCAATTCTTTGCTCGGCCATGGACAGATGTTCTTCATCCCATTCAACATGATCCCTTAAAAAGTTAATTAGAAACGATATTTTTTAATATAAATGGCTTATCGACGTACCAGGCATTACAGTCAAAGACTTGGTCTTCTTCCTTTAGTAAACGGCCTCCAAACGTCTCGTTGATGGAAAAGTTTGCATTTCGTACAGAAGAAGTTTGCTTTTTTGTCATTGTTTATGATAAAAACGAAAAAAATTTAGGCTTTTCAGCCTGCAGGAACTTTTTGGAGAAGATGAGAAGTACTCCTTAACCTTTGGCTATTTAGTTTTCTAATTTATGAAGGACTTAAAAATGTATTTAGTGATAACTTGCAAAATTCATATTTTTTCTTTTTCTTTTACGAAAGAATGTAACTAAGGAAGTTTTCTATCAATATTGTATGTAAAAAATGGCAAGCGTACACATAATCAAGAAAAAATAAATCTTCTCCCCTAGACGAATTGACGTTTAGTTTGTATATTCCTACATCCTCTCTTACAAAGCTTACTATGATACTATACGAAGAAAAGGTGCTCAGAACATTGACGATTCGTTGTATGAATTTCAAGTACTACACAGGTTTCTACTTTCTTTCCTATTTGAAAAAGCTAATTAGCTGAATTAACCAACATACGTTCAAGCACTACTTACATGTTAACTTGCTGTTTAGCAGAGTAATAAAATTATTTACATTCATTAACTCAACTTGTGCTGCATACATAAATGGTAGAGTAACGGCTGTAAATCCCGTAAATTATCTATTAATTACCTTTTTCTCCCTTTCACCTTTTTAAAGAAAGCTATTCAATGAATAGGGGTCTCCGCGAAGGGTGTCATGTCGATCGTGGGAAGCTCAATCAAAGCTTGTTTGATGATCTCAATACCCTTCATCAAGTCCTCTTCAGAAATGACTAGAGGAGGAGCAAGACGAATAATATTTCCATGTGTGGGCTTGGCCAAAATGCCTCGGGAGCGCATAATCAAGCACAAGTCCCAAGCACTCCGGCCATTAGCTTTGGATTCGTCAATGACGATAGCATTCAAGAGACCGCGACCACGAGCAACTTGTAAGAGAGGGGACTTGGTATCATTTAGAGCATTACGGAATTTCTCGCCCAAGACAGCAGCACGTTCAACCAAGTTTTCGTCTTTGACCACTTGCAGGGCAGCGATGGCAACAGCAGCACCAAGAGGGTTACCACCGTAAGTAGATCCGTGAGTACCGGGTTCAAAATTAAGCATGATGTCCTTGGAAGAAAGGACAGCACTGACTGGGTAAACACCACCAGAAATAGCCTTTCCGAGAATGACCATATCAGGCTTGACGCCAGAGTGTTCGATGCAAAGCATTTTACCAGTACGAGCAATACCGGTTTGGACTTCGTCTGCAATAAACAACACATTATGGGCTTTGCACAATTCGTAAGCAGCTCTCAAGTAGCCATCCTCAGGAACAACAACACCAGCTTCACCTTGAATGGGTTCAACTAAGAAACCGGCAACTCTGGGGCCATATGATTCAAGGAAGAACTTCAAGTCGTCCAGGTTGTTGTAACGCAAGACGCGGTCAGAACCCTCGACCATGGGGCCGACGTTAGGCAAATAGGGACCGTAGTTGTCACGAGCTTCAGGGTCAGTGGACATGGAAATAATACCCATTGTACGGCCGTGAAAGTTGTCGACGCAAGAGAGGATGATGGCCTCGTTTTCAGGGATCTTCTTTTGCTTGTAACCCCAAAGACGAGCAAGCTTGCAGGCGGTTTCGACAGCTTCGGCACCAGTGTTCATGGGAATGGCCATCTCGTAACCAAAATATTCAGTGACATACTTGGCAAAAGGACCAAACTTGTCATTGTAGAACGCACGAGAGCTCAAAGTTACACGTTGAGCTTGCTCAATCAAAGCACCAATAATCTTAGGGTGGCAGTGTCCTTGATTGACAGCAGAGTAAGCCGAAAGAAAGTCCAAATACTCTTTTCCTTCAGGATCCCATACCTTAGCACCTTGAGCCTTGGAGAAACAGACCGGCAAAGGGTGGTAATTGTGAGCAGCGTAATCATGCTCCAATTTTTGGATCTCCAATGTAGAATAAGTATCTTTCAAATCTGTTTGGGTCATCTTGTTTTCTAAAGAAAATAACCGTCTATCCTCAAAGTTCTTCAAATTTGTTTAGCTTGTCTCGGATTTTCGATAGTTGCGAACGTCAAGACGAGACTTTCTGGAAAAATTAAATTCAACCTGAATTAGGACAAATGAAAAGAAAGATGGTTTCTCTTGATGCAGCTTTTCTAGCCAAATTTATACTTTCGCATTTAACTTTCTCCGTGGAGAATTGCCCTCAACAGATGTTCCGGCTGCTATTTAGAAATTTAATTTACTCACTAATAAACAAACAAGAAGAGAAATTCTGCAAGTAAAGCGTTTCAAATACAAAATGAGTAAAAGAATGAAAGCAATTTATTAGACCTTTCGTTTGTACCAGTGAAATAAAGTAGTTTATAGTCTCCTATAGATGAATATTTTAATGAATGAAGTCAAAGAAAGCACTCAATCCCATGAGCTTCTTGAATGAGTATATAATGAATTCACATTTTGCGTTTGTAGCGACGTGAATGCTGATTTCACTTGGTTTAGGTGAAATAGACTGCAGCATTTTCAAACGGTCATTGTTAGACTACATCAGCTTGTATGGAGAAAGCACTGGGGATAATTTCTTTTCCTTCAGCATTCAAGAGTCGAGCTGATAAAACATCTTTTGAAAACACTTGTCCTACGCCTTTCGGTGTCCCAGTCAATATCAGGTCTCCAGGTTGCAAAGACATGACCTCCGTAATGCTCTCCAAGATCCTTGGAATACGATTCAACATCAATGATGTACTTTCATGCTGAACGATGTTTTTATTTTGAGAAAGCTCGACAATGACATTGTGAGGGTCAGGAATCAGGTGTTTGGGAATGAACGGACCTACTGGCAAGAAAGTATCGTATCCCTTGGCAAACGTCCAAGGAAGCCCTGCTTTCTTAGCTTCATCCTGAATGTTGCGTGCAGTAACATCTATTCCGACAAAGTACCCAGCAATGGCCTCCATCCACTTGGGGTGAGAAATGGGTTGACGAGCAGGCAGCTTGGAACCCATGACAAGACCAAGTTCAACCTCATAATGCGCCTTCACGTCTGAGGGAAAGAGTAACTTTCCTTGGCCTGGTCCCACGATTGCACTTGGAGGCTTTAAAAAGAAAAAGGGCTTTTTGGGAAAAGCATTATTAAGCTCACGAATATGGGCACTAAAAGAGTTCTTATCAGCAAACTATTTTAATCAAATAACCCATGGTTTTAAATGAATGTTGAGATCCTGATTGTAGGTTGTGTTAAGATACAAGCATTTTCGTTCTGAAAGTTCGCCAGGTTTGAAGCTTCAAGAACCCTTTTCGAAACGTTGAAATGCTTTATAAACCAATTCACTTACGCATAGTTTCTTCCAATACAAAGAATTTTACTTGCCCGAGACAACATAGTGTGAATTGTATGGAAGAAAGATTGGTACAATGATCAGATAATTACCTTCAAACATTTACGAAGAAACAAATAGATGTTAAACTATTTTATTTTTACAGTTCTATCTACAATTTTTGTAAACTTTTCGATGGAAAGGTTTTTCAGAGCTTAGAACATCATGTTGAGTCATTCTTCAGAATGTAAAAAGGGATACATTTTTGCAAATTTATTTCGACAATACATACTTTATTCTATACATCTAATTCAGCAGAACCACCATATATAAAGCTCTAACTAACGTTGCAAAACACAGTCTAATGTTTTCGAATACCATTTAGCGCTCATACATTCTGTATCGTCAATTTTGGAGCCGTAAGTATCCCATCCTTGTCAATTCACAGAAACATACCTAAAAAAAAAACCAATTGCGTTACCGGTAGCCTCATGACATGGAGTCTTTCATAGCATCAAAAGTTCATGATCAAAAAAGAAAAAAATCACATTAAATTTTTCTTTTCCATAATCATCTTATTCAGCTTGTAATAGCTCTATTGGGAATTGCTTGTATGTAGTTAATAGAATATCAGTTCCGCATGGAATCCATAAAGCACCGTTCATATTGAGGTTGTGCAAATAAGAGATTCCTGTTGTTTCTTCACTAGAGAACACTTTTGGTGCAATTGTGACGATGAGGGAGTCAAATGCGTTGGAATCAAAGGCCCTTTTCAAAAGGTTTGCCCCTCCCTCTACCATTATTCTTGAAGCGCCAGAGCTCTGAAGCTTCTCCAAGCTCACATAATCTTTCCAATTCTCTGGACATTCTTGATCTCGTACAAATACTCGACCGCCATGATCTTCAATGCAGTTCCATCGCTCCTGTAGTCGAGCATCGGTCGTTTTCTTCTGTAGCACGCTGGGAGCAACGACAATCCATGGGGCTTTTGTTAGGCGCCGGCGAGCTAAATCCATTACCTTTAGGGAGGCATAATCTAACGATAGCTGTGAGTCAATAATTATTGGAATAGGCTGCATGTGGAGAGGAGCCAAGCATCTGGGATCTTCAGGATGAGGATATCGACAAGTCAAGCTAGGATTGTCATTTCGAACTGTACCACTGCCCACCATAATTGCATCAAAGGATGCTCGAAGTCCATGGGTCATATGAAAGGATTCTTTGCATGATATTTTCAATTGTCCTCGAATATAGCCATCTTCCTCCTTAACTGTGTTTAAAGTGGGAGTTTTATATCCGATTTGTCCATTCATTGACTGTGCCCATGTTAACAAAACATGGTTTTTCTTTTCGTAAGGAAAAATAGCTGGTTTCAGTTCCATCTAAAGCAACAGCATCAAGTTGAAGAATCTCGTATTGAACAACGTATATTTATCACCAAGAACTCAGTAGATAATTGATTTTTTATACTCCTATACCGTCAAATCGTAGCCGTAACCTGTAATTTCACCAGTAGGCAGACATTGGATCCAACCTTTATGTTGGCTATTCATAGCTACAATTTGTTATTTCCCTTATATCATACTTTGTTAGCATTCAGTCAACACTTCTCTCGATGGTGTAGTTGGTTATCACACCCGGCTGTAATGTTCAAGATACCGGTTGGTCGCTAGTTCGAATCTGGCTCGAGAGAGATTTTTTTTCAACCAGAAAATTCTATTTTTATTTCATTTACCTCTCTTTCGGCAGACGAAGTACGATGTTTTCTTGTTTTTGGAAATTTTTTAATCTTTTTTTTTTTTTATCCAAAGTTTCGTAAACAACCCACTGTAAACATAAATGATACTCCTTGTGGAGAGTAATTGAAGCTTCTATTATCAACGTGGGTTTTCTTTTTTTTTTAAAAAAAAACAATATCTGCCTATGTTAGAGGGCGATGCCTTATTTTCTCTTTGTTCAATTCTTACGTAAACTACTAGAAAGCAAAGTAGAAAATAAACAAACAAGGTAGATCAATCTCCCTTTCCGTTGTAGATGACCGTGGTATATGAAGATCGTTACTAGTCGAATAGAAATTAATTTAATATACTTCCTGTACTCATGCCTGTCTATTTACAAGCTTAGTATGCTGTCAAATTCAACACTCATAGGTAACACCAACTGTTACTTGCTTCATGTTGAATTCATGGACGAGCAAACAGAACGCTTTTTAAAGCCAATCCCATTGTTTGGAGACTCGTAGCTTTTTAACACTATTGAAAATAACTAATGACTACAGTATATGCCTGCAAAGGATTCCAAAAGGTTCCTGTGAAAATGGCGCCTTCTGCGCCGCTACAAGAGGTTGTTCTTGCCTCTTACCAAAAGTTAGGATTTTCAGATTGGAATCGCCTGGAACTACTGCATAATGATAAAAAACTGGATCCTTCACTTCAAATGCGACATTCTGGACTTTTGCAAGGGTCAAAGTTAACAGTGAAGGAGACACAAAAACCATTGAACGCGTCACATGGATCCTCTACAGCAGCGGGCAGACAACTCAAAGTTGCTCTTCAAATGCCTGGATTTCCGAGAGTTGTGGATCAAATATCGTCACAGGATACTTTGTTCCATCTGTTGGATCGACATTCTTTCCTTTCAAATATAGACCACGTCCTAATCAATGGGCGAGCTTATGGTGCAAACGAGTTCTCGCAACCATTGTCATTCTTTGGCTTGCATGAAGGTAGTGTTCTAATTCGTCTAATCCCCAAGTCAAACAAACCTGCTGTAGACACTAAAAATCACGACACAATGTTAACAACATCGCCCAGTCCTAAGGTAGATACCAAGCCATCAGTTTCACCTGAAAACACCGATTCTCCGCAAAGTTTGGAACATGTTCAAGATATTCCCGATGTAGCTGATTCAGCACCAGATATTCCTCTAGATACAGAAACCTACGAAGCTAAACCTTCCAATGTTGTCTCATCACCTAATTACGAACCCTCGAATTTGGGAAATGAGGAAACTGTGCCTGAAACTCAAATGGAGGCAAGTGCACCTGCTACTGATATTCAAAGTTCAAGTCTGCAGATGCCGTCACAAACAGCTGATGTTAAAAAATCAAAACAGTTCAATAACAAAAATATTCTGGGATCTATGATGAGTAAACTGAAAACAGGAAAGCAAAAGGAAAAGGAGCAGAACGGATATGATTTGGAGCCCAGTAAAAGCCAGTTGGAACTTTACCAAAGTATTCTTCGTAAAAGAGCGAGTCAACCTTCTCGGACCATTAGCTCAAATATCCCAAAATCTCCCCCTTCCACGGCGACTGTAAAATTTGACTTTGGTGATGGCAAGCCCCTTTTCCATGAATTTTCTAAGGAAGAGAAGATTCATGACCTTCATGATTTTGTCGCATCTCACTTGCCTAATGGATTCCCTAGTTCATTTTCACTCACATTTAGTAACTACGAGCCTTTGCCTACTTCCGGACGTGTCGTCGAATACATAGGACGTGCAATCGTCCGTGTTCATCCAAAATGACCATAATGTTTATATGATGCATAGACGAGATGTTTTTGTTTTATGTTTGTAGTCAGCACAATGACTGTAATGGATACGGTTTTAATATTATCTTTGAGTTTTGGAATACATAAAACCTGGTAAACTTATTCAAATGAATGCTTCTACATTAAAATGAGAAATTGAATAATTGAAAACAAGAAAGCCTATCTATGCTGCGAGATTGCAACCGGTATTCAAACTTGAAATAGTGCGTAAAAAGCATTCACAGACTTAATCTTGGAATAAATGACCCTATTCGATAAATTTGGATAATTTCTGGGCGTCCAAACAGTCATAATCGACAAGCAAAGAGTTTTGAAGGTTTCCTTCAGCGTCACGATAATATCTTCCTAAAGTGGGAACAGCACTTATACCAAATTTCTTGCGATATAAATTATCCGGAGTCTTCCATTGAGGCATATTACCGACATAAACATGGACCAGGTTTAATGTTTTCGAACTATTAAAGATATTGTTGAACGCGGGTAAAGCAGCACGTACAGTAGGACACCAGGGTTGTTTAGTACGAGGATCAATTGAGGCAAGGTATGCGACAAACAAAGTTTCCCCTTTGGTAACCTTACCCAAGGTGGCTTCTAAAGATTCTTTCAAGGGAAGCAACATTGCCGGAAATAAATGAAAATCAATCTAAAAAGAAAAAGAAAGATCTTACAAATACTTTAGAATTGAAAAAGTTCTAGGAAAACGAGGCTTTAATATGGAAAAGGTTAGAGTGCAGTGTTGGAATTGAATTCGGCAATATCTTTATATGATGAGATTCAGGAATTGACAAGAGGAACAAAAAAGGCCATTGACCCAGTGAACATGAACATCAAAGCTTCTTCAATATCATGATATTTATGATCCATAAAATAAAAAACAAAATGTCTTAAAAAACATCTACCTAACCAAGTCGAACAAGTACTGGTTTGCTTCTTGGGAAAGAAAAAAAAAAAACCCTTGCTTTCGGGGATTGTGCAAATTAATGAACTGAAATGTCTCTATACTACAACGCTACGAACCGTTTCAAAATGATGAGGGCTAATCAGACATGATGATGATTCTGTCTCCAATACGGCTAGCGTTTCAAATTGTTCAAGTGGATTTCTTTAGTACGAAAGTTGTTACAGATCCTTTTTAACTTTATTCCCATTTTATGTTTACAGCCTTGACTTCGCTTATGAATTGCTAATTTATCCTTTTTTTGTTCAGAATTGAAACGTAATTGCTCTTCCAATGGATACTCCTTGCTGAGGCGTTCAGAAGAACCAGTCTATAAGAGCCTTATACAAACTATCAGTTTAAAATTACGAACCATTTATAAAACTATCTCAATGCTTTTCTGACCTATATGCAATATACTTTTATACCAAACTATTGGAATATGCCTAGGATTCTTCTAGGATAACGATGCTACCTTATAGCACATAATGCGGAATAGCAATCTTCACACAAGGGATCGTTCAAGTTTTTTCATGTAGGGTAGGGGTAAAGACAGTCACAGTTTGTTTCGAAGCCGACATTTCCAGTTGCTGCTGATCCTGTAACTACCACACTGCACAATGGCTGGCGTTTCTGTCAAGGATGTGGACGCTCAAAAGTTTGTTAATGCCTATGCTGCTTTTTTGAAGCGCTCCGGTATGTAATGTTTTGATAAGTAATAAAAGAGTTGAGCGATGTTAGCGGAAACGTTGATCCTGTAAAAGTGGGCAAATGTTTCTGCTTCCATAATCATCTAACTTTTTTACTTTTTCTATCACTTTACGTGTGTTGTGAGAAATTTACTAATATACATAGGTAAAATGGCTACTCCTCAATGGATTGACATTGTCAAGACTGGTACCCATAAGGAATTAGCTCCTTATGACCCTGACTGGTACTTCGTTCGTGCTGCTGCCATTGCTCGCCATATCTACCTCCGCAAGCAAGTCGGTGTTGGCCGTCTTTGCAAGGTCTATGGTGGTGCTGTCAACCGTGGCATGCGTCCCTCTCACCACCGTGACGGCTCCGGCAGTGTTCAACGCAAGGTTATCCAAAGCTTAGAAAAGATTGGTGTTCTTGAAAAGTCTGACAACGGTGGCCGCCGTATCTCTCAACAAGGTCAACGTGACTTGGACCGTATTGCCTTCTCTCTTTTAGAAGAAGAGAGTGAGTAAATGCAGACATAGCCATAATCTAAATGTTCCAATCTGTGTTTAAAATATACTGTATAAATAGGTATGAGCCTTTGTAAAGTTCTCTTGTATTTTATGCTCATTGTATTAGTAAAATTGGTAGTGTTCTAAGTGTATACTTGTTTCTATGCATCTTTTAATAAAAGCTTCAAGTACTGTGAAATATTTGAGAAATGTCATTGAACAAACATGCAAAGTTAATAATTAGCCCGACACAAAAGCATGTTTCACTGAACACCGTCGTAAATAACTTTATAAAATTGTTGCAAATTTAACAAACTATCTAATTTTCATACCATAATAATCCTTAAATTAATAATAATTGACATAAAGAGCTATAAAGATCAGCTCTTTCATTACCTTAGCAATCCTCATTATGAACATAAATTATATCTCTTAGTGCTATAATTCCAAGCACTTACTGAGCAACCTGAGTAGCTTTGGAAACAAATTCACTGGTCGAAACAGTATTTGATGGTTCAAAATCATTCGAATCGCTCGAAACCGATTCTTTCGGCAGCTCAACCGGTAGTGCAGAGTAAGCAGCTTCCGAGGTTGGCATGTCACTATTAATAGAAAACTCGGAACAGAACTGCTCAACCTCTTTTTCATCCACTTCCACAGGCAAGATAGAATAGACTTGCTCTTCGCCATTTCTGTGTTTAGCAGAACCAGTAGGATAACCATCTTGCTGTTTCACAGTAGAGTCACCAGAAACTTTCGAAAACACCTTCTTTTGTTCTTTTTCATCATATTCGATTGGTAAAATGGAATAAACATTTTCTGGTTCCTCTTTTCCTTGTGATTCAACGGAATGTGTGGGAAAAGCCTTTCCTTGCTCCTCCTCGTCATACTGAATAGGCAAAATTGAATAAACATTCTCTTCGTCCTTCCTAGTATCCTTAAGAGATAAAGTGGGCACATTTTCTTCAACAATAGATTGATGAAGAGTATCGTCTTCCGACATTCTGATGGGCGAACCCATTGGTATATTAATCTGGGGACCATTATGACTTCGTTCTTCTTTTGCAAGTACCTTTTTTACATATAGATTTTTTTCGTCGGCTGTTGGAGAAGGAACGCCGGTAACAGCCTCATGCAATTCATAAGAAGCAGTGCCTAAAGGAACATCATCACAATGCGCATGCTCAGCGTTTACTTCAATAATCTTTTGATTTTGATCAGCTAAAATATGTTCCATTTCAGGGATTTCGGTGCCCATATTAGAATTAATTTTCAACTTATGAGAATTTTTAATTGCTGTTAAGCGACTAATCGTGTCAGACGCAATACTTCCGATTCTAGATAGGTATTGGCGCTTTCTTTGTTCCATTAAAGAGCTTTGCTTTTCATTGATACCCTTCACCGAGGAATTCATAAAATGATGCACTTTATCTAATAAAGGTATTAATTCTCTTACTTTCTCATCATTGACATGAACGTTTCCATTGCAAGCAGCTACTGCGACTTGGAAGGAGGAATGTGTTTGATTGCGGATAAAAGCAGCACCAGATTCCACACGGTCAAGAATATCTTTTTGAAGTTTTCCGGCAAGGTTACGCAACTCGACAGCTCGCTCATGAGTGTCCAAAATCGATTTTTTTACACCTGCCAATAATTCAGCAACCGCATCATCATAGCCAAGCGTTTGAGCACGGAATACTAAATTTCCAAGTGAGTTTTCAATCGCCAAAACTCGAAGGTTAGATAATTCCTCAAAAGACTTTAATTCTTTGGAAAAGTAATCGTTTGTATTATGAAAAGATTCCTTCCATCCCTCTTCAATTTTGCTACCAAAATCACTTTCAATAGCATCGAATTCTTGGCTAAGATGAGCTAGAGTATTGCTGATACAGCTTCTTTGATCGTATCCAGGGGCAACCGTTTTACCTGATGAAGCAGTATCATCAGGATATGAAGGAGTCATAGTCTGTTCGGCGACAACTGTGCCGACAGGATCCACAGTCGTAGAAACAAGGGGAGTAGAGGACATAGAATTTGACAAGTCACTGTAAATTTTAGCTGTTGTAGCAGAAGCAAATTTTTCGGATTTTTCATGCAAGACACTTTCATATATATGTTGTAGTTGAGAACGTATGTGCATGTTCCAGAAAGAATTTATATGATAAGACAAAGCATTAACCATCTGCCAAAAGGTAGAATTCAAGTACGGCAAAATTACATAGCGGAATTCCATATAGCCATCAATGCTCTTTTTGCGAACAATCGGCTTGTAATGTTGATAGTTGGGGACAATTTGATTGACCCAAAGCTCGTAAAGCCTTTCAGATATCCACTTTGCGTATATTTGAAGTTGAGCAATGAACTTTTCAGTCGCAGGAACTACTATTTCCGTATATGTAGTAAAAGCTTTCGTTTTCACATCGTCACAAAGGTTATGGAGCATCTTATTGTTCTTCACGTTCAAAACAGATTCCCAAGTCTGTCTGCCATAATATTCGAGATGCTTGGGAATATCAAAGAAAGCAGAATTCTTCATTTTGTGATGAAAGCTTTCAACGTTGGGCTTGGTACGCGTATCATAGTAAGATTTCGCATCATCTCTAGCTTGTCTAGCAGCATCAAATAAAGGCGTGGCTTTAGCAAATTGTGAATGAACAGCGGTTCCCAATGGACGAACATGGTGATCGTATACGCTGTGCAGAAAACTCTCCTCTTTTTGTTTCGGAGCCTTACGAGCTAAAGCTCCATTATCTTCTATTATGACAGAAAACAAAAACGCAAGGAATAAAATCCTAAATAAGGGTCGGATAGAGCGTTCAATTCTCATATCGCCGATGGATTCCTATTTCCAATAAATACGTTGGCCTAAAACACTTGTTATGGAAATAAAAGAAAGTCAAACTAAAATTACAAAGAAAAAATAATACTTCTCTGCAATATTATCAAGTAGCAGACTTCTTTGCTACTGTTGAATAGTTTGCAGGGAGTAAGTGTAGTTGAGGTACGTTGACTTATGATATATACTAAAGAAAGTTTGAAATAGCTACCGAAGTCCATTACCTTACATTCATCAAATGCGTTTAGAGGAATTTAAAAAGATATATTTCTATGTAAAGATCTAAAAGGCTTGATAATTCTACATGTGGTAAGTGGGTATAATAATGACAATAACCAAGACAAGACAAACGTCTTCCCATTATGCATTTTGAAAACAAGATAAGGAAATGAAATAGATTTTAAAAACGGTATTAGGCTTCTCTAATAAAGCAAATAAATCACCAGAAATATTGTCGGAAATTCATTAAAAATGGTTTCGTGATTTAAAGAGTGTTTTTAGGAATTTCGTACAAGCTTATATACGTTTGGCAAAAGTCCAATCCATGCACCGTAGACAGTACCCATCAAGCCTCGAACAAACCGCCATGCCTTTTGAGAATCAGGAATAGGATAGTCAACAGCTGGTGGGATGCCGGTGTGAATAGACTTGAAGCGATCGCAAGCAACCGACTTGGAGTTACAAATTCCCTGGAGACCCTCATATCCAGCGAACCGTCCATAACCACTTTGCTTACATCCACCAAAAGGCATTTGAAGCAAATAGAACGCACCAAAATCATTTACGGCTACCATACCGCTTTCCAAATTTTCAACATAATATTGGCATATTTCTTTGTCTTTACCAAAAACAGAGGCACCTAAACCAAAGTTCGTGCCATTTGCAATCTCTAAGGCATGTTGTGGTGTCTTGGCTCGAAAAACCAGGGCAATAGGAGCGAAGCATTCTTCTTGAGCAATCTTCATTTCGTTCGTCACATCTACTAGTAAAGTCGGAAGAAAGTAGAAGCCATTGGGATATTTTGGATGGTGATATCGACTACCACCGCAAATTAAACGAGCACCTTGCTTTACGGCATCTTGGATTAATTCTTCGAGAAGATCAAAACGATTATTAGAAACCATTGCGCCCATATCCACGTCTTTCTGGGTATACATACCGAGCCGCATAGGAGCAATTCGATTGTATAACCTGGCAATAACGGCATCATAAATGGTATCCAAGGCAATAATTCTCTCTATGCCAATGCAATTCTGACCAGCACTTTGAAAAACACCACGCATGACGATAGGAAGTACTTCCTCTAAACGGTGATCATCGTTGAGAATACAAGGATCTTTACCGCCGAGCTCTAGACAAAGCGGGGTTAGCTGTTTAGCCGCAGATGCAGCGACCAGTTTGGCAACTGACTGAGAACCAATAAAGGTTATATGACGAAGTCCAGGATGGCTTGTCAAATAATCAGCTACTTTCGGGAGACAAGTGATACACTGAACTAACTCGGGGTTGTGGCCAAGAGACTTTAGCAATTGGCGAACTATCTCACAGTATTGGTGGGTAGACCAAGCAGTCAACTCACTTCCTTTGACAATCACAGCATTTCCCGCAAAAAGAGCGGAAATAATAGGACCAAGAGCATTATGCAGAGGATAATTCCAACTTACAAGAGCAGCTATGACACCAAGGGGCTCATATTGGACATAGCCATGCTTATAGGAAGTAAGGAGAGAAGTAGGGCGTTTCGAAGGACGAAGCGACTGCTCACCATTTTTTATGGTCCAGTTGATTTTCTCCAACGTAACCAAAATCTCACCAAATGCAGCATCAACAAGTGTTTTACCCGTGTCTTTGCAAGCAATTTCTGCATACTTATCTTGGTTTTTTAAGATATTTTTCTTCAATGCTTGCAAAAAGTCTTTTCTTTCCTGAAATGATGTTTTCTTCCAAGACTTTTGAGCCTCTTCTGCCAAGCGAATTGACTGATCAATATCGGCGGGTTGGTGAAGATCCACGTGTCCAAGCAAAGAACCGTCTCCAGGGCAATGACATGCAATAGTTTTTCCATTCATTTTTTTAATAGGCAAACTACAAAAGCGTACAATCAAATAAGAAAGCAAGAGAATAAAATCGCTTCAAGACAAATAGTGGGATTTAAACGAGCGTAAGGTATAAAAAATGAAGTTACAATTCGTCGCAACTAAAATATGCTGAAAGATCACAGACAGGAGAAAAGGACCAACAAACGGCGAAATGAATGTTACCAAAGGGAAACAAAACGCAAAAAGAGAAGACTAAAGAAGCCAAATTATATTTGTTTTTACAAAAAAATAAAAAACAATATACCGGTAGCAGATGCCCAGACAAAGGACAACACGGTGTTTTGAGGAAAGAGACCATAGTCAGCCGACCTTTTCACCCTGAATAAGAATACACAACGGGTTCGTAAAACCAACTAACAAAAAATAAAGTATGCGTTAAACAAAAGTATCGAGGGATAAGGAGGAAGAACGAGTTGACCGCCAAAAGGAAAAAACGAGTAAAAGAGGGTTTTCGTGGAAACCGACAAGATACAGATTCATTCATAAATTTCTTTTCACAAAGTATACGCGTTTCGTTTATGAACCAAGTTAATCCCACGATGTACCGTTACGTGGCCGGTAGTTGATGCCTCGACGACGCAAAGATTCAACAATGTCGTCGTTAAGAACGCCTTGGACGCGTGTCGCATAGATTCCAGGAGTAAAATTATCGATTCTTTGCCATCTAGCAACCCAGGATTCTGTAGGGACCATCATTGCCATAATGCCCTCAAAGACAGGAGAAGTAAACGTTTCAACATCATCAACACCGTCGTTTGGACAACCTTTGTTGGCGAAAACATTGTGAGGAAGTACAATTCCACAGATTAAGCATGCTCTAGAGCGAGAACGACTCAATTTATCCATCTTGGCGATATGGTTTCAGTCACTAAGATGTTGGTTATGGTCAAGAGGAAACAATGGTGAATGCTAAAGACTAGTACCGGCAAACAAATCGCCAGCAGAGAAAATTAACATTAAAAACGTGAATAGAAATTGAGATACAGTTAAAACTAAAATGAAAATGAAAAAAAATGCAGTATTTCTCGGATTTTGAAATTCCTCCTGCTAATGATAGCATCCAAATATTTTTTGGAAGTGGGATGAAAAAAAGCTTTTTTTATGGTTAAATAGAAGCATTTATCGTAACGTTCTTCTTCACGGCTTACAAGCGACCAGGCCAGGTCAGCATAGCATATATTTGCGTGTTTGAGTGCATGAAGCAACATTTTCGAAACGAAAGTCAGAACTCGCTTTATAATAATTATGCTTATAATAAAAATAGAAGGCACTTTACATGGGTTCCATTTCAGAACAGTTTTCTGGACATTTCAGTTGGATTGAAAAGTCCATATTCCCAAGAAGCGACGACTGAAAATTTGAACGAAAATTGGTCGTATAAAGATTTGTTTCTTTTTAAAACGCAATCATCTTTTTTGACCAAAAAAGGATGAGTCACTATTTACGATAAGTAGACAGTTGGATTCTCCTCCCTTCATTTGCAATAATCCTTCGGGTTTTCCGAGTACTAAGATGGATAATAAATACCAAAAGGATACTACAGCTTAAGGCAACTGAAAGGCCGATAGCTAGTCGCCTGTCTATGGGGTTGTAATCAAATGATGATTTTTCGTTTACAACTTGCATCCAATAAAAAGTTTTGGACAAAAGAACTTCGGGACCAATTTGAACTTTTGTATTTTCGCCGTTTTGTGGAGCGACAACGATACGAGCCGTCGTATTATCTTGATTATTCAACCATTTTTTATTGACCTTGACAAACCAAAAGGTCTGGTTCGATGGGATAATGTTGCTACTTGTTATTACAGTTTTATTATGATCAGAACGTTCAAGAGCCACTTCTAGAAATTCTTCTGCGGGTGGTTTCCATCGTACTGCATAAGTATAGCCAGCTGCCCATCGAGCTCCTAAAGATGAAAACGTTAGTATACGTTTCCTTGAAACGAATATAGAACAGAGCGCATGATAATAAAATTGCATTACCTGAGCCAGGTGTTAAGAATTCGACATCTGCCCGAACTATTGAAACGAAAGCCAAAAATACTGCAGAAAACAGACATAAAAAGAGAGTAGACTTCATGGTGATTTTGATTTAGTTTATATTTAATTAATCGAAGAGAAAACCCTACCAATCCATGAACAGAAAAGCCAATTCTTCTACTTTGTCTTTACTGGGGGATGGTAAAGAAGTGATCTATAGAGGGATCATAACATTCTAATACTTTCCCCATAATCACTCTTTGGTAAATGCCCTGCTAAAAGGATTACAAGTTTTAATAAAATTTATTAAACTAGAGGAAAAAAACTGCATCGTCTCTTCGTTAAATTATAAAATTCATTGTCTCTAAGAAAACCAACAATAGCTATGTGTACATCGAATGATTTCAGAGCAAACTAGATAGTTATTCCATTCCAATTCTTTAATTGTATTGAAGAATAAGAAGATTCGACCGCAAATTCAATGAAGAAGCTTTCTTGTTATTTTACAAAATTCAATTTCTTCAATCAGTAGAAGCTAAGTAGGTCAGTATTCAATCAAAGTTTAGTTTATAGATCCAATGAATCATCAAATATTTCATATTTAACTATTTTCTTGTTGTATTTCCCTAAGCGATACCAAAACCAAGATTATCCCCCTCCAAAAAAAAGGCATACAATTTGGGAACTTTTCAAGTTTGAAGTATAGTAAGAAAAGAAAAAAAAGAAAGCAAATAAGCCACTCGAAGAACTTTCTTTCCAGTAGATATGAATGTTTTCTGACCGAAAGGATTTACTGACCGACTGAACCCTGCGGTAGTAAATAAACAGACATGGTTTCATGAAATCCAATGTGGAAGAAGAGCAAAGACATATAAAGAGACAAGCAAGCAAGAATGAGGTTGATGTAGTAGATACATAGTCATAACTAGTTCAGAATTATCACTTCTTGCATGTTCATTTGGTTGAACATTAAACACCCTTATTTTTGACACTGCAGAAAAAGTCGTTGATGTATGTCCACTTTATTATTATAAATAAAAAAAGCAAAGGAATGATTTCAAAGATTTTGCGAGTACTTGCTTTTGGTTGTTCAAAAAGAAAGCAAGTATAAACAAACGTAGTCTTCATAATACAGACAGAATGCATCGATTTTCAGCAAAGATTTAAAAATTAATAACCAATTCAAGCGCATAGCCATTTAAAAATGCAGCATATAGTGTTTGCTTGGGTTAGGGAAAAGACCGACTCAAAAGTAAACAAACAAATGCATGTATAAAAAGAGAACCAAACCCAGCTTGTACACAGCAAAACACAGTTTAAAATTGAAAAGTTCAAGAAAAAAGAATGCTTTCTATGCTATTACCGTTTGGAAATACTGGCATTTACGCTAATGATGTGGACCGGGAAGACTTGCCTGAAATTGCAAAGCTTGTGCAAGCATTTCCAACCATTGAGGAGGATTACCATGTAGTAAAGCTCGTAGGAGCTGGTAGCTTTAGTAGCGTGTTCAAAGCTATTGATAGACACTATGATAGCTATGACAATTCGTATTGGATCACTTCACAAATCGAAAATCAAAACGGTCAAGAGAAGGGAAAGCACCAGCGACAGCAATTTGTCGCCATCAAAAGGGTGTATGCAACTGTTTTGCCATCTCGCATTCAAACGGAGCTGGAGATGCTTCATGAGCTTCGTGGCGGTGAATGTGTCCTCAATATGATTACCGCCGTCCGACACCAGGATCAAGTCTTGATTGTGCTTCCGTTTATTCAACATGCTGAATTCCGAGACTTTTACATGAAATATACACTGCCAGAGATTGCTACGTATCTACAGGACCTATTAAAGGGACTTGCGCATATAGCTTCTAAGGGAATTATCCATCGAGACATTAAGCCAGGCAATTTTGCATGGAACCCATATACCCAACGAGGAGTCATTCTTGACTTTGGACTTGCACAATGGCAGGTGGCTGACACGCCCTCCGAAAACTGTTGCATTGACAAACTGCGAAAACTGAAACAAGAGGGCAAATACTACGACTTTTTCCCTTTTGAAAAAACCATTGCGGATCCGAGCGATGGATACTTACTTCATGATCCTCGACCCACAAAGAGAGCTGATCGGGCAGGCACAAGAGGATTCAGGGCTCCGGAAGTGCTGTTTCGTTGTCAGTATCAGACATCCATTATTGACATTTGGTCAGTAGGAGTAATTCTTCTCTGTTTCCTTACTCGAAGATACCCTTTTTTTCGATGCGAGGATGACATTGATGCAATCGTTGAGCTGGCACATATCTTTGGAAGGAACCAAATGTCCAGATGTGCCTTGTTACATGGTAAGTAAAAAAGAAAAAGTTCTTTTCAATTCTAAATGTTCATCCTTTACTAATTCTGACTAGGTCAAATCTGGTCCGACAATCTCTCCACAGTACAGGATCAAAAGCACAACTGGCTAGATCTCATTGGTAGCATCACCAAAAGCGACGAAAACTCTTTACTGGACGTAAGTCCCGGATGCCAAGTCGCTCTTGTAATTGACTTACTTGACAAGTTGCTTGAGCTACAGCGTACGTTAATTTCAAGACTCTAAGTGAATACACAAGCTAACAAAATTCTTCTACTAGCATCCAAGCGACTTACCGCAGAAGCTGCTTTGGAACACGATTTTTTCAAAGTTGCAGATATGCCCAGAATGACATATCCCTAAGACAAACAGATAAACAAACAAACAAACTAGCAAGCAAGACCTGTCAAACAAGAGGAACAAGGGACCGAAGGGATATACTTCTCAGAAAACAGAATCAACCAGTCCCTTCAACTCGGGTTTCCTTAACACAGGTAGCGAAACTGAAACCCTGTATTAGTATTTTCTGCATTTTAACAAGAAGCATTAATTTCCATTCCACCAATTCTCATGTAAACAAAGCGACAATGTAAACAGACTTTCAGCGATCATCATTCACCATGTATAAGTGTTTCTTGAATTTTCTTTCTCTTTATTTACGCTTGACATCATCTCGTATCTCGGTAAATCATTTCAAAGTTTCTTCTTTTTATTCCTACGTACCTTCTTTCATTGTTAAATTTCCATGTGGTGTCATCCCTCGCTTCTAACATGAAGCCTAACACACGTAACCCAGTGACGTAAACGAAATTGTTTACGTATACCCCCCACGGATGGAATTATCGAAAGATGCTCTCAGCAAAGTATATAAAGGGCAATTCCTCCCGTCTTACAGCATCAATCAAGCATTCTCATTCAATAGTGATATCCTTATAAGGAAGTTACTACTATTACGAAGTGCTCACTCTTTTCTCGTACTTGAGACTTGTTTCTTATTTTCAGTTGTTTTTGAGACATATATTTCAATTATATCTGTGCAAACATGTCTAGTGGTCCAGCAAATCAAACTCGCGTTGTCTGCCAAACTGATATCGCTTCCTTCGTCGTCATTGGTGCAAGCGAAAATATTATTAAAAGTTGGCGCACCGACAAGACGATCCCTTTGACTGAGGTCGTTGATTCTTTCCAAGTTTTCACCTTGACCAAGGGCAGTGAAGGCGAACTCTTTAAGGCCTCGAAGCAACAACTTGAAAACGCCTTTGGTACTAGCAAGGACGTTGATGTTTGTGCCAAGATCCTTAGCGAAGGTAAAATTAGTCCCCACCGCCAACACACTGGCAACAAGGAAGTATAAGGAATGAAGAAAAAAGTCGAGAGTCGGTCGTTCGTTCTCTAAAAACCATGCGATTGTTATCATGATGATGGGTTGAGAACAGTATCATTCTCTAATACCCCTATATCTGACCATTGACTTAAATTCGTGGTCAACAAGAACGGAAGCAGTTGAATGCGTCGACTCCATCATCGTTTTATGGAATATGTCAAGAATAAGCTCTCGTTTTGCTTTGTTTTGATCTGTGTATATAAGTTCCAAAAACCTTGAGTTTAGTGACGAATTATGAATTTTTTTTATGAATAGAAATGAAAAAAGCCGTTTTGGTTTCAACTTTAATTCTTTGTTGTTGATGTCAAACAACAGACATAGTTGGTTAAATCATAGGAAAGAAATCAGTAGCAATTTACTTGTAAGGAACGGTTAAGGACGAACAGAAACCTTCCCTTCTTTCACGAAGGGGAAAAAAGCCTTCTGTATATAAACTTGTTTTGCACTTTGACGATTTTGATCTAGGTTAAATAGAAAATTCGTTTTCATTAGATTATTTAGTTATGCTTGCTATACCTTAAGAATAGCTTGCTGTACCAAATAGAACGTCATTTTAATGACTCTTTTCTCTTCATATCATAGCCTTACTACCTACCCTCTTCTGGCAAAAAAGCTATTGTAATTCAACATTTATATACCCTGTGAGAGGGTTGCACAGTCATGTTCATTGATTCCCTTCACATGTCGTCGTCTTCCATATGCTGATCCTTCAAAAAGTAATATTCCTTTAGGGACTTGACACTCTTATAGTCCTCTGTGTTAAGAAAATCAAAAGGTACAATGTCCCGAAAGTTTTGAAAAAATTCATAAAACAGGTTGAGCCATGAATAAACAACTTTAAGCTCTTTCCGGTTTAATGGTATTCTTTGCAATGAGGTATTTGAAGCGGGAGGAATCAAGATATCGCGTATTGTTTCCAAAATATTATACCATAATCGTGATAACAAACGGAATAGTGGCTGAGGCAACATGTTTACATAAATCCAATAAAAAATTTCATCCATCTCAGCAAGTAAACTTTGCTGTTCTCGTTCTACCGTGGCTTTCAAATCGGTGGTCTCCTCCGGACTCGGTTCCTCTGGCTCTCCCTCATCATTCAAGTAGCGAACAAACTTGAATAGTCCACTTCGGCCCATAAAGCTGCGAATGTATGAGACTAGCCCCGTAGTCATTGCATTCAACATCGTCTCTTCAGAAACCTTAAGGAAATCAATCATACTCGAACAATAATAGTTCGGGCTTTCACGTATTATGAGTAGTTGTATTGTGATTAAAACTTTCCCGCCTATATTCAAGTCCAACCACACTTCTTTTTCATGGTCTTTCTTAAAATTTTCCGGGTCAATATCCACGTTCGCATAACCATATATACTTTCTAAGCCAGTTTCATAATTTTTTTGAAAAAGGATCAGTTTATAAGACTTACGCCCGCTAATTTCAAGCTCATACGTTTCTTTCCAGGTGGGCAGAATTTTTTCCCGAATAGGACGAGTTCGCAAAGAACTTTTTGAACCGTTATCTTGAAGCAAAAAATAAAACTCAAAGGGAGCATTTTTAGGAACCATAATATGAGCCATTATGACAGAAATCACAAGTTTACCTCTTAATGAATCCACATGTTTATAAGACAAAGGCTTTTCCTCTATAATTTTATGATCCAGCCGCTGATTTAACACTACAATCCAGTCTTTCACCAAACGTACTGTATTGATCAGAGTCAAAGATTCCTCATACACTTCAAATGAACTCGGCTTCTCAAAATGTTTATGCAAGCTACTGGCTTTTTCTCGGAGTTTTTCCACTGGGATTCCCTCATAATGCTGATTCTTCAAAGGATTGTAGACATGGTCATCAGCCTTTGCGAAATACAAAATTTTGAGACAATTCACATACCGATGAACTAAATTTTCAATCAATTTTCCGATATGAACATAAAATTTGTACACATCCTCATCATTTGGCCAATCAATTTTCTGTAAAAAGTCAAAAGATTGTTGAAGTGGATCCAAAATGGTCTTTGACGACTCCGAGCAAAACCTTGCTTGTTGAGGAAGGAAAGATTCTTGTAATATAACCGGCACAACGCTCCTAATAGCCTTTTCCATAATTATAGTTAGATTTCGATAAACAAATCCAACACTATAACAGCGATAGAGCTGAGGATAATCCAGAGAGGAACTATTCATACTAGACACTATATCTCGAGATTGTTTGTAAAGAGAGTTAATTCGGTCAATAGTTGTTTCAGATATTTCAGAAAAAGGAACGCTGACATAATTATCCATTATAGTAGGTAGTTTTTCAAAATATAAACTGAGAGTAACTTGTGCAAAGACGTCCGCCACAGCAAGCTGGTTAAAGATTTTTGTTTTATAATTAGATTTTAGAGTTTCGTACGTAGCCTGCAGTTGCATACCAACAACTCGCAATCCTACCAAATCTGTTTCTAGTTCTCCTGTCATTTCTTGACTTAAAAGCTTAGCAAAGAATTCGGAATATTTCCCTCGCAAATTGAGAAAGAAATTTTTGTAATCATTATTCACATCTTCTTGATTAACATGAAACAGAGGGTTACAGAAAATGTAATCGTTCATAATATCTAAGATATGCCGTGACTCCTCGGAAGAACGAAGGCAAGAACCAAGGGTTTCTACTAATTGATGCAGCGCTTTACGGTGATAGTAACACAATAGCTCAGAAAATTGTTGAGAATCGGAGATAGTCCAAACAGAATAATCACAATCACGGACGAAACCAAAGGTTAGATGAAATATGTCTCGCATTTGAGAAAACTTTAAATTATCTTCTTCGACAAAGTTACGCAGAATGTCTAGAACAACACAACAGCAGGTTCCTGGATGAATGCGCCATACATTGACAAAACTTCGTATTATACTCCATAGAACATTCGCACCGAAGTCACCACCCTCATTGCGGCAATATTCAAAACAAAATCTAATAAGACGATAAAAATATATCATAGACTCGTCAGGGCGCAAGCCATAAACATTTGATTTTTGAATAAGGGCAAGAATACCCTTATCCTTATCCTTATCCGATAAGTGCTCTTCACCAAATAATCCACCTAAATCTGGATAATTATCAAAAACTCTGCTTGTTACATTTTCAGTATAAAAGCATTCTCTCTCAACATAAGCATCATACGCAAACTTGTTAGGAAAGTCCTCTACCTTTAGTCCAGCTCTCTCATTTATAGCACGATGTTTGGAAACCTGAATATCTGAGACAGCCGCTAAGGGAACATTCTCTGGTAGTAAATTTTCGACTTCCAAAATAAAAGCATCATAATTTGCAAAGTTGAAAACCCCGCACATAAATTTTATGTAACTAATAAGAGAAAAGTCACCTAGCAAAAAGAGATGCCTACTAAGAGTGCAGTTTTTTTCGTAAATAGGCCAACACTCAGCTAAATAACAAAGAAACCTATAAACAGAAGACTTTTCGGGTTCTTCTAATTCTTCATTTGCAAATTCTGCCAAAGTATAGAACAGCCACTGGGAAGACCGTATGAGAAATCTGACGGAGGTAAATTCAACGGAAAAATAATGGGAGGACATTATGCTAAATAAGTGCAGCACAAAATCGTCAAGGTTGTCATGACTTGCCAAAAACTGTAACTCTTCATCGGTCGATTGGGAGAGTCGACACAGAAAGGAGCTGATACCAACGCGAAAGAAAAGGTCATGTGTTGAATTACAAGATTGTGGTAGTTTTGCATAAGGGTGCTGACATAGTTTATTATAGATGTGATGAAAGTAAGATTGTGGAATTTTGATTGGGGGATTTTGTTCACGGCAATCAGACATTGCCAGGGTCAAGTTGTCTCGCACTTGTTCAAGCAATCCATGTTCTCTTTCCAACTGTTTAGTATTTCTTCGGCTGCGGATTGCAGAGAGCATAATAATGGCCTTTGCCGTCCATTGGTAAAACACAACGGGTTCAATGTGAACGTTTTGCATTTTCGAAAAAACGGAGTACTTTCTTGAAGAAAAAGGTACCAAATATTTCAAAAAAAGGTTGAATCGGTAAGAATTAAAACTGAGATCAATGTAGAGATTCTTTATTCTAAAACAGTATCATTGATTTTTCAAAATTAAACTCTTGAAACAAAGGCTTCAAAAACCAACAACAAGAGGAATTTTATAAATTAATTAGACAAATATAAATAATTTACAGATCGCATCACTAGAAATGGAATTAAAGGCTTCAACAGCCAGAAGAATCAATCTATGTTGGTAGCTTCCACAATGTACACAAGAAGGAGAGACTAGTCCAAATTGAGTTCCTTTTTATAAAAAACAATGCACATATATGGTAAATATTGGTTATTTCTGCTATTTTGAAGCTGATGCAAATTCCAAGGAAGGAGAGCTGGATACAAGTAGCATTTACGCAGTGCAACTACAGTAACAATGCTACCTACATATCCTTAGAATATTTACAAGGCGAAAGCAAATCCAAAAGTCATGCATGAAATGAGAAACCCAAGAGAACTATTCTACCAGCAAAATTTAAATGCAATTCAGAGAAACAATAACTATTGAATTTAGGAAAAGAATTATTTAAAAGTATGGAAACCTACCAAAAATAAAAGTCCTTTCATCAAAAAAAGTAATCAAATTCAATTTACAAAAGGTGCAAATAACTCTTTTTGCTCTTTTTTTTTCAGACAAGGTAAAAAATATCATAAGAAAAGACATTCGCATAAAATCTGACGATAGTATCATAAACAAAAAGTTCACATAGACGATATCAACGTCAAAAATCCAATATAGTAGTACCTTGTTGATTTCTAAAGTAATGTCTTTCCTGATAGAAAAGTAGTTAAAATGCAAGGGCCGTGATTACTCACAGTATCAAAACAGACCTACTTGGTAACCAGGACTGTTTACAGGCAAAAGTATGCTTTCAAAAAAACCAAAAAGATGACCGTAGTCTTTCATATGTTGACGCCTGGCAAATTATATACATTATAGGGAATTCCTGCAGAGTTGAAGTAAGCAGCGTGAGTACCTTTCTACCTTGACGCCAGCTAGTATATAAACATATTATTCGATGTAGATATAAACCATACCTGATTTCTGGCAAAAGATCTTTTCAAAGAAGGTCCTCAAGCAGCACATTGACGATAAGCAGGATCTTTTGTTTTACTAAACTTTTCGGATATGAGTGCGCGTGAAAGTTCCGAATCTTTGCCTTGCCGAAAACAAAAATTTCGACACCATTTTCTGCAAACTTCCAACTTTATTTTCTTGTTTTATTACTACATGTTTAAGCAGTTTTGAAATGGATTATCCTTATGTGCAGTGCGAGATCCAATAAATATTGAAAAATATGCCATCAGGTTGGACGAATTAAAGCTATAGAATAAGAAGCAAATAATTAAAAAAGAACCAGTTATATAAATTATGGACATGGTTTGAAACGGACGTTAGCCTTCTTGTTAGTGTCTCAAGGCTGGAAAGGAGACATCACAGGACTAATGGCGGCGCCGGGGGAGATTGGATTCGATGGACTTGGAACATACGCTTGCTCAGAAAGGTAAGAAGAAGACTGCATCGGTACTTCCAAATTCATTGGAGCGACAGCTGGCATTGCTAAGGGCGACGGTGCCATTGCCGTAAAAGGACTGAAAGGAGCCTGAGCAGGCATACCAACGGTAGGGAAAAGGGGAGCAGGCGAGACCTGTGAATGGTAAGCTACAACAGGAGGAGGATTAAGAGAGGAATTCTGGTTTCTTCCCCAAGAGAGACGGATCCGAGAATTACCTAAGGGATACCCTTGCAATTGAGCTATTGCCAGTTCTGCAGATTGACGACTTACAAACTGCACAAACCCGCAGCCTTTTCCTGGAGGAATTTTAACATACGTGATATCACCAAAGTTTTGAAACAGCGCATGAAGGTCATTCTCGGAGACGTTTTTTGAGAGACTGCCTACAAAAACAGTAGAGTTGGTAGTATCAGAGTACTGCTGCATTGGCTGCGAAGGATTGTAGAAGCTTAATGGCTGAAGATTTACGGGCATTAAGCCAACGGGGCTGATGACTTGAGCCTTTGATTTCGGAGTGGCCATTCCGACTCGAATAGGTCGGTCCCCGCAAAGCATTCCCTGCATTTCAGAAAGAGCGCGCTTTTGGTCGTTTTCGTCGGTGAACCGGACAAAGCCGTATCCTCTAGAATTATGAGTATTAGGATCCATCATGATTTTGACTGATTTACAGGAAGGATACGCAGACGAAAACAAGGAGAACAGCATTCGTTCTGTAACAAAAGGTGACAGATCACCGACAAAAAGAGAATATTCGGGAGCTTTTGAAGAAGAAGAATTGCTGATTCCTCCTCCAGATGCCCAGTTGAGCTTGAAGAGTCGGTTGGTTCCAGGGAGGGGTTTCCCATTATAGTCCATGGCCGCTTCGGCTTCTTCATGAGTACTAAAGTCGATAAAGCAATAGCCGGAATTGAGTCCAGTGAATTTATTACGAATCAGCTTCACAATGACATTATGACCAAGAGAAGCCCAAGCTTGTTGGATAAACATTTCATTGATCCATGGCTCCAGTTCACCCATCCAAAGGGTTGTTTTTCCATGGCTCATGGGTTCACTGATCATGGGGATCGAAGCAGAGTTATCTTGGGAGGGGCTATCCCATCGAGAGGAATCCTCGCCCATGGACTCAAATGGAGATTCATGATCATGCAACCCGTTTGAGGGGTCAAACGACATATCTTGCCGTGCTGGATTCGTGGAAGGATATTCTTGTTTATAAGAAGCGTTAGAAGAAAATTCAAAACTAGGTTCGGGGATGGACCCCTGTTCAGATCGGGTAGAAGTCATCTAAAGTAAATACAGTAGAATTAGCAAAAAGAAAAAAAAAATCGAGGTTGAACAAATGCAGAGAAGAAAATGACCAAAGAGATTGGAAAAGGCAAGAGAAAAGAAGCAAATTTAGGGAATAAAGGCGTTGAAATAGTATACTGGGTCAGAAGGGTGTATTTGAAAAAGAAACAGAGGGATCGTAAAAAGAGTAAAGGTTAGGAAAGGTTAATCAAACTTGAAAACAAAAACAGAACAGAATCGCCTATTGAAAGCCAGTCAACAATGCAATAATGCAACTGTGAAACCAAACAAGCGAACAAACAAGCAAACCAGCCTGAAACAGGATGCGCAAACAAACCAAAGCAAAAAGCGAGACAACTCTTTCTACTTGGCTTGGCAAATGGAAAGAAACGTAAAAAAAATGAAACCTCTTTCAGCAATTGCAAAGAAAAAACCAGCTAAAAAGGGTTTGAATGCACGATCGAAATATGCCGTACTGATCCTCTGTCGTTTTCGTTATCAAAAACAAAGATTGAATTTGAGAGGGTGCGTGGGTGAGCGAGCGATCTTTTTTTTTCAATGCGAAACTGCTGAAAAGTACGAACAGCGACAAATGCCTTTACGAGGTAACTTCGGTGAAAATGTAGAAGGAAGGACTTTGTTTGCAGATTCCCTGGATCGGAGCGCAAGGGCGCTTACACGGCAAAACGGTTCGATATCAATTTCAGGGTACAGGGACACTATCGCTTAGATGATGAAACAGATGGGGAACAAAGGAAAAGAGGATTTTGATACTGAAACCCCACAAGTAAAGAGGAAAACGAGACTACAATGGATGGTTGGTTTCCAGGAAAAAGTCTACAAAACTGATAGAAGGATTATTGAACGATATTCGAACCACTAATTCAAAATTTGTCAATACAATGGAAAAAGAAGACACACAGGAGCCTCTAAGAAATGCAATTTGTTTAAGCGCCAATTCTTCAGAAGGCGAAGTATAAGATTGTGTGAGTAGAGGAAGACTCTATGAAACGGATCCGGGGAAAGTCCTAGGTGAAAAAATACATAAAACCAATTTGATACATTTATCAAAAGGGAACTTATGTATCTATTCATAGGAAATCGCATCGAACGCACAAGTTTTTCCCCTTGTGGGGTAATTTCGTTTTTTCATGAGCTTATTCATGCCGAAATAAGAGTTGAATTCATTAACAAAGATGCAACAGAGAAAAACAATTAATGAAAAGAGTGAAAAAGGCAGGAAGATGAAGAAGAACATAGAAAAAAAAGAAAATCTACGAGCGCTTCATGATTCTTAAGTTGATATTCGTAGCTTTCTTGGTGTCAGAATTGACTTTTCCTTTTTTTCTTCCTTGTTATTACCGATAAAAGAGATGATGGATGTGGACAAAACAAGGTAAGAGAAAAAGGTGACAAGTGACAGCAAATTACCGCTAGTCGCAACGGTTTGAGCCTTTTTCGGGGAATACGTCAACATACCTAAATAATCCGATCTTCCATGCTTTGATCTCCCTATTGATCTCCGAGCCAATAAAGAATTAAACAATGGGGTTTCTGAATTGGGTTTTTATTTGTTTAGCTTATTCCCTATACATAGAGTTTTATCTTCTCCATATTAAGAAATAGTCAGTATGTCCGAGTGGTTAAGGAGTTAGACTCGAATTCTCCATTCGAGGCATCTAATGGGCTTTGCCCGCGCAGGTTCAAATCCTGCTGCTGACGGTATTAAATGTGCGCGGTAGGAGAGTGGAACTCCGACGGGCTCATAACCCGTAGGTCCCAGGATCGAAACCTGGCCGCGCAAATCCTTTTTTTGCTTTTTTTCTTCAAACGGCTTCACTCGAACCAAGTTCCGTCGTATGGACGGACTCTTCTTGTCGTCTTCGTCGTCGCTTTCTTTCTGTGCATATTTTCTTTGTCTAGTAAAAGCATATGCTACAAAGTATCATATTAACATACTATAAATCCGTTATATAGCAATATTATTCCGTTTTGCTGATAATATTGCTCCTCTTCAGTTTGCCTCAACAGATTGGAACCAGCAGCTGAATATTGTCGCAAACTTCAAAGCTCTTTAATTCGTGCATACATTCCTTCAAATTTTATGGAAAAGGGTACAATTTTTCCTTCTGTGGACCCGAATCAATGTAAACAATCTCCTACATACCATGAAGAAGTCAAACATCCATCTTCACCGTCAAATTCAACGGACCGCTCTGGCTCGTCTTCTTTTCTTTCTCCCATAAACGCCCCTGCTGTCCAAGATTTTGGTTTGCATAGAAAACTTGCGTTCTTGAATCGAAAACGTGAGATTGACGGTGCTACAAATCAACAACATCCTCCGTACCATTTTCCTTTTGCTTCTTTTCCGCCTGACGACAATTATGACAACGCAAAGCCGTCAACCTTTTCCACGAGTCTGCCATCTCCCGCAAATGTTTCCTTCACTCCGCCTGTATACACCCCATCCTTCAAAAAAGAAGAGGTCAAGGAAGAACAGATAGGACCCAGTCCTTCTTCCTATCAAGCTTCTTTTCATGAGCGATCGCCACGTAATTCCGACGACGCTGACGCGGTCATTGTAATTAGCGACTCGGAGGAATACGACAAGGTTTCCATTCCTGTTTCTGATGCACCCATCAAGGCTGAAAAGCCAGAGAAGCAAGCCTCCCCTTACGATATACCTGACGAGGTTATTGAAACCGGCTACAAGCGACCTAGGTTACATTCAAATGACAAAGACCGTATGCAGGATTCCAAGCCTTCGTGGAGCGTAACCTCTGGAAATGCTCACAAGTCAGTTTTGTGGGATGGAGGAACGAATGAAAATCCTATTTCTCTCACTGATGATGAAGACGAGGCCCACTTGGATCAATTTCTTGTCGATACTTCCGTTAGTATCGCCGCTCAAAATCAGCCTTCTTTCTATTCATACTCTTCCACTTCCTTTCCCGAAATTCCCAATCCTCCATTTCAAGCTTCTCCACCCAAGGAATGGGGTTCTCCCGCTCCATTCTTAATGCAACACCCCAATTTTTTCCAACACTCGGCATCCTTAACTCAAAAAGAACAACTAAAAGAACTTTTTAAAGACTTGGATGATCAGTTAATAAATTCTCCAAAAGCTCGCGAGGGAACTCCAGCTGGCTTGGTACCCGTGCTTATGGAGCACCAAAAGGAGGGATTGACTTGGCTTAAGAAAATGGAGGAAGGTACGAAAAAGGGCGGCATCCTTGCAGACGATATGGGTCTAGGTAAAACAGTCCAAATGCTGGCATTGCTGGTATCTAGACCTTCCGAGGATCCCGAAATCAAGACAACCTTGATTGTCGCTCCCGTCGCCTTGGTCCAACAATGGCGGAGAGAAATTTTAGCAAAGATTGCCCCTTCTATGCGTCCAAGCATTTATGTACACCACGGTCAAACAAAAAAGCATAGATTTGCTAAAGAACTCATGAGTTACGATATTGTCTTGACTACTTACAATGTGATTGCTTATGAGTTCCGGCACAGAATGGCATACGAGCAGAGTTTACTCGATGGTGCACCTCTTGAAAAATATGAACACTTGCCTTTTTTTGAAGCCAACTGGTATCGCGTCGTTTTGGATGAAGCTCAGACAATAAAAAACCGAAATACGCTTTCTGCCAGAGGTTGTTGCTTACTGCGATCAAAACTTCGATGGTGTCTTAGTGGTACACCCATGCAAAATGGTATTGAAGAATTTTATAGTTTAGTCAAATTCCTGAGAATTCAACCTTACTGCGATTGGTCTCATTTTTCAAAGGATTTTATCGGCCGCTTAAATCAAGAATCGCAAGCATCGTCCAGTGCAATGAAACGTCTTCGCGGACTTATCAAGGCCATCTTACTGCGTCGAACTAAGAGTACAATGATTGATGGGAAGCCTATTTTATCACTTCCTCCGAAAACCGTACGAAAGGAAGAGTCTAATTTATCAAATCCTGAGATGGAATTTTATAATGCTTTACAAACAGGTGCTCAAATTCAAATGAGAAAGTATATGCAAGAGGGTACTGTTACCACTCACTATGGAAGCATTTTAGTGTTGTTGCTTCGACTTCGTCAAGCATGTTGCCATCCTTGGTTGCTGGTAGCAAGACAAACTACGGATGATGACAACGATAGTTTTCAAAAAAAGGCCAGGAATTTATATAATAAGCTTTCGGGTGAGGCAATCAATCGTTTAAAAAGTACTGAAATGTTGAGATGTTCCGTATGCCAAGACTATGTTATAGATCTTCAAATAATTATTCCTTGTGGTCATTTCATTTGTCGGGAATGCTTAAGTCATCTTATCACGTCTAGTGAAGTAGCAGCTCAAAGAGATGCTACAGAAGAATTGAATCCAAAATGTACCGTTTGCTTTGAATATATAGACCCAGATAATTCTCTAAGCTACAATCTTTTTCGGCGCTATGCTGGGATGACACCCATCATTGGCTCGGATAACAAATTGAAAACTGACAGACTTGCTGAATTGTTGCCGCAAGGATATAATAATATTTTGGAAAATCGTGAACTTGGAATGAATATTTTTACGAACCCCTACAAGTGGACAACGTCTACCAAGATTGACAAAGCCGTGGCTGAAATAACTTCTATTTTACAAAAGCACCCGCAAGATAAGATTTTGATGTTTTCTCAATTTGTTCAATTCTTAGAACTGTTTGCTGTTCCTTTTAAACAAAATAACGTTCAGTATATACATTATCACGGTGGATTAAGCCCTGCTGCTCGAAACGAGGCTGTCCTGCAATTTGAAACTAATCCAAATATTAGCGTACTATTGATTTCGTTGAAGGCAGGGAATGTTGGTTTAAACTTAACTTGTGCTAATCATGTACTTGTTTTAGACCCTTTTTGGAATCCTTATATCGAAGAGCAAGCTATTGATCGGGCACATCGAATTGGACAAAGTAAACCCGTTAATGTTTTAAGAATTACGGTTAATAATACGGTTGAAGAGCGAGTACTTGCTTTACAGGAGAAAAAGAGAGAATTAATTGATAGCGCATTAGGCGAGAAGGGTTTACGGGAAATTTCACGCCTCGATACAAAGGAGCTGGCCTTCTTGTTTGGTATGTAAAATTTCTCCTTGAAAATTACAATTGTACAGTATAGACCAATTATATGACTTCAGATGTTTTTCGTTCATTTTAAGCAGGGCAAGAAAATACATGGGAAGTAGTTTATCTTTGTAAACCATTAATCATTAAATTCTGCGAAAGCAATGTTATCTTCTGTTGCATTTAATAAACTGTAAATCACAGCTTTACCGTGTCCAATCCGTAAAATGCAACTTGAACCAGCAAATGTAACGTCTCTTTCCTGACCCCAACGATTAGCAATAAGAAGGGTGCAATCTTTTTCCATGTCAATTAAAGGAGAGAGTCTAGCCATCCAATATTTAACGCTCATTAGATCTGGCTGAGAAACCTCCAGGCAATCGGAGTCACAAAGCAGCCAGGCCATACTTAAAGAAATAACTGGAGACATCTGTCTCTTTGAAGCGTTCACGGCACTCTCTTTCATTAATTGGCTTTTGATGAAATTGGCATACTCAAACTTCTCAAAGGGAGCAATAAAGTCTTTTGGATTAATGTCCATACAGATAGCCATTGAAATAGGACCTAATTTGGGCAGAGAATCATCATACATAAACCCTTCACCTTGCTTTGCCCAAGTTTTATCGGTGTCGTAAAGAAAATGCTTTTGATATATCCTTAATAGCTTCGCCTGGGGGGAAACCAAAGCCGTGCTATTGTAGTAGCAGGCTTGGTCTTTAATTCTCTGGATCTCCGGAAAACCAATGATAGTATAACAGCGGTACTGCTCAGCTACACGCTTAGCGAAAGACAAACTAGGACTTTGCTCGTTTTGAACATCCTCCAGGAATGGTTCAATTTCAGGCCGACTTTTGAAGTTGTAGCCTATAACGGTTAGTATCTAAATCTTTCTGGCTCTTTCCATCTTCGTTTATACCTGACAAGACCAATTCCGGAAATACCAGCAAGTCCACTGAACGAAGAGCATCTTCGTGTTTTTTCAAGAGTGATAAAAGTTTTTCTATGTTATTTTGTATTTGACCAATTGTTGGATTGAACTGCACACAGCCATATTTCATTGTTTTCAAACCAACGAATGTTGAAGAATCGAATAACCGATTTTCTAAAAACAAAAAAAAAACTTATTAATAAATAAAAAAGCACTTTTTTTCTATGTTCTCAAGAAAATGTTGTAGGTATGAAGTTCAGATAGCTTTTTTCTTACAGAAGAGAGGGTTTCGAGGTTCGCTTAGTGATATTCAGTACAAAATTTTACATATACTCGAGATTCATTGCCAAAAGCCATATTCAATACCTGACTTACCCTGAATACCAACATTTGCTTGCATGTTCAAGAATATAAAACTTCCCTTATTGCTCTATTACCTCTGTGTACACTGATTTACAATCCACAGCGGGAGTTGTTATAATACATTAATAATGAATTTTTATTATCAGGCGTATTATGAAACCAAGAATCCAATTTTTTAAACCCAAAACGAAATATAAGAATTATACAAAGTGTTCGCTTATGCTTTTTGTGGTAACAGGCTAGCAAACTCGAAAAGAAATCGTATATCTAAAACCTATCCCGAGAACCCATTTCTAAATATTCAAACTCATCAGAAACTACAAATTAGAGATAGTTTTCAGGAGTCCAAAAGATCCAAAACAATTTTAAGTCAAATAATCTTGAAGGGATTCATTATCACCAAGACAATCGTCAACAATACGGACCAGTTCTGTCGTTGCAGCTTCGACCTGTTCATCGTCGTCCTCCATAATCTCAGAAATAAATGGAACGGATTGGGGAAGAGTAGAAAGCCATTGCTCAGCCAATCGTCCATATAGTTGAGTCTCGATTTGAATGGCTAAAACACGAATATTTGTATTTTCGGAACGAAGGTGTTGCAAAAGTGGAGTGTTGATAGCTTTATAGTTTTCGCTAGAAGGTGCAACGTTCGCCAGCTCAGTTATAGCTTTAATCAATATTTTGTTGTCTAACAATGGTGCGTATTGAACTTGTTCTAAAAGAATAGGCACAAGTTTATTAAAACGAGCAGGTACTATCCAAAACTCTTCCGCATCATTTTCAAACGCAACGGCCAAACTGCTAATGACCAAATGGCGAAGTTCACTATTCGTGTCCTTGGATGACAAAATGTCAACTGTGCTATCTAAAACATAAGCATAATAATTGGTAACAATAGATTTCAAAGTATCCAAAAAGGTTGTCAAAAAATTATAAAAGAAAGTTTGACGAGAAACAATACCAGACGGATCAGTTTCACGTAAATCTTCCATTGCCCAAGACTGTAAACGTAAAAACAAAGGCCTAAAGGTTGTATCACTCAATTTCATAACGAACTTGAGAAAAACGTTTACAGCTTTCGTTTCTACGTTATCCACATCTTCTGCAAAGAATAGAGAGCGTCGGCTATCAAAAGAATCAAGGAAAAACCTAAAGATTGATTTGTAGACGGTGCTAACTGCCGTCCTTGTGGAATTTTGGAAGGTCATTTCAATCAATTCAAGTAGACGAAGGGCAGCAGTAGATCCAAGTTTTGTACATTCGGACCACGCAGAGAGAATGGATTTGATCAAATGGCGAGTAGGAATATAATTAGCAATTGTATCAAACAGTAACTCTCCGATTGAATCGCGCTCAAATGCGCGTTCGGAAGCCAAAGCAGCTTTAATCGTAGGTTCGACATAACTAGCACTGAATTCAGGAATAGCCTTGAATAAATCAATCGTCATTGAGAAGCAAGCCAATTCCAAGAGATCTCCTTCAGGATCATTCTTCGCTCCAAAAAGCAGGGATAGAACAGTTCCCATAATATCTGCCAAATAAGGCAAAATTCTAGCGCCTAACGTATTCGACAACACGGTAATACAAACAATCGATGAGACTTGAACGTCTTTTGCTTTGCTTTTCAAGCCATAAGGACCGGATACAACCTCAATGGAAGATTCAAATAATTCTGGATTTTTCTTAAAACGCTTTGCCATATCCGAAAGGCAGTCCATTGCTAGTTGTACCGTTTCTTCATCTGTACCGTTTGATACATTGAATGTAACGTCAGGTACTAAAGCAGTTAATGAAGAAACCTTGGCACCTCGTTGAACACGTTGTTGCAAGACACCCAAAGCTTTACGGCGTAGCAAAGTGCGCTCGTCATGAAGTAATCTGGCAAGAACCGTGCAAAATGATCTGTCGGGAAGAAGAGCAATAAGATTACGAAGAGTGGCATAAACGTGTTCAACCTCCTCATCAGACTTCAAGACATCACCCAGTTCAAGCAAAATTTCCAACGATTTAAGTAAGTCAGATTCGATGAGTTTAAAGTGTTCAATATCCGATTCTATAATTCGAGCAAGATCGGACTCGAAATTTCTTACCTTACAAACAACTGACATGAGCTCAAGTATTTTGAAGCGCAAGGTTGAAATCGTACTCACATCAAGTTCCATTGGTAGTTGATCCAACTTTACGCTCGCTGTAGGTTTTCCATTTCCTTGAGTACTAGTTTGGGCTTTGAAAGACTCAAGACAAGTTAGAGAGCATTGATTAATAGTACGAATGCGATCAATAGGTGAGTTACTTTGAGACAACGTTAAACAAAAGTCTTGAATAACCTTAGCTTGAGCAGGTTTAGCAGCAATAGCCTTCTCAGCGAATTGAATCAGAATGACAGACATAAATTTATCAGTTCCAATCGTTTGTAAAAGCATACGGTATAATCGAAGACGGCGATGCTGAGGAATGTGAGGAAATGCATTAACGAAACATGAAATAAGCAATGAAGAATCGAAGTCACTTGAAAGCTTAACTAAAGCAGAAATAACAGTTTTAATAGTTTGTTCAATGACGTGAATTGAAAATGCATCATCGCGAGATAAAACTGTTGTTCCCATAAAAGTAAAGATGGGCATAACCCCGTGTAAAACTACTTCAGGAGCAGCATGTGAAAGTCCACTAACGAGTAGTAAGGCTTTATTCTGAATCTGTGGGTTGTTTGTAGATCGGATACAACCCACTAATGTATCGATTCTGATAGAAGGTGATAATTCTTTAACGGGAACAGCACAAACCATATCATACAAAAGTCCAAGCAACAACTGAAGCAAATAATTGGCAGAAAATATTTGATCCTTTAAGTTTATAACTTGATTGAGGATATCAAACAAAGGAGCAATTAAATAAGGATGGTTTGCAGCACCCTTAGTTTCAAGGATTTCCAAAACACGAGTCACTTTTTGTAATTCGAAAGCAGAAATTCCCTCACTACTACGTGCTCGTTTGGAGCCTGTGCCGTTCTTCCTATTTATCTGGATATTTTCAAGTAGATTTCGGAACACATAAGGAGGGATATTGAGACCATCCAAAGTATTAACAAAATATAAAGGTTGGTCTTCAGTATCGATTAAAGTACGAACAAATTCTAAATGTTGCGAGTCTTTTAACTTTTCTTGTAATTTAACAAGCTGTTTACAAGCGGCTTGAGATAATGCTGAATCCGTCTTAAGCAATGCTAACAAAGAAGCAAAATAATGCTGATCAAAAACTTTGACAATTGCTTCTGCCTCTTCTGTAGTAACCCGTTTCGCTTCTTCAACACTCTCGGATTTTGAAAGATTTATCAATTTAGGGGATAGAAGCTGCTGCTTGATCTCGTCAACTTTTCCATGAACATGATGCAGAACTTCTAGCAGGAAAACACGGATCTCTGTAAACTGGCTACTATAGGCATGTGATGTCAAAAAAGAAGTGATAGCCATTTTAACAGATAAGTCCTTGCTCTTCTTTTCAGCATATAATTTTTCTCCAATATAAGAGAAGACATAACTATTGTCCAACTTCAGTTCGGAAGAACGACTAAGAATATAATCTACACAGAAAACTTGAATTTCCGAAAAACTTAACCATTTAGAATTCTCAAACTCGGGATCGTTCAGTCCGTAAACATCTGATATACTACTCTCATCAGAGCGAGGAACTTTAGATATTAAAGAAAGAGCTTTCGACCTAATTTTCTGTGAGGCAAGACTCAAGGCATAAAGAGCTATAGGCAAAAGAGCCTGAAAATCAGTCTTCACCTGAGTGCTAATGATCTCTTCCATACGCGTTAAAGCAATGACAGCGGTTTCTTCTTCCCCAAAGAGAACACAACAAGTTAAAAAAGGAATCTTTCTAGTGAATTTAGAAAGTAAGTCATTGAAATAGCTTGAATCCACTGATACTGCGTCGTTAGCCAAAGATATGCACACGCTACGATCGGTGGGCTCTTTAAATGAGTCAATATTCGCACGTAAAGTTCTTTTATCTCTTTTCACAGATGCCTTTGACTCTTCGGCATTAAGTTGTTTAACAATACCAGTTGTTTGAACATCCTTGACAGTGCTTTCCTCATTCATATTTGCATTATTCATAACCCGGCGATAACTTTGTAAAGTGGAATATTCTGATTGCAAAGAAATCGTCGAGAGCAAAGCTTTAGCTTGCTCAAAGGAAATATGAAGATGTGAGAAAGAGTTATCTAGTAAGTGAAGAAGCTCACGTCTATTTGACTTTTTAGACTTTAATAGATTTAACCAATAAATGGTGAAAAACTTATCCATGCGATACTTTTGATTCAATTCCATAAGCAATTTGGAGGAGCCGTAACCTTCCAAACGGTCAACCCATTCCTGTTGGAAGTCAATTGCGCCTTGATGGGCCTGTAACAAATGACCAATACAAATTAAAGCTGGTAGAATATTATTTGTAGTAACACGAAGCGTGATGGCATCTAAAAGAGGAGGAATGATTGTAACATGCAAAGGAAAAGAGACAGCAAGCGCAGATAAGCACATAAAACCAGAGATTTGAAAATCGGTGTTCACTGGGTAGCTGACGGCATAAGATATGTACAAGAATAAACGATCCATAATAACATTGGAATCAACATTGGAAGACGACCATGAAATCATAATCTCTAAAAAGACGCCTGCCCAAAATCGAGCAAGGGCCGAATACATAGTATTCGACTCAGCAGAAGCTTGAGCAAATTGGGCAAACATCGATAGCAAATCTTTGTCACGGATCATGGCATGAACGACATCGGCGCGTGACAAAGCAACACGCATTTCTATAGCGGGTTTCAGAAAAAGCATAGGTCGAGATTTAGGCTTTGAGCATGCCAAGACCCTCGCAAAAAAGGGGTGATCGTGATACGGGAAAAAGGCCAGCAAAAAGTCATCAGCGATATATTCCTGAATGCTAAAACGACGAATTAACCATTCTAGAACCTTTAATGTGGTTTTATATGTGAAGAAGGGAGCCAAGAGTCGCAACAAATGAACGCACTCTCTATTTAATTTTTCGTTTTCAGCTTTATCCAACGTCAATCTGTCGACGTGAATCGATTGCTCACCTAACAAAGTTTTTTCATAATGCAACAAACGAGGTTCGCGGACAGCCAACTCATGAAAGCCACTGACTGCTGTTATATAGATTTCTTCCAAATCCATATCAGCAGCAACTTTGGGCTCGTACAACAATGAGGGCGCCCGGCGAATCTTGCCCGGTTTCAGAACATTATTGTTCTGTACTTGCTGCAGCTGCTTCTGAAGAGAAGAAGCCATTTTAACGTTATTCACGCTCTAGAATTGCTACTGCTGCCTTTGTCACCGTTTTGGCAAAGGATAGGTGTAAATTTCCTCTGGTTGTTATTTTTCGTACCATTGTCTTATAGAATGGTAGCAAAATTAAATATTTGCACTAAATAGTTTAATGTACTACACAACAATTTTCCTATGTTGCCTTCCATTTTGTTAGCGCTTTTATTCTTTCGCAGAATACGTCGTTATTCTCCAAACTCAGTCAATACAGGAGAAAGCATCTTGAAAACAGCGCTCCTTTAGGATTCCCTTTTCTTGTCTCAGTTTGCAAGAAATACTGGAATTATTGTATTTGTTTCGTCTTTTTTTTGGAGTCTTATTATACTAGAATGGAAATTGATCAACCTGTTCAAGCTGGCCCTGTGAAAGATGAAAATTTCATTTCAAAATACCAGGATGCTGGTGCTGTCGTGAGTAAAGCCTTCCATAAACTTGCTCCTCTTTTTGTTCCCGGTGCTTCTGTTCGTGAATTGTGCAGTTTAGGCGACCAATTCATCGAAGAAATGGTAAGTGTAAAATGAATTGGATATGGATGAAGACAATGGGTAAAAGATCATTAAAGAAAGAAGCATTCCCTGTATTATTTGTCTATTTAAACGAAAGAGTCTGGTCGATGCAATTACGGATAACAAAAGTTTTCACACCTAGTGGTCTTTTCCATGTCCATGTGTGATTAAATATGCCGTTATGGAGCTCTAACGTATACAGGTTGCTTCTATGTACAAGTCGAAGCGATATGAAAAAGGTCTTGCTGAACCCACAAGCGTTTGCGTCAATAATTGCGCTTTCAATTATTCTCCAGGATCTGAAACATTAGTGAACAATGTCGATAACAGTTATCATCTCCAAATTGGCGATGTAACAAAAATGTAAGTGGAAAAGTTTGATTGGGGATATTTGAAGGCTAACTAAAATCTAGTGCAATGGCTTGTCATATTGATGGTTATACTGCTAGTCTTTGTCACACTGTTGTTGTGACTCCTCCACCTCAACCCGGAATGGGACCTTACATTGGCCCTGGAGCTGATGCTCTCTGCGCAGCCCATTTTGCTACCAAGGCAGTTGCGAATATGATCTCCAATGTGGATCCTTCGAATCCGGTTACCGGTCCTAGATTGCGTAAGGTTGTGGAAGATGTTGCTGCTCAATTCCGTGTTCACGTGGCTCCTGGATCTCGCATTCGTCGAATTGACAGATACCTTGTTGGACAAATAACTATTGATCAACTCGAGGGAGGAAAAAATACAAAGGCTGTAGTTGAATGGCCTGCTCCGGAAGATGATGCAGATAAACAGGAAGCGTCTAAGGACCCTTTAGATCCTGCTGGTGGTTTGCTGGAGGATTTGAGCAACTGGCATGTTATGCCAAAAGAAGCTTGGCTTATCGATATTTCCATGTCTTCCAAACCAATTGATCACCTCAGAGAGCATCCAGATTTGAAACCTACAAATTACATACATGATGTTAATGTCTTTTATATGTTAAAATTGAAAGCTGCTCGAGCTTTACTGTCTGAGGTTAAAGAAAAGAAATCCGTTTACCCCTTTCACATCCGTTCTTTAACCACAGAACGAAACCTTTTAGGTTTGAAAGAATTAGTGGATAGACACATTCTTGTTCCCTATCCAGTAATGGTTGCGTCTCCCTCCACTCTCATTGCACGCGAAGAGTTAACAGTTATTGCTAAGCCCAATCCTTCTACCGATTTATTCTGTTTGACCGTACCAACTCCACCTAGTTATGTAAAGAGTGACTTTTCCTTAGTTGAAGGAACAGATGCATTCATGTTTAGCGAAGCTATTCAGAGTCACGTGAAAATGGTTTCGCTTGAGTAGACAGCTATGGTGACGATTAGCTGAGACAGTTAAAAAAAAACATGAAAAAAGGCTGAAAATATTTAATTCGTTTTGGTTTATAGAGACGTTGTTGGGATCAATAAAATATAGGTTTACTTGGTAGGAAAGGATTTGGTTCTTAAAGAGCAAATATATCTATTGTCGACATGTATATGAATACAAAATTGCCATGTCAGATGTGAAGTTGCGTACACAAAGGATCATTAATTTGTCATTTGTTCATTTCTTATAAACTTTAACCATTCGCTCGTCTACATATTTTATGGACAAAAACCCAAAATCAGATAATTAAGAAAAGAAACCAAAAAGAGAGAAAGGTCGTGCGAGAAGCAATTAACATGCAAAACTTTAGTGTTTAACGCCTCATAGACGTTTTCATAAGGGGTGTTTCTTAATGTATTCTACAAGAGATTTAATTGTAATCATCTTAATTCCCCACTGCGAAGAAAACTGTGCACAGTCATCGTATCGGGACATTAGTCCATCCTCATCACGAACAAGCTCACATATAGCAGCGACAGGAGGCAGACCTGCAAGCTTGCACAAATCAACTGCAGCTTCTGTGTGGCCATCACGAGCCAAAACACCTCCCCGTTGTGCCCTTAAAGGCACGATATGACCTGGTCGATTGAAGGCTTTAGGATTCTTTAGTTCTGGGTTGGCTAGTTGTCTGGTCGTGAGTGCACGATCATGTGCGGATATTCCAGTAGTAACTCCTTCTGTAAAGTCAACTGTAACTGCATACGCTGTACGCATCCTTTCTTCATTGTTTTCGACCATCATGGGAATATTTAATTCGTTCAAGCGTTCAGCAGTCGTAGGAACACAAACATAGCCACTGTTTAATCAAAGTCAGTAAGATATTCTAAAATAGAGATCATTTTTGTAATACCTTGAGTGTCGAACAAGAAACGCCATTTGTTCAGTTGTAAGATTCGCGCCTGCGATGATTAGATCACCTTCATTTTCGCGATTTTCATCATCCAAAACGACAAGAAACTTCCCTTTTTCTAAAAATTTGTTAGACTATTATGAAGAAACTGAGAAAACAACCATACTGAAATCCTGAATTGCTTCTTCAATGGATGAAAGCATCTTTGTAAATGGCAAGATCAAAACGCGCGTAATTGCGAAATATTGGTAATATTACAATAGCGAGTAATAATGAGGTGGAACATACAACTTTTTGTTTACTAAACAATAAGAAAAGGAAAAAGAAAGAAAGTAAAAAGGGAATAGATTCAATTTGAGCAGTTGAGCTAAATATTTTTGTTTTTAGTTCTTTCTTTATTTAATTGAGAGATTGTTGGTAGAATGGACGAACAAACAAAGTAATCTTTGCTTCGTTTGTCTGTTGAAATTGTCAAACAGCATACTTCATTGGATAAATAAATTTACTTTTTTTTTTTCTCTTTTTGGAATATAGTCTGCATTAAATAGGAATCTCAGTGATGCTTTTTAAGCTCTAATTTATTCCTTTTTTAATTTGTTTATTTATTACGGTTCTAATAGCGAAGAGTCTTAAGGGCTAATTAAGATACGTAGGAAGACGTTACTTCTTGGATTTTCAACTATAAAGAAATCTAGTTATCCTTGCTTTCATATGTCAATTGATGCTCTTATAGTTTGCTAAAATGAAACGCTAAACACAAATAAATGGAAACTGTTTAATTTTGAAATGAATCGTTTAGCCTTTGATCATCCTACCTTTGTGACACATCTTATCAGATAATGAGGACTAGTAAAACATCGTTAGCGTTGATTAAGAAATTTTGGCCATAGTGTTCATAAATAAACAAAAGGATAGGAATGTTTCAAATATATGGAAACGGCATTATCTTTTATATTATTATTAATGATGTTCCTTTAAAATACAGAAAATAATTCAAAAGCTCATCAAGAAGAAAATGGAAGTAAAAAAGGGAACCTCACCAGATAGCGCACAGATACATATTTAGTTAGTCTTTTGCTCCTATTTGGTTCAATGAAATAATAAATTCTATGGGAACGATAGTCATAATAAATTGATATAAATTTTGTAGGAACATTAATTGTTTTTAACGTTAAAGACTTAATTTTTATATTACGTTGCTTTTTTCCTGCCTCGACGACTGGGAGCTGAGGAAGATGACCCAGCATCCGCCTTGGTTTTCCTTGCTGTCTTTGCCGGCTTTTTAGGTACTGAAATGAATTTATCCTTACTTAGGTCTGTATCGTCTTCCTCTTTTTCACTTTCAGCTTCCACAATTTCATCCTCAGCTTCCAGAGCATCTTCCACGTCCGGTACTTCTGGAGCGCGTGAACCTTTCGTGGGAAGTACATCGCTCGAACCAATGAAAGCAATTGGATGTGTCGTAGAATTATATTTTCTCGTGAATGCCGACTTGACACTGGTAGATACTCCTTTCATCAATTGCTCACCGACATCGGCAGGTAAGGTTATTTCCATTATTGCCTCAAAATCATCACGGTTTAAGAAGTAGTCATCCATTAATTTGATAATATCAGGAATGGCTTCTCCTTGTTCTTTAACTAGGCGCATTGGCAACGACGCATATAATAGGGGAACATAATGCTGTCGGACTTCCAAAGAATTCGCAGACACCCTCAGACGCATATGAAGTTGAAGTTCGCGAAGTACTCTGTAAAGCTTGTTTGTTTTAGAATTATTTCCTAACCAAGAAGTAAATCGAATTTGTCTAGATCCAGACCCAGCAACGAACGATGCTGGCCTTACACATGATAACAAAGCATGTGTCGGCATCAATGACCAGTGCTGCTGAGGACCATGGATCATTTTGTCAACAAGATCAGAATCGGAAAAAGAGTCAGCGGCTTTAGAGATTAATTCTAAATGTTTCAAGTTTGCCATTTTGGGTGGCTCCTGTCGAGTTCGATCGGGGGTTGTGTTGAGATAATTTTCTTGTACCATCAAATAAGAAAATTCATGATCATTAAAGTACAACTCCAATTTATCGTTAATCGTAGCTTTGCTTGAAGGATGGAATAATCCGCTATGCAAGTATCGACTGCAAATATCCCAGGGCTTCATCACTATGTGTTTTTCAGCTTGCTTCACGGCTGATTGACTATTTTGAACATTCATTTCTTTGCTTCCCAATCTCCAAGTAGAAAGCAAATTAACAATTTGACGCATATCGGATGATGTCCCCTGGACAAGCATATCCACTGCTTGCGGTGATAGTTTCAATCCTTCACGGTAAGCTATCGACATAATCCTTGAACGCAGTGAGTTAGCATCGGGGCGCCGAAAGCGCAAATCAAAAGTCGTCCGATCAAGAGGTTTTAGTTTTGGATGCGATCTATCATTACATACACAGATAATGGGAACTTTTGTATTTTTGATAAGCACGTTTAGTTGTCCCACACCACCACGATCACCAGAAGACATGCCGTCGATTTCATCCATAATTAGAACCAAGCGTGACTTGCCTTGGTCAACTGGTACATACGAGGAAGAAAAATATCCAGCCAAGGAACGACTATCAGTTACGCCTTGTAATTGTTCATCTAAGAGACGCTTACTTCGAGTATCACTAGCGTTGAATTCCAAAATATCGAATCCCTCTAGATTAGCAACTAAATGTGCTGCGGTAGTTTTGCCAATTCCTGGGGGTCCCGACAACAAGACAGCTTTATATAAGCCTAAACCGTCAGGACCAGGCTTATGAAAATTAGATTTCAAGTTTTTGGGCCAGTCTTGTAACCATTTCTGAAGCTTAAGCACAACACCTTTATTACCACATATGTCCTTTAGAGAGGCGGGAGCATATTTCGTCGTCCATAGCTGATTATTATGTTGGAGTTTTTGAGAAGTGGGCTCTGGAGCAAGCCTAGCAGCAGTTTCACGAATTTTTAGGTCTTCTTGCTCACGCTTTACTTGGGCAGCTTGAGCGGCAGCTCCGGATCCGCCCAACGGAGGAAGATTTTTCAATAAATAGAATAGACCATCCTCATTAATTGCCGGAATTTTGTGCTGCTTTATCGTTTCGACTTTTCGAGGACCAGCATTCTCGCCCAAAAGAATAAAATCCGTTTTGTTCGAAGGGGAACCGGTTACCTTTCCACCATATTTCTTTACTATATCGGTAGCTTCTTGACGGGTCAAAGTCTCTAGAATACCAGTAATAACAAAACTTAAGCCTGAAAGACAATTATCATTTCCTATAGGAACCGACTTTGATCCAGGGGCTTGTGTAGTGTCAGCACGATCATAAAAACCGCCAGGTGCCATAACTCCAATGGAATCAATATCAATTAGAGGTACTGATTCCAAAACCTTTGTAGCCTCTGAGGAAAATCTGGGAAGATTTTTCAATTTTGTATTCGATTTCTTTGGGGCAGGGGCTGCCGATTTCGGGACTTCAGGCGTTTCTGAAACACTAGGAGGAAGGGTGCGACGGGTTCGCTTAGGCGCTGGAGCTGAAGGAGGGTCACTTTCTTCTTTTTTTACCTCTTCTGAAGACTCCAAATTAGGATAGGAAGCCTTGGCCACTCGTGAAGAAGCTCTCGGTATGGATACAACGGGCGACGATAGTACATTATCATTAGCATGGAGATCAGAATTCTCTGCAGGAGCTATATTCTTTTCCTCAGTCGCACTAGGTACTAGATTAGCATAGGTAAATTTCTAGAATCACTAGTAATGATGCATACATTTCAGACTCCGTTGCTGATGGAGTAGCATTCACTTTTTGTCTAACTCTTGTTAGAAAAAATAAAGATTCAACCGGAAAACAAATTTTAGAACACTAAAATCAATTACCTTTTTTGAATTGCTGGGCTAGCTTCCTTCGCGGAACCATTGGAAGCGGGACCAGAATCAGCATCTTCAGATTCATCGTCGGAAAGAACGATGCGTTTCTTCCTTTGAGAAGTTTTTTCACTTGCAGTATCTCTCTATAACAAATGTAAGCTTAAACCAATGAATTTGTAAAGGGTGAATACGCGTACTTGGGGAGTAGTGGTTTGTTTTTTCTGCTTATTTCCCCCACCAAAAAAGCTTCGAATGTCAGAATTATTCATTCTGACGAGGATACAAATACGACAAAATACTACGAGTCGTAAATGTTGACAAATTGTACAAACTTTCGTTCTACCTTCTTTTCCTAAGTCTTTCCGGGTTTAGGGATACGAAGCTTGCAAATCCGTAAACGTTTTAAGAAGTTCCACTCAACTATGGAATCCTATATAGGGATATGGAAGGAACAATTCGTAAAAGGAGAACCTGACTATGACAATGGAATCACCCATCACGCTTACGACTAGAAAAAGCAAACCTAAGTATAGAGAATCGGCAGAAATGCCATTGAATGAAAATTTTTTTTTGCAAAACTAAGTAAGTGTTTTTCATTCCACTTTGCTTAATTCCCGTTAAAACACTTTCTAGAACACGCATTGTTTACATATTGACCTACGGTTGTGAGGTTGCAGACATTATACAGTGTGAGAGAAAAAGAACATGTCAGAATGCCAAGTGGAGATTAAATGTTTATCAGATGCGGTGCAGGTAGGCGAGACGTTTGATTGTATCGTAAAGATTACCAATGCCAAAACAGCACAGAGTCAATTGCAACTGCTGCTGTGTTATGCATCCATACATGGAGAAATGTATCTAGATCCAACATTAGTACGTGTATCTGAATTTGAAGATGTGCAGCGTCAAGGACTACTCAATAAGCGAACTATGAGCGGTTTGGTGCATATTCCGAAAGCGGCTACCAGTTATTCGGTTTCCAATGCACTTAGCGGAATGTTTGGAAGCTTACTAGGCTTCAATCAAGCTAGCACGTTGACAGAAGCATCAGAACAACAAGAAGAAAATGCGACGCCCGTGTACATGACTCGCCCAGATATCCTAGGAGTGGATTTGTCATTGGCACCAGGAGAAAGCCAATGGTTTCACTTGCGAAGAAGGATCCCTTTAAAGACTGTTCCTTCTTACAAAGGTATCGCCTTTCAATTTCAGCATAGATTGGTGGTCGGTGCACAGTTTCCGGACAACAATGCTTGTGTGGAATATGAATTTGAAATCAACTTTCTACCAAACAGCAAGCAAAGGCCAGATTTACCGCTAGGAAAGTTCAGCCAAATATCTATTGCTGGTCCAAACGTGTTTGCCGATGTGCATAAACCCATCTTTGATATGGAGCCCGCAGAAGTGAACGAGAAAAACATGGAAGGCGCATTAACAGCTGAGCGGTGGCCACTGGATGATCAACATGATGACAACAATGGAAAACAAAAGTTTGATCAGTTTTTGTTCTCATTACTCGAAGCAGACGGGACCGCATACGCAGCAGGAGAGCATCGTTCTCGCAAGCAGGGATTTACACCAGAGGAAGAAGAGAACGATAAAGAAGGAGAAATGTTGGGATTGCTGAGGAGAGAAGAAACACTTAGTCGAATGACGACAAGGTATGAGATTGCCAATCAACAGAAGCTTATATGTCGAGTCATGTTCAATAAATCGAAATATTTAGCCGGCGAGATGATGCTGCTAGAAATTAATGAAATGCGCGGAGCTATCCGACAAATACACGTGCAGCTGGAAAGTGTGGAACGTATTGTGCCCGAGATTCGAATGCGCAACAGCACGAACACAGAACGAGTGACGCGAAGAATTTGGACGAAACTGACGCGGTGTGTGTATGGATTGGACAACTTTAGCTTAGCGATGAGCATCCCGGAAGAATGCCCAACTACGCTTGAAACCCAGCAATTTGGCGTGGAACACTTTTTACGGATAGAAATATTGCGCGACACGAGTGAACGACAAGAATGGATACGATCGTCTCGTTATAATTCCAAGGACGGCATGGAAATGGGACGTGTTTCAATCGAAGAAAACCATCAACCATTGGACTCGAGTAAAAACGAGATTAAGGGACTGGATACATCTCTAAACGTAGAGAAAGAAGAACCGAAAAAATTGGAAGAAACATCGCGATCTTCAAGGGAAAGTGGTCATCGAAGCACGGCGTCTATTACGAATGCCCGCGAAATGAGAATAGAGCACGCGCCTCCAACATTCCCAGCAGAAACGATTCAGTGTTGTTTATCAGTCCGCATTGAGCATCTCTTAGCATAGCAGCGACGTCATTGCATTCTCTTCTTTCACAACTCCTCAGTTCCTCCTTAATCACACTTGCTTATCCCCAGTCGAAATAGCGTACTGCAACAAGGTCACGAATACGTTGTACGGAGCGTGTGTATCCATCTCATTTTCGCAGTTACGATGAGTAAGCACTAATTCGATAACGCTTGGGAGTGCACGATGCTATCGCCTCGATGAAGGGATTGCCCCACAGAGGAAATTAAGAAACTGATGTCATTTATCTTTGTCCGTTTGGAATTTTCCCTTTTCAAAACTTTGTCAATCGGGTAGGTTCTGACACGATGAATAAAAAAATAGGATGATTCTGGTTGGGTAATCGATTTTTTCCTCATTTCCAACAAATAACAACTATAAGGTAACATGTGCCTTTAATTGTGAAACATGCAACCTATCGTAAAACATGCAAATATCGTTGCGTCATTTGTAAATGACATCATTGAAGGAGGAGATGGAGAGGAACGAGGTTCTTCCTTTTAGAATACGGGTGATATCATTCCCCGATAAGGGTAATAGCATCCTCCTGATTTGCGAATGCTTATGAGTCATGCAATTATAGACAAAATCGATAATGAAATTATGGACACTTTTGACTAATGACGAGTACCAGAGACCACACGTTCAGATACGTCTGCTCTCTCAGGAAACCTAGAAGACCGCAGTACGATGCGAAATTAAGGACGCTATGATGTACCTCATTAAAGGGGTTTAGGTTGCTTATCCATAGCTGGATTTATAGTTTTAAGGCTAATTAAAGGGAAAGAAGCTTTTTCTTATAATTTCCTTTCTTATTTTTTACCAAAAATCCACTATTTCTTGTGTTAATGTCTTCCTCTTCCTTTTGTCAAGAATTTCCTTACTACCAACGACATTAAAGCATCCATTCAATGGATCGCCTCTTTCAATCCGATCGGTAAACTATTGAAATTCTAGTTCCATGACTTTGTCCAGAGTTGCATACCCACAAAGCCCCCTCTTGCCGCTCTCCTTTTTCTTACTCATGATCCACTGATGCCGATCTGGACAAAATCGACGTTTACCGCATGTTGCTTATATATACCTAAGCTTCACTCATTGTCTCGGTTCTTGCCTTAATATTCCACCAAGTATATACTCCGTTATCCTTTATAACGTACTTTCGTTATTTTTCGTTCCTTGTGATACGGAGCTCGTTATTGTAGTTCTCCTTTCGACAATTCCTTGAAAGTCTTCGTAATTGTCGCCGTCGCTTGGCACGTGGTAACAAGAAAATCAACGACGTTACGCGGATTGGACTTTTATAGTGGAAAGGATATACGAGTTATTTCACTTTTTTTCTTGTTTAATTTTGTTTTCCTAAATTTTTTTGTCAAACCGGTTGGTTTATTCGATACCATCATCTCGTATTTATCGGTTAATTTACGACTGTCTTTTTTTTGTTTTCGTGTTGACGAATCTTCATAAAGGGTCGTGTTGATTAGTTTACATTTCTCGACGTTTCTGCCCTCAATTCGTATTATTTTTAATAATTGATATTTTGGCCGTAACCTTCATTGTCTTTTAAGTTGTTTCTCTTCCCCCGCATTATTTTTTTCCATTTTTGTGCATTTTTTCATCATGCCGACATCGCACCTTCCTTCTGGAGCTTCCCCGTCTCATAATCCCCAGTCAGTTTCGGGCATCGTTCCCATTTCCGCTCCTAATTCTGGCCTTTCTAATCCTGTACAGAAAGTTATCACATCAGAAAACCCATCATCCTTTCCGGCCGCCTATCCGGCTTACTATCCTTCTGCAATTCCTCCAAATACCCTGTCCCATCCCGCTCATATTCCTCGTACCTCTCTACATCCTATGCTGTCTCAACAACACCAACAGACACAACACCAACAACCCCAGCCGCCGTCTCAGCCAGGGTCCCAGTCTGCTCAGCAACAAGCTGCTGCGACATCTATGCATCAACCTTCACCTTCTATTCTTCCGCCTTCCCAGCATAATTCCCAGAATTTGCCAATGCATGCTTCTTATCCCGATGCCATGATGCATTTGCAACACGTTGTATCTTCTCAACAATATCGCCAGCTTCCACCTACCGTTCTGTCTGCTCCTGATCAACAGTCCTCACAAATGCAGCGTTTAATGCCGGTTCAACTTCCTTCCAATCCCGCTGCACCTGTTCAGCAAGTCCCTGTACCTTCTTCCCATTATCTTCCCCAGTTTGTTCAACAACAGCGATCCATGCATCCCTCAAACAACGTGAATGCTACTCCCCCGAACGCTCCTCCTTCTAAACCTCCTATGTCTAATATCGTATCTCAAAATGGTACTTATTACTCTATCCCTTCTGTTCCTCATCCCGTTCAAAACCCTACGATGGGCGTAGCAGCCCCTTCTACAACAGCAGAGCCTCCTTCTGTGACAAATCCATCGGCGCCTTCCCAACCTGCTACCGCTCCTACTCATTCCATCAACCAAATGGCTCCTAATCCATCCAATGTTTCGTCCTCTCTTCCCGTCCATGTTGCTGCACCACCCTCCGTCAATGCCAATCCTCAACCTCCTGCTTCTGTTCCTGTGACGTCTCATCCTCCTCCTCCTTCAGCAACACTGACGAGTGTTATGCCGCCGAATGCCCCAGAATCTGTGCGGAAACTCATATCACTTAACGAGGAAGCATGGCTACAAATTGGCCACCTTGCTGAACTATATGATGATTCTGACAAGGCTCTGACCGCTTACGAGGCTGCTCTTCGTCAAAATCCTTACTCTATTCCTGCTATGCTTCAAATTGCTACACTTTTAAGGAACCGTGAACAATTTCTCCTTGCTATTGAATATTACCAAACCATACTCGACCTTGATCCAAAGCAAGGAGAAATTTGGAGCGCTTTGGGCCATTGCTACTTAATGCGGGATGATTTATCTCGTGCATACTCTGCTTATCGTCAGGCCTTGTATCATTTGAAGGATCCTAAAAATCCAAAACTTTGGTACGGTATTGGCATACTTTACGATCGCTATGGATCTCACGAGCATGCTGAGGAAGCCTTTACACAATGTCTTCGCATGGACCCCAATTTCGAAAAGGTAAACGAAATTTATTTCCGTCTTGGCATCATTTACAAACAACAACATAAGTTTGCGCAATCTCTTGATTTGTTTCGATATATCTTGAACCACCCGCCTAAGCCTCTTACTGTTTTAGACATTTATTTCCAAATTGGTCACGTCTATGAGCAGCAAAAGGAGTACAAGCTTGCTAAGGAGGCTTATGAACGAGTTTTGGCTGAGACTCCAAACCATGCAAAAGTTTTACAGCAGTTAGGCTGGCTATGCCATCAACAATCTTCTTCTTTCACAAATCAAGATTTGGCTATTCAATACCTTACCAAGTCTTTGGAAGCTGATGACACGGATGCGCAATCTTGGTATTTGATTGGACGTTGCTATGTTGCTCAACAAAAGTACAACAAAGCTTACGAGGCATATCAACAGGCTGTTTACCGTGATGGTAGAAATCCAACTTTTTGGTGTTCAATCGGTGTCTTGTATTATCAAATTAACCAATATCAGGATGCTTTGGATGCTTATTCACGTGCAATCCGCTTAAATCCTTATATATCGGAGGTATGGTACGACTTAGGTACATTATATGAAAGTTGCCATAACCAAGTTAGCGATGCTTTGGATGCATACCAGCGTGCTGCTGAATTAGATCCTAGCAATCCTCACATCCGTGCTAGGTTGCAACTTTTGCGTGGCTCTAGCACCGATCAACACAAACTTGCCTCCTCAGCAGCGCCGCCTGCTATTGCAAACCAGAATGCTAAGTTTGTAGGACAGCCTGCTTCTGTGTATCCGGGCGGACTACCTGCTCCCCCCGCTTCTTCTAATTGGCAAGTTCCTCAGGTTCAGATGCAATCCCAGGCAATGAACCAGCCCCAACCTCAATCGTTTGTTACTCAAGCTTATGGTGGTAATATGGCACTTACAAACGGCGTTCAGCATGGATACACAAATGCGGTACCGCAACAGTCCCCAAGTTCTGTCTCGGCCTTAGGACCTGCTGTTAACCAGACATCACCTACTCAACAGATGACCCAGCAAACTAATTCTGCTACGGCTGTTCCCGCTGGTATGTCTAACCGTAGCAGACCTTCTATAAGTAACGCTCCTATTTCAAAATCGCCGCAGATCAAGAACTCGGAACAATCACGTTCTCGACATAATTCTATTTCAGCGGCTGTTGGACAGGAACGAAGCAACTCCATATCCAGTCGTCCTAAAGAACAAAAAGGTGCAATCTCGACTATTGACCAGAGGGAAAGACAGAGCGGATCACCAAAGGATTCGTTAAAGAAAGCTGATGCTATTGCTATGCCAAATGAATCTCCTAAAAGTGCTGAGACCAGCTTTGACCAGAGTGTTGTGGGTCAAGAAACTACACAAGAAGTTCCGGCTGAAAAAAGCAATAAACGACATCTTCCATCTAACGAGAAGAGAACTGAAGAAGCACCCCTTAAACCTCAATCTCCTGAAGGCGTAAAGAGGCAGAAAGTAATTGAAGACGAAACGCAAGACAATGACGCTAAAGCAAATACCGAGAGGATTTCTCCAAAGTCTAGCCCTGTAAACCCTGTTGAAGAGGTCGAGCATGAACAAGAATCAGAAAGCCGAGAAAGTTCAGAAGAACGCAGTCAAAATGGGGAAAATTCTGTGTCTGAACAAAAAAATAAATCCCGAAGCCCTAAACAAACTGCTCGTACACTGGATGTTGATGAGGATTATGATGAGGAAGAGGTTGACAGGGATACGGCACATGATTAATGTGCAATTTTTGTCCTCAAAGTAGGCCCAGTGTTGGAGGCTTTAATGATGTTTGCGACGAACTTTGCCATGAATATCTATTTATATCGCAGCTTGATTCATTCTAATTTTGCTTATATTATCATTTCTTTATGAAGTGTATTGGCCTTTATATATTACTGTTAATCTTTATTCCTTTCTCGTTTTTGTTTTGGTAATGTATATAGATTTCAATTTTCATTTCTCTAATATTACCTTACGACGATGTACTTTTCCAATTCTAGAGTTTAGAAAATATAATTGTTACAAGTAGCCTAAAAAAAATAAAAAACAAAATGGATCAACGGGATTCAATAAAACTAAAGAAGCTGTAAAACATAGTCGTTATGTTATATATCTTTGGTGGTAATCATACAAACTTATAATAAGTAAAATCAAAAAAGAGCCTACTAAAACTTCTCCCAAAATACTGAAGCCGAAAGAAAGCAAAGTAAAAAGATGGTTGAAATTACAAGCTAACATTTGAATACCGACGTTGAAAATTCCAAAAAAGACGTGTTCAAAAGAATACACCCGAAAACAGAAAAAAAAAGGGTCACAGATAGCTTTCCTTTAATGTTTATATTTATACTGATTCATCAGAAACTTCAAAAGAAAAACCATCCTCTGTAGGAGTATAGTAACCCTTTTCAGTAGCAACGGCTGCGATTAAATTAGCTGAGGTAACGTCAAATGCAGGACAGTAAGTATTGATCCCAGGAGCTGCAATATGGATTCGTTCTTCCTGTCCAAACTCTGTCGCATCAGCGTTTTTGACGACAGGACCACGAACAGTTATCATTTCAGTAGAAGGGCGCTGCTCTATGGTAATCTGAGAACCCGATTCAAGGTTCAAGTCTATAGAAGAGAAGGGGGCAGCAACGATAAAAGGAACATTGAAATAATTAGCCAAGATTGCCAAGTTTAAGGTACCAATTTTGTTGGCTGTATCACCGTTTTTAGTAACGCGATCAGCACCCACAACAATAGCATCAATCTTGCTCATGATAGAAGCGGCAGTGGAGTCTGTCACTAACGTAGCTGGAATACGATCGTGAACAAGTTCAAAAGCTGTAAGACGAGAACCCTGGTTGTAAGGACGGGTTTCAGTACAAAATGCATGCTCCAAATTACCATTTTCGTGTAAAGCCCGGATGACACCTAGGGCAGTACCATAGCCAGACGTAGCCAATGAGCCAGTATTACAATGAGTAAGGATGGTAAACTTGGACTTAGTTCCCTTGTAGTGATTTAGAAGAAATTGACGGCCGGCGGCACCGATGGCATGGTTATCCCTCAAATCTCTATCGAGAATAGCTTCTGCTTCTTTAATAACCTTTTGCTTTACAGAAGAGGGATCGACTGAGCGAGCAACGCTTTGCAGATGGTGAGCAGCCTCGAATAAATTGACAGCAGTGGGCCTAGATTGCTTTAAATATTCTAAGCTGTCGATAACAAAAGCTTTAGCGTCTTTTCCTTCTTCCAAATTCTTCAAACCAACAGCAACGCTTAGTGCTGCTACAATGGCGATTGCAGGTGCACCACGAACTTGCATCTTTTTGATTACAGAGAAGGAATCCTCAATTGTCTCTACTGGAACATATTTGTGCTGATGAGGAAGTAAAAGTTGATCCAGGACAAATAACCTATCCTCCTTGTAAATAATTGCTTGCAAAGACATGATTTCAAGTAAATTTTCTTTTTTCGGCAGAGATACGAGCCTTTTTACGCAAATTAACAATCCAATTGCTTTGCTACAAAGTTGAGAGGCTTTCTTGGGGGGTTTTCCTTCTTTTTGGTGGCCGTTGAATAGGTGTGCTTTGGAAGCTTTTGAATAGGATTGGAGTATCCCAAGGGTTTCCTACTCCAATACGGTTACGAACTATTAAAAAAAGAGTTTCTTCCCTTTTATGTTTACCTTTACCTGGATTATTTTGGGTGCTTTTTCTTGTTTTCTGGTCGTTGAAGCCAACAGTAGGCTGTCAACTAACTTTCAATGAATACTGAGGTTTTGTAGGTTTAAGCGCTCATAAAGACGAATAGATGCAAGTAGTAAAGTAAGATTCGTAGCTTATTGCTACAAGTTATGACTGATCGTTTGTACACTTACTTGATTCCTTCAAACTGCTTAGCAAAGCCAAAGAAAATACAAAAGAAGAAGAAAATTCATAAGCTAGTTCTTAATTGATCACGAGGGACCTTCTAGTCACCAAAACCTTTGACTTACTGAATTATTCAATTTTTGGCTATACGAAGGAATGATCTTTAGGGAAACAGCTGTCGGTGTACAACCTGTGACCATGTCAACTTCTGAAATGAATTCTCCAACAATAAAGTATGCTTGAAACACGTCTCCGTTGCAATGCTGTCTTGAGAGTTCACTCTTATTGTCAAATATCCAAATGTCCAAATATCAATCTCAATCTTGAGCAGAATGCTGATCAGTTTTCTTCTAAATAAGTACAATTGAAAGAAAATTGAATGTGACAGACTCGTCGTACTTGCTTGTTGCACGTCGACAATCGCAGTTCGCTCTTAATTTTGTCTTTCATGACAGTCGAAAGGTGGCTCTTTCTCTTTCCTAGTTTTTTCCTTTTTAATAAATAGTTTCATTTTTGATAAGAAAATAACGGAATTGCAATGAATCCGTCTTTGGAGCCCTTTGGCCTTTCCTTTTTGGCTGTTCCCATTCTCTCTCTCTACTCATCTCTTTCTCCAAAAAGTTTGAATTTTTTGTTTCCGGTCAGTAGCAGCTCCCGGAATATATTGCTTTATTTAATTTAGAATTATTATGCTTCATATGTCTTGTTGAGAATGTTCAAACGCTTCTTTCATACTGGACTTCGCCTTGCTGAACAGAGTACCTCCTCTGGTGCAGCTATCTCCTCCCAATCCTTGTAAGTATATTCTTTTTAGAAAAAACGCTAATCGATTCTTTAGAAAGCCTTTGTCAGAAAAAGCCTCGCTTGCAGAAAATCCATACTTTCGTGAACTCCCTCCTAATGTTGCAGCTGTCTATTTGAGCCCTTTAAAATGGAAGCCTTCTGAAAAAGACGATTTGGTTGCTTCTTTAAGAGTAAAAAGTTATGAAACTAATGAATTGGATTTTTACTCTGATTTTATTTGCCGTGTCGCTTATTACATGAAAATTCCACTGCGTGGTCCTCGGCCTTTGCCCAAAAGGATTGAGAGCTGGACACTTTTGAAATCTCCATTTGTGCATAAAGGTTCACAAGAAAATTTTGAAAGAATTACTCATACCCGCCTTTTTGAATTCTACAACACAAACCCTTCCCAACTGGAAACTTTCTTAGCGTACGTGAGAAAAAACAATATGCCAGCTTTGACGCTTGAGGCTAAATCAGTTGCATACGAGGACATGGATGTTGCAGTACGTATACGATCTCTACTTCCAGCAGAAAAACAGGATGCCTGGAAGGACGCTAAGGATCATGATCGAATCAAATTACATGCAGATGAGCTTTTACAAAGTGACCCAGTCTATCAAAAGTTGATGAAGTGAGACTTGAAGAGAAAGTAAGCGGGACTATGCTTACCCCATTTTTTAAAATACAACACTTACTTCCTTCCATGCATTCTACAAGCTACATGTGGATCATACATCTCATATAATTAATTAATGAAACAAATTTCAAACCTGTATTTTTTTTGACGTTCTTGTCTAGTGAATCATTAGCCTAACTCTATTTCATCAGGGTTTTTTTGTTGTTCTTCTTGTTCCACAATATCCCTTTGCCGTACACCTCCTTCTGGTCCTGTAGTTGAAGGAACAAACCCTGCTAAGGGTTTGGAATTTTCCTGTAATCGTTCTAATTGTTCCATAGCATCTCCAGATGGTAAAGATGTATCCATCGAGGCAACCTGCTTTGCAATATTCAACGTATTTGTGCTGTATTTTACTTGGACGGAGCGTTTGATACGAAGCATCTCCTTGACTGTTTCTTCTGGATTTCCGTATTTAAGTTCAAAATCTTGCCAACGCTGCCAGTATTCCGTTTCTACTCGAGGGTCGCAATACTGACTTCCGTGGGTAAAGATAGCACGAGCACGATCAATTTCACCCAATCGTGTTTCCATTTCTGCATAGCGAAGGCACACATCTTTTACTCCTGCATCATCAAGAATTTCAATAGCTCTTTCGTAAACAGGGCGAGCAGCAAGCGCACCATAGTTTGATGCTACTTTGAGCAATAATACGTTGAAGACGCTGAGACGATCTTTAGGGGTAACATTTTTAAAAGCTTTCTCCAAAATTGAAATAGATCGTTTCACTTTTCCGTATTTCTCTTCATAATCCGCGTAAAGCAAATATATACTTTTTGAAAACTCTGGTGGGCAACCTTCCAACGCTTGTTCAAAAAGATCTCTACCTCTTTCAAACTGTTTTCCCTTAAATCGGTCAATAAATTTTACTAGGTAAAGAGTCCATAATTCAAACGCAACGGGATAGCTAAAAAGAGCAACACCCCTTTCATAGATTTTAAACGAATCTTCGTAAAACCCGTTTTCTTCCAAAAAGTTTGCACAATTAACCACCACCTGCGGTGTCGCAATTTTGAGTTCAAACATGCGGTCGTAGAGTCTACGCGTTGAGTCTACTGATCCAACACTTTCTTCCAAGTCCAAATAATACATCCAAATTTTAGCGGATTTGTGAAGCCGAACCTGCGGAGATAAAGCTTCATCAAAGAAGCTAACGGTGCTTTTTTTAGGGGCTTGAACAGCATCTCCAATTAATTTTCTAGCAGTATCAAATTTCTGGTACCTCAATTCCATCTCGGCCCAATTAATCCATACTTGAGCCAGTTCGTTTACGGAATTATATGGCACATTCGTGGCTTTTTCAAAAATAACTCTAGCCTGCTCAACGTCGCCAATATCCTCATAGAACTTGGCAAAATTAGAAAAGAACGAGCCAAATGAACCTATAGCTAATTTAGGGTTAACTTTTCGTAAGCACTCTGCGTAGACTTGTACAATTTTTTCACGATCATCGCCGACCAGAGTGGTTCGGCGCTGCCATTCGTCTACATTATTAATATTTTGTCGTAAAATAACATCATTAATATACAAAGAACGCTGATCAAGTAACTTTTCTAACCAAAACATATGGTAGTCAACCGCAATTTCATCTTTAGACGTATTTTCCATTCGCATGGATAGCCATTGTTCCTCAAATTCAATAGCCGCATCAAATACTTGAGTAAAGTTGCGAACAGTCATAACAGTAGTGATTCCTTCGTAAAAGATACTCCTTGCCTATTAAAGAGTTAGCTATTTGTAACAGAATGGATTTTTGGTTGGATCAAACCCGTCAAAAAACCATAAAGTGATTATTGGTGTGGCTTACCTTTTCATAATATCCCAAACGAATATAATATTGAGCCAAAAAAGTCCACAGCTTACCAGCCTGATCGATGAAGCGATGAATACCAGCCCGGAAAACGCGTTCAACATCTATTTGTTCTATATCGCCAGGATGCTGTACGATTAATTGAGAAAACTCGGTCCAAATTTGATAGTTACTTTTTCCTTTGCTAGAAAGGAAAACGGGTCGATTTAGGATACTCATATACTGATGTGCGGCTTCATTCCATAACTCCAAATTGACTAAGACTTCTATATACGACTCAACGGCGCGGGGTTCAAGCTGAATGTACCTTCTATATACATGAATACAAAACAAGCCACCTATCTCTTCAGCAAAATCTAAATATAACGCCCATATATCGTCGTGTTGTGTCACCGGTAAAGCACGAAGAGCAGCATCAAATACCTTTCGAATTTTAGTTACATCAGGCTGCCGCATGAGAAACTTCAAGTACATATGCCACATGACCGGCATACGATGAAGGAGAACCAATGCTCGTTCAAAGCAACCGTTCACGTCTAAGAACGCCTGTGGGCATGAAACAAACGATTGATCCTCTAAATGAGCCAATCGCAACTCCAAGTATGCTTTCCATATCTTGTAACTTCCAGGCAATTCCGAACATGCTCGTTCATACAACAAAACACGCTTTTCAAGCGAAGAACTCTCGCGTGCTAACAGGTATCGTAGCCAACTTCTTAAAGAATACGGATTGCGAAGCAACTCCAACTCAAACGTCTCATCTTCTACGTCTAATAAATCAGAACTTACTTTAAATTGAGCGACCTCGCTCATTTTCTTTCAAATATTACAGATTTGAGAAATATACCCTCATTGAATGGTGGTTAGTGAACCACCTACTCTTAGTACACCAAAGGTACAGTATATTATACTAAGTAGTACGATATTAATTTGCTTGAGGTTTGAAACAAGCTTAACATGAAACTGGCAAGAGTAAAAACTCTATGTATAGATGTTGTAAGCATTTCAGATTATTGTAATCCTATTAGCTAGCTTCGTCGAAAACATACATTGGTCACTAATTTCTGGGTGCATGAAGTACGAAAAAGGATACTCTTTATAATTGAACTGTACAAAACGAACTCTCATATTCTTTATTCAATATATATCTAATTCTATAGTAGCTACAAGACCAAATCGATAAGGAAAGGACGTTAACATAGTCAGATATGTGAGAGTTTCTTGGTATTTAGTTTTCTTCAGCTTGGGCTCAGAAGCAGAACTGAATAGTTTTTTTTATCATCATGAATGTTCGTCCTCTCTCTTCATCATATACGGTCTTTAGAAACCTAGCTATAACTAACTTATTTAAAGATGAGCATTATTTCACTAACTTGAGGTTAGAATCATGAATTTTTGAATCAACAAATAAGTTTGCGTTGCCATTGTTCATTCGGTGATGCATGTTTTCTGAGGCTCATGGATAATCACCAGCAGAATATGGGTAAAGTATAATCATCCAAGCAATACAAAGTCAACAAAATTTCCATACCTAAAAGCCGTTAGCATCATGCAAAAACCATTAACAGTGAAATAGCAGCATCTAAATATATTATTCAGCAACGAAGAATTCCTAAAACTTTAAAAGATGTCCGCATCATTTTGCCCTACTAGGAAAAACGTTCTCATCATAATTTAGATGCATATCAGTTTTCTTTGCTTTGTCAACTTACCTTTTGAATAAGAGTACGAATCAGCCAAACAGTACAGCTCATAAGGCAAGGTACTCCTCACTTCTTGAGCTCTACAGCCAGCATAATCCGTAGTAGAGAAGTTAGTCTAAATCGTCGAGAATATATAGTATTTTGTGACTGCTTTCGAGATGCGAAAAAAATTTCGTATTAGGGTACTACGATGCATTTTGTAAATAAACAAACGATAACGTTCTTTTACGTTCTGTTTACATACTTCGGAAATCTTAATCTGGTGAAAATAGCAAAATCATAGATTTTAACAAACATTTAAATATCATTCTATTTTTAAATAACACCGGTTTCAAGAGAATTATGTTCCTCAGTTGGCTTTTCAGTCTCTGTCTCCGTCTCTGGGCTTAAATCGAGCTCTTGAGCAAGTACAGGATAGTAAATGAATAGATTATTCCAAGTAGAATTCCAGGTTTTCAAAACTGGATCCGAGTCTGTATCGTCGACAGTAGGACCACGAAGTGCCCCAGCAGAATGTAAAATTAGATACACATTTTTTATAGACTCCATTACTTCAGCCATAGCTTCCGATCCGTGCATTGCACTCAGCTTAATTGCGACGTCCATGAGTTTCAACCACAGCGGATAGAGCATTTTCGATTGATTTGATAGAATATTCATGTCTAGCAAAATAGTTTTGCAAATAATACTGAACATCTGAGCCTTTGCCAGTCCAAATAAATGATGTTCAGGTTTACCATTCAAAGTCGTGATCATGTTTTCCATTGTCGGCAGCAACGCTTGGTGGAATAAAGACATAGTGACATTTATATCGTGTGGTTTGTCTAATTGTACCATAATAACTCTTTGTAAACATGAAAAGGATGCTGTCCGTAAAGATCGACTCCGGGATAGACAAAACTTACATATATGACTATACAACATTTTCCACTTTTGATGTAGAACATTTTTTTCGTCGGTAACGTCATAATATTCATCTTCAAATTCCGAGGCCACTCTCAAATACAAATCAAACGCATCGTTCAAATCCTTTCCGTGACTTTCCAATGTTGTCTTATCTACGGGTTTTCCCTTTGTTAACCCTTTCTTCTGGCGAGATAATATCCGAGCTAATTGCTTTACAATGTTTTGTATAAACACATCAACAAACGAAACATACGTCTGAAGCTTGGGAAGATCTAGTTTACGAGCAGAAACTTTATGGAAGATAACTAGTAGGTCTGACACATCCGCTGAATTGACATGAAGAAGTACGTCCAGAAGATCAAAACCAAATGTACTGTACAACAAGTATGAATATCTATTGCTTAGTTCAAGAAACATGGAAATAATAGAACTTTCGACTGAAAACTCTTTCCTTTTCACGACAGCGAAATATTTGCTAAGGTTTTTCCACTCGACAGATGATTCTTCTAGCTCCAAGCTTTCATCCAAATACAATAACAAAATATAGTAGGACAAATGGTTCATAGACTGCTCGTCAACAATTTGTTCTGACTTATTGAGCAAGTACGATAACACCTTTTCTTTTATACTTGAAGCGTCAATTTTTTTAGAAAACCCGATGAATAACGAAGTTAGCATATCTGCTATTATAAGGGTTTGAGTATTATAATGAGCATGGGAAGAGTTTACGGATCCACTTATGAAACCGTTGGTTTCATTTTGCGTAGATGCATCATCGTATAATGGACCACCACCAATTTCTATAAGCGCATCTATCAATCTTTCTAAGGTCGAGCCATCAAGATCAACTAAGTTATGAAGAAACTCATCAATCTTGGAAGACCTTATACACTCTACAGATGACAATGTCTGACCTATCTCGTCGGAGGAAGGAGCAGGAGGTTCGTCGTTAGCATAGCTAGACAAATAAGAAGATAAAGTTGAAAGTAGCCCACCTTCTTTGTTGAAGTTGGATTTTCCTGAACTGAGTGGAGGATTAGGAAAGGGGAAGTGCTCATACTGAAAAAGTTTAGCACCCGGAAGGGACTCCTTCGATAACAAGTTATTACTGCCTAAAGCTAAAATCAAGTTTACGACAGACAACCAACTATCTTGCATGCAGTTCTTAAACTTGTTGCAAACCCAGAAAAGCACAATAAGTGCTAGTTGTGCTCGGAAGTCACGACCAAAACGTACTGAAAGTTCGCTGACCACTACTTGATGATCCTCGTGACTGATCGCCGTGTTCAATTGAGCTTCGGGTATATGCATTGAACCTATGGCAGTGAATTCCGTTAAACGATGTACAATATAATCGATAACATTCGTTTGATTAAAGTGAGCAGCAACATCAGCTACTTGCTGAATACCATTCACAACTCGATAAAACACAGTGTCCTCCGTAGCTGTTGAAAACACGTACATCAAGGCAGCCAATATAGAATTCCACACATCGTTAAAGACAGTGTAATCAAAAGCATTCGAGTCAGTACGGAGAAATGGTGTAGTATTCTTGCAGTTTTGAAGCAGTTTAGACCATATATAAAAAAAAGAGAGTTCGGTATCATGCTCTTCAGCAACGATAATCTCAAAATTCCGGATAGCAGAATAAATATCAGAAAGAAACTGACGATCAAAATTTGCTCCATCATTTACACCTCGTACGTTGCGGCAGAAATCTTCCAAAGTCATTCTCGCTTGTGCTTTAATATTTGGGTTATGCTGATCCGTGTTGAGCATAATTATTGAATAGGAAAGAACGAAAGCAGCATCTTTCGACGCCACTACGCCAGGATTAGCTTCAACGTAATAATGAGAAAAAGCTTCCACTACACGCTCAATTAATTGGGATTCTCCGGGTAAACGAAAAGACTGAAGTAACATGCGTAAAGCTTCATCAATTCGTTTTCCTTTAAAATCGAAAGCATCTATAAAGGCATTCAATATTTCAGTATTCGATGCCTTTGATAAGTACTCACCCAACACACGTTTACTAAGTCGATTCGTCGAATGAAAAAAAGATGCTATGGAGTTTGGGTCTGAAGGATGCTCAATAATGGAATGAGAAGATAAATACGAAATACCCTCAGAAGGACTTTCATTAAAAAGGTTTGCACCTTCAATGATAATAAATTTTCTTTCCTTCGATTGTAATAAGGATGCTGATGCTTCTAATGCACGGTCATGGTCTTTAGGTTCGAAAGTAGGAAGGCGGCGTTCATGAAAGTTATGAATAAAGTTTAAAAGAGTGTCGAGGCATAAAGGAGGTACGTTATTAGTGGAGTAACGAGCAGCGTCAATTAGACAGTTCCTTGTTAGAACACGGATGAGATCTGAAGCAAGATCAGACATCTGAGGATCACAGTCATAATTGACATACAAATCAACAAGAAATCCCGGAATGCGAGATAGAGAACCGAAGCATTCAACTATAAGTTCACGGATTTCTGGAGGACTTCCTTCATTGTCAAAAACAAAACGCTTTCGCTCAGAGAAAGAGGTTGGTGTTGCTCGATCTGGATTTTGATCATTTACTAAATTTGTAGATGATATAGCCCTAACCAAAGACGAATCAAGACCAGAATCTTTCGAAATTTGAGTCGGGATTTGCAGACAGGAAATTAAATAAGATATGAAGAGTTCCTGCTGTAATTTCAAGTGGTGAGGCATCGCTTGAAGTAAAGTAGTCATAACAATAAGGGAGTTAGTTAACACAGGCGTCTGACTGTGTCGTATTAGCTGTAGCAAAGATTTGCAAAGGGTATCACTAATTAATATGCGTAAAGAAGGAAAATTGCCCATGTGCTCGCCCGCTACTTCAAAAGCGGCATTAATAAATCGAAGAGCCATGCTTTTTACTTGGTCACTAAAATGCTGATTTTTCGAATCTATAAAAGAGATTAAGACACGAAGGACCTCACGTATAGATTCTATTCCGAAAGGAGTTATTTCACTTGACTCAATTTGACTGGTGTTCAGGCGATTATAATGAAATTCTTGTTCTTCTATGGGATGTTCAAGGGTTTCGTTCCAGAAATTTTCATCATCTAGTTCTGGATCGATGTACTTAAGTCGCTCAAAAATACACTGAATTATGCTAATCATCGATAATTCAGCACTTTGTCGCAGCATTGCAGATACTCTCATCTGACAACACATGCTTAGGCCAGTTTCAACAATTTCACAAATAGAGTCATCACTTAGTATACGGTTTCCAGCACCGCGCACTGATTCTTCCATTAATCTTGAGACACGTAATAGGACAACCTCATCCTGAGAGGAATCATAACTTTCGAATCTACACTGCGTAATTGCAAACGAAAGATTCCTCATGGCTATATCTAGGTTTGGAGATTTTTCAGTTATTATTCTTAAAGAAAATAACTTCAATATGGCTGAGATGCACAAGCTCGTTACATTTCCCGTCGTCCTTGGAGATTTTATGGTACGCAGAAAGGGAGACAACAGTCTTAACGAATCAAAATTACTTAGATTTTGTTGAATTGTAAGATCTGCCTTTAATTGTGAGAATTCCATAACCAAGGGATATCGAACGCTACTGCTTTTTTCCCCATTGGTTTTCCAGCGATTCTCTAATCCATCGGCAAGGAACTCGTCGTTTAAGGTCGTAACTCCTAAAATTGATGCAACTCCAGAATTTCTCCATCTTGATGTCTTTCGAATAGCTGTAACAATTGTTATGATTTCATTGATCACCAAGGAAGACGGCGAAATTGAACATAACGGCTCATGGTTTGGAAATGCACGCGGCACATCCATAACCGTTACTATTTGTTACTACAAATCAATTCTTGGTTTGAATCGGCTCAAGTATACTTACTATAGGCTGTTTTTAGCGGAGTAGTTGGTTTATGTGAAAGGGTCTTACCCTTCCCATATGTCTCCCGCCGACGAGTTCAGGAAGGAAGAGCCAGAATATTATCGTAAAAATTCTATAATTATACATTTTATTTACATTCTTATAAAGCGATCAGAAGTTGAGCAAGAGATTTAGATAATTAGTATAAGTATAAATAGGCCAAGAATAAAATAAGGAATCTGTCAAAAATTTATATAAAAAATATGAACGAGTGAAAAGTAAGCTTTATTTCCCGGTATATTGAGCTGAAGACGAAATGATATTATCGCAAGCTATATGAAGAAAACAAATCCAATGAAAAGACTAAGTATACAAGGCGAAAAGATGGCAGAGGTCCTAATAAAATTAAAGTTTGTGAACCTTTGTAAGGCTAAAAGATTAACCGACTTAAATTATTAAGTACAAGACAAAAGAGATTGAACGGACTAAGATGTGTTTGTGCTCTCCAAATAAGAAAGACCCTACGCGTCTCCATCTCCATTGCTTATTAGTGCATCATAGTCGCAATTGGGATGTATAGAGAAGACCCGCTCTTCGAATGGCAATTTGACATCACTGTCTGCTTTATTTTGAATTTCCATAATAATTGATTCATGAACAAGACGCGTTAAGACCTTGCGAACAAGACCGACTTCATATATAATGTCATCTTCGGTATGCAACTGGTCTTCTCGTAACTCAAGGTAAGATTGGATCAAATCATTTGCAACCATTCCTTCTGTACCATCCTCAGCAGAATATTCATGCAAAACGCGAACGATACCATTCATAACTGAAACATACTTTTCATATGTAATCTTCAATTTCGGCTTTTCTGATTTTTGGGTATCAGAAGCTTTTTGTTGGTGATCTTCTTGCATTGCATCTATTGAACCGTTTTCTTGTTCTTTCGCTTCTGCTTCTTCCTCTTCCACTTCGACATCATCACGTTCAACGTGAATGATGGATTGTCGAAGTAGGGAATAAGCCTCATTTACAAAAGCAGGTGTGATATCGTCGACGCAATTAGCACGAGCAATTGCTTCGGAAAGGCGAATCATAGATTCTAACTGTCGTACGGTAATTCGATAAGAGTTCTTTCCCGATCCTTGAGCATCGTCCATACGAAGTTGTTTATACCTTTTCACAATCTCAGCCCGAGCTTCACTATTTAACTTGGGTTTAAATGTTCGAGCATAACGAATGTAGCGTTGTAATTGCTCAGTACTAAATTCAGGCTGCATAGCATCATCTCGTAAGCGATGAACATTGACGATATGTTCCGCCAGATGACGGTCGACAGATTCGTTACATTCATCTAGCACAACAAAAAATAAATCAAACCGTGACATAATAGGAGCTGACATATTAATGTTGTTACGCAAAGTCGTTTTTCTATTATAGCGGCCACCAACGGGATTTGCAGCAGCCAGAATGGATGTACGAGCATTCAAAGTAGCTTGAATACCAGCTTTAGCTATTGAAATTGTTTGCTGTTCCATAGCTTCATGAATAGCAACCTGATCCGACAGATCCATTTTATCAAACTCATCAATAGCGCAAATACCATTGTCCGCTAACATAAGTGCACCGGCTTCGATCGTAAAGTCACCTGTTTCTTCATCCTTTACGACTGCAGCTGTGAGACCAGCAGCTGAAGAAGCTTTACCAGAGGTATAGACAGCTCGAGGAAGAAAATTACAGACATATTTCAAGAACTGTGATTTAGAAGTACTTGGATCTCCTACAATGCAAATATTAATGTCTCCACGAAGATTAATTCCCTCGGGGGTTGTTTTGTGAACACCACCCATTAGCTGTAAAAGGATGCCCTTTTTGATAATTTCATGACCATACACGGACGGAGCTAAAGAGTTTACTAATCGGGAATAAATATGGTCCGAGTGTACCATGGCACGCAAATCATCAATTTCAGCTTGCGAAAGTGATTGCAAAAACTCATCTTGAGCTTCTATACCTTGGGAGCCATCTCCACGAACATCAGCAGGGTTATGATCACTCGCATCATCTGGCTGAACCATGCAAGCAAGAAAAGAAAGTTTGTATGTTAAGTCACGGACACCAAGAGATTTCAGACCTGTTACACCATCGCTACCTGCATCCCTACCAGCACCAAATGCCCGAGAATCTCGATAGGCCTCTGGCTTTACACCAGGAATACCCAATTGAGAAATGTCAGGGACTGCAATTAAAGTACCCGTGAACGCACACTTGTCACCGGCTTTTGCTCTTTCTACGATGTCACCACGAATGATCACATCTAGCGTCCGTGGCATAGATCCAGTCGGTATTTCATTGCTGTTTTCCTGAATACGTACCTTTTGCCAGTCTTGAAACGTGGACTGAGATATATTTAAACGCCAACTACGCTTATTGGCACAAAGTTCGTTAGGACACTGTGTTGGCTCGGTATAGCGGAACGCCTGCTCAACACTTGGAACAACAGTATGGCATTCTTCACATATGAATGTACCATGGGCTAGTTCTGGACGAACCTCGGAAGTTCGAGTTACCGTTCCTGTAATTGTTGTTAAACGACCAATTCGGTCAGTGCGTAAATCTCGAATAGTAGAGCGAAAAGGAAGGTTATAGAATGCAAGAGCAAAAGTCTTGTCGCTTCGCCGACTAGCAGTAGATAACGAAGCGTTAGCTTGTGACAATGAGTTTCTATAGTATTCTGGTTCATATTTTTCAATCAGCTGCTGTAATGCACGTAATAAAAATGGGGTGAATCGATAGTATTGCTCTACAATTGCAAGAGCCAAAACATCATTAAAGGTAGTCAAATGATTGTAGTCTACGTAAACAGTATGAATCTCGTACATGGCAAGACCATGTATTTGAGAAACATAATACTTTTCCGACATAGCAGATGATGATGGTGCACCCATCTCATCAACTCGATCCTCACTGAAGCTTTCTAAAAAATCTTGAAATGTCTCTCGAACAGACTCACCGGTCGTATCCACGACTTTGGGAATCGCATCTCCAACGGCTGCAAATGGTTTTCTTTTTACTAAATTATCGTCTTCCAGCATCCCAGTAGATTCTTGTTGAGAAGCCATATTCATCGTTGGTCTATCACCAACTTCTGATGTTTGAAACCCATGTTTATAGGTTGGCGTTGATGCGTTTGCTCCTGGAGAAGCAAATGAAGACATTTTCAATGGACAATCCCAGGTTGGAAGGGAAAGGTGAAATTCCCAAGTTGATGGGAGAAGTTGAGTTTTCTGTGCCCTTATGCACTACACAAGCGACGCGTATAAAAATTCGTTTTAAGAATCTTTAGACGATAAGAAAATATAAATCGCTTATTTGTCATGAAACGATCTTTCATTGGTAATTTAGAATGTTTCATGTTTTTACTGCTTGTAAATTTTCCTAATGGGCTGCAATTGTTCTGTATGTGTTAAAGGATGTGATTTTTTCCATTCTCCTATTTGCTTTCTTGCTGAAGCGTTTGGAATAGCTCCTACTTACCAAATGATGAAAATAATAAAGATATTGTAATAAAAAGAAAAAAAGAAAAGAATAAAAATGAATGAAATCGTCTTCTAATCGCTATTTTTCATTTTCTTGATATTTGTTTATTTACACTAGAATTTACGCGCTGCGCTCAGGTACCGTAAAGGGGAAAGAAGCTTGCTACGAAGAACCTGACAAAAACGCGTTTTCCCAAAGATTGTCATTATGGTAAGATGAAATGTGGAATTTTCCAAATTTGATGTGTTGCTCTGATGATGAAATCTAACCAACACTTTTAGGCTGATAGGTTGCGCTCTCAAGCAAAATTGGAACAACTCCAAGCTCGATTCGTCGGTGTTGGACATTCATCGACCACCAAATAGTAAGTATCTTATGAAACCATTTTTATCAGGTGATTCTTCGTTTTGATTAGAAACTCAGTGCTAACGTTGTTTCGTTAGTGAATGGATGGTAAATCAACATAGAGACGCGTTGTCGTCCATTGTCGGACACCCGCCCCTTCTCGCATATATGTCTACCGCACTTGGCGAATCTAGGACACAAGTTCGTCAGCAGATGCTGGAAAAAATGATTATGCCTTGTGGACCACCTCCTCCTACCAATTGAATTCTCGATGGATCGCGAGCTTGTCGACAAGAATTACACAGTCCTATATTTATAAACAAAACAATTGAATGTGATAGTCTATATAGCAGGGCTTATAGGTGTCAAGCTATTTTTGATTTTTTTCATCATTGACGGTTGTTACTTTTGGTTACTTAACGCTCTTCAGACAGTCAACTTCCCAAAGAGTTTATGTTTTGTGCGTTCATGCGTTTGTTTGAAAAAAGTTGCTTTTACTATAAGATATTTATAGAAAAAGATTAAATTATCGGATGCTGTCAACATTTCCTCTTTACTGGTAAATGTTACACGAACTGTTACTCTTCCTCGCTGGCTATGACTCAGGCCTGTTCCTAATAGACAACGAAACCCTTAATTTACATCCATCTCTTCAAGCACTGCATCCTGGAGAACGACATCTGTTACTAGAAATTGGTTCTCTGGCTGTCGAGCGTCGAAAAACCGCCGGACTTCTACAACATCCAAATTCTTGGTTCAGTCAATCAAACAATGCATTTCATCGTTCCTTTTACATGTTTGTTGAGGAGATTCTTCGAAGCTTTGACGAAACTCTAGCTGACTTGGAGCAAAAGATCCTAATGAGGGATTCTTCGTTTGTTGGCTCTGAAAAGTTTGTCTCTTTGACACAAGTCGAAGCACATTTAAGTTCCTGGAAGCATACATTCCCAGATGTCTTTTTGATTGCTACAACAGTACTGCAATATCAAACGGCGTATTCTATCTTTCGTTCCTTAGAGCTACTTTTGATGCAGTCTTCTCGCTTGGATTTCAAACAACTTATTTCAAAAATTCAGGTTTGTTTACAAAGAGTTTGGTTAAATCATTTTATCGAGTATTTGGTTACCGATTTCCGGGAAGATTACGGCTATCTTTCTATTTCGCCAGAAGTTAACGAGAGTGATGGGCATGTTCTGGTTCCTTTTATGGATATGGCTTCAGCAAAGAATGCGCTTTTTACGAGGGTTTGTATGCTTAAAGCAAAATCTATGCTTATTGATGTATATGCAAATCTGTTGAAACAATTTTACGCCGAGAGTAAAGCTCTTGAATTTCCAATTTCACAATCTTCGTTAAAGGGGACTATAGATGCGCTATACACGCTTGTCTCCAGGAGCATTGTGTTCAAAATGGCGTCTGTTGGTCGGCTTGTGGATTTAACAATGATGCTAGAAATGATAATGTTACAAGAAGACACGGATGTTTTAACGACGATTATGAAGAAATTATTCGAATTCGACACAAATCCTTCACCGAGAACGATTCAAAATCCGGAAGAATACTTTCCGACAGTTTTGAGGAATACGATTTCAGACATGGATTTGGATTCACTGTATGGAGATTGTATTTCTTCCCTTCATTTGAAGAAGTCTTCTGAGGTGACAAATCCAAATATAAGCTTAAAAGGGAATCCAATATATCTCGCTGTTTCCTTACAATGGCCTTACAATATGTTTATTGATAAAAGTATCCAGAGAGATTATTCTAGGTTATGGGGTTTTTTGGGTGCATTGCAGGTTAATATTATGGATATAAAATCCTTTAGTTATCAAAGGAAAGCTTTGGTCCATGGTCATAACAGGTATCCTTGGAAAAGTTTATGGCTTACGTTGTGGTTTTTATCATCTCTTCAGTATTATTTTTATGATGGTATTATACGACCTTCCTACAAAGTTCTTCGCGAAAAAATTGTCGAATATGGGAAAGGTGGTATACTCAAGATGCAAGAGTATTCGCGTCTTCATCTAACTGCTTTTGATTATATTTCGAAAATGGTATTTATTAAGGACAAACGATTTTTAATTTTACTCACTTCTATATATGATGAAGTTTCTAAAGTTCATTATCAGGAAGTTTCCGAGGAAACATGTGCATTAGTCGTCCTAGTTAATCAGTGCATTCAACATATCAGGGAGATAGAAAATGATCCATCACTCGACAATAGTCCACTTAGTGCACTTTTACTGCAACTTGGTGTTTAAATTCATCAACGTCGATTGATATGTTTCATATCAATCCAATTTTTGCAACGATCGTTTTCATCATGAAATAAAAGGTTCATTCAATATAACATAATCATGAAGATTGAATTATACAATGTTGAATAACGGTAGCTATTGTATTCAACCTCATTCTGGCAGAGCAAGCTCTCTTCAGATACTTTCACTTGCATAAGCGTTCATCAAAGTGATAACATGTGCTTTATAAATCATCATCCATTTGACCAGTAACTTCTTCATTTTCAGATTCTGTTTCGATGGAAGACATGGTATCGTCGTCTGAAGAGTCATCCAAAGAGACATCTGCCTGGTCTTTGCTAGCATACCTTTGAATATAATCTTTCACTTTAAATGTAAAAGTCTGCGGTTCGCGAAGTAGCAATGCAGCGGCTTCACCATTCAATGGATCAGAAGCATTAGGGTAGCGAAGCAATTGAGGAAGGAAAACTTCAAAAATGTTAATCATATCAAACATAGGAGACCAAGTCTGATTAATGACGTCCAAGCAAACACTTCCGCTGAGCTCGTCAATGTTTGGATGGAAGATTCGATTTACAAATCCAATACTGGGAGACTTCCAAGGATACTCGCTTGGCAATTCCACATGAATTTTCCAAACTCCTTCCGCATACGGAGTCTCATCAGGGCCGTGAAAGCGAACATAGAATTCTTGCATATTATCATTTACAAGAGTAACCTCATAGTCACTCATCAACAATTTCATAACGTCAGTCTCAATTCTTCTTCTAGGGCTCGACATTTTTTGCGTAATTATAAAAGAAGAGTAAAAGTGACTAAAAAAAAAGAACTCAAGCTTGTGTCTAAAAAGAAAGGTTTCAAAAACAATGGATACTACCAAATAGGCAAATTCGTAGTCAGAAGATTTTCCAGAAATATGTAATGGTATATAAGAAAAAATAAATTTCTTAAAAAAAGTAGCTTTGTCTCAAGAAAAATTAGTTGACAAAATTCGAAGAGTGCAGCTTACGTGTCGTGGTGTAGCTAGCTATAGGTAAGTGTGCTTAGTTCTTCATAAAATGGATATAAAGCTTTATAGTAATATTACATATAATGGAATTGTTTTTCTCGAAATACTATTTTTCTGGCATAAAACTGTTTGTATCTTTCAAAATGAAAGTCGAAATATTTATGAGCGTGAAATCGGTATAGTTCACAAGTCTTGCCCGTTGCAATTCAAGCTGGTATCCAAGTGAACGAAGGCAAAACAGAAAAAAAGTACATTGAAGAAACAGCATACTTCAGAATGAAAACAAATATCGGAAAGAATTTTCTAGCCATTTATTTTTATTTTTTTATAACTGTGCATTGGGAAATCAAATAAAGCTCAACCTTGCTGACGAGTCTTTTCAAGCGAGTTTGAGCAAGGAAGAACTTCTTATGAACGTTTATAAAGTTGGAAGTTTGAAATCACCCTGCTTGACACTTTTGAATTCGTTTCGAAAACCAGCCTTTATTAATTATTGTCTTTGGCCAAACTTCTTTCTAATCAAAGTCGGACAGCTCAGTGGCCAACCTTCAGAATTCCCATTTCACATAAAACATAGAATGAAGAAATATTATCCATTATTTCAAACCATTTCGGACATTCTCCTAGTGTAGAATCGACATGTATCTTATTAAAGAGGAAATGTTACCTTGTATTTTTATAGAGCCATACTGAAAAAACCAAATCATAAGCAGACATTAACAAGGGCAATTGCATTTATATTTTCTACAAATCGTTTCAAAAAAATAAATATACTTTCCAATTGTTTACGCCATACTCGGGAAAACATCCAGAGAATGCTTGTTTCTCCTATATCAAAATAGGCATCGTCGGTAGGTCAAACCCCAAAGCACTAAGAAATGATTGGATTCATGTAGTAGTGGAAAACAAAACATTTTATAAAAATGTCAAGGATGTTTCATCCATTCTACTTTCACCTTTTAAGAATCTAGCTAGCATATAAATGTTGCGTTATAGATGTTCTTTGATCAACTATTACTAAACCGGTCGTGTGGTTTAGATGGTTATAATTTCTGCTTAACATGAGTGTTCGCAGACGGTCCCAAGTTCGAGTCTTGGCACGATCATATTTTTGATTCCTTTCCATCCGTGGGAAGAGAGAGCATCCGGGTGAATTGGTTTTAGCTTTTTGCTTTTCCTTGAATAAATAAACCAACTATATTGGTGCATTTTTTCTCAGTAACCTTAGGATCAAAATCAGGCTTTATTAATTTGTGGTAAAACCAGTAGTATATTTTTGGAATAATGTAACGTACGAAAAGTAGGCTTTATAAAATTCGCAAATGACAATATGTTTTGTGATTGTAACTAAAAATAAAATAAAAGAAAATTGCTTGTTTGCTTGTTTACGACATTCGTAAGAAATTCTTGTTCATCATCGCAAGGTTCAACTCTTTATAACAAGACTTTCATTCATTACATAGGATGCATTCCTTTTGAAATCTTTGGCTGGGTCTACGAACAAGCTCCATCTAGTAAATAGAAAGTAGAACAAGTGGATGTCCCTAACCTCTTGCATAGGTAATATAATATAGCCTTTGTGTTTTAAGTTTGTAAACAGAACAGGGTTACAGTGAACCTATGACCATGACGGTACTTGAAGAACAAAAGAGCGATACGAAGCTATTTTATACGCCTTTCAGTGTGCTTGGACGGATTCTGTATACAAATACAAAAGAAGTGAATTAAATATATTTTCCTAGTAGCACAAAAAGACAAGACTCATGGCTTTTCGTTAACCAAAGATCCCGATTTTTCCTGACAAAGGGTATGGTTTACAACTAAACGAATGCCCTTTGCCGTCTCTGTACATTTCCCTAGCAAAGCTGCAAGCCGTTCTGGGACGCATTTGCCTTTATTCCAGACTTGAGTAACGTGCCCAAGAGCTGCCATGTAACCGAGGACAAGAGATCCGTGTGGACGTGGTCGACCACACTCATCCATAAAGTCTGGATCAACCCAGTATTCCTGTCCTTGGATTTTATAAAGTAAACTAACACCCGTAACCAAATCTATGCATTCTATATTTGCATCGGCGATTGCCGCAGAAGCACAAGTAATAGCAGCCGCCAACGTAGCTACTGTTCCATCGCTTTCAAGGACCTCGATATAAACATCAATAGAACTTTTCGGATATAAGTGTAATAGAATACTAGGGGAAAGAGCTGCCTCCAGTAAGAAGCCATAATCTTTTTCTTCAGCACTCTGCATGTGTCCTTTTCTTTCTGGCATCGAGAAAGGACTGAATTTAATTTCGCAATTCAACTTTGCTACATTCTGGAAAGAAAACGTTTTATTCGGTCTAGGACCGTAAACACTGCATCCAATCTTGATTTTACCAGATTCATAATAGGCGCTTCCCATAGCCTTGGTAGCCCATCCCAGCTTCAAATCTAGTCATATTAGCTTTCTCTCCCATTTAGCATGAGTTTAACGTACATAATTTTCTGCAATTATCCGCATTACGATCCCTCGTAAACGATGGCTGTTCAGGGACTTCAAATGCTGGAGGTACCGAGACCACAGGACCGCAAACTCTCTTTCGATCCGTCATAAATTCTTCTTTTCGGTGAGCCCAAAAAATTTGACAAATCGATTGTCAAGCTTTTGCAGCGATACCGTCAAAAGCTTAGCTTGGATTGTTGAAACTTTTACCTTCAGAGAGCCGCTGCAGATGGAGGATTGCTGACACTAAAATTATATAATGAAACGCGGTGTACCACAGTATAAAAGTTACCGATAGGAAACGAACCCACGTAGACTGCTAGCTCTACAAAGCAGAACGAACAGTTTGGAAGACGGTGGATCCTGTTGGACGAATAAGAGGATGAAGAAGAAAAAAAAAATTAAAGCATCATTCAGTACAAAACCTTTGAATGTTTGTAAGCTCAGCTCAAAATGAATCAATGATTTCTAAGCATTGTGTGGTCGCATTTGCTAAGTCTCGCTATTCCGCGTATATATATGTTTTGAGGTCATCGAATTTTCTACCACGCCAACACCACAATATCCATAATGAGTGTACGTGAAATGCATAGTGATGGTAGAATCGAAGCTGAACATTGTACTAACTTGTTACAGAACAACATGAATATAGATCAAACGGGGTCAGGCACCATTGATGAGGGATTATACTCCCGACAACTCTATGTTTTGGGACATGAGGCCATGAAGCAAATGAGTCAATCAGATGTTTTAATTATTGGATGCAAAGGCCTTGGTGTTGAAATTGCAAAAAATATTTGTCTTGCTGGTGTTAAAAGTGTTACAATTTACGATCCTCAACCTACTCGAATTGAGGATTTGTCTTCACAATACTTTCTGACCGAAGACGATTTGGGAGCTTCTCGTGCTGAAGTTAGCGTGCCTAAATTGGCTGAGCTCAACCAGTACGTGCCTGTCTCTTCAACCCCAGAGCTATCGATTCAAGATTTGAAAAAATTTAAATGTGTTGTTGTTACTGAAACTTCTTTTACAAAACAATTGGAAATTAATGACTTTACTCATGAGAACGGAATTGCATTTATCTCCGCAGATACCCGTGGTCTTTTTGGTTCCGTATTTTGCGACTTTGGACCCGAGTTTATCTGCGTTGATGTAGATGGAAATGAACCTCTGACTGGAATGATTGCTAATATAACTGACGATGGTACTGTTACGATGCTTGAAGAAACTCGCCACGGCTTAGAAGATGGTGATTATGTAAAGTTCACTGAGGTCAAGGGTATGCCTGGTTTGAATGACGGCAATCCCCGCAAGGTGGAGGTGAAGGGTCCTTATACCTTTTCAATTGGTTCTATTAATGGTTTGGGAGGCTCTAGCGCTACCGGAGGTGTCTTTACTCAAGTTAAGGTCCCTCAAAAACTCTCATTTAAATCTCTTCGCGAGTCTTTGAAGGAGCCTGAGTATGTATTTCCTGATTTTGGAAAAATGACGCGTCCTCCTCAGTATCATGTTGCCTTCCAAGCGCTTTCTTCTTTTGCTGACACACATGATGGTGTTTTGCCTCGTCCCAGAAATAATGCCGACGCTAATGAATTTCTCCAAATTGCCAAAAAAATCGGCGGTTCTTTCGATTCTGAGTTAGAATTGGATGAAAACCTTATTAGAGAAGTTTCTTATCAGGCCAGAGGTGACCTTGTCGCTATGTGTGCTTTCCTTGGTGGTATTGTTGCTCAAGAAGTCTTGAAGTCTACCACAAGCAAATTTTTTCCTTTTAAACAATTCTTCTACTTTGACTCCCTTGAAAGCCTTCCTGCCTCCGTGCAGCTCGATGAAGAAGCCTGCAAACCTCGTGGTTCCCGCTATGATGGTCAAATTGCAGTCTTTGGAGAGGAGTTTCAACAAAAATTGAGCTCCTTGAATCAATTCTTGGTCGGTGCCGGTGCCATTGGCTGTGAGATGTTGAAGAATTGGTCTATGATGGGTGTCTCAACGGGTGAAGATGGTCATATTCATGTTACCGATATGGATTCCATCGAGAAATCAAACCTAAACCGTCAATTCCTTTTCAGACCTCGTGATGTTGGCAAATTAAAGGCTGAATGTGCTGCCAATGCTGTTGCCGCTATGAATCCTTCTTTGACTGGAAAAATAACCTCTTATCAAGAACGTGTAGGACCAGAAAGCGAAGGCATTTTCGGAGACGAATTCTTTGATAACCTTTCTATGGTTACCAATGCTTTGGATAATGTCGAAGCTCGTTTGTACGTGGACCGTCGCTGCGTATTTTTTGAAAAACCTTTGCTGGAGTCTGGTACCTTAGGTACAAAGGGTAACACCCAGGTAGTTGTGCCACACCTTACTGAATCATATGGTTCTTCTCAGGATCCTCCTGAGAAGTCTTTCCCTATATGCACTCTCAAGAATTTCCCTAATCGCATTGAACATACAATTGCTTGGGCACGTGACCTATTCGAGGGATTATTCAAACAACCTATTGATAACGTTAACTTGTACCTTAGTTCTCCTAACTTTTTGGAAACAACTTTGAAGACTAGCACCAGTCCTCGTGAAGTTTTAGAGAACATTCGTGATTATCTTGTCAGCGAAAAACCTCTTTCCTTCGAGGAATGTATCATCTGGGCTCGCAACCAATTCGAGAAGTACTTCAATCATAACATTCAGCAATTACTTTTCAACTTCCCTAAGGATTCTGTCACCTCAAATGGACAACCTTTCTGGTCTGGTCCCAAACGCGCTCCTAGTCCTTTGACCTTCGACATTAACAATCGTGAACACTTTGATTTCATTGTTGCTGCTGCTAGCATTTTTGCTTTCAATTATGGATTGAAGGAGGAAACCGACCCTGCTCTTTACGAACGGGTTCTTTCCAGTTACAAGCCCGCTGAATTTTCTCCCAGAAGCGGTGTAAAGATTCAAGTTAATGATAGTGATGAAGCGCCTGAGGCTGCTGCCAACTCTGATAAGCAGCAATTGAAGTCTATTGCTGATAGTTTACCTCCTCCATCTTCATTGGCTGGCTTTAGATTGACTCCTGCTGATTTTGAAAAAGACGATGACACCAACCATCACATTGATTTCATTACTGCTGCTTCCAACCTTCGTGCCTTGAACTATGAAATCACACCTGCTGATCGTTTCAAGACCAAGTTTGTTGCAGGGAAGATTGTTCCAGCTATGTGTACTTCTACTGCAGTTGTTTCTGGTTTGGTATGCTTGGAATTGGTTAAGTTAGTGGACGGCAAGAAGAAGTTAGAAGACTACAAGAATGGCTTCTTTAATCTCGCTATTGGACTCTTCACATTTTCAGATCCCATTGGATCTCCTAAAATGAAGTTTAACGACAAGGAGGTTGACAAAATCTGGGACCGATTCACTCTTCCCAATATTACCCTTCAAGACCTTATTGACCACTTTTCTGAAAAGGAAGGTTTGGAAGTCACTATGCTTTCTTCTGGTGTTTCTTTGCTTTACGCTAATTTCCAACCACCTAAGAAGCTTGCAGAACGCTTGCCTCTTAAGATCTCTGATTTAGTTGAGCAAATTTCTAAAAAGAAGCTGGAGCCTTTTAGAAAGCACTTGGTTTTAGAGGTTTGTTGTGATGATAAAGATGGAGAAGACGTCGAAGTTCCTTTCATCACTGTCAAAGTATAAAGATTTAAATATTGATGATTTATAATGGTTTGAGATTGTTTGTACAATTCGGATTTGACAATTTGGTCTCTTAAAAAGAAAATTAGAATAGACCCTAGCTTAAATATTTTTATGTTTGTTCTTTATTTATCTTGTAGAGCTCAACAAGCATTTCTATTGTTAGTGTGCTTTTTTTAATGTTTTTGTTAGAGTAAACGATGATAATATGATGAGAAATGTTTTTTAAGTAAGTCACACAAAACGATTTTTGAATTTTGATTCATGAAACTTAACTATGATGATTCACTCAAGATTAATGTAATCATGCTAAAATTCTCATAACGATGTAGACATGATATGTCTCATTTCCTTGTCATGGGAAAATTGTTGGCAAATATGAAAAGAATTGGGAATGGAATAAGAAGTGGTGAATAGTTGTGTGCATTTGGAAGGGAATAGAATTCTCTATCTCTACATATTCCCATGAGCCTGATTGACAAAAGATGGATCAATAAACAAGTCATTCGGTTGACCTGCAAAAACTATCTTACTGGAGATTTGTTCTGGAGACAGCCACCTCAATAGTAGCTATTCCTAAGTCATGAATCATTGGATTTTTCTTATTGCTTGGATTTGTGTTTTCACTTGTTTTCTTGTTTTGTCTTGGTTCAGTAACGTCATAAAACAATATACTCCATATTGTTATAAAATATGCGTAATATTCGACAATGTCAAGGCTTTCTCTGACTGTGCAGGTATCTCACACTGTAAAAGCCATTTATTTTGAGTGGTATAAATACTTGGACGTTGTTTGTACTTCGCATAAAGACGCTAGTAATTTCCAGAACTTTTTTAAAGTAAATCGAGAGTATCAAAACGACCTTATTTAACCAAACTAGCCATAAGCTTCCAATTTGAATATTTCGACTGTCGACTCATGATATATATAGCTTTTCTGGTATAGTCAACTTAGTGTAGCTTTATGTGACTGATAGTTTCTTTTCTTTATGATTACAGGCGCCGAACTTCTAATATAAACGTTCTGAAAAGCGGTTCCATGCTTTGTTTACTATTTGTAATATGGAGGTGCTTTAAAGTTATGATATTCGTTAATATTCAAAAATATCGTAATAGCACACCATACTGTAATACCTATAATGTTAACAAAACACCTATCGTGACATGATCGTAATGACAGTTATAACAAAGCACTTGAAAAGTGGAATTTAGCGAACAATATCATACTAATAGGGTTCTTAGTATGAAACCATTAATGGACGAAAGCCTTTAGCCATTTGCACGAAAGTATGTCGTCGACGTCTAAAGCTTGTATCGTAGGTGCTTCTACGTTTAGTATTTTTATGATGTATTTTGTCCATAGTAATCAGTTCGAGGAAAAGCAGGTAAGCCACGGCTTTATAGTCATTCGTGACTAACTTCATTTTAGAGAATGTCGGCTGGTGTAGAGCGCGATGAAGAACGAAAGCGCGTCAAACAAAGTCGTTTTGATGAGTTAAATAGACAAAGAGAGTTGAACAAATTCTATGAGAAGGATCAACCGATTACAAAAAGCTCGGACAATTCTTCCTGAAATAAGACCACCATTACGAAACAATTGCTTTTAAGATTTAACAGTTATTCCAATGACAAAGAAAGAAAACACACATACTTGATCCATTTTAAATTAATTAAATGAAAAAAGGCATACTTTTTCCTAGGGATTCGTTTTCCGAGCTATACCACCAAGGATGTTAAACCGGATAATAAAACCTTAGGAGAATCCCGCAAAACTAGTTTGAGCGATGCAATGTGAGGGCGTTAAATGCACTGTTTTTATTAATGCCAACTTTTTAGAAAAGAATCATATTGTGAAGAAACATCTTGGATCTTAATTTAGTCATTCTTTTTTCTGGAGAAATCCTTGTCTAAAAAATTAAAGACTCGTGTGCTTAACAGTCGTGAAGACTGCAAACTGGGAATTTTAAATGAGATGAGTTCATCTGCAAACAAACCCAGTTCTACAGGTATGGTGACACCTCGAAGGTATTCTACCATGACTACTTTGAGGAACTTGACACCTCAGGGAAAAGGGAATTACCCTCAGAGCCCTTTGGTGAATCGAAACTTTTCGAATCCTTCAACCCCTATGTTTCGAAGCAATAGCACGCAACTGAACTTTACTAGTTCTTCAGCTCTTGACCTTGGTCTTCCTGAGGCAGTTGCAGCGTCTCCCGGGACTCTGGATCGATATCCTCGCCCTTCCCTTTTAAGCCTTCAAGATGCGAGCAGTTACCGAACCGATTCATTTGACAGTGCAGTTTCTTCATCCTCAAAAGCCGCCAAATTCTCCTCTTCCGGTGGTGGTGATTTACCGTTGTTGGGTAATGATATTATAACAAGCATTCGTATACGTCCTATCAATCAACCTTCAAATAACATCTGGACGCATGGGCCCGTCCCAAACGATCTTTACGGACGAGAATACATTCGACAAGATTCTAGTTCGAACTCTTCTGCACTTCAGCAAGAATACATGTTTAATCATGTCTTCGGCATGGAGTCCGACAACAGCAGTATTTATCAGAAATCTGTCGCCTCTGTAGTCCGTAATGTATTTTGCGGATACAACGGCATTGTTTTTGCTTACGGTATGACAGGAACTGGTAAAACATACTCTATGCAAGGAACAGAAGACGAGCCCGGCATCATTCCTTTAGGTATGCGCGATCTCTTCGATATGGTTGAGTCAAACGCGGATTCTGACACATTTCAAATTCGCATCTCATATCTGGAAATTTACAACGAGAGGATCCGGGATTTAATTAGTAATTCTCAAGAAGAACCAAAGGTTCGTGAAGGCGCTAATGGCGAGGTAATTGTCTCACCGATGACCCGCGTACTGGTAACGAGTCCAGAAGAAGTAAGTCAGGTTATTGAACAATGTAATGCTATTCGAAAAACAGCTGCTACCGACTACAATACCTATAGTTCTAGGTCTCATGCAATATTACAGGTCTTTCTTATTCGGAATTCATTGTCAACTCATACAACAAGAACATCAACTCTCAGTCTTGTCGATTTGGCAGGAAGTGAACGAGCTTCTACTGATCATGAACGAAGGAAAGAGGGTGCATTCATCAATAAATCCTTGCTTACATTAGGTACTGTTATTTCTCGACTGTCGAACTCTGTAAATGGAGGGTCCTCTTCCAGCAACAATCATATTCCTTACCGTGAATCTAAACTTACTCGCTTGCTGCAACAGTCTTTGTCAGGTCAATCTCAGATATCCTTGTTGGCAACTATCAGTATCGAGGCTCGACACGCTGTGGAATCTACAAATACCCTTAAATTTGCTATGAGAACCCAAAATTTACCCACTGAAATCCGACAGGCCGAAGCTTCTACTAATTATCAGGCCGAAGTAACTTCCTTACGTGCTGCACTAGCTAAGAGCAACCAAGAACTTGAGCTTTTTTCAAACACGCTTAAGCAACTCAAATCAGATCTAGAGGAAAGGGATGCTTACATATCATGGCTTGAAGCCGAAAAATCGCATGAAAGCGCTATTAGTCGTGTTCGGTTACGTATGGAGGAACTCCTTTCCGATCGAAACATGGAAATTGCAGACTTGAAAGAGGACGTTAATGATAAGGAGAAAATAATTTATGCACTGCGGTCGTCACAGAGACGACGCGAGCTTGCTGAGTTGAATCAATCTAAAATTCGTTTTTCGAGATTTCGAGACTTACCGAATCGTAAGTATGAAATCGACGAATCCGAAAAGGAAAATTCAACCTTGTCAAAAGAGAACGAAAGCGCAACTGGATATGTCACTGACCCTGCTGAAATGGATCAAGATGATGTAGAAACAATTTCTCTGGAAGCAATTAATTCACCACCAGCAGCCGTTTAATGATTTTTTGGGAAAGAATTCTCTTATATTTTTAGAAAAAACTATTATCTTCAGAATACTTTAAGTTCCTATGGTTCATAAAGTCCTTCATTTTATCCTTATTTTGACTTATGCATTTACTGCATTTGAAAGCACTTCACTATTTATCTTGTGTACTGCACTTATTCCTTTTGTTACAATGGTACTTTGTCCTTTTACCATTCATATCCTATGGCTTCTTTATGTTTACTTTTTCAATCTTACATGATTCCTAAATAGCAAAGGCATCTAGGTTGCAAAATATACTCATTTATGTCAGATTTTGTTGGGCTGAAGAAGCTGAATTGGTATAGTCTGACCGAAATTTAGATAAATTGGCAAGAGTCATCTTTGAACTCTATGGATATTACTACAAATTTTCTTTCTCGCAGCCTATCTGAGATTACTTCCACTGTTTCTGATGCGTCAGGTGACTTTTCTTCGTCAAGTACAAACTATGAATTTGAACAAAAATTACGCCGATTAGTTGAACATGCTTTTTGTCCGATTGTCTTTACATTGTGCTCGGAAGATACGGAAAGCTTCATAAAAGGAAAAGGCTTTAAAGATTTTGCATCTTTTATTAGACCCTTTGGCGACCATATCGAGCATGGGAATGCCTTCAACGAGTCTGCTTCAGCAAAACATGGAAACTCCCAAAACGATAAAAATATAGAAGAAGCATGCTCTATTAGATTTTTACCAATGTCAGCCGTACGAACGCCGCAACAATGGCACCGTGATCGAGCGTGGAATAAGGAAAATGAGCTTGAATCAGAACAGGAGATGTCTTATCGGTTTTCTCCTGGAGGAAACACAGAACATGTTCGTGACTTATTGGAGAAATATATTCACACTTGGTCATTAGAAGCCGATAATCAAGTAACGCAAGATTCTTTTTTGGAGCCCATGTTACAGTATTTGAAGCTTTTGCTATCTGGTAATCCAGTGGCAGAGCATGAGACATTTTCACATCCTGTTGGATGTTTAATTGTACTAACTTCTCATAATTCTAATCCTTTAGCTACCATCATGCGTCTGTATAAAGAGGTAAACAACGCAGATTTTCCTAGATTTATGTCTAGGGAGATATTGCATTACTATCTTTTTATTCATGATGAGGATGAACATGATTTAGAAACTTCCCTGGAAGTGTTTGGAAACATACAACGCAGTGTGGGCGCGAACATTAGATTTATTCGATTGCGCTCACAATACATATCTTCGAATACCATTGATTTAATCCATATGCGAAATACGCTTTCCGCAACCAACATAGACGATAATAAGGGGGACGGAAAGGGACATGAAGATGATTACTTCACTTCCTCAAGTTTGCTTTCTCCAAGTTCCGTGATTAACGGGTATACTTCAAATCCGGCGTTGTTCTCATTTGATTCAGAGTTAGCAAAAGTGCCTGAACCTATGTGGAAATCTCCTTTAGAGATCTTGAATGAAGAAGAAGAGAATAAAAAATATCCTTTAAAACCTGTAATGCCTCTGGAAGAGATTCAGGAAATGAAAAGTTTAGTAGCCACGATGCTCTTTGAAGGCATACGTCCTTTTATGCAAAGATGTGTAAAGTCTTGGGAAGAAAATGCGGCTAATTATTATGGCGGATTTACAGGGAAGTTGCTATTTGCCTCAAAAAAGTATTTAGGGAAGAACCATTTATCCTCTACCCAAGGCAATTACGATTCTATTTCTTTTATGTACTCATCGGACAAGCCAGAGGCCGTGAAACGAAAAATGGCTGATTTTTTATTCATGCTTCGCGAGTATAAACGAGCGTACGAGATTTACGACGAGCTTAGAAAAACCTTTTCTCAAGAAAGAGCGTGGAATTACTTAGCTTCTTGTTTAGAAGCTCAGATAACCTGCCTTTTAATGCAAAATCGTGTGATTACACCGAAGTTACGAACGTCAATTTTAGATAAATTATTCAATGACATGGTGCTCGTATACGCGGCAAGGCTTCATTCATTATACTACACTTCCAGGAGTATTACTATTGGAAGTCTCTTGCTAGCAACCCGACCTGGAAATTGTGTTGATGATGCTGCCCATTGGTTTCAACGGCTGACAAGTTTGAATGTAATACCCTTATCGAAATTTGAGCATGCCTTTTTTATGACTTGTTTAGCTGGATTATATACCGTCCAAGCAAATTTGCCAACTTTAGAAAAAGTAATAAATGGCCGTGAGCGCAAAGCAGCATTCTGTTTTCTGCTATCAATAAATAGTTGGACAGAATGCAACCATTCAGCAATGGCTTTAATATGCTGGAAATCTGCAGATTACGTATATAGAGATTCCCCTTGGTCCGTTCTTTCTACACATATGAAAACAATTGGTGAAGAGTTGGTCTCATCGACTAACAAAAGGAACTAAAGCAGATACATAATGGAGCGAAAAATTAAATATATTACAACCTTTTGATGATAAAATGCTTGTTACGGCTTTTAGTTTTGGAGAAATGTTTCATTCGACATGAAGAAATGCCCTAATTTTTATGAATAAAATTTCCTTTTTCAACTAAAAATTTGTTTCCAACGGTTTGTTTTATTGATTTGTTTTTATGTATTCTTTATAAAAGTAATGAATATTCAGTAAGAGTGAAACAAGTCCAGTAGTGTATGAAAACATTCATCAAAATGAACTGTAAATAAAAGATTACAATTAAGTTAATAAAGAATTGATAGATTATAACATAAAATGATTTCCACAAAATTGAGGCAAAGTGTATTTTTTAGAGAAGGATGGGTGCACTTATTATATTGGTAAACTACCTTGCCAATTTTTCAGACCTTAGATAGCATTGATGGCAATGCATGAGGATGAATCTTTAATTGATTTTTTAAAGAAAAAAGGAATATTTAAAGAGAGTCGATTGAGAAGCCTCTTTTCTGATTTCAGGAACCTTTATTTAAAGAATCCAGAGGGATTTAAAGCTAATATAGACACTTGGAAAGATGCGATAGAAACAGCAAGTTTCCATAACAAATTGAAATCTAAATTAACAGTTCGTTTTGATGAAGATCTTGAAAATTCCTTCTTTAGTTCATCATTTGGGAAACCTTTAAGCTTAGGAGTAATTGCTGTGAGTACAAGTGAAGGACTAGCTTTATATTGATATTAACAATATTTTATAGAGTTACTTACATGAAAAGGGTATATGGCCTAAGATTAGCGAGTTTCTACATGTGTGCAAGGATCCCAATTTGGGATCACAGTCTTATTTTTCACTACATTCCTGGATACAGTGGGGAAGTAATATCATCAGCTCTCGACTTCAAAGAGGAATTCAATTCGGATCCTCTTATCCTAGTGATATCCTGGTACTTGTGAAAAACGTTGAATTACTGGCCAGCCTTATACGAAAAGAAGCTCATCGATTACAAAGCACGTACACAAGCACTATATATACATGGAGTTCATTCCAAAGTACATTTGGACCTATTCTATGGAAAGATACGATACTGTCTTCAGATGAACTGGAATGCTTGTTACAATGGATGTGCCATCGAATGCATTTAATTGTCTTTGACAAGGACGTAAGTAATTTTAATTTTTAGAATGTGCATAATACTAACTAATAATTGATGGCAGACCATCAAATTTTTACCCAGCGATACTCAAGAGGGGATCCTTGAAACTGCCGATAAATCGATTGCAGCAATTATGGAATCCAGAAGCTCTATATACAAAAGCAAGGATGCTGTCAATCAAAAGATTGAAGATTTTTCTTTGAGGGTTCAGGAAGCGATTTCCAAAGCAGAGAAACTAACTGCCCTTACATATTTACGAAGAAAAAAAATACTATTGAAGGAGTCCGAAAGAAAAGAAGCAGCTCTTCTTCAAGTGGACTCTTTACTTTCCAGTATTGACGAGGCCTTTGAAAGCAAACTACTTTTATCAGCACTCTCGTCAGGCTCTGAAGTACTCAAGTCTGTTGTCGGTCAAATGGGCGGTATAGAACATGTGAATGAGATTTTAGACTCTGTCCAAGAAGCTAAGCTTGATTTCCAAGAAATCGATTCTGCCATCACTGCGACAACTGCTCCGGAAGCTGACGTTGACACAGAAGAACTAGAGAAAGAATGGGAAGATCTTATCAAAGAAGATAAGAAGGAAGAGGACCTTACTGCTATGCTTAACAGAGTATCTTTAAACCCCTCTTCTAAGCCTTTACCTTCTTCCAAAGGACAGTTGTCGAAAGGAACAGAACCCACTATGAAAGAAGCCGAGCCATCCTCATAATTTTAATGTCCTTCTTTACCGCTTTATACTTAAGTTATATGTCGATGCACTTGTATGAACTTGTACTACATTTGGAACCTGTGACTCTAATTTGTTGACGACTGATTTAAGTCAAGCAATAATAATGACTAATGTATTCTACTTTCTGTTTTTATTTTTTTTATTGATAGCTTCCTCTTAGTCAGTGTTGAGATCTCGTAAGCTTACAAAGCTTTTTGTTTTAGTTTTTAGGTATTCAGTTTCGAACATCTGCTTGTAAAAATTTATTAATTTCTACTTATGTGAGAAAAAATAAAACTTCATTTGCTCCATGCTAATAAATTAGCCATAAACCTCCGTCTTCGTAGTAACCTTTGACAATTTCCATGCAGCCTTGGGAACAGGTAGTGGAAAAGCTAAATGCTTTAGAACGCGACTTTTCGGAACAAAAAGCTCTTCAAAAGGTAACATTCATTGTTTTGGAATGTTCTAACCTGTAGCAATTGGACTTTCTTGATGGGTTTGTCTTTAAAATCGAAGAGGAACAACTTCCTCATAATTTAACCGCGTTACTGCCCTATTTGTCGCCAAAAAAGAATTGGATAAATTTTGGTATTATAATACTTATAGATAAATTTCCTTATACTAACGAAGCAAGAATCCAATGAGTTAAATTTCGAGCTTAGGAAACCATATTGTGAGCGAGCATATCGACTCTTGACTATATTCCAAGAGGAAATCAAACATTTCGTGAAAGATAAAGAAAATTGGGAGTTACTTGTGACACTAGTTTCGCTACGAGATATCCAATATAAGCCTGTTGCGTCTTTTTCTGCTAATGTTGTCGATAACACATTGTCATCTTTTTCCACAGCGACAAAGGAAGACTTTGAAAACTATGTTTTAGAATTTCAGTCTTCTCTATTTTCCCGTGATGATCGTTTAACTGAACAAGGAAGGCGGTATGCATATGAACTTCCTCCAGATAAATTCCGACAAGATCAAACAACCACGCTTCTGGAACCGTCGTGGAAATCAAAAAACCTTTTCATTCCTGACGTAATATATTGGATTATTTCGAATCAGACTAGCTTTACTATTCGGGATAGATGGCATAAATTGATTCCATCAGTGTTGCGAATCTTGAATGACCTCAAGCCTATGGTGAAGCAAAAGGGTCTGCTGCTAGTTCAGTCAATAGTAGATGTATCAGGACTCGAATTTTTAACTTATACTGGCTTAGCGGAAATTTTACGTGAAGATCTAATGCTTTTCTACACATTCTTACCCCCACGATATAAAGCGGAGACATGTGCTTCTCTTATAGATTCCTCATTTCGTTTATTAATTCAAATTGAGAAGAAGATACCAAATCTACTGGATAAGTTATTTCTGGACGGTGTCATGTACATCTTTCAGTTTGCCTCAGACAGCATTCCCGTGATTCGTCTCGCTTTTGTGCAATGCATGTGTCTCATGAACAAACTGAACGAAAGATTTTTGAGATATCTTAGCGTAAGTGATGCGATATCTTTTCTATTCTTTAAATATTATATCTAACATATATCAGACAACGTTGGATCAGCTTTGCCTACGGATACAGAACCCATTGCTTTGTAACGCCCCAGAATTTCTTTTCTTTCTTTTAGAAACGCTTCGGTCAATGTTGATTGTTTACTTTTACCGCATATCTTCCCACCATACTCAGTTTCTCATTACACTAGTTTCTTCGTATAGAAACTGTAACAATGCAAATTTGAAGGAACTAAGTCCATGCAAACAAAAAATTACAGAAATTCTTCAATTTGTTAAAGAGAATTTATCTGAATCTCAGAAGCTGGATTATCAAGCTGTATTACCTCTTATGGAATCCACAACTGCTTGATCCACCTGGTCATTCTGCCAGATACTTGTTCTCGGTATTTGCCTACTTCATTACAATGCAACGATCGGATGAAATGTGAAATTCATTAGAAAAAAATGGATTTAAACGATAAAGAGCATGAAAAATACGTACAATCTTATGGTTTGTACAAGAATCGGCCGCGAATCAACTTCGTGAAGTCTCAAGAAGAACAAACAGAAAGCCAGAAAAAAATCAAAGAAAAAGAATCTGTTTCATCTTTTTATTACTCTCTATTTTCGGAAGATGTGAAGAATGTGAAAGCAAATGCTGTCAATGACATATCTGGGTCGGTATGTCCTACTTGTCAAATATTCATTAAAGCTGAAAACCAAATAACACACGCAAAGTCTGTGAGACATTTATTATCGATAAATCATATAGATAATAAATTCCAACCTGGTCTTGTGAAGCCAGAAAGTCTTGGTTATCGAGTTTTATCCCAATTTGGGTGGTCTCCGAAAGGCCATGTTTCTGGACTAGGTGCTGAGCATCAGGGACGTCGAGCCCCTGTCCGTCATGCAAGGGTTAAAAATGATACTTTGGGAATTGGAATTCAATTGCGTCCCAACAGATTGAAACCCATTTCTAGAAAAGGTAAACGGTATTCTCAGTTTCAACATAATCGGGATGTTCGTTTAAAACAGGCGTTGTTAAAGCATTTTTCTTCGAATTACTAGAATGTTTCTATCGTTTGTAATTAGTGCTTAAATATAACGATTATATTTTGTGTCAAGACATTCAATAATAATAAATAATTATTTCCTTCGTATTGCGATAATTAGATAAAACAAACCGCTTAAACAAGAATTACCTTAACATTAATAAAGTCTTAAGTAGAGTTTCTATCTTTTCTTTTCAATTTTGAGCGAAGTCTTTGGAGCAAGGACGGCTTCTGTGACTTTGGTAGTTCGCTAATAGGAACGATTCTTCTTGTAAGGAAATTAAAACTTCCTCCAAAAGTTAAAGCCATGACGGTTGATGTTAAAATAATAACGTTGTACGGCATACTAAAATCAGGCGTAGGGATAAACATCAGCAGAGCCGATGTTCGTAATTGGCATATTTCAACATCATCTTTACCAAAAACACTAACGATGGAAGGCGGGAGGTCATATCCCCTGTTAGCATCAGGTGGGTATTCTTGAAGCCGCAACGTTGTTTTTTCGATGTCATAAGATATAACGACTGATGAGTGAGCAGGAATTTCAAACCGAGATTCAATCATGGTTCCAGCTTTACGGTCTTTTAAAGGCTGATACACTTGATCCTGAAAAAATTCAAGAGGAGATATGGGTTTGTCATTAACGGTTATCTTCATAGTATGAAGATATACACGAGCATACCAAGGTAATCGTTCAAAGTACACAATGCTATACGCCTCATCAGAGGGATTCGTAAATATTGATATGATACCAACCCAATGGTTTCCAGAATTAGTCAAAGATCTCTCAATAAAAACTGGAGATTCCGGGCGCTTTTCAGGGAGAACAGGAACAGAAATGTCCCTTGCCATCTCCAAAGGATACGAAACGACAAGACTAGGCGAATTTTTAACGAGTATATCATCCTTAGAAGGTGAAAGAGGACATTGTGTTTCAGGCAACTTATGAAAAAGGTCTTCCAAGGTATGAGAACTTGATGTGTAAGTGGCAGTTAAGCAACGCAAAGGATCATTCGCAATATCATCATTGCAAAATTCAGGGGGAGGTGGAAACTTTGTCCCCAGTTTTCTTCTGTTTGTTCTTTCCACGTCAATGACAGTCTGAATCTTGACAATCAATTTCATGGAACTAAGATCATCGGGATGGTTGGGCGCAATATCTATTGAAAGAGAATACCAGTCTGTGTCAAACAGCAAATGGCTGTCTATAAGCGAAGCAATTCCAGCTTCCCCTTTACATGGTAGAAATTTGAGCAAAGAGGAGAGATTCTCTGTGCAAACAGACTCTTGAGGGAGAGAAGCAAAATATCGGGAATGAGAAGACGTGAATGAAGACGGTACAAACGAAAGGAGAGGTTGATATGTATTTAATTCATCAATATTATTCGAAGAAAAGCAAAACAATCCTGAAAGTTGGCTAGTTAATTTGTACCAAGCCTCTAAATCTTGATCGTCAATAAAGGAGGCCCAAACCTCGAAACCCAATCCTCCGGACTGCAACCCATTGTCAGGAGGTTGCTTCCAAAATCCATAATCCCATCTACCTTTAGTCGCTCTAACATGAAGGTCCATTACCTTCTGGTCCTTCATAATTCGGGCCAGAGAAAGAGGGAAAAATTGATAATTTGGCTCTGAAAATGCATAGCCATTCTCTTTGTTTGTTTTTTTATCAATCTCAAAAGTAAATGAAGCATAAGTATGTCTATTTGACAAGTTTTCCAAGTATAAAGCTTCATTATATTGCTCATTCAATGAAGCATACCCAAGTGCAAAGAAAGAACATAGGCAAACCAAGACAAATTTGCATAGTCCCATTTTACTTGATTGAGTACACTCTTAATATTTGTTGAGAAAGAGGATATAGAGACTTGAGAAATTCCAAATGTTTATGCAGCAGATTTTCAAATTGTTAACAATGAATTGCTATTCCTGAGATAGAAATTTGGTCAAAATATGTATACTACTTAAGTCATTAAGGGAAAAGCAAAAATAAAATAGAAAAATGCTAAAGATCCAGTTTCATGAAACAGAATGTAAAACTTGCTATATAGGCTCGTGTTAGTTCATCAAAATTTAGAGATCGTAACGTGCCTAGAAACATTCAAAGAATAGCTCCCTTTAACCTGCTTTTTTTCTCGAAGTTAATTCGATTCTTCTATTAATATTGATGTATCTGACGGTGTTTTGCTGCTGTTTCTTTATTTGATTTAAAAACATATGCGGGTCCATTTGTAGCATATGCTATTACGGAACACTAAGTAATACATCTAAAAACTTGGATGAATATTCCTTTATATATCATAGGAAAGGGTGAGTATGCGTATAACAAGGTCCATGCCAAAAAGGTGTAAAATCAGACTTCTTTTATGAATTAGTTATAAAATTTATGCTTCATTTCTTCATGTTTTGCTTGAAATCCTCTTTGCATTCGGCGGGCTCTTGATATAATATGGTTTTCTCCTGGATGAACTGTCAGCAACTGTCAGAGCATTCTGAAGACTATTTTCAGCACTAGTTAGGTGATTTTTATCAAGTGAAAACTCATGGCATAAGTGTGAATGAGACATAAAGTAGAGAGTAATCTATGAGTACAGTAAGAGTAAACCGTGAAATGAACAAGCTTGTAGGTAGTATCCTACTTCAAGATGGAAGGAAAGATCATTGTTTAATTCGAAACGAAATCCTCTTCTTTTATCATTTTGAGCTGCAGTTGCCCACATTCGTTCGCCAAAGCAGGCGTTCGAAAAATTCCATCACATGAAAAGTAAAAGCCATACGTCAAGATCCAATCGTACTTGTCCAATCTTATTTTATTTTATAAAACGACAGTTCTTTGTATGGAGCTACTTCCTTATTTCCCATCTATGCGATCCCAGTGAAGAATGCCCTTTTTGATGGACGAAACTAAAAAAAACTGAGAAGAAAAATCACCCTAACGATTCGTATGCATAGTTCAGATTGCTTTCAATGAGTAAATGCTCAGAGTTCTTTGACATTTAAATTGCAAGCTCTTCCTGTCATAGGTTTCCAAACGACAATGGCAACATCGTAATTAAACAGTTGCATAGAACTTCCTTTTTATAACTTTAGTATATATAAAACATAGTCATTTCATTGTTTACGTTAAGTCTTCTTTAGCACTTTCCAGACTTCCTCAATAACTTTGAGGCTCCAAACTTGTACACTACCAACTTTTGGATTATTGGAAAGCGAGGTAAAAAAGGGGCATACTTGAAAAAAAATATAAGTATATATATGCTTTAGATTTTCAAGTTATGTTTCACGTCTTGAAATCAGTATAACTTGAGTGATTTTGTAAAAAAAAAAAGCCGACGTTTTAGCAGAGTCGATTTTCCTCTGGCTTTCGTAGGTATCAGCTCCTTTCAGTCTCTTGTGCAAGAACAAGTATATTCATAACTAATAGATTACCATCCAAACATAACCTACTGCTTCTTTATTACGAGTTTCTTTGGTTCTTTTTATAGAAATTGCAAGGCCCATCGCATTTTATCCTGTCTTTCACCATATTTACGATATTCATCTCATTTAGCATTTTCTTCATTTCTTCTTAAAAACTTTCCGGTTTCCTTATTTACCGCTTCTGTTTATCCCCCTATTATAAGCTTTTCTTTTTCTTGCTTGTGCATCCGTTTACTCTTTCTTTACTTTTTTATGATGAATAGAGACGAAAAAAATGCTTCGTTTTATTTTCGAAAAAAAAATCCTTCTTCAACAAGTGTAAAGCCCGTATTAACTCGTACACCGTCTGAGTTATCTGGTTTTAACGAAAATGAATTTAGAAGTCTGACGCCTTCTAGGATGGCTCCAAAGCCCCCAGCTATTAATACAAACTTTTCAAAGGATGCTTTTGGTGCTAGTTCTTTCGCAGCTTCCAATCCGACTCCTCGGTTATCATTGGGATCGAGACAGACAAGTTCTAATTCTATTCAAAAATTACACTCCTACTCTTCTTCTGATTCGCGCCATAGTGATGAGAAGCACCAGAAAAAATCTGCTTTTGAAAGCTTTGTCTCGAGTATGAGTTCTTTGCTTACTGGAGGAAGTGGTAGTAGCCCAACGAACTCTCATGCTTCCGGAACGAACAGCCCAAGAAAGTCAACTATTATATCTTCTCCTTTTGATCCGAAACACGTAACCCATGTTGGTTTCAATTATGAAACTGGTGAATTTACAGGAATGCCTACCGAATGGCAGGCACTTTTAAAGGTCAGTGGAATTACGAAATCTGAACAAGTCCAACACCCCCAAGCTGTACTTGACGCTATGGCTTTTTATTCACAATCTAAAAAATATTTGGAGAATGGTACCAGTCCCCCTTTCCCTCAGGACAGTGGTGAACGAGCTGCTGGTCCTTCTCCTATTTCAAGCGTTTCAACTGGTACTTCTTCCCCGGTCTATAATAATCGAAACGCTTTTCCCAGTAATCTTCAGCCATCTCGCCCGGCCCCAACACCTCCTGTTAGCACAGGCGCTAATTCTCCTATTGCATCACCAAGGCCTCTCAAGTCACCTAAGCCGTATACTTCTCATCAATCTTCGCCGTTGGCGTCCAAGAAGTCCCTCAACCATATGATTCGGAGTCATTCACCAGTGTTACTCCATTCGCCTACTTCGAATCCTGTTCAGCCAAAACACATTCGTCCAAACAATACAGCTCAAATCAATCGTGACGAATCTTCTCCAAAGCCTGCTGCATCTCAAGCAGCAGCAGAAGCAGCAGCTACACAACGAGTGCAAAAGCGTGGTGCTCGTCAGCAACCGAATGATGCAGCAATCTTAAGTAAATTGCAGTCAATCTGCAACAAAGAAAATCCAACTCTTTTGTACCGTAATTTCTCAAAAATTGGTCAAGGCGCGTCTGGCGATGTATTTTCAGCTCGTCAAGTAGGCACGAATTTGTCTGTTGCTATCAAGAAAATGAACATTAATCAGCAACCAAAGAAAGAATTTATTGTAAATGAAATTCTTGTGATGAAATCACATCATCATAAGAATATTGTGAACTTTATCGAGACATTCTTTTATAAGTCTGAGCTTTGGATGATTATGGAATATATGCGCGGCGGAAGCTTGACCGAAGTTGTCACGAACAATACATTAACGGAAGGTCAAATGGCTACAATTTGCAGAGAAACTTTGGAGGGCTTGAGGCATTTGCACCGAAATGGAATTGTTCATCGCGATATTAAATCGGATAATATTTTGCTATCCTTACAAGGAGATGTCAAATTGAGTATGTTTTATAAAGCCGTTTTAATTCTTCGTACTCTTTATTAACCTTTTTTAGCTGATTTTGGTTTCTGTGCCCAAATTAACAGCCAGATGTCAAAGCGTACCACCATGGTAGGTACACCTTACTGGATGGCACCCGAGGTTGTTACAAGAAAAGAGTATGGGTAAGTTTTCATTCACATAAGCGATTCTAAGCCTTCTTGCTAACTATTTCTTTTAGATTCAAGGTCGATGTGTGGAGTTTGGGTATTATGGCTATTGAAATGGTAGAGGGTGAGCCCCCTTATCTCAATGAAAATCCTTTACGAGCTTTGTATTTGATTGCTACGATTGGTACTCCTAATGTTAGCAGGCCAGAGCTTTTGAGTTCGGTATTTAATGACTTCCTTTCAAAGTCTCTCAGTGTTAATCCTAAACTGCGTCCCAGTTCAGAAGAACTTTTAAGACATCCTTTTCTGAAAAAATCTGTTCCTCTTAGTTCTCTCGTTCCGTAAGTAAAGCTTGGCTTGTTGACTGTTTTACTAATTTTATCTAGTTTAATCAAGTCTATTCATCATTCTAGATAATTCGGTTTCTACACGAATTCATCCTATGAAGCAGTTGAAGTGATTCAACCTACGTAATTTATTACTTTGTTTTTTTTTTCAAGTTTATAATTATAAATTATGGTTTATGAGCTCACGACTAATTACTCAACGTCTGTCACTTTTTTTTCGTTTCTCATTTCCTGCTGAGTTTGGGGGATCAGGCAAATACTTCTCTTTTACTTACATTGTGAACTCGGTTCTTTTCTTGGTTAATATAGTAATTGCTTTGATTGTGATTCATAAAATCACCCCGATGATCTGGTTCGTATATGTAAAGAATATATGGCATGAATGATTTATCTTTCGGAGACAGAATTGATGCCTTTTTTGTAATAAATCACGACTCATTCTAAATACATAGCAGGAACTATTCGTGTAGTGTATGAAAATTGAATATCTGTTATTTTACTTTTGCCAGAGAGGTATTACTGAACGGACTTATTAAACTGCAAGACAAATGAGAATAGAAAATATATATACATATAGAAAATATTTCATGACTTAGATAACTTTTACGCCTTGGGACTTGTACTTCCTTTCATTCCCTTCGTACCATTTCCAACTTACCGGGTTGGTAGGAATTATACCAAAACCAGCATTCTGTTTCTGATCGCTCAAAAGTCCCTAGAAAGGAGATATATTTACTTCTTTTTTTTACTTTTTAACTAATAACATAGGGAAAAGAAAGGAATAGCCTGAATATCTTTACTACGTCTACTTTTATACCCATACTTTTATACTGCAATCATTGGCGCCTGAAAGACTGGAAAGCTCACCAAAAATAGAAGGAAAAGCCTAAACATATTTCAATTTGAATTTATTTCTTTCTAGAATAAATATAATTTGGTATAGTCGGAGAAACAAAAACTATGTCGGCAATTATCAGCAATTCTTTCAAATCCCCTTCAAGATTCCTTCAATCTGGAATCGTTGGTTTAGCATCCTTTTCAATTCGGTTGCAGATCCCATATTTTGGATTACAGGATTTATGGAACTCTATTTTGCTAGCCGTTCCAAAGAAGAAAACCTCGTATTCGAAAAAGAGAAGTCGTTTTCTCGCTGGTAAAGCACTAAAAGATAAAACGAATTTGAATCGATGCCCTGTCTGTGGGTCCTTCAAATTGACCCATCATGTGTGTCCTTCTTGCTATAAGAGTCTTCGCCAGGAATGGAAATCCCAAGACCTCTAAAGTTATTGATTTGCCTATGTATTCAATCCGGGATTATGATCTGCTTCGTTTACAGAGCCCTTTTTTTTTGTCAAAAAATTTAATAAACTAATAAGCTTGACGTGAACTACTGCTAAAGGAGCTTTGTTCGTGAGCTCTACATATCGTCTGCTCCAGTGTTCTGAAGAAAACCCTGCTCGTAACACCTTTTAATGCTGAATACTTTGATTAAGTCTGAGTGAACTCTTTTTGACTTTGTATTTCTAAACGGCTTAGTTTATATTCGGAATACCTTTTTTTTTATGAATGCAAATCAAGTGTATCAGAACTCCCCTATCAAGTTCAAGTTTGCGTCCATAGCGTTTTCAGTTTTAAAATTAAATACATGTTTTGTTTTTAGTCCAATGCATACTACTGTAATACTCTTTTACAAAGCCAAAAAATTCATTCTACCACGCGTTGCATAAGTGTATTCGAATTTATAAACTCTTTGAATAATAGAATCTTTATATAAAAGTACTTATTCGTTTATCATTTCTTTTCGGAATGTTAGAACGTTGGGTTGTATATTCATTTGGTCTCTACAATTCCCATACGTACCGGTGTTTTTCACTTCATACAAAAATAAACATTCTTATGACTTTATCCAATTATCCTGATTTAGAGCTAAACTATAATGATTTGAAATCAAAAATATCCAACTTCAATAGCATTTTTGATCGATTCCTGCAAGATGAGCGTAAGCAGCTTCTGAACAATAGGAATGAGTATCTTAAGGAACATTCAAATATTTATGGTAATTTCACATGTCTCTACTATAATAGACTCTAACAAGGCTCCAGAAAACCAAAAGAAAACCGAAAAAACACTAGACCATTTGCGAGCTCGCGAACAAAGTTTAAATGAATTGCTGGAAAAAGAACGAGTTGAAAGAGAGGCTACTGAGCAAGAAATACAAACGATTCAAGGAAAGGCGGACTCTATGCGAAAGCGTAGACAAACCGTTGTGGATGAAATAGAGCGTTGCCGACTTGTGCTTACGACGAAACGGCAAACTAAGGAGGATTTGGATTCATTGAAGAGAAAACAGGAGCAATTAAACATGCCGGAGCTTCAATTTTGGCAAGACTATTTAGGCTTGCGAATGGAAGGTGTCCATGAAGAAGTAATACGTTTTGTATTCACCAACATAGACGAGAAAGATTGGAACAAACCATTCTCCTTTCAAATTAACCTAGCCCAAATAGACTACAAAGGTTTGTCACCAACAAACGTTACTAACTATTTACTAACCATGCTCATAAGTAACTCACTGTCGTCCTCCAGTTCCTAACTTGGATGATTTAGTGAATAAATTGAATCAATCAAGAGACTTTTATCAGTTTTTAAGAGACATACGGAAATCGTTTTCTAATTATCACAAAAATCGTCAAAGTTAATATCCTTTTAGCACTATAAGCTTTATATTTGATTGTGTTTCTATCGTTCACTTATACAAGACAAGAGATGAAACCGTCCAGGACGAAGCCGGGTGTGCTTGGATCACGCAGCAAGCCACTAGACTTTCAGGCTTCAGGACACTTAACTCTCATTTCATTCATTTCTGTTCTAATTTATTTCTTTCTAGGTCCAAGTAGGCAAATCAATTACTCATAATAAGTGATGAAGAGTAAATAGCCGTCCTTCCCCGTCAATGGAACTAAGTTATTATAATATGTACAGATATCTACCAAAATAGATATTCAGATTTAAAAATGTAACACTAGATCAGTTCGTATTAACAAAGCGAATATTTATTATGCAAAAGTCAGAACGTAGATAGCAAGAGAACCGAGGGGTAGTACGTCGTGTTCTTTTTTGCACAATTTTTCAGTTGATTTATAAATAAGAATTAGTCGAAAAATTGATACAAAACAAAAAAACGTTACAGTCATAGATAGATACACATAACCATATATATGCAGCAAACCGATTTAAGCTGCCGATCTCCAGTGGCCGGTATCAATTCGTTCTCGGCGTTGAGGATCATAATAATTGGAGTTTATAGAATTACGAAAAGAGCGTCTGAGTATTTGTATAGCTTTTTCCCCGGGTAAGCATACAGTTACTCGAAAAGGTTGAGTAGGATGAATACGAAGCGGTTGTTTTGAGGATGAACGAAAAACAGGTACTTTTTCTTCCAATGGTTTCAGTTCCTCTAACCTTAATGTCCTAGTGGGTAATTTACGCGTGGGTGTTGAATAGGGGAAACGTATGTTCAATACCACATCTCCTCGAGGACGAGATATTTTAGCAGTGCCATGAGGCCTGTTATGTGACGGGTTACTTGAATCAAACGAGGTCTTCATCTTATCGGAATAAGGTGAAGTGACAGCTGACGAATATCGCGAACTACTCAACTGTTCCTGATGAGGACGTACAGGTAATTGAGAAGCACCATTTTGATATGTACGCTGTTTATAAAGATTGTTATCAAATATAACATCCTTGATACTCAGAATAACTTCATCTATACTTCTTGATTTGCTATGACGAGTTGTGTTCTCATCAGCGCTAATTGAAGAACGAAGATGTCCAGACTTCTCCAAGTCTGTAGTAGGATGAGCAGGGGGAACAGGATGAGTATTACTTCTCCAAGTTGAAGGATCTGCATCGTCTTGCTTTTGTTGATCGCCAGATAAAGTGGGTAAAACTTGATCTTCCTTAACATCCTTACTGTAAGGAATGTCAGAAGGAATATTAGATTCTTTCGACTCAGTGACTACTCGGATTTCTTCTGCTTTTTTCCGCGCTCGTTCTTTCGATTGCGCTACTTTTTCTTCCTCTTGACGCCTACGCTCAACAGCTTTTTGTCGTGCTTCTTTCATTACACGCTGTTGCTCCTCTCGAAGATTGTTTATACCCGTAGGTGGAGAGGTAGCGCTTTGTTCTAGATTAGAGGTAGGCTGGTCCATAGCTTTGGTAGGTTCTTCGTTCTCTGAAAAGGTAGTAGTATCTTGTAGATTGTCCGACTGTTGCATAGATGTTGGTTTGTTATATTCTAATCTTTCAGAAGGTCTTCCTCTAGAATCCCAAGTCTCATTTTCTGTTGGGTCAGATGAAGCTATAGGGGTTTCATCGGAAAGATGTTCGATATTGGTAGGTGGATGATCAACCAAGTTAGAATTCAACGTTTCCGAGGCATTATCTTCGGAACTAGTGTGAGCGGAAGTATAAGTATGAGAAGCAGGTTGGGAGTGAGAGGACAAAGGTTCCGATACTTCAGGTTCAGTGGGTTTTAGAGGTTCATATTTTCTAGTTTTGGTGTCAATAACGACCGTTGTCCCATCTTCAAATTCGATTGTACTTCCCCAGTCATCATCGTCTTCATCGTCAATTTCATCCCATTTTCCCTCAGAGAAGTGGGAAGCACGACGGACACTGGTTGGCGAAGGAAGTCGGCTTGGTGAGACTTCTTCATTACCAGAGATAGATCCATTTTTACTCTGCGTATTGGAAAGATCCTTACTTTGAGCTTCTTGGTTCTTTTCCGTTTGATGAAGACGAGTGGAAGAAGAGGAGGCAGAAACAGCAAGGGCTTGCAGAGTTTTAGCATCAACGTTAGGCAAAGCATCTTGAGAATGATTAGAAGAAGCAGATAATGGGTTTGGATGCTCGAGTCCCTTGATGATATTACCGTTAGAATCATAAATTGTTCCAGCATACGAAGCTAAAGCAGCTGAAGTTGAATGGCGGGCGGCGGAAGCAGCAGCAGACGCATATAAAGAAGCAGCTGTTTGTTTACATTCCGCTGTAGCATCCGAGCTCTCAGGAGATGCTGTTCTTATCGAAGTAGCATTCGATGATAACCGTTCGGCTGAACGAAGTGCCCAAGGATTGGTATTGCTAGTACCAGTCTTTGGGGTGCCCGTTCCACCTGCGTTTCCACCAGTGCTCAGCTTTATGGATAGACGAACTTTATTGTGAGCAGCAATATGGCCTGCGCCAGATGCAGGTTTGGTGCCTGTCGTCTGTAAACCACTGTCTACAGCATTCACTGGTGCCGGTTCATCGACAACCTTCGCAACTGCCGATGCCAAAGAGGCCGAAGCGCTTTTTGGAGTCGAATTATTAGAACCTGCATTTGTAGAAGGGGAGATGGATCCATCTGTGCGAGCGGATGCTTGCGCATTCTTAAGAGGAACTCCAGAAGCCCCGTTGACAGCATTGGAACAAGGAGGTGTGGATGTCTTTCCTAAGTACGCTTTGTTCAATGAAGAAGACTTGATTTTTGGTCGCTTAAATATCGAGCTTATATTGACCGTAGGGGACGCTTTTATTTCTTCTGCAAAGGTTTTTACTTCATTTTCATGTGCTTTCTCCATGACCTAGTTATAGAGACTTTTCTCTCCTTTCACCTTTAATGGTGTGTTAAAGTGTTTGTAGTAGCAGAGATTGGCAGAAGAATACAACGCGCAGACTCCGTTCCTAAGAGTGCAGGCGGTAAGCAAGATTTGGTGGAGTATATTACAGTATTATATAATTATATCTAATATTATTACCAAAGAGGAGTTTTCTTTCCGTGTACATAATTATAACAAAGATTGGCTGTAAACAAAAGAAGCAGAAAGCAGGTCGTAACTGATCACTGGAATAGTTCTAAGGATATGAATATAGCTGTATATGTGAAGAGCTGGATCCGAAGTATGCGAGTACGACTGTTACAAGAAGAGCTTAAGCTGCTGGATCAAGAAAGCTGCTATGGTTCAATGGAATAAAGTAAAAGGAGAAGTAAAAACTGCTGCAAGAGTTCCAATATAGGTTTTTAAAGGGCTTGCTTTGAAATGGATGTGTGGTTTCAAATTGTTACTATCAGGCTTTCAAAGGTATACAATTTTGTAGGTTTTACGATCGAACGATATTACTAGGGAAGAATACTTATTGTGTAGTTTAGAAATGGAAGATTTCTCAAATAGACTTCGTTCTTTTTCACCATGTCATAAGAATGCTTCCATTTATGATTTAAGATTGTGATTTTTACACGAGGAACTTAGCATCGAATACTTTCAAGTCTTCAAATAGAAAAGTTTATAAGTTTCAAAAACATTGACTGATTAACGAAATATATTCATTATCCATTCATCATAGGCTACCACTACGACGGACAAGGATAGAAAAGAGAGGAAAAAGAACTTCCACGCCCGACCGAATAAAGCAAGTAGGATTTCTTAATGTTCGTGATGACGAATATGATAAAAGTATTCAGAAGCATAAGAAAAGATGAAAATGGCACCTACTAAATGGAGCAAAGGTGCACCACTGGCGTTTTTGCCGAGGTATTTGGCGTAGTACCAGTTGAAAAAGCCATTGCTAGACTTCTTAGGGGCGGAACCTTTGGGCAAACGAGTGTAGAAGTCCACAATACGGCCCATTCGAGCAGAACTGGGGAATGCATTTAAAGCCTAGAGGGTTAGTAAAGGATTTGGACAGGTACAGTATAATTGTTTTCGTTTCTTACTGTAGGATTAGCAACTTGAGGGGGGATAAATGGTTTCAATGAGAAGGGAGCCATTTTTAAATAATTGTTGGTGAATGGAAAGTTGAGTTTGTACCAAGCTTGGATCCGCTCAAATGGATTACGAGTTCTTTCAACCTCGGTAAAGGGGATTTCATTTTTCGTTAGCGTTTTTTAAATAATAAACAAAGTAATTTGTACATATACAAAATAAGCAATTCTTGCTGACTATAGACCATATCTTGAACGATTTGTCTATAGGAGGACTCTTTTTTCGTCAAAGTGGAATATATCTGATGTCCATGCGCCTATTTGACTTGGGTTGGCAATTTTCAAATGTTGCAGTGGAAAAAAGAAAAACATATTGAACTCAAAACCTATAACAATGCAAGGAAAAAAAGCCCCCATCCAACTAGAAAAGCAGATTCTTTCATCTAAAACGACTGAAATAGCTCGCAAGTTACTTGTCCAAATGTCTCAATCCTCTGAGCTAAGGAAGCTTTCAATTGTTCATTTCGAATTTCGCAATTCTCTCTTTCTTTCTTTTTTTCTTCAATTGATTTTTGTAATGACTTTATCTTTTCCATCTGATGTTTGGGAGCCGTTGAGATACCGGGTAATTGTTGAATAAGAGTACCAATCTGTTGAAACTTCGTGACCAAATCTTTTGCCATATCCTTTTGGACAACTGTATATTTTGTTAGTCTTGCTAGAGAGTCCAATGATGGTTGATCTGTAAAATTCACCTCGTACATTTCAAGTCTTCTTCAGAGACTGGATTCACTAGCACTTGTCAGTATTTATTCCCAAGTAATTCCCAGTGTTTTTTAGAATTATCCTTACATTTTGCATCAGATGCCTTTTCTTGTCCGGGTAATGGAACAAAATCATGCTGTGCACTCATATAATGAATAGATGAGTAAAATTGAGTTGTCACCTAAGAGTGTAAGTATGCATCCTTTTTTAATAACTTTCGGTACCTCATCAATAGTATCCTGAAGCTGTGTGCAACAAGACATCATTTTCTTGCACGCAACGTCTAAGGGAAGCAAATATCTCTGTGGATGAACTTTGAAAAAACTATGCACTTTTAGAAGTTACAGCACCGGTGTTACTTAAATACTCTTTACTGTTATTGTTTATGAACCTACAGGTGGAAGCAAGGCGCATTCGATAATAATTTATTCATGCATAGAAGGAAGAAAAAAAAAAGGGCTGATGATCCAGGACTCATCAGTAATTTCAATTTCGTAATTATAGTGAATGAAAGTTGGATACCTATAAATTATAAATAAAATTTCCTAAAAAAGGCTAAAAATTTACTGAAAGGGGTGGGACTCGAACCCACGAGCTTTCGCACTAGTGCCTTAAACTAGCTCCATAACCACTCGGACACCCTTCCGTTGTTACAACCGTCTCGTTGGTATACATATAATCCGTCTTTTTGTAATATAAAACAAACTTATTATCCTTTATCAATGGTTAAAGGGGAAATGGTTGCTAAAACTTATTGAAAGTATTAGCTCCTTGGATGAAAGCGCGTGTCTTTATTGAAGGTGTACTCCTTTGGAGGAGTCATAATCGTCTCCTTAGCTCCATACGCAATTTTTTTTTTTTTTTTTTTATTCCTCTTACCGGTTCACTGTCGTTTACTAACAATAGTTATAAGTTTTGACATAGCACACTGTAACACATTATGGTATCCTTTGCAAACGAAATACGTCCAACTTCGGTAAATACTCATGAACGAAATTGTATTTTTGGAGAAAGACTTTTATCAAACAATAGAAATGTCTTCCAATTGGGAAAAATTAAGAAAAGTAAGTACGGAGGATGCTTTTTGGATGGCTTTTACGATAGAAAGAAACAACGTTCCTAAAAGCTTTTTGCTGTTCATTATTGCTAACAAAAGGTCCTTTTTTATAGAAACTCGATAGTACAAAAAGTGGACGAATTGAAAAGAAAACAGGGAAAAAGGAGAATCTTAAGCATAAAAAACAAGTTTCCAATGGAAACGAACGTGCTTCTCAAGATGGATTACAGATTAATGATACGCGTATGAAAGAATTAAAAGATTTTGCTCGGGAGCATGATCTTTCTGAATCGCAAGTGTTCGATGCGTATGGTGTGGATGCTGGTAACTTAACGCGAAAAACCAATTTGGAGACTCTTGGAAAGTATATTGCAATGGACTGTGAGATGGTTGGAGTTGCTGATGACATGTCTGTGCTGGCTCGCGTTAGTATCGTCAATTATCATGGACGGGTCGTTTATGATACCTATGTTAGACCAAAAGAACGTGTGACGGATTGGCGAACTTGGGTAAGTGGTGTCAAGTCATTCCACATGCGAGACGCTCCTCCTTTTGAGAAAGTTCAGAAAGAGGTTGCCGACGTTTTAGAGAATCGAGTTCTTGTTGGACATGCGATTCAGAATGATTTAAAGGTTCTACTCTTGTCGCATCCACGTAGATTAATTCGAGATACAAGCCGATTTTCTGGGTTCCGAAAATTGGCAAAGGGAAAAACACCTTCTCTGAAGAAACTCGCTCAGCAGGTTCTTGGCAGAGATATTCAATCTGCACAGCACTCTTCGGTTCAAGATGCTCAAGCAACTATGGATTTGTATAAGCATGTAAAAAAGGAAATGGATGAACCTTACTTTAAACGTGGCTTTAAGGGATAGCCACTTTAGGTCTCTCTTCGATCTCTATTTTTTCGCAACCTTTCGCTCTTTCTTGATAAATGGTTTTCTAAGATACTAGGTCAAGGTGCTTCTAGAGAAGCACCCGCTACTACTTTTTGTAACGCTACTTTTAATAATGGGTCATTGGGTGTTTGCTTGTCAATAAATGGTATTTATTCATCATTACAAAATTTTAGTAAGCAAAATCATAAAATGTTTTATTTTCTTCATACTACAGTCTTGATATCAAACTGGAGCTTGAATTGCAGATGCTCAAATATGTACTATCATGTAACTACCAAATTTTTTACACTATCTTTTTTTTATATTAATAAAGTAGAACCTGAAAATTTTTGAATGGACGAAATCAGCCTAGTTGGTCTAAGTACCAAGATTCATTCTTTACATTTCAAAAATGTATTCATCTACTACAAATATAGTTTAGGTTTGCATTAACTAACGTAAGACAACGTGGCCGAGTGGTTTTAAGGCGTTCGCCTGCTATTTAGTAGCCCAGCGGATTCCCTTTGGGAGCGCAGGTTCGAATCCTGCCGTTGTCGTCATTTCTACACTTTTTCAAATTTTTGTACTTTTGGCTAAACTTTAGTGTAAGCAATACATGGACCAATTCCCCCTTTTTTCCAGTGTCAATAGGAAATGTAAAGGTGTATGTATCGTGTTAATAGGTTCAACTAATTTTTAACACCTGTTAATAATTTATATACCCTTACGTAGGACTTATATAATATGTTTGTAGCATATGAGCTTAAAGCTTATTTATAAAAGGTATGCTTATACTATAAAGTTTATGAGGACAGTAAATAATAGAAGACATGAGATTTAAATACACAAAGTTAGTTTTTTTGTTTTTTCTCTTGAAATCTATATATTGAACCGGACGTTAGGATACTTTTCATTTTTACTCTACTGTTGCTAAGTTCAGTCGTGGCATTCCCTCCTTTTGGCAACTACAACTTATATAAACAACTAGAGAAAACAGGTGTCAATAAAAGGGAAAAATGGAGTCAAGATTCATATCAGACAGAAGGAGTCGTTTTAAAGGTAAAGGCGTTTTTAAGGCTGATGAACTTCGTCGTCAACGAGAAGAACAACAAGTTGAAATTCGTAAACAAAAGCGGGAAGAGAGCTTGAACAAGCGGAGAAACTTGAATTCTGTACTTCAAAATGATACATCTGAAAAAATGGAAAGCGAGCCTATGCGAAGCTATATGGAAGGACAGATGGATGATGAATTCCCAAAGCTTACTGCAGATGTTATGTCTAATAATATAGAGCTCCAACTAAGTGCTGTCACAAAATTCCGTAAGTTTTTGTCAAAAGAAACCAATCCTCCAATTGATCGTGTTATTGGATGCGGCGTGATAGATCGTTTCGTCCAATTCTTGGAAAGCGAGCACAATCTACTTCAATTTGAGGCTGCTTGGGCCTTGACGAATATTGCTAGTGGCACCACTGATCAGACACGTGTGGTTGTCAACTCCGGAGCCGTTCCTCGATTCGTTCACTTACTTTCCTCACCTGAGAAAGATGTCCGTGAACAAGTTGTATGGGCCCTTGGTAATATTGCTGGTGATTCCTCTGCTTGCCGTGACTATGTCCTTAGTTGTGGCGCTTTAGAGCCCTTGCTTTATATTATTGAAACGAGCGCTTCAGATTTGTCTATGCTTCGTAACGCTACTTGGACGCTCTCAAACTTGTGTCGTGGTAAAAATCCTCCTCCTAACTGGTCAACCATCTCAGTTGGATTGCCCACTCTTGCAAAGCTTCTGTATTCTGATGATGTCGAGGTTGTTGTCGATGCGTGCTGGGCTATCTCATATCTCTCCGACGGTCCCAATGAAAAGATTGGTGCCATCATCGATGCTGGATGTGCTCCTCGTCTTGTCGATTTGTTGAATTCTTCTAGTCCTAATATTCAGACACCTGCTCTTCGTTCTGTCGGTAACATCGTCACTGGTACTGACGCCCAAACGCAAATCATAATTGAATGTGGTGCCTTGAATGCTTTTCCTAATCTTTTGTGCCATCATAAGGAGAATATTCGTAAAGAAACATGCTGGACCATTAGTAACATTACTGCTGGCAATATACAACAAATTCAAGCCGTGATTGAGTCAAATCTTATCCAACCATTGGTACATCTTTTGAAAAATGCAGATTATAAAACTAAAAAAGAAGCTTGCTGGGCCATTTCCAATGCTACATCAGGTGGTCTTGGCCAGCCTGATCAAATTCGTTACCTTGTGAAGCAGGGTGTGATTAAACCATTGTGTGATATGCTCGAAGGTTCGGATAACAAAATTGTTCAAGTTGCTCTTGATGCCATCGAAAATATCCTTAAAGTGGGTGAAATGGACCGCACTATGGACGTTCAAAACATTAACTTATATGCAGTCTATATTGAAGAGGCTGGTGGTATGGATAAAATCTACGAATTGCAAACCTCCGGTAATAACGACATTTATTTGAAGGCATACAACATCATTGAAAAATACTTTAGTGATGAAGATGGCGTGGAGGATTTGGTTCCTGAGACAAACGGTAATACATTCAGTTTCAGTGGTGGACCGGCAGCTAATGAAGAATTCCATTTTGATTCCCAGGACATGGCCATGTAAAACAAAAAGTGGTCGTTTCTTTTTATATGTTTAAGTACAAAGAAGGTGATGTTGGGAGTGTATAATGTTAATACTCGAAAAGACACGGGTAAATGGGATGATGTCTCAGATTGTCAAAAAAGGATTAATCTGTCCTTTGTTGTTCTCAATGGCGAGTTTATGGGTGCAATAGTTCAGATAGATTCAGGTTATAACGTGAGGTTGATTAATTAATATTTCATTTGTGTTCCTTTTTAAATGCTATTAAATATTAAAAAAAAATTACAGGTGAGACTACAAATAGGATCTCTATGATATGTAGAAATCATTTCATAATAGTAAATATTATTAGCGACTGGCCAAAGACGAAAGAGAAGGGGGTTAAGTAAAAGTTATCATTCGAAGATCCATTGCAAAAGCAAAGTGAAGTTTCGATGATCGTAATGAAAGCCAGCTAACTCGAGCAAAGGAGAGAAAGATTCAATCGAATTAAGACGGCTTATTGATCTGCAAAATGGAAACTTTAGGCAGTAGCCAAAACCTTTTCAACCTCACCAATGCTCTCATTCAAAGCTTCTTGCTGGAACTTTTGAGTCAAGATCTTGCTGTCGACACGACCTAAAACATCAGATACCAAACGTCGTTGTTGGTCTGCGCGAATCGAAGCCTCGTGGTGGACCCAGCTTTCCAAGACAGACTTTGCTTGTTGAGCTAAAGCAACTTGTTGCTCAAGTTCGAAAATCTCGGCTTCCATACGAGCAGTCTCCTTGGAAGTAGTGAACAAAACCTTGGTGACGTCTTCGACGTCCTGGAGACCAGTGACTTGTTGAATGCGTTCTTGGATAGCACCTTTATGGCCTTGACGGGAAGTTTCCAAGATGTTGGCGATGTTATTGATTGTCTTGTCGGACCACTCATTGTATGCCTTGCGGCCGAGGGTACCAAAGACACCTAAGAGACCAAGGAAAGAAGCAACGACAATGGTTTCTTCGTTAACAACGTAAATGCCCTTGGAGATAGCAGTAGCAAGAGCGGCAGCAGTAACAGTAAGAACACCAGATTTTGTCAACATGGAGGTAGAAGGAGCAGCATTGATAATTTGAGCAGCTTTTTGCTCAGGAGGGGTTCTCTTGGGGGGTTCAGCATTATTCAAACTTCTGGGAGTTGAAGAGAAGCAGCGGTTAATTGGTGCGGCCGTTCGCACAAAGGCAGCCCGTTGAAAAGCGGGTAATGTTCGTTGCACTACAACATAAGTTAGTTTAATTCATTAGAAAAATGCGGAACGATAATACATACGAAACAATCTTGAAGCCATTCCGAAGTTGTTTGCTAAAATCAAATTCTCGAGACGTGGAAAGTTGATGATCCCATAAATAACGATGTTCGCTAAGGTACTGATAAACGGATAGCGGTACTAATCTTACATCGTAAACGTTAATATAAGACGAGCTAGGAAACTACTTTATATTAAAATATTGTATTCAAGCTGCTCATAATGGTTGAACTTTCCAGGAGCCAAAATGATAAAAACATTGGAAAATGACATTTATAAGTCAAAAAAGAACTTAAATAATGTTGTTGAACTAATGAATTATATGGATCATGCAACTCACTCATTAGAAGAAGTGAATGAGGCAGCAGCAGCCCTTTGTCGCGTTTTTAGTCATTTTTTTGAAACGAAGGAGCTAAAGCGACCTGCTGCAGATGACCAGTCTGCTGGTGCGATGGTCCAAAATTGGATTTCTGATAATTTCATTTCGTTTACAGAAAAATTAATGCAGGTATATTCAGAACCTGATGTGGATGCCTTGCAGGTTTCGTTTTTGACAATAGTCTTACGTCTTTGCAAAGCTGAATCAATTTTGGACCCTAATGGATTTTTTAGAAATCAATTGTATTTCCGTCTTTGTACAGCTCTAGCTGCAGCATCACATCTGTCGGACCTTTGTGTTCAAGATTTCGTGGAGTCCTATCTCACCAAGTACAAGGATTTGCTATTTTATTTCTACAAAAACGTCGCTAAAATAGCTAGTGCGTACACAGAAGAGGATTTATCGGATTTTTCTTCAAGTGAAATCGGTACACTTGCTTCTAACATTCTTCGCATACTTACTCTTATACCTTCTCCTATTTTACCATCTTCGTCCTGGACATCAGCGCTTTCTTCAAATGTTGAAAATGCTTTGTCCTTAAAGCGCGTCTTTCAGGATGCTTGGCTGTCCGCATTGAATCTTCCTCTCTCAATCGATTTATATAAGCATGTTTTGAGTGTGATACATAAACGCGTAATTCCTTTCCTTCCCAAACCGGCTATGCTTATGGACTTTTTAACCGACGCATATAATTCTCATCATACCGTCGCGTTGCTAGCCTTAAACGGTCTTTTCACTCTGATAATGGAGCATAATCTTGACTATCCTCTATTTTATCCTAAATTATACGCTCTCCTAGATAGAAACTTACTTTTCTTGCGTACAAGGTCTCGCTTCTTCCGTTTGCTGGATTTGTTCTTGTCTTCGACTCATTTGCCTGCTACCGTCATTGCTTCTTTTATCAAAAAGTTGGCCCGCTTAGCTTTAACTGGGTCACCTGGTTCGATCGCTATTGTCATTCCTTTTATATACAATTGCTTGCAGCGTCACCCTAGTTGTATGCAAATGCTTCATCGCGATGCTACCGAACTAAATGACCCTTTTGATATTCAGCAGCCCGATCCTTTGCTGACATCAGCAATTGATTCTTCTTTGTGGGAATTGCACACCTTGCAAAACCATTATCATTCGAACATTGCTAGCTTGGCTGGAATTATGAGCCAACAGTTTACAAAGCCTCGTTATGAATTGGAGGACTTTTTAGACCACAACTATGCTACTATGTGCGAAGCTGAGCTACGAAGACCGATGAAATATGAACCTCCCATCGAGTATGAAAAGTGTACTCTTTCTTCATATCTTGACGATTCTTGGGCTTAAAAATTTGGTTGGGTTTAAATCTTTTCGTTTTTTAAATATTTGGGTTTCTATTGTTTATTAAGGGTAAATTTTGTACTGCAGATTTTGGAAATAAAATTAAGACGTTATGTCTTTAGTTGAATACATTGAAAAACATACATATAGTCAACAGTAACTGTATATATCATTCACTCTTCATATTCATATTATCAAGATACGTAAAACAATATTTCACAAAGCACTTTCTATATACTTTAATCAACTTAACAAGTTCATTTAAAATCCAGTTTTGAAGAGGTTAATCAGACCATTAGTACTGGCATCGTGGTCGTTAACCTTGCCTTCAGCGTCGAGTTGGGACAAAACATTCTTGGCAAGCTTCTTACCAAGTTCGACACCGAATTGGTCGAAGGAGTTTATGTTCCAAACAGCACCTTCGGTGAAGGTGACCCATTCATAGAATGAGATAAGAGCACCCAAAGAAGCAGGAGTGATCTTCTTGGCAATAATGGAATTGCTAGGGCGGTTGCCGACGAAGGTCTTGTGGGGAACAATTTCATCAGCAGCACCCTCAGCCTTAACTTCAGCAGGAGTCTTGCCAAGCATCAAGGCTTCCGTTTGAGCGGCAAAGTTAGAAAACAACATGCGGTGGTGCTTATTGTTGTCAATAGGGTTGTGTGATTCGATAGGAATCAAGAAATCAGCGGGAATGAGCTTAGTACCTTGATGAACCAATTGGAAGAAAGAGTGTTGAGAGTTGGTACCGGGCTCACCCCAAAGGATCTTGCCAGTAGTGTAGTTGACCATGTCACCGGAGCGAGTAATGGCCTTACCGTTAGATTCCATACTCAATTGTTGCAAGTAAGCAGGGAAACGGTGCATGTATTGGTCGTAAGGAGCAACCAAATGAGTTTGAGCACCAAAGAAATCAGAGTACCAGATGGAAATCAAAGCGGCCAAGGCGGGAATATTCTCCTCCAAAGGAGTGCTGCGGAAGTAGTTGTCCATGGCATGAGCACCACCCAAGAAAGCCTCAAAGTTCTCAAAACCAATGTATAGAGCAACACTCAAACCAATGGCACTCCAGACAGAGTAACGACCACCTACCCAGTCGCTGAATTCGAACATGTTAGCAGAGTCAATACCAAAAGCAGTAACTTCCTTTTCGTTAGTGGAGAGGGCGGCGAAATGCTTGGCAACGTGGGCAGGATCCTTGGCTTGAGAAAGGAACCAATCCTTGGCAGATTGGGCATTGGTGCAAGTTTCAGCAGTGGTGAAAGTCTTGGAAGCAATCAAAAAGAGAGTAGTTTCGGGATCACATTTGTTCAAAGCCTCAGCCAAGTGAGTGCCGTCGATGTTGGAGACGAAGTGAAGCTCCATGTCTTGTTTGCCATAAGGCTTCAAAGCTTCAGTAACCATAACAGGGCCTAAATCACTACCACCAATACCAATATTGACAATAGACTTGATGGGCTTGCCGGTATAACCCTTCCAGGTGCCGCTACGGATAGCGTCAGAGAACTCCTTCATGTGCTTCAAGACGCTGCGAACACCAGGCATAACATCTTCACCATTGACCTTCATAGGCTTGTCGGACAAGTTGCGAAGGGCAGGATGATAAACGGCACGGCCTTCGGTGAAGTTGATGTGATCACCATTAAAGAGGGAGTCGCGAAGACCCTCAACGTTGGCTTCCTTGGCGAGTTGAACCAAAAGCTTAACTGTCTCTTCGGTGATGAGATTCTTGGAGAAGTCAAAGAAAATAGGACCATCCTCTTCCTTTAATCCATTGAAAGTGTGGGATAACTTGTTGAAACGGGAAGAGTCTTTATCAAACAAATCGCGAAGGACGAGGTGTTTACCAACATTCTCGTAATGGTTTTGAAGAGCTTGCCAAGCAGGAAGAGTAGATGCCAAACTGAAGGACATTTTGAACGTGTACTATATCGCTTAGTTAGTAATAAGCCCTTATTTATCTGCATTCAAGCATATTTCAAGAATGCAGCATTATCTCTTTCTTACCTTATGCTTTGGAAAATTAGATGTTTGCGAAAGACAAATATGTATCGTTTGATCCTTTACATATTCGCGCGTGCACGTGACTGTTACGTATACCCCGGACAATTCATATTAGGTAACATCTCCAGTGTAGTACGAAAATCCCGTGTACTGTTACCCACTAAAGATTCCAGAAGGTGTTACTTGAAAGGAGACCATCCGGCAAAAAAAAAGGTGAAAGGAGGCAGGAAGATCTTTCTTTTCATTCAGGAAATGTTAGCTTTGAATGAATGGACATGAAACCTATCGTTACTCAAACCTTTGGCTTTGTTTTCATGGTCTTCTGGTTTCGATCGTCGCATTCGCGATTTGTTTACGTTTACATGATTTACATAGAAAGGATAACTGGTATAAGATGAAGACGATTAACCATTATTCAGCATAAAGGTCTAGTATAATCTGACAAGATAGTAATTTCTAATTAGTAATTGTATACCAAAAACCTGTACTCATTGTGAAAAAGCTTTTGTTTTGTTGGCTTTGCACTTGTGGGACACTTATCCTAGTTTAAATGGCAATCTGCATTGCTAAATTCTAACGTAAATCTATTCAAGAATTTGTGAACTAAAAAAATAGCTTCTTCATAACGATAGGCTCATGAGAAAAAGGAAAGAACACTGGAAATTAACATTCATACGCCCAACTCAGTTAAGGGCTTCATATCTGTAAAATCCTTCACCGCAATCAAGATTGAATCCGTCTTACAACAAGAGAGAATTAACAACTTCTATCTTAGACAAAGGTAACAATGGGGTCATCTATCTTTTAGCATCTTATGTTTCGGACGAAACTGTGTTTAGGGTTCGTAGAGTCTCTTCGTAAATAAGCATTGTTATTGCTCTAGAACAAAAACGTTAGTAAGAAGGAAGGTCGTAAGGCAAAAAAAAAGAACGTACCTTCCGGGAGCCACTTTGGCAATGCTAATTGGTAAGCCGCGGTAAAAACCACGAGCTCCGGAATCACGCAGGATGGTGTTGAAACACTGTACAAACGAGGACTGTCGCACGATAGAAACTTGCATGTTTTTTACGACAGTGTCGACGGGGAACAACATAGCCTTCGTGGTAACACCAGCCAATACTCCGCTCAAAGAAGAGCTAGCTGCTATTCCTAAGGGAGACATAGATGCATAGATGGACTTGTAAGCCATGAAAAAAAGACCCACATGGGGACCGATTTGGTATAAAGAAGCCTTCAGGCCGGGAAAAAATCCTTGTATTCCTTGAGATCGAAGGATATTTTTGATAGTGTCCATGAAACGTGGTGACTTTTTAGAAGTTGCAAACTGAGTTCGTAGAGTATCAAACGGGTAGGAGACTACGGTAGCACAAGAACCGGCGAAGGCTCCACTTAAAAAGTTCAAGATGTGTTTATTAGCCTGTAAGTTTTCTGTAAAAGCCCGACTTTTTGAAAACACAACAAACTCGGTACTACCATAAATTAAGTATAGAAGCTCTGCCGAAACATTCCCCCTCCAAAGAGCTCGATAACCTTCATTATGAAGAGTTGTTTTTAGCACCTGAAGCAATGATGAATGGGAGACTTGCATTCTAATTTTCAAGACATCAAAGGGCGCAATCGTAAATCTAAACAGGATTATCACGTTAAAGATCACATTCATATATAAACATTCAAACGAAATTGCTATATATTTCCAGCTCCTTTTTCCCTTACCTGCATATAACTGACGCGAGCCCACCGGCAAAGGTATAATGCCAAGCTGGTTGGTGGAACTCCGTTGCATCAGATTTGGCCATTCCTGGTTTACGAAAGGCACATTCAAATCAAAATCGATTTCAATCAAGGTATCGCGTCGGAAAAGCTTTTGTAAATTTCTATTTTTTCTTTTCAAAGCAGCACAAACCCGACATACAGGGAAGTTGCTGTTTCTTTGTGTTTAGAGCAGCCAGTTTTGTTGTTAGTTAAATTGGTGTTACGAATTCCATGCCAAGTCGTGCACGGTGTAACTAGTTTAATGCTTGACGATTGTAAAGAATGATTATACTTTTATTTTTTATTTGCTCTCCTGACACTGAACAAACAAAAGGAAAAAAAATCTTTCGTAAACAGTTGTGGTGTACTCATATGTTCTCAAGAAGTATCCAACAAAGCATATGCTCTTAAATAATTATTGTTTACAAGATGCCTTCATGTTCTAAAATAAAAGTCAAACTTCTTTTTCTTATAATCAAATAATGAAATAAATAGTTAGAAGTAGACCCTGTTTACCTGTATAGATTCTTTCGGTATGCGTAGAAAAGGTCACTGAACTACAAAAAACAAGACTCATCAATGTTCCCCAGATTGAGACTGATTATGAAATCATTTGCAGTTCTACAGTAGAATGCAAGCTTCGAATTTTTATCATGTTTGTACTCTTACTGTCTTCAGCTACGTTGGAAATATCGTTTGTTTACCGTTTAGTGAAGCTCCTTATGACATTTATTATTTCATACTGAGAGCCGGCGAAAGACAAACACGAACGAAATCATCCACCGTTCTCAAAGTCGTGAGAATTCCTTTGGAACGAATCTATTCATTCCTTTTTTTAGTAGATTATGGGCTTATTTCAGTCAAAGTTTGAACCGGTCGTCGATAGCAGGCGAAAGCGAATCCTTCCTTTGTTTCGTGCAAATCACAGTCAACATCGTCCATTGGATGAAGAAGGACACATGAATTGCTTACCATTAATGTTATACGGCTGCATTTTTTCCAACTGTGAGCAAAAAGAAATCATCAGCCTCTTTGAGAATACTGCACCATTTCTCGAAAAGCAAACCCATAAGAACCTAGACACATATGAATTGGATACTTCAGTCTATAAAGCACACGTTGGATTTCCAGAATTTATAGAGGGATTCGTTCTGTTTTACGAAGATCGACTTGTGTACGATGGTGGTTACAATGTTTACGATTTGACACGTAAAACCCTCGAAGCTGATCCAGAATACATCTTTGGCCTCTGTTATGAAGGATGTGCTCCACTTGCGTACCTGGGCATTGGTCTAGAATTGGATATCCAGGAAACCGTCATAGATGCATTCGCAGCAGCTGCATGTTTTTCTCCTCCTATTTCCGATTCTGCTCCCCCAAAAGAACCTCCCACATTTTGTAAAATAGTACAAGAGGGTGGTCTTTCTGTGGTTGAATTTTTGCAATTCTTGGAGAAGAATTCTTTTCAATCTGATAATCCCCCTAAGCCATTCACTATCACGTCGTTAAAATTGCAACAAGCTTTTAGAACGATGGCTGAAAGAGATTTTCTTCGGTACTATACTGCTTACCTTGCAGCAACTGCTATTCATTTACTGGATGAAAGACATGAGGAATCTGTTGCCAATCTCCTCTCCCCTCTCTGTTCTCTGTTCTTAATTTCCTTCAAGCAGATACCTTCCTTTTTCTCTACTTCTATCGTAAACTCTACTTGGAAACCCATGGCTGCACTGCCATCCAAATCTAAAACAACATAATTTACAGCTTCATAAACTACTACCATTCGATACTTCATTTCATCTAAAGTTTTTTTTTATATATATATATAATCAATTTTTACCCAAAAATTAATTTTTTCACATATTGATTCTACTATTTTGATCATTCTTTTTCGTTCTATCTCGTTAATTGAGCTTATAGAACAACCTTTAGCTTTGTTAGTCTGGAAGCACGATTGCAATAGCGACTCTCAGTATCGTAGAATCCTTTAGTGTCCCCCACCAATTTTCCACTAAATGAGTATTCCGGTTTAAACTTCGCGTTGAAACTTCGTCTCAAGAACCATAACCTCTAAAAGCAGTTTCTTACGGTCCAATTATTCAGATTGGTTTTCCTATCCCCCAATTTTCTCCCTTCTCTTATATTCAGAAAATTGATTCCATCGTTTTTCTCGTAGTTCATCGAAAAGTCGTTTCTACTGAATTGTAGAAAGGCTTTTTGTTTGTATTTTATCGTTACTTGTTCACAGTTTATATTCTTCAAGTTTTATGCAGTCGGTGTTTTTCTAGGTTTTTTTTCTTCGTGCATATGCTGAAAAGGGCTCGTTATGTAGCTCTCCATACTCCCTTTCCATTTCATGGATTTCCATGCCAAGTCTTCAGAAAGTGTACCGTGTCTCAGAGTCATCAAAGGTGGTTGACGAGCTCTCACGGTGAAGTTTCATATCCCCACTCTCCTTTAGAGCTAAAAATTTCACCGTCAGCCATCAAGCTGGAGACCACTCGAAATGTGGGTTCTCAGCCCCTTGGACTCCCTTTACGCACTTTAACGGATGACTTAAACAAACGGATGCAAGAGTTATATGACAATGGAGACTACAAAGCTTGTGTCTCTGACTTTCGTAAAGCTCTCCCAAAGTTCAGAAATGACTGGCTTAAAAATGAAAGATTTATTCATTGTTGTATCCTGGCATGTTCTTGTTATGATAAGCTATCTCAACCTTTGAAAATCAAAAGGGTGTATGGAATCTTAACGAGTAAGAAATCAACCCTCACTCCTCAGTTAAACCGAATGTTTCTATCATATGCTACCGGGTGTATTAATTATGGTCACAAATCTGCCCTAGAATGCTTTGATAATTCCCCAAAAGAACTTATTGATTATAATCTTTGGTTGGCCTGGCTTTGCTTCTCAAGAGCCCCTGCAATTGTCGTCTGGATGACTTTTACTCGCCTTTGCTCTGCCGGTCATACACCTAGCGTTGAAACATACGAGCATTTGTTTTTATCTTTTTCCTCTCAAAAACACGACTTTCTTTTTGATAAATCCTACGACTTATTTCACAAGGACAGCTGTCCTTGGCGACCGCTTACTTTTAGAATTTTAGCAGAATCATTCGTTCGCTTACAGCGCTTGTCTGACGCTGAAAGTATAATTCGCAGTTTCATTCAGAAAAATCCCAATAAACCCCCTAATGAGGCGCTATTCATTCCCCTGCTTCGGCATTATGCAGCTACTTTCGACCTTTCTAGCATGGAAAAGATTCTCTCATTAATGAACGACTGTAATACCGATATATCTACCATGACTCTTAATGTTTTCTTACGTATGGCATTTCAAAGGCCAGATCACAAAAGCTCTTTTCAATTTTGTTTAACTAAAATTTCTCAGCTTGTCAAAAATAATGTCCAGCTTGACTTCGATTCGATTCTGTTAATTTCGCAGTTTATGAATCAGGTTCGTGTACCTGAAAATATGAAACCGTGGATTGATTCCCTAATCTCTCGTTTTTGTTTACCCGATCACTGCTCACTCCCAGTTCTTCGTAAAATCCAAGAGCATGCTTTTTGTTATCCATTATTGCAGTCCAAGCTACCGCTTGCTATTGAAACTCTGAGATTAACAGGATTTGACTGGAATGTAGCCACTTTGTACATCAATTGGTTATTTTCGTGTAAACGAGTCACTGATGCTATAAACTTTTTTTACTCAGTTACAATTGATATTGGTAATCGCCCGTCACCAGAATTATTTCATACGTTTATGTCTGGCTTATTAGCTGCTGCACCTTCTGAGAAGGTGTTAAAGACAGTACACGAAATTCAGTCTAAATACCCATTGATTTGTGATTCGTCTAGCACAAATCATATCATCTTGTTTCTGAAATCTATTTCATTTAGCTCAACTCCATCAACAGTAAGACGTTTGATGCAAATCTTTGAAGCCGATACTTCTGTCTCTTCAAATTCGTTGATGTTAGCTGTTGCGGAATGGTTATTTACAAGAGATTTATTTCAGAGCTCACTTTTGTATGCAACAAAGGTTATTGAAATGGGCACCTCCTATAATTTTTTCCGTCCCCAAGTTTTAATTTGCTGGTGTTATTATCGACTGAGAGATTTTCGGTCTTTATCCCACCACGTTACTTACCTCTTGCAAACAGATAATGCGGCTTTATTAAGAGCGCTGGCTACAAGTTTGAAGCGCATGTCTCAAAATGAATGTAATTTAATTAACAAGCAGCTATTGATGAATTTGAAGTACAGGGTATCCCTTGGAGCGCAACCATCTCGGAGCCACAGCCCTGATGCAAGAAGAAGGGCTCTTCATAGAGGAAGGAAGTTAAAGAAGATTTTAGTATCGGCTTTGCGAAATCAAGCTTCTCTCGGTAATTTATTAAATTAATGATTCTTACAACAGGTACAAGACTCTTCTTAACAGAAAAATAAAGAGGGGATTTTTATTGTTGCATGAATGCTATAAAAAGCAATTTTCTGTACATGAAAAGAAATTGACGTTTCTTAGTTTTGGAATGAAAAGTCATAAAGTTAAAAGTATTATCTAAATGAAAACATTTGCATGCGTTAAAAACTAATGTAAGTGACGTTTCCGTTCAGACATCTTTCAGATACCTTTTGCTAGTCGTGCTGTAATCCAAGCGTACTCGTATTGTCTTTGGTAAAAGTTACGGAAGCTTCTTCGGTTAGCAATTCGAGGAACTGTTGCGAAACTTCCTCCAAGAACAACATTATGTTTTCCGTCGAAAAAGTCTTTGGTATAATCCGGATAGAGTGCTTCTGGTTCAAACCCTTCATGCTTTTCAAGCACTGTACTAGTCCATTCCCATGCGCCTGTAAATATCTGTGGTGTTTCATCATCTTTCAACTTCGCTGGATGTAACTGTTGGAACCCAGTAGCCATTCCTTCAGTGCTTACATATGCTTCAGACTTCCTATGTAGAACTTGATCGTAGTAGTAATTTAGTTCCTCTTCGGTAGGTAAGCGGCATCCTTTGAAAGCTGCATATGCATTGAGTTCGTCGAAAGATGCCATAACTGGCCAACTTAAATAATTATCGAGAGGAAGCAGTCCGTACATTGTTTTTAGGTAAAGCTTACCATCAATTAATTTCCATAACTTCGGATAGCGTCTATCGCCTTCGGGCTTATTATTGACAAAGTTTAAGTATTCACCGTTTGAAATAGGTCGGTTTGCAATCTGAAAAGAGGGAACATGGTTTGTTCTTGAAGGCTTTTCGTTATCCCATCCAAAGAACTTTTGCTCATCGGGTTCTTCAGGATTTGAATTGCTATATCGATCATTACGTACAGGTAAGCCGAGAAGAACTTGTCCATTATAATATTTAATCCAGCTAGGATCCTTCTTTAACTTGGGTATTTTACATGGAGGCAGGCCACATATGAAGTTATTCTGCTTTGGATCTTGGAAAGACTGTACATAAATATACAGCGTTGTCTCAATATGCATCGCGACGTGTTCATAACATAACCATACAATACGTTTTTGGAACGGCGATAATGTATGGCTTCCATCATATAATTTCAAGATGTGATTTTGCCAAGAGGCAATCTCATAAGAGCGTAACTCATTCGGAGAAGGCCAATTAGTAGGGATTTGTGAATGCCAATGGCAATTTTCAGGGTTTTCAACATCGGGATCGATACCTCTTTGGAACCAATCCCAATATTGCCTTTTAGATGCAGTAACAGGATTCTCAAAGATGCGAGATAGATAGATATCGTTAAAGACTGGAATATGGCCCATATAGAAAACAAAAGGGTGTCTCAATGGAATCCATACCTTAAAGATGTTTGAATCATTAAGGAGCTTGTTGGTAATAAAAATCCAAATGTCTCTAATTCCTGACCATTCTCTAAGAGAAATTGGAGCTTCCTTGGGAAGCTGAGGCAACTTTGGAAAAGACTTGGATCCTACATAGATGGAGTAGCTAGGGATGGCATTTGTATAGACGGTGTCGACTTCAAAGTTACTATTGCGAATGATTTCACGACATTCATCATCATTGCTTTTCCAACTCTCCTCACATAGAAGATGATGGCCGGCTTTAAAATTAAAGACCATAGGACCTTTTGCAATGGCGGTGTCCTTTTTAGCTCTCAGATAGGCACGATGAACGCCCAGATCTTCATCATACTTGCTAACATAATCCCAGTCATTTTCATTGAATAACTCTTCGCCAAATACACGATTGGCACTAGTAAGGATGTTTTTTTCAAACGTCTCAGTGATGTGGGCAGAGTCGTCGTAAGCACGTTGAACGAGTTCTGCTGAATTACGATGGTCAAAACTTAGGAGGAACTTGTCACCGATAGCGAGACGATCGGAGAAAGATTTAAGGAACTCGGTAGCCGAGTTGCGATTGAAGTTGCCAATGGAAGAGCCCAAATAGAGGATACTAATTTGACCATTGACAGAGCCACGGAATTTTTCGATATTTTGAAGAAACATATCAAAGCATCCACAAATGCCCGCTACCTTTACATGTTTGTAGGAGGCATGTTGTTCGAGTTGGGAGAGGCCTTTGCGCAATTCATCCTCGTTTAAGTCCAATGCGTAAAAATTGACATCTCTACCGCTACGTTCGAAGGCATCTAAGAGATGTTTCGTTTTATGCATAGCTCCACAGCCGAGCTCAACGACTGTGTTTGGTAGGTCAGGGGACAGAAGTTGTTGAGCAATTGCGTCGCTGTCTCTTTGCAAAATGGCTAATTCGCAATTGAATAGATAGTATTCTTTGGTCCCAGTGATCTGGTCGAACAGTTGTAAGCCCTTTTCATCATATAGTAAAGAGGTGGGTAGCTGACAAACTTGCAAGCATTGTTGGATGATTTCAGGAGAGAACAAAACCTCCAACGATCCAATTTTTGTGATGTTACTGCTCATTATCAAATAGTAAAACGTGAGAGAAATGGATAGTCGTAAACAAGGTTGACAAAAGGACAGAAGAAATACAAGTTATATATATTGAGAGAGAGAGAGAGAGAGAGAGAAAGAGTGGAAAACAAAGAAAAATAAAAATCAAAGAAATCAGGCTTGGTTTACCGGTAGGAGTAAAAGGGAAAATAAAGTCTGTGGTAGCTTATGTTTTTTAGTCTTTCCAAAACAAAGATTGGTAGCTTTTAAAAATAAAACACTGTCTCTTTGAACAGGAACCGAATGGTTCTTCATAAGACTTTAGTAATCGGCACCTATTTGATCATACTGACATAAAAGGACCATATAAGTGATCAAAGTGATTGGTACCGCCATGTCTCTCTTTCCGAAAAGAAGGTCGAAAGGAAACATAAACAAATTCTAATTGACTGTAAATACCAATGTATCAATGTCAACAAACTGTCCAAGGAGACGAAATAGAAACACAAACCCATTTGAGAATTTTGATCGGAATTTTTTTTTTCTTAAGGTCATAAAAGACACCTAGTAGGCATAATATTCATCTTTTTTTGTTTTTCTAACCTGTCTTTATTACTGATGAACAAGAACAAGAAATAAAATTTCGGTTGTTTACTGGTTCCGCTTATGACTCATTAGCAGTCATAATCCCTCGTCATTCTAAACTCCAAAGGTTCCTTCGATTATGTAGGAGACGAAAAAGAAAACCAATCATTGGCGACGTGGTTGGATGCCGTGTTTTCATTCGACTCTTAATGCTTCAGTTTGCAGCAGGCTATTTGTTTACGATCCAGCACACCCTTCAGAAGAAACTTTAAGACTAATCCTGAAGCGATGGAATATATTAGATGATGTCAGAGCCACCAAGTCATATAGAAAATGGGAAGCTTATTTAACAGTGCTTGTCACAAGTCTGTCTTCACCGATAAATGAAAAATCAAAAGAGATATTACAAATGAAATCCTGTTGGCTTAAATATAGTGCAGAATATAGTTTCGTCGTGCTGCTATACATAGAGGACACCTGGAGAATCGGGTAGAATGGAAAGACAAAGTCAAACAAGCAAAGAAGACTTTTTCCTTTTTTTGTTTATACTTAAATACTCCTCTCCATCCATTACATGTCAAATTCAGTAGCAGAGGGCTTTACGATTCATTTTTAGGTCCACATTCAAGACATTGTACTCTGTGTATCGTCCTAAAGAGGTTATATAATGTTGTTACTTCGCTGGGAAGCGTAGCAGCTTGTTCTATGGATGATAGGATTCGTATACAGAAAAGAACAAATGACATGAAACTAAAGGTTCTTTTTCTTAAGGTAGAACTCTAAAACTGATTACTGATTTCTGTTTTCTTTTATTTTCGATGTGTTTTTGAACGTCCACATCCATAACTGTGGAGAGACATCGCGACGCGACCATAGACGACCCAAAGAGGTGAATTGCGAGAATCAAAGGATGTAAATGAATTGATTACACAAGAAAAAGAAAAAAGATTTTTAAATAATGATTGGAATTATTTTCCAAGGAACCTGAAGTTTCTAAAACCAATTTCTACCTTTTCCTACTATTTATATATATTTTAACTTTTATACAATTCGTTTTCTATACTAGCTGTATCCATTTATTTACAAGGTTTCGAGTTTTCTGCTTGACTGAGTTGGGTTGAAAGAACTGACTGATTTATTATAAGTATGGTACCGATTTCACCTTGTTCTTCAGCTTACCTTGATTGATCTGCTTTAATAATAAACAATTCTTCATTATCCTTAAATCTGTTTTTAAAAGATGAACCCTTCCAACGGCAATAACAACAACAACAACAATGCTTCTTTTCAAACCCCACGCAATCCCTCTCCTACTACTACAAGACGTGTCTCCAAAACAAGCTCTTCCAGTGCTACAGGTAACGCTACTTCAGCGTCCCCTTTACGTAGCTACCCTATGAAGCGCACAAAACGCACTTACCACCGTTCTCCACAATTAGTGCCTTTGGCTACGTCGCAATCAGAGAATAAGGAGAATCTTTTAAAGGATACCAATTCTTCTTCCGTTAAACCTACAAAGCGTGCACTAGCGGCCTCAGAAATCATGAATGAGACTACAATGTTAGATCTCTTTCATACATCAATGTGCGACGCGACCATGGATATTACCAAACGCGTAAACAATGAATCTGGCGAGAACTTGTAAACAAATCATAGGTCCAAAAGAAAAATCAAAGGACTGATTCTTATTTTGGTTGAATGAAGTTTTCGAAATGTTTTTTTTCTAAAGACATTCTTATTCGTTGCAGCAATCCTCGTTTTCCTTATTTGTTTTGTTTTCATCTTTTTTGCCAAAAAAAAAAAGACTTAATTTTGTGCGATTGTTGCATTTCTCCCTTGAAATCCTTGATTCTTCCCTCTCTCGTCTTTCTATTTTTTGTAATTTTCAGTTTTCTAATGCGTTTTGATGTACCGTTTCGTTTTTTATTTGGGACACTTATAATTCACAATTTCATTTCTCGTCTCATTCATAGACCTTACAAGTCTATGCTTCTTCCATGATCTCTTGTCTTCCTAATTTATCCATTGTCTTTCATTTGAATCGTTATTTGTTTTTCTTTTTAACCTTTATATATCCTTACTCTAATTAATTTTATATTCTATAATCCTTTCATCCTTTGACATGGGAAATTTGAAACGTTTATACAAACTAATTTTCAATAAAAATTTTATTTTCTTCAATTGACTTTTATAACAAATCCATCAAATGTAATTATTTTTTTTTATAGAATACTTATTATTTACACTAACAAAAGGCAGACATGGTATGCAATCAATCTGTTCGAAAAAAAAGTAAAGGAAAAAGCTACATGGCAGAGAAAGACAGCTAGAAAGTTCAAAAAGCGTTCAGAAAAACGGAACGGCTTCGTAAATAGCCATATATTCTTCATCAAATGAACATGAGAACGAAACATAAAGATACGGGATAACAAGACAAGGAAACATAATCAAAAAAATACCAGCAAATTGAATTTAAAAAATAGAGTTGACAAGATCGGCACCAGCAGTAGCACCGGCACCGAAAACAAAGGCATTTCCAACATTGCTACCAAGCTTTTTCAAACCATTGTGTTTTTTAGGGGAAGAGCCTTGTGCTACAATAACTGGTTGTTGAGCAGGAGGCTGTTGAACAGCATAGCCCGGGCCAGGGTAGGCATTCGGAGGAGGATATATTGGAGTGGACGAAGAGCTACCAGGCGAAATATATTGGACAGGAGGAATTGAAGGTGGCTTTGTAGCAGCATCATCCAAAACAGAAACATAATTGGAAGGAAAAATACCTTCTCTTCCGTGTAGGCTACCGCGCCACCAGTCGTTGTTAATGTGATCCTTCACGAGGATGATGTCGCCAACACGGAAGGGCAGATCGCCGGCGTCAGGGCCTGGGAAGTTGTATAGGGCAACGACGCGCTCAGCTGGAGAATTTTCAACTGCGTGAGGATAGCTTGGAGGAGGAGGCATGGGTGGCTCTCCACCAGGATGTCCAGAATCCGTGTCCACAGAGGAAGAAGCTTTACCAGAAGTGCTTGGGTTTCCTTGGTGGGGAACATTCGAAGATGATGGAACCATAGGCGATTTTTGATCACTTTGATTTAAAGAGAGAGTAGCAACTTTTGATGCCACAGAGCTAGTTTTGGGTTCTGAGACAGAATCAGAAGATGCTTGGATATCAGCTTTTCCAGACTCCATAGAAGGACCAGCATTGGGAGCAACACCGCGTGGAGGAAGTTTTTGTTGAAGCCAAAGAAGAGCATCGGTGTCCAGAAGGCCTTCGTCAATCAACAATTGAAAGTCATTGTAGACGTTTCGAATAACGTGGTTCAAGTAGTTTTCTGGGTTTCTTCCTATCATTGGAAAATGTATTACTAAAAACAGATGAAAGAACTAAAAAAGAAAAGTGCCTAGCAAATTCAATTGAGGCTTGTGAGTTGGTAAAGTTGGTAGTGGCTATTGGTATGTTTGGATGTTCTCAACATTCGATCTTATTTAAGTTACGATTGTCCATGGTAGAAGGCAGAGAACTAACTTGGGAGCAATCACAAACAACAGAAATAAAAAAAAAAAAATTTATCTATAAACAATACGAAAGAGAATTAAAATTTGGTGAAAGAATGAATGGAAAAAAAAAGCAAGGTTTGTTGATGTCCTTTGATGAAGACGGTTTCTATCCATGTAAATCTCTAAGTCTTGGCGGACGAGTTTGAAGTAAGAAAACGATAAAGATAGAACGAAACGAAAATTCAATGATACGTGTCACAGGTAAGGAAGAACATTTCTATGAAATCCTATCAAGGAACCATTCTATTCCAAAAACGGTTGGCAAACATGACAAGGTATTCCAACACGTTGATGGTTTTCTACAAACACTTATGAAAACCAAGATTCATCTAGAAACCCAACACAATGATCTTTCAACGTTTGTTTATTTATAAATGAGCTCTAAGAGCAACTCATAAAATGTCGATAAGTAAGCTTTTGAGAAAAAAACTCGCTATTCTTATGGTAATTTGCATGCTACGGTAACTCTCCATATTGTATTCAAAGCCAATAACCGTAACCTCTCATAAACATACGCAAAGCCGGATTCCACTCAAAGATTATACTCGTTAAGCTTCGGTAAATGATACTCATGCTTGCGTCTACTCAGAAAACTGCAACATTTCTTCATCATTGACTTTGAAGAGAGTTTTTATTTGATCAAAATGCAAAGGATTCAAAAGATTGTACTCTACTATGTGTCACTCACGATCTTGTATCGCTTAACGTACTTATTTGATTTAGATGAACCATGGTCAACTTTACGTCCTTATACACCTTATCTATTTATTCTGGCATTTGGCGCTCATTTGGGTGTTACATTGTTGTATAATGTTGCTACAACTCATGATAAACCTCAAGCTTATGTGGATTTAGTCAACGTATGTGTGCCTTTATTTATTTATTTATTTTTTTCTTGAATTGTTTTCTTTTGTTAGATTTGGATTTCTAACGTTGATATGAATAGGACATTAAGGAAGCTCAAGATGCTTTAAAAGCCAAGGGTCTCGTTATTGAAGAATAAACATCCTTCCCTAGATTGACTTTTTTGAACAACCATCCACTGCGTACGCTTCCCTCTATTAAGAAGTTTCTAGGAATCGGGAGAAAAAAAACGTATTCTATTGCAGTGGTTTTCGAAATCGGTAATTAGTCTCATCCATCTTTCTTCAATCTTACGATTCTGGTCAGCTTAATTGCATCCATTCATAATGTAGTGAAATTGTTTCCATTATTCTCCTATAAACAGCCATATCAACATAAAGTTGCAGTCTATGCAATTAATACACATCTATATATTCACATATATTCCCTTAACCACTTGTGTAAAAAAAAAAAAAAGAAACCATTTTCAACAGAAGAAGAAGAAATCTCATTTCTCAAAGTAAATCCCAAAAAGATATACAGTCTATTTTCAACATATCTCTCGTAACCTCTGGCTTGAACCAAAAGGGAAATAATGATATAGTTGAAGGTTATATATTTAAGTAGAAACCTTTATTATACAGGATATTACGAACTTTTAGTTCACAGAACATTTCGCAAACCCTTCTTTTCACCATTTCATTTCAATGAAATTATTTCCTTAAATAGCGCAAATATACAGGATTGTTGGTTTCATCAACCCAAGCGTAGCCCATTGTCTCTAAAATACCGTTCAAGTTCTCCAATTGACCTTCATTGACTCGCAAACCAGCAAGCACATTTGCAGTATCACCACCACAGTTTCTGTAATGGAACAAGGATATACTGCATACTTCCTTTAAGCTTTTCAAAAACTTGCTTAGAGCCCCCGGGCGTTCAGGAAATTCAAAACGATACAAGCGTTCATTCAAAACGTCGGATTTGCCCCCGATAAGGTAACGAGCATGAGTCTTGGCAAGCTCGTTGTCACTAATGTCTTCTGCAATCATGTTGTGCTCTGAAATTTTTTGAAGTACATGAGGAAGTTCTTTCGCACGATCTTGGACAACAAACGAGGTGTAAATGTTGGCATACTCAGAGTTGTCGTAGCGGTAAGAAAATTCAGTAATGCTTCGAGGAGTAATAATACTGTGGAGTTTTTCAAAAGATCCAGGGCATTCAGGGATAGTCACACTTAAAAACACTTCCTTATTCAAACCAAGGTCGGCCCGTTCTGCAACAAAACGAAGACGATCAAAGTCCATGTTGGCACCTGACAAGATACAAACTTGAGAGGCAGAATTCGGATTTTCGGGTTTGTGCTTCGACAAATAACGTTTCATACCGGCAACAGACATAGCACCTGATGGTTCGACGACGGAACGTGTATCCAAAAAGACATCTTTGATGGCAGCACAAATTTCATCTTTGTCGACCAAAACAACATCATCGACATATTTGGAAGCAACCCGGTAGGTTTCTTGACCAACAAGTTTGACAGCAGTACCGTCTGCAAACAAACCTACATCCTTCAAAGTGACGCGCTTTTTCTCTTGTACGGAGCGTGAAAACGCATCAGCATCAAAAGTTTCGACACCAATCACCTTGACATGAGGAGCAATTCGCTTCACATAAGCACTAATACCGGCAATAAGACCACCACCACCAATAGCGCAATATATAGCGTCTAGTTTGCGGAGGTCCAATTGATGAAGGATTTCTAAACCAACAGTACCTTGACCAGCGATAACGTAAGGATCATCATAAGGATGGATGATACGAAGGTTTTGTTCCTGCGCTAGACGATTGCATTCTTGCTTAGCAATATCAAAATTAGCACCATGCAATAAGACATTAGCACCAAGTCTTTTGACGTTTTTCCATTTAATGTCAGGAGTATTTTGAGGCATCACAATCGTCGCCTTCACACCTAGTCGTCTGGCAGAATAAGCGACACCCTGAGCATGGTTACCGGCCGAACAGGCAATGACACCGCGCTCCAGCAATTTCGAGTCCAGAGAAGCCATTTTGTTATGAGCGCCACGGACTTTGAAAGAGAAAACGGGCGTAAGGTCTTCACGTTTCAGATAAACAGGAACTCCTGTACTTTCAGTAATGACGACACCTTTGGTTAAAGGTGTTTCTTCAATGATATCGTAAACGTGAGAAGTCAATGTAAGGCGCAAATAATCTGGCATTCCATCTGGTAGGAGCATATCTTTAGGGATGTCAAAAGAGACATTGGAACTTTCTTTTTCAGCAATAACCGGTGATATATTATCCTCAATGATTCCTGGAATACGAAGATCAGGGTCATTTTCTTCTGCACTTTTAGTAGTCTTTGAATTCCATCGTTTACATTGTAAGCTCCAAAATGACGATGCACGAGGCAATTTGATACTTCTTAAGGATTGGGTATTGAGAGCTCTGTGAGCCAAGCGACCCGTTCGAAGTAGCGAACCATACATATTTCCAACAACCATTCAAAAAGCATGCAATTGCGAAACCCAAAGAGAATCCAAATTTTTCTTCTTGGCAGGTCTCTTAGGTATGGCTAATGGCAACCAATTCTACTGTTCGTTGAAAACACCTTTCTAACGTGACAAGGAGAATTTCACAGGGGTTCGTTAACGTCTTGAGATCAAATCAAGAAGATCGACTAGGAATACAAATATGGATTAAAGAAAAAACAGAAAATGTCTGTTTAGGTCAAACCGAAGTCAAAGGTCAGACAATGAGTGAGTGTTGTGCTTTACGGAAAATCACTGAAGGAGCGAACTGATCAGTTCTTGCACGCCTCGCATGAAAGCCGGACGCAGTGCGGAAATGCAATCCTCATCTCCCTTCTTATAGTTGATTCGTATCTGTTGAGCTTTGCGATTTCGTAAGCTACGTTTGGACATATTTTTTCACCTCTAAACAATTTTGTATTGTTTACTTAAGATTTGCAGCGTACCTCGTTACAATCCAATGAAAAAAGTTTTGAGAAGTGAAAAACAAAAAGGCCGATTGTAGAGATGAGCATGGATCAGAAAAGACATTAAGGCAGAAAGCAAACTTCTAGTTTCAATTGGCTGATGGCTTTTGTATTACGAGTAAAGGCTTCCTACTTCCACCAACGTCTGTCCTTAATAAATAAGGTGGTCCCTATATATAGCACTGAAAAACTGTACTTTTCAATATTAAGGGCGGGGAGTCAATGTCAACAAAGAGGGATTTAGCCAAAGGAAAAATGGAAGGATCAATGACAGATCCATTCTTTTCCTAGGCAAGACACCCCTTTTACCACTTTTCACTCACAATACTGGCTTCCATTCATCACACAGTAGAGCAAGCAAGTTAATATCTTACTGAGTCTTTCTTACCATCGCTGAGTCAGTTATTGATTTCTATGTATCCAACGTCGATTCACGGTTGTTTATTTACGAAGGAGACATAGCGCTGTGCGTTTCAAGAGAATTACGTATCTAAACACAAGTCCCTATTCCATGAGGTTGATTCCTTTTGTTGATGAGGTGAAAAAGCACAAAAGAAAGGAAAGGAATAGGGAAAATACGAAAAAGATTGCAATTGGAACAGACGGAAACGTCAGTTGCTTGTTCCATAAGATCTGCCAATTGGATTTGACACAATATCAGGCATGACCTAATGATAAAATCCAATGTTTACATAACTTTTGAAGGCTAAAAGCTGGAAAGAGAGTTCTTTCTCTTATTTCTTTATGAATTCATAGTCTTTATCGTCTCTACAAACCACCAACAATCGGTTCACTCATTTGTATCCGTATCGTAATCCTCTCAAAATAGCAGACTGCCAGGCAACCCATTCCAACGTAAAAGCCAAATCACTTTTGACGTTTTCAATCGATTTAAAGCGCGAATGATTACAACATCCGGGTTCCTACTTTTTTAGTAGATTTCCTGCTAAAGTAACGAATAGCGTATAACTAAAACATTTACGAAAGATTGCACCCGTTTCCGGATGTGTGTTTTAAAAAGTCGATACTTCGGATATCTGAAACCGCGTCAATGACCGCAAGCAGACTAAATGCTCAGGTAGAAGAAGGCCAAATTCAAGTATAAATGACGGCCAGGATGCCCTGTTTTTATAATCAAATTCGACTATTCATTCGTGTTTGACTTCTTCATAATGGCCCCCGCTACTGCTGTTGCTCAAGTTCAAAATCTCTTCAAGTCCGACTTGCCAGTCGAAAAGGACGTTGCCCTCGTCAAAAATGAATACAACACTTTGGCGAAATCTTTCCCTACGTACCAACTGGATGATGCTTTCAACTTCTCTCCTATCCGTGAAAGTACTGTTTCTCGTGCCATGACTCGTCGCTACTTTGCAGACTTGGATAAGTATGCTGAGTCTGACATTGTCATTGTCGGTGCCGGATCCGCTGGCCTCACTGCTGCTTACTATCTTGGTACTCGCCGTCCTGACCTGAAGATTGCAATCATTGAGGCCTCCGTTGCTCCTGGTGGTGGAGCCTGGTTGGGCGGTCAACTCTTTTCCGCCATGGTCGTCCGTAAGCCGGCTGATGCCTTCTTGAGAGAAATCGGTGTTCCTTATGAGGATGAAGGTGAATACGTGGTTATCAAGCATGCTGCTCTCTTCACAAGCACCGTCATGGCCCGTGCTCTCTCCCTTCCTAACATCAAGCTCTTTAACGCTACTGCCGTGGAAGATTTGATTGTCAAGGCTGATCAAGATGGCAACCAACGTATCGCTGGTGTTGTCACCAACTGGACTCTTGTCAGTTTAAACCATGGCCTTCAATCTTGTATGGATCCCAACACCATCAATGCTCATTTGGTCCTTTCGGCCACTGGTCATGACGGTCCCTTTGGTGCTTTCTGCGTTAAGCGTGCTCACCAAGCTGGCCTTGTCCCACATCTCGGCGACATGCGCCCTCTTGACATGAATCGTTCCGAAAACCTCATTGTGAAGGGTACTCGTGAGGTGTATCCTGGTTTGGTTGTTTCTGGTATGGAACTTTCTGAAATTGACGGTGCCAATCGTATGGGACCTACCTTTGGAGGTATGATGTTTAGTGGTATTAAGGCCGCTCAAGAAGCTCTCAATGTCTTCGAAGAGCGTAAGGCTGCCAACGAAAAGTGCATTTAAAAATGACGTTTATTTTTGTTTCTTTTTATAAAGGCTTTTGATGGAATTGCATAACGAAATCCTTCACGATATTATATGTTAATAACATAGTTTTTGACATTCTCATATTTCAATGAATTCTTTTCATCTTAGTTTTGATTAATATCTCAGACGTAAATTATATCTCTTTATAAACGACATGTATTTGCTAATTCATCAAGAAAGCTTGAAAGTAATTCTCGTTTAGACAATACAATGTAGGCACCCGTTCGCCTAGTAGAACTTTAAAATCAAAGTGTCAATTAGTACACATTTGTCAAATAGCGATTTTTTGCTGGAATCTTTTTACAGCTGTTTTTTACGAAAGCTCATACGTGCGACCAATCTCATGCATCTTTTCAGATTCTTTATAAAAACCTTCAGATAGTATTACTCTAACTATAAGGCTAGCGCGGATTTCTTCGTTCAATATAGACTCCGATAAATACATATAGTGAAATCTCTAAAAAAGCATTGTTTCGTTCATAAAAAAGTAAAAGGGTAATAAAAAAAGTACTAAAACCGGTAGGATGTAATCAATAAATTAATCATGGAAAAGAGAAATTCATGCATCAATGAATATTACGTAGGCGTTCAACATTGAGATAGACGTCCGTATCCAAACGATCACTTTTATCGTGGATTTTGCCGAGTCGACTGTTCTGAGATTCAACTTCTTGTCCGGTAGCATATGCCAAACCCTTCAAACGACCAACAACACCATCGAGCTGATCCAAGTTCTTATCAATTTCTTTCTCATTCAGGTCATCTTCGGCATCCGGCTCAAATTGGTAACGAGAGCGCTCGAGAATAGATACTCCTTTCGTATCTTTGGTTTTGGTTGAATCTTTTTGATTCTTCTTCATAGTTTCTCCAATACGACGCTGAGACTGAAATGCAAACTGTCTATTTAAAATTTCATCCTGACGTTCACTCTCACGTTTAGCGGTCAGCCGAGCTTCCTCGGCGGCGATACGTTTACCTTTACCCCACGGTTTACCAATATGTATAGCAAACATGCTTCTATTTAAGGTTTTTAGTTCTCTTGCCTGCTCTTCCGCACGTTTTGCATGGATTTTAGCAACATCAAGATCTTTTTCAGCGCTTGCAACTTTTTCTGTTTGTTGCCCTAAGTTTTGAAGTGTTGACATTCCTATCTGTTCGGCGTTGTTCGCCATCTGCAAGGCATTCCGTGTACTCGACAAACTATCTTGCTTAACGAATTGAATCTTTTGCTTAATGGCCTCGACATCCTCGTCTTCTTCTGCCGTTGCACTGTAAGGATTCGACAAGTCAGCTTCGCCATCGTCTTTCAAATAATTCTCAGATGATTCTTGGATGAGACGTGCACCTTGAAATAATTCTTGCTTTTTCAAGTCTAACGTCGTCTGACTTCCTGGCGCACGCTGATAACTTGGCCGTTCATAACCGGAAGGAGCTACAGCAGCACCAGATCGCATTGGAGGCATATCTTTTCGGGCATAAGGATCATTGCGAATCGATTGCATGTTGTAGCCACTCTTCGACATGTTAGTGTCATATCCACTGCCTGCACTGTACGCGCCAGGATAAGAGCCACCTGAAAAACTATTGGTAGAATAGGAAGGGGCAGGTGTCTCAGATCTTGCAGCTGAGTTATTTTGCTCCGGGGCCTTGTACATATCAGGGTTGACGCCCTTGTTCTTTTTGAAAAGGCCCATAGTAAATGTTGTGATATAGGTTCAAAGAGATAGAAAGATAAGCACGAGTACGAGACGAAACCCTATGTTCTTTCAACAAGATGACTCACTTTCCCTTGTTTCAACAGAAGAATGATCGAACACACGTTTACGCAGGACGAATGCTACGCTCGATCAAACTGATTCCCACCAACTGCAAACTTTGTAAATTGACGCGTACTCTATGTCTTCTTTTCAAAAAAAGCAAAATTGCATCCAATTGGTATCTCTGAGAGAAGAACCAGGGCACCGTTTCTCAAACTGTGGAATTTATGTTGTGTGTTATGAGCAAGATTTCTACTCCCTCTACAGGTGGCCTACATGCTTATACTCATATAGCGGGCAAGAGCGATATTTAGCGTAACAAAATGTAAACAAAATTTACTAGCTTTCTTGTTTACTAGAAGATAAATAGTAATATCTGAACTCATTTTGAATTGGAATCAACAAAAAAAAGATCAAAAAATAAAATAAAATCCATTTTATGAATATTCTCTAATTTTGAGGGCTGTAGAAAATCATATAAAAGCATTTGCAAACTTACTAGTTTCGTCAATTTAATTACATGAACCCATAAAGATCATTCAAAGAAAGTATAATTGGTTGTTTTGAAATAGGTTTCTGTATATAAATTTTTTTTCGTGTACTATATAAACCATCTGAATCTTTCTGACTTCTACCAAAAGGCAAGTGATGAGTAACACATTTTTTTCATGGTTTGTCTGAAAAGCTCTGTTGACTAAAAATATTGCGTTATCTTTCTGATGCCTTTTTGTTTGTTTCCTTTTCTTTTTGGAACTGGTTTTTAACGTTTAGACGTGTTTGGTAGAATAGCTAGAGGTGATAGTGTCCGAATATGTGCATCTAATGAATGAAAAGAAATGTTTAAAATGGAGTTGTTTTGTATTTTCGTTGACTTCTTGGTATATATATATATATATATACTATCTTTTCAAACTGTATCCACTCAGTAATAAATGTTGTAGACAATTTATATGAATTGTCTACAAAGAAACCCAAGATCATATTAAAATCTTCGAAATCTTCTCTATGCGATATATCGTATTGCCATAATAAAATGTCTTTCGAAACGAATCAGGGATTTTTATGTGATTCTTTTGAATTTTCTATCTCAATTTTACATTTTGGCGCCATTTGATGTGGTTTTCTACGCGTATACTGCGTGGGTTAGGAAGCTACTTTCAAAACGTCTTTGTTTTCTTTTTCCATTCCATTCAGAACGATAAGCAAAAAGGAAACAAAGACAAAATATCATATCTAATTTGTGGTTTAATGTAACCGAAAAGTACTATCTTGTCGACTCCCCGATATTCGTTATATATGCTGCTATGTCCATCGCGACAAATCTACCCTTCTCCACGTCCTTCATTAAGGGAAGGAGGAAATCCTAGCATAAAAAGGACATAGCCAATTTCGTTCGTTGAAACGTGAAAGAAAATATTACTCTTTTCAGAGCTTGTTAAATTCTCGGAGGACCCTTATTTCGTAGAAGTATTACTCGAACGAGGAAGACCGTCTTGTTTCTCTTCGACTTTGTCTTCTTAAGCAAGAACCTTTGTTCTTTTTTAGGATAAAATAAACCTATATCGATTTTTAGAAAAAGTTAGTGTTGATAATTACTTGCTAGAATTCCAACCTTTCGAATACCCTACTACTTTGTGTAACTACCAATTTTTACTGTCTTTTTTACGCCGTATAAACAAAATGGTTAAGGAGAAAACCTTGGACGACGGATCTCTTAGTTTTGATAATTCTTCTTTGGATTTCGGTTCCTCTTTACCGGTTTCATCTGCTTCTTCTCCTAAGAAATCGAGGGAAAACGTCAAACTGTCTTTTCCCGGTGACGATGAAGACGCAACGTATGAAGAAAGTTCCACTTCTGGTCTTGATCGCTATGGTTTAACTCCTTCAGGCGAAACTTTCGCACTTCCTCATGAGCAGGAAAATCGTCGCAGTATCCTTGAAACCATCGACCCACGCGTTCCCAAGACACCTTGGGACTGGGTGGTTATCGGCAGTATCCTTTCTCAAGTCGCCTTATACCTTTTCACCCGCGGAAACACGCGCCGCGTTTTGTTAATGGCCTGCTTCTTTTTTTGGCGCATGAGTTATGATATTGGAATTGGATTTCTGCTTCATTCTCAGTCCAATGACCGAAAGGTTGTAGAGTGGGTTAATAAGCTTGGTTTCCTTGATAAAAAAAAGAATCCCAAGCTTTATGAAATGACAAAACACCAACTTGTCTCTAAAATGGATCCTTCTTATAACTTTGAAAAATCTCCCATTGAGTTTAACAGCTGGCTAGTTTTTCGCCATTTTGTGGATCTTATACTGATGTGTGATTTCTGCTCGTATGTCTTGATGGCTTTTGCTTGGACCTGTTGGCCAAATATGAATTTTCTCCTTCACATGTTGCGTTTCTTCGGAGGTATTGCCTTGATTGTTTTTAACTACTGGGTGAAGCTGGATGCCCATCGTGTCGTTCGTGATTACGCATGGTATTGGGGTGATTTCTTCTTTCTTCTTCGTAGCTCTTTGGTTTTCAATGGTGTTTTTGAACTAGCCCCTCATCCCATGTACTCTATTGGTTACGCTGGATACTACGGTATGAGCTTGATCTCTGGAAGCTATGGCGTTTTGCTGGCAAGTATGATAGCTCATGCTGCTCAGTTTGGTTTCCTTCTTTTTGTCGAAAATCCCCATATTGAAAAGACATATGGAAGTGATTCTGCCCATTCGCGTCTTACACCAGGAGATGAAGATGTAGACTTTGAACTTCCTCCAGCTCGTGATCTTGTCGGGTTGATTAATTTCGATTCAGCTAGAATTTCAGATGTCGCGTTGATCATAATCGCTGCTTATAGCATTCTATCAACTTTACTCTCTTCTAACTCTTTCCACAACCAATTTTGGGCTCTATTTCAAGCCTTTTTGTGGCGTTTCTTACACAGTGGTCTCCACGGGTCTATTTTGTTTTATCAATCTAGGGATAAAGCCTGGTCTCGACATTTCATCCGTAATGGTGAATCTATTGTGCAGGCTTGGTCTCAGTGGAAGGGATTTTATAACATTACTTTAAATATGTCTTATATTTCTTTTTGTATGGCAGCTTGGAAACTGTACCATATTCCTAACAACTGGACTTATGGACTTGTTACTCTTCGCCATACCTTAGGATTTGCTCTAATTGCTTTACATATTTATACTTCTGTCTCTATTTATGAAGATCTAGGCCAATATGGATGGTTCTATGGCGACTTTTTCCTACCTAGCCGCTCTCCCAAGCTTGTCTACCAAGGTATCTATCGGTACGTTAATAACCCTGAGCGTTTTCTTGGATGCTCTGCTTATTGGGGTCTTGCTCTTATAAGTAATTCAGCCTGGATTTTTCTGTTAGCAACGTTAGCGCAGCTATCAAACTTGGCTATAATTCGCCTTGTTGAGCAACCCCATATGCGCAAAGTCTACGGTAATGCTTTAAGGAAAGAAGCAGGAATATCAAAATTAATTAAACAAGCTACCCAAGAACACAGCAATAGGATTCCGAAGTCTATTGAGACTCATGTGAAAGCTTTGGGCAGTACTGTCGACAAGGTTCTTGAACAGACTGCTGAAGCGTTACAGGAATTTGTGAATGCAGCTCCTCCAAAAGTACAAGTATTATTGAAGGGTACGGAATCAAGTCTCCGTAGAAGTGCCCAACTTGCCATTTTAAAACTTTTTGCTCCACAGTTTGACAGACTTGGATCTACTTCGTATTCATTGAAGTTGGACCTTGAAGATTCCAAAGTTCCGCTTGGATCTCCAATTCATGTAAAGTGGACTGCACCTTTAGACCATGAAAATAATGACTGGATTGGACTTTATCGCGTATCCGATAATGTTAGTGATATTCACACTCAAGTGTCAAGTGAAGGCCGTTGGTCTGCCATAGATTTTGAAGGTTATAACTCACATGTTTCTAGCATTAAAGAAGTTTCGGAAACTAAGGATTCTGGTGAGGTGGTGTTCTCTAGAGATTTGTTATTTTGGGAACCAGGAACCTATGAATTCCGTTATCATCATAGTAATAAGCACTTGGTAATGGCTAAAAGTCAACCATTTCAGATTTACGCGATAACTTGTGAGTCCAAGGATGTCTCTGAAGTTGAGAATACTCTGGATCACTTACTAAAGCTTTGCATTCCAGAAGATAGTTCTAAATCACTACGAGATTTATCCGATAGTAAAGCAAAGACACTTTCTAATGCAATCAAATGTGTTTTTGGTATTGAACTTGGTCATCATGTCATTCAAGTTGATGGTTCCACGAAAGTTTTAGCAAGCAGACTTGTTAGTGCTAAAAAGATTCTTCAACCTTTTGATTATTCGGAAGAAAGAAAGAAGGATGTATAGCTCATTACGGTTAAATTGTGATTTATTCAACATATTTTACAGTTCCGATGATATTTGAATTTATGAAGCCTCTGTTCTTTTTTGGCTTGACCTATTAGTCTACGGCTTACTGAATTGAAATTAATGATATTTAATGAAATTGTAAACTTACGTTGTGAAGTTAAATAATTTCGATGACTTTATTTCCTATCCGTTGTCCTATTTCAATTAGCATGGTAAGTTAAGCTTAAATAAACGTCAAATTAGTAACCTGGTTACACATAATTAAATAACATATGAAAACTAAATAAATCAAAGTTGTTGTCATGCATGAATGTCATTTTCGTCCACAGAAAGTATACTTGACCCAGAAGTGATGCTTCGACGGTCTTCCCTAGTATGTTCAACAGTGTAATAAAATCGGTTCAGTTCCTCATGGTTATTGCAAAAACTTGTGAAAGAATGCTTGAGTTCTTCAGCTGTATCTTTCAATGAAACATTTTGACCTTTATTGCTTTTGTTAAAGCTTGTTTTACCTACCTTTGAATTATGTAGTAAATTAGGTAGCCATAAAAACTGAAGATCATCGTCAATTTGTACAAGCACACTTCCTGTCTTATGAATGTATTGAACGTACCTGAAGCCTGGTTTTCCCCATGAATAAACTGCTGTCACCATCTGTGGAAAAACGTCACTTCCCTCACTATCAAGGATAAATTCAAAGTACTTTAAAATTTGAATGCACCACCACTTTTTTGGATGACTATTGTCGGCAGCATAAGATAAATGTTCTGGAAGTGAAGGCGGTTCGACTGCAAGTTTGATGACAGACACCTGATTGAAAGGATTCAGTTCAGCAACAGCCGAAACTTCATGAATAGGCGCTTCGACCAAAGCCAAACCATAACGTTCAAGAATCCTTGACCAGGATTGTAGCATATTTTCTATCACACTTGCAGTTGCCAAGAGCCATTCGATTCTAAGATGAAAACAAGTACTAGGATTATGGAGCAGATCATAATGTAAAGTGACCATCTCTGAGCGCCCATGCTTCCGTTCGGGGTCGGCATCAAATAAAATACGCCTCGAGAGTTCAATTCTCAAAGGTCCTTCCTTCAAAGATTTTTGATTTTCTATTTCTTTAGTACTATTTTCTTTCTTTCGATTAAACCAACTCCTGTAAGGGCGAGTAGACATGGGCTTCGTATTAAATTCAGAAGATAATCTGTAAATGTAGTGCCCATCAAGTAATGGATGTTTCTTTCTGATATGCTCAATTAAACCACTCTCTAGTAAACTGTTTCCGAAACTTAGGGCTTCTTCTCTGGTATTAATCTCAGTAAACGTATTTACTATCCATGAGACAAATTCACTACCTAGAAAACAGTTTTCATAAACGCGATAATGCCAAGTAATATCATCTATCTTCGGGCCATTTTGTCCCTGCATTTCCTTAGCTAATGTATAATTGTCTAATTCGATACTTAAGCGTTTATTCGGCATAAATAACGATTTTTCATTGCGATTAGAGTCATTAGTAATAGCTTCCAATTCGGAATTGATATAATCTTTTAGAGATAAGGTGGTAAACTTAATTCCAAGAGAATTCGTAGAAGTAATCTGCGGAGTTTTCTTTGAGTTCTCATTCAAAGGATCAAATTCTCCTCGACGTAAAATTTCACATAATTTGCACACGCCCTCGACTCTCAGTTCTTCTTCAGTATAACTATCCTGATCCAATGCTTGATACTTTTGTATAATATTCGGAGAAAAGTTGCCTGTAGGAATCAATACAAATCTTGCTCTCCAATACTTGACTGAATCGGGTAAGTAAGTTTCAAAACCACTAATTAGTTGATCAACATAATTCCAGTTGTAATTTGCAGTGTCATTAGCATTAAAAGTTATACTAGAAGGGACGTAATCATTCGTATTCTTAGACCAAATATAATAGTCATATTTCATTTTGCCATACCCTGAAACCTTTTTTACATATCGCTTAACTTCAATATTGTATCCAACAGAATCACAAGAAAGGCAATGAAATTGACTATCTCCCAAGGCAAGATAAACAGTATTACTCCGAACTTCATTAGGGGTTGACACATACTTATTAAAGTCTTGAGAATATTCTTTAACTATCGAAGTCGAAGGCTCATTCAAGTAAATAAACGTAACAGGATTCACGACAATCTGATATCCTCGAGATAACCTTTGACAGATCATTTCAGTAAGAAGATCTTGCTGATTCATTTCAGTTATTTCAGGATCAATTCCAACTGTATAGGTGTATTCTTCAAAATTATCGTTTAATTCCTCCAGTGAAGGGAAATAACTAAAAGTGAGCGGAAGAGCACCAGGCGTACACATAGATAGCCAATTAAACCTTCGAACATCCTGTTTATTCATATATAAATGCTCCCATCTAAGAGACACAGGATCGTTATCCGCTGTGGTTTGTTTTAGTTTAAATGGGTTATCTATAATCTTCCAAGGAGTTTGGTAAGGCTTTTCAGATGACGAACCCTTCGTCGGTGATAAATTAGTTACCTCTAAATTATTAGGCTTGAGGTGGCTAGATGGTCTAGTAATGGGTGTAACCATAAGTTGGTTTATTTTAGCTGTAGATTCCATTGAAGGGAGCACGACCGGATATGGTTTTGATATAGCTTCTTTTGTACCCAACGGATTTATGGACGTAGTTGCTGTCGCTGGTTGCACAAGGAAGCCTTTTAAGTTTGAGGAGCTTGACCTAGCAGAAGGTACTTTCACCTGCGATGGAACGCGTGGCAAAGCAACATTGAAATTTTTCTTTGATGATTCCCTTATCTTTTCACTTAAACTTGACATTGTATTTGTTCGGAATGCATCTTTACGACGAGGTTTGAAATCGATGTCTTTATCACTTGGATTTCGTAGCAGGTCGCGGCTTGAAACAGAAGACAAGTTAGGAAGTTTAGCGTCTTGTATGAATTCTTTTTCTGGGCTGAAAGAAGCATTACGATATAGAGGCTGGCGAAATGTCTCTGATGGCCGAGGAAGATAATTGCTAACAAATTGTTTAGCATCATACTCTTCTTGAGCAGCTTCTTTAAATACATCACCACCTCCTAGGGAAGGATCTGATTGAAGCAGTGGGATCGAAATTTTGGCACTCTCAGCTTCTAAAACACCCATCATCTGTAGTTCATGCATTTTAGCGGTGGGTTCAAACTTGTGCTCACGCATAAGATTCTCCCAAGGAGAGCGCAATGAACGCATTTCTGTAGTACTGTAAAAGCTAATGTTACAGCCGATAGGAAATGTATACAACCAGTCACTACCGGTTCGAATATTCTTCAGAAAGGAACCAACTGAATAATTAGAAATGGAAGAGGTAAATGATTCTGGGATGCCACCGTTAGAGGTTGGCAAGGATTCAGAGAATTTTGGTAGTAGCTGAGACTTTTTGGAATTTTTGGTAGGATTTTTATAGCGAAGCATGGGAGTAAGGAATAGAGGAACTTTACCTAGAGAGACAATATCCATGCCGACGACTGTATTCAAAAGGCTCTTAGATGTTAGATGCAGCATCTTCTCGTCAACTTCATATAAACCGCTTCCGGGTGTGACAATAATTATGCTAGTACCAGTTCTCGATAAATCTCGATCGATGTAGTCAGATTGGAATTGAAAAACGGCCATGTTTATGACCTCTAGAAAGTTGCCTTCTTGGGAGGCAGTCATTCTACCACAGACATAGTCGACCTCTTTACCGAACTCATTTACAGTTTTTTGAACTAAAACATTTTCCTTGAACTTTGCTAGCTCAACTTTGAGATTAGCAAGAGTAGGTTGCCAGTCTCGACTGGAAACATTATCAACAACAACTTTAAAGAAATCTTTGTATGGACCACCTTCTTCAGATTCATTCATTGAATTTTGAGTTGGCTGTTTTACGCTTGGGTTCATACCATTATTGTCTGGGCTCCAGATACACATTGAACCATAATTTCCATATTCAACACGAGTAAACAAAATAATAGATATTAAATGATGCGCACCCAAATCCCTCCATAAAGAAAACAAATCAGGTAAGAATCCATCTATGGCTTTATTATAATTCAGTTCACCATCTTCTTCAAAATGCCACATTTCTTCACTCATTTGGATAAAGATGAGAAATTTAGCGCTTTCAGAACGAAAGATGGGCCTTGTGTTTTCTGAAAAATATGCAGATTTACATTTTTTACCATTTTTCCAGATAAAGCCTATTTCGCCTGCGGCGTTCCCTAAAAAGTAGACACGTTGCTTTTGGTAAACACACGTGTCGCAGAGCTTCCTTGACAGACGCCACATATCACTTCTGGAGATGAATTGATCACGAAAAAATATCACGACATGGTCTGCTTCAATCGCTGCTTTGTCGCGACATAGCTTAACAGAAACAGGTTCACGACTATGGCTCCCTAAGAGTGTGCTGAGTTCATGCTTAACAGAAAGCTGCAAGTTTGGGTGCTTTTTCTTTAGTTCTCCTAACAAAGGAAACGGCATAAGATAGATGGGTTCCTGTGTACGATTGGTTCTTACTCTCGATAGTTGGCTCAAGTCGTCATGTTCGCTGCCAGATTCTTTTAAATGAACGAGATTTACTTCGAAAACGTCTCCTAATTTAGCTCCAGCTACCAAATCATAATTTATAATAGCAATATGAGAAGACAATGAGGAGTCATGAGTCCATAAGTTCAAAGTGCATGACATTTTAGAGAATGTTTGTCAATTTACGCGTCATGAAGCTTATTACACATTCCATGAAAAAAATATATAAGAATAATAAACAATGTTGCAAAAATCCAAAAATTTCTAGAAAACTGAGAGCAATAACCTGCTTGGGGAAAGTATAGATGTTTCCTTAGGTGAGTGGTAGATGTACGGGTTACGGTTACGAAGATATATAAACTGCAAAAACTGAATAAGAAAGAGCTTAACAGATATTATTAGCGAAAGTAGATAGTGATAAATACAAAACGAAAGGGAGGAAAGGGTAGGTACATGTTGGAGAAGGCAATTGGCAAGATGCATGCAGAAGACCAAGAGTATAAGAGATAGAAAGTTTCGAAGCAATACTGAGAATCATAAAAAAGAAAATACTAAAAGAAAGTTTTTGGAAGTAAAAGAAGATGTTAGAGCACTAAGTTCATACTATAGAAAAGAACGACACAACATAGATCATAACACAAGCATAAATAAACATTCCGATATTGTTACTCATAAGAAATAATCAGCAATAGGTTGCTTAGTAGGAATTCCGCTTCGTTCCTGTGAAGCTGCACCGAAAATCTTGTAAGTTTGAGATTGGTTTTCACCAAGCTGCAAAATCGAAGCAACATTTCCACAACGATAGCAGTAATTTGGTGCGCTCCAAACAGTTACTACACTTCCCATGTCTTTTGGCGCTATTGAAATTGTATCACCAGGAGCGGGGGTATCATCATATGGCGATTGTGGATCTGAATCAGAACTAAAGTCCTGTTCATTGAATTTCCTTGTGGTTTCTTTCTCCTTTTCGGAAAAATGAATTTTATAGCCTTCCATAACCAATTGGTGAGCACGAGCGACAAAGGACAACTTATTGCCATGGTTAAAAGCCTCTGCAACATCAGAACCAAAAAGGAATCCTGCTCCTCGCGGCGACAAGCCCCATCCACTGATTTCTTCAGGATCTGACCAAAGTAAATCGCACATGGCGCCCTCATGGGGGACCTCTTGTTTTCGATCAATGAGTCGAATCTAAACAAAAAAAAAAAAAATTAGTAGGATGAAACAACAGTAGAAAGAGAACAGGGGCATTGATTACTTACCTGATCCAAACTTGTGATACTTGGAGAAAGTCCACCATGCACACATAGGACTTTATCGTCTATAACAGCACCCAGAGAAAGATAGTCAAACACTTCACAGCAATAACGCCAAACATTAGCAGACCCATATTTGCGAACACACTCATCGTAAAATCCATATACTTGAGTGATTTGGCGGGATTCGTGATTTCCGCGAATTAATGTGATAGAATCTGGATGCTTCCACTTTAAAGTTAATAAAAGAAGGAAAGTTTCTACTGAATAGAAGCCACGGTCAACAAAGTCGCCCAGAAATACATATTTTGTTTCCGGGCAAGAGCCACCAATGCGAAACAGTTCGAGCATATCGTGAAGCTGACCATGAATATCACCGCAAATAGTAACTGGCGAAGAAATATGCTGTAGATTTGATTCCTCAATTAAGATGTCACGAACACGCTGACACAACTCGATAACTAGTCGTTTCAATTAGCTTTCAATTTTCCAACAGTATACAAATTTGGATGGAACACAAGCACCCACGGAAAAAGTCAAAACAGAGTCGGATAGCTTTTAAGCATGAATGAGAAGAAATATGTAAAAACACGTACCGTTGGCTTCAGGAATCACTCTTCCATTTTCGAGCTCTTGCAATTGCCAATCCAAGTCAGCATTAGGCATTATTATGAAGAAAACGATGGCGTAAAATATTAAAAAATAAGAAAACAACGAACGTAAATTATATTAATTAGGTATTGGGGATAGTTTCAACAAGAAAGAACCTCAGAATCGTACTTTCAGCAAGATTTTGCCCTTTTCAAACAACAGCCGAAGAAGAGCAACTTGATGATATCTAGTTAAAAAACACTTTTAAATATTGATCAGAAATCCAACGAAAACACTCAAATTGGGCCGCTTTGAAAAATTCTATTTTTTGTTGAAGTTTACTAAAGGAGTCATAAACTATGGGGAAAAACAGGGCCTTAAGAGTTAAGCGATCAGATAACCTTTAGCCTTCTTTTAGGGTTCCATTCTACTAGATAAAAATGAAAGAGAAAGTAATCATTGTGTTTTTTTGTTTATTTACGAAACCATTTTCATTAGAAACAACTGCTAGCAGTTTCAAAAGCAAGTGGATCATTCTATTAATGCATTCTTTCTTCTTCAATTACTTTTGTTTTAAAAAAAAAAATTCATTTGCTTTCTTTTGTTTTCATTGCTGAACGAAAAAATTTCTCGTCAGAATACGATATGTGAAAAAGCGACACATGAGAAATGAAAACAATTTTGTTTTATTGATCCATTTGGACCAAGCAGCAGTGAATGAATACTTGTTTCCTTTTTCTTTTCTTTTTTTACCACTGCTACTAAGATATCATGTCCATCAGATAAAAAACCATCATAGGATGAGATTACTTAGACGAATTTAAAAAGATTTTTTTCTTTGGATTCTAATGATTGAGTGCTGTAAAACAGGCTTTTGAGATTTCACTGAAAATTTCCCTGCTTTTGCCTCTTTCCTCTCATTGCACCTTTAGGCACAAATAAAGGAATTCCTGTCGAAACGTGAACGATATAGCCAACTACCACCAACAACTAAGGAATTGGAATAGGAAAGAAATATATTAGAAGACATTGCAAAAGGGATTAATTAGGGCTTATTATTATTGAAATTCATTTAATATTTCTTTAGAAAAATTAATTTTGTCAAAAGATGAGTGTGGAAATTACATCGATTGATCAATTTCAAGAAATCTTACAAAAAGACAATGAACAAGTCCTTCTACTCAATTTTTATGCTCCTTGGGCTGCTCCCTGCCAACAAATGAATCAAGTTTTCGATCAATTTGCTAAAGATACCCAAGATGCGGTATTTTTGAAAATCGAAGCTGAAAAGTTCTCTGACATTGCAGAATCTTTTGATGTAACGGCCGTTCCCTTATTCGTTTTAATCCATGGTCAAAAGGTCCTTGCTCGTATTTCAGGTGCCAACCCTCAAAAGTTAAAATCTGCGATCGATGAATATATTCGTCCTATCATCCATCAATCGTCTGCTACACCCACTTCTAACGGCCCTGATGCCAATGTAGGCTCGGTCCAAACAAATGCTGTCTCTTCCGGAGCTAGTGGTGCAAAGGCCGCAAATGGCTTGGATGTCGAAATGGATAATCGTCTACGCACCCTTACTAGTGCCCACGACATCATGCTCTTCATGAAAGGTACTCCTTCTGAACCTGCTTGTGGTTTTAGCCGTAAACTGGTTGGTTTGCTCCGTGAAAGAAATGTCCAATATGGTTTCTTCAACATTTTGGCCGATGATTCCGTTCGCCAGGGCCTTAAGGTCTTTTCTGACTGGCCTACCTTCCCTCAACTTTACATTAAAGGTGAATTCGTCGGTGGTTTGGACGTTGTAGTTGAAATGATGGAAACTGGTGAATTCCAAGAAATGCTCACTTAATACAACCGTTCATGTTTACTACTTTTCCATTTCCTAACTATATTCTTTTTGGCATCTAATACTTCACATGTCCATATTTCTTTTGACAACGGGTGGTGGTAAGACAAATGGGTAGAATAATCCTATAAACAGCTAGCTACCTTAGATTAGAAGAGATAGAAAGAAACTATGAATTTCCCTTGACGGAAACATAGAAAATATAACAGGAAAACAATCCATGAAGATAGTTACCTCTCTACACAACCTTTCAATTCTTCCTACATTAAATAAAACCTACGTTATTACGCAAATTCATCTTCACTCAAAAGTTAGTTTTAACTTAATACAAGTACATTCAACCACTATAACCCCAATAGTAATGGAAAGCCCTCTCTCTTATTTATTGACTTTCTAATACACTATCTATCAGTATTCAAATTTTAACTCATATTCCAAATCCACTATATTTCCCGCGTTATAAACGCGACAATTATAGAAAATTTAGTAACACGTCAGAAAACGCCAACTACCCTACATATCATGACCAAAAAGGAACATGACATGCAAGAGATCATCGCCTTGAACAGATGCTATAATGTAGCTTTATCCTTTAAGGATCCAACTACTAAGCATCCATTCAGTAAGAAAGTATTATCTCACTCTTCGGGCAATGGCGCTACCAATCATCATCCGTGTTGAGTTCTGTGGCTAGGTTAGGAAACCCAAGCCGGACGTATACTATAGAAATGATCCTATGGAGTATCGTCGATGGTTTTCAATTGAGCGAAAGCACTGGTATTTATACTATTCTGTTCACCCAAAAGCAGTCACAATAACAGTCATTACCAGCGAATCAAGTTCTCAGATATGCTATAAAATTTTTTGCCCATGCTACGCTAATCCTCATTAATAAACAGAATATGCAATAGAAGTTTTGGAATGTTTTCTTGTAAATGATGACTAAGCTCGTATTTCAATTGATTTTGAGTAATTTGTTCTTCCATCTTCGATGGATATAGTGCAAAAGTTGCACATTTAGTGGACGTTTTTATCGGTAGCTTTCTTTTTCTTTAACTGACGAGACCCAGTCAATCGATAAAATATAGCTTGTCAATTAATGAAATTAATATACAATCAATAATACTATGACGATTCAAATGTTCAAGTGCTACTCGCCCTCTGAGTGAGAGAAGACAATTCTAGTAATAGTAATAATAACAATTATATCGCAACCTCATTTTCCAAAATTAATGCATTAATGAATTCTGTCCGATTTCCTTCTATAGTATGGCAATTTTGGGTACAAAAGTACATCACTATAAAATTTGCTGTTCCTCTTCATCTTCCTTTCTTTTCCTTCATCTTATAGTTTTACACTTTCATAGGCAACATTTTCTGGTTCCTTTGAAAAGTCTGTTTTCAGGACTGAAAGACTCCATAATATCAGAAATATGCAATCTAAAATCCAGTACACATCATGGTAAAATAGGAACAAAAGTCAAAGTGAACAACGTAAACCGAATAACTAATCCATTCTATTTTCTAGTTATTGTGAAGAAAACATCTATCAGCTAGCAGAGTATTTTGTAAAAGAAAAACCTCAATTACAGGCCTATGTAATATTTTTGTCAACACCGACAAAGACGGTAAGCGATTCAAGATTCGCTGGAAATTTTTTCTAATTAAGGTATATGAATTAGATGCCAATTTGGGAGCAGTCGAAGTCTCCATTCGTTATATGGGTAAGGTCATGAATTGTATAAACAAATAAATTATAATCATCATATCATGGAAAAAAGCTTATATATATATGTATATATAAGCAAAAAAATCATCGCGTATCTTGCTAGAGTTAAACGAACGAAGAAAGCAAGACTTTTTATTTCTTATATTATACATTTTCATTATGCAGTAAGATGATACAAACGTGCTGACCGCATTTAGGATTATCATGTAGTACTTTTGACGAGAAGCCTCCAAAATCCTAGGGAAGGATGGTTTGTATGGGATCATGATACTAGATTACCGATTCCCTGTCCTTTGGAACATTATCTTGAACGAGCGCTTCGTCGAGACTGGGAGCATTCTCCTGAGCTACCGCTTATTTTTGGTAATTCATATTGTGACATGAACCGAAAATACAGAGTCATAGAAGCAAAATCATATCTTCAGCATTTTAGCTCTGATCGCTCACATATGAAAACCGAAACAGGAGAATGGCTTTCCCCTCCTCCGCCATATCCTTGTATAGGAAAAGGAAATCAGATGAACCTCCCACAATATACAAACGTAAACGACAACCAAAACGATGCTGTATTTGGTATTGTCTATAATGAAGACGAGTTTCGACAAACGTTCCAAAAATCCGCTTAAGAAGAAACGATAGGGACACAATTCAAACAAAACGTTTCACAATCAAAAGTCCTACGAGCAATAGAGTTAGTAATTCAAACATAAAAATGGCGTTAAGATTCAGCTCATGCAGTTGTACTTTCCACTTAAAAGGATAGCTTCAACAGCCTTTCAGTCAAGTGCCACGCAACGCGGCTCAATCATTAAAAAACCATACCTTTCTTCTTTAGAACAGCGAGAACAAATGGTGTTTTGGCAATCAAAACACTCACGAAGGCATATACTACACGTGTGTTTTTTACATAATTCACAGGAAGAAATGCGCATCCGCGAAGTAGTCTTTTTATAACAAACATGACAAAGCTTAGCCATTCGAGAGTCTCCATGAGCAGCATCTTTAAATGCAGCAGCTGTGGCTGCCACACTCCAAGGATTGTAAACAAGCCCTGAGTTGGCTATGGGCGACCCATTTTCCCTATAAAGCATGGGTTTCGTCCGTTTATTTCTGTTTGGTCTATACAGATTCCCGACATTGCTCCGTTTCAAAACCATAGCTTACAACACAAGGTCGAAAACGAGGTGAGATGTTGGAAAAATTGATTCTTTGTTCTTTCGACAAGGTACCAGGTCACTTTTTGTTTTAGCAACGAGTAGGTAACGAAGTTGGTGTTACTTTGTTCTATAAATACAAAAGACTAAGATTTATGAAATGTAGGAAGGAATTTGCTATTGAAAAGGAAGCAAATATAAAAAAGAAATTAAGTTAAAAGAATAGAAGGATGAATCGGACTAGAATTACTTTACAACGACTTTTTATTCTTTTCTGTAAGGACTTTTTCAAGTATGAAAAAAAAAAGGCTTCCCATTGCAAGGTAAGGTATAATGGAAACAATGAAAAGAGTAAGAGTAAAACAACACATTTTGGGAAAAAGATCTGTCTAGAAAAAATATTCATGGACGGATAGTCAGGTGGAATCATCCTATCCATATGGGGATTGACAGACCCAAGGAAACAAAAAGAAGCAACCATTTACTTGGTAGGATGTTTTCCCAGTACGGAGATAAGCAGGTTCATCCTAATGATTCCTTTATACCTTGTAACCGTACTGAGCCATGCATCTATACATTTGATGTTAATACCAATGACAGGAAAGAGGACGCTAGAACCCTTTGTATGGCTCGCTTTTATTAGCATTACATACTGTCGATGAGCTTCAATAAGTTTGGCACAGTCAATGGGGCCATTCTCAGAATTCAGCATACACTGGTCACGAGCCTGTTTGGTTTCTGGGCAAGCACAGCAAGGCTAGACAGAAAAGTTAACAAAAATGAAAAGGGAAAGAAAAAGGGATGATGAAACCTTCATACCTTTGGTTTTTCCTCAGTAGCAGCAGGAGCTGCATTAGAAGCAACGTTTTCGGCAGAAGGCATGGTAGAAATATTTATTAAAGTGTGAATAGAAAATCAAGAGATAATGATTTCACAATAGTGGAAATTGAAAGAAAGCTAGGAAAAAAAAGTGAGAAGGGTTAGACTAGAAGGATCAAAGGCTGCCACCCTTCTTCTAACTTGGTAAACTCGGTAAACAAGGATTACTGATGACAAATCAAATTCTAGAATTGTGGTTGTTCTAAATGGAGGCAAAAACTGAGCAACGGGTATTTTTACTCGCAACGAACAATTTTAATCGCTTAAATGAGAGATCTTTTAGTGCTCTTTTTTGCCTTCATTGAAAGCAAACACAATTCCTTACGTTTGAACTTTGCAGCTATTTTTCAAACAAGTAGGTAACGATATTTGCTTAAGAAATCAACTGTTACCATTCACTCAACGAACAAGGAAGGGTAAGTAACTGCATTATATATGTATAAAGGAATGGTTCGCACTCATTAAACAAAGTCCAAACTGGAACGAGACTTTTTCTTAAGAAAACAATTCAGAAATTTCATATAAAATTAAATTTTGTTAATATTCTCTTCACTATATATTGGTCCGAAATCCACTACTTGACCTCTACGAGTCCCGTACTATATCGCCTACAAATGCTACAAAATCGTTTGTAGGCCATTCTATGGGATTCAAGATCAAAACAATGCTCATTTCGCTAGCAGTCTACCAAAATCCGTGGAGACAGTCTTGATAGTAGTGTGCATACATGATTAACGGCTGTAGTCAATTTTATTTTGGCTTAGCAGTTGGTTGGTTGGTTAGTGATAGAAAGCGATAGATTATGCTGTTTGTGGTAAATAATAAATACAAAAAAATATTACCTGTTTTATTTCTTTGTTGGTTTCTCCTGTTGTTTGTAGAAAGGTGTCCCTTGTATGCTACCGAATTTCTTTGTAGGACCGTAGAACTTTGGGATAAACATGTCAAGGAATAGTAGAATGATTATTCATTATCTTTCTTATTAGTGTAAACTTTTAAAATGAATTAGAAACAGGCAAATCAAACAGATACCGTCAGAGACGATCTGTCAGACGATTTGCTTGGAATTGATAATTTTCTAAGTATGAATATCAAATGGATTGCCTTGTATAGGTTTAGATTGATTTGGTTGACCGATTAGTACGTCTACGGCCATACCTAGGCGAAAACACCAGTTCCCGTCTGATCACTGCAGTTAAGCGTCTGAGGGCCTCGTTAGTACTATGGTTGGAGACAACATGGGAATCCGGGGTGCTGTAGGCTCCTTTCCTCTCTTTTTGTTTTTCTATTTTATACGTCTACTACTATTGCTTCTAAGTGACAAAAGACTAATTACAAGTTCAATGAAAAGAAATGAAATAATCGTATTCAATTGCGATTTTTAATAACAGTAATAATAATAAGAAAGGTAAACAACGTAGTGTTAACTTTGAGTGGTAGGATTGTTCTGACGCTCGATTTCTTCATTCCTGGTCGTCGTCGACAGAGGTGCCACTGTGTCGTCCCTTTGTTGATGTCTGGGCAGCGTAGGCGAGCCAATGTTTTCAGCTGAGCGCTCAAGTTTCAGTCCAAGGCCAAAAACAAGAATGTTATAAAATCCCCAGCACACAAGACTAACAACAGAAACTCCAGCAGCTCCGACACATCCAACTAAGACTGCAATTACGACTGAAACACCTATTATAACGTGTGCAAAAGTTCTTGTTATT